TCGGACCTGTGATTACTGAAGTCAGGTACTGAAAGACTTTTCTGAATTGTATACTACAAAGTTTAAAACAATATCAAGAAGCTATTGAATGTTACAATCAGGCCCTTTTTATTAATCCAAAATTTGATTTAGCCTGGAATAACAAAGGTATATAATTGTTCTCTATCAATATTTAGGATCTGCATTATAAAAATTAAATCAATATTAAGAAGCAATTAATTGTTACAATCAAGCTCTTTCTATTAATCCAAAAAACGATTCTGCATGGTATTAAAAGGGTAATGAGTATTAATTACTAACACTTAGGCCGTGCATTAGACACTTAGAATTAATCCCAAGAAGCAATTGAATGTTATAATGAAGTTATTTCGAAAAATCCATAACATGATTCTGCTTGGTTTAGAAAGGGTATTTTTTGTTAAAGATTAATATTTAGGTTTGGCATTACAAAATTTAAATCAACATCAAGAAGCAATTAATTGTTACAATTAAGCTCTTTCCATTAATCCAAAAAGATTTTCTGCCTGGAATAATAAAGGTAACCAATGGTTTAAATATTATAATTTAGGGTTGATAATACAAAGATTAAAACAATATCAAGAAGCCATTGAATGTTACAATCAGGCCCTTTTTGTTAATCCAAAATTTGATTTAGCCTGGAATAACAAAGGTATATAATTGTTCTCTATCAATATTTAGGATCTGCATTATAAAAATTAAATCAATATTAAGAAGCAATTAATTGTTACAATCAAGCTCTTTTTATAAATCCAAAAAACGATTCTGCATGGTATAACAAGGGTAATTAATATTAATTATTAACAATTAGGGCGTGCATTAGACACTTAGAATTAATCCCAAGAAGCAATTGAATGTTATAATGAAGCTATTTCGAAAAATCCATAATATGATTCTGCATGGCATAGCAAGGGTCTTTTGTTAAATACTAATATTTAGGATTGGCATTACAAAATTTGAATCAATATGAAGAAGTACTTGAATGTTACAATAAATCTATTTCTATTAATTGTTAGGCTCGTAAATCATTTGAAAACAAAGGTTCATTACTCTTTTTATTTAGGGGTCATCTTACACTCATAATAGAAATATATTGATGCTATCTCAAATTTTGATTAAGCATTAAATATAGAAATTTATGCTCTTGGATTTAAACTTAAAGGTAAATAAAACTGTAATTTAATTTTAGCTGATTCATTATTTGAATTACGAAGAAAATCAGAAGCTAAATACTTTTATTTGGCTGCATTGGAACTTGGATTAAATCAAAATGCATCTATTAGAACTTAACTATTGAAGTTATGAAGTATTTTCATATTGAAACATCAAATATTTTATCTTCTAATTTAAACAACCTCAATCAAACTCTGAATATCTATTTACTTTTTTTTTTTGTATTTGAGCAACGGAAAAAATAAAGATTATTTCAAAAGTTTACTTAATCTAAATGTGAATTTTGTAAATTACAAAACAAAAATACATTTTATTAAATTAATGTCTTTCGGTTATCCATATTAATTTACACGAATTAATAATCTACATCTTTTCTGTCTTCCTGCTGTAAATTGTATTCTTTTTAGAATCTTTGTATTTGTTTCCCATACTAAATGTGTATAAATATCATATCTGTTATTTTCATTTGAGTTAAATTTAATTATAATAATATTACATAACGGAAATAGATTATATTACCAAGAATTACTAGCAATAAATTAATTGGAAAAAAATTGAAGCATTTATTTGATGAATTTTAGTGGAATTTTTTTTAATTTTAGATTTTTCTTGTTTACTTTTCTTCTTCTAAATGTTAAAAGCAGATGAGAATATTTTACTTTAATAAAATAGCTGAAGAAAATTGTAATACTTATGAATTAAAACTTTGCAAGCAGAAGTTTAGGTCATCAAGAAGTTTATAATTATACGTTTTTAAATGTATCTCGTACGACAATTAGTGCCCCAGATTCTTTAAAACTAAAAGAACTTAGATTTCTGTCAAATTTAAAACAATATATGTTAATCTACATAAATTCAAATTATATATCCCACCAGTTCATACTTAAGAAAAGATGAAATATTGGTTAGCATTATATTATGGCAAAAGAAGGGCTACGTTGAAACTAAAATGTTTGAAGGGCATTAGGAATTGGTTTAGATATATGCTTATCTCCTGATGGACTAACACTTCTTTTCTGTAGCGAATATAACAATTTGTTTATTTGAGATGTAAAGAAAAATAAGAAAATAACATTATAGATGAATAAGCATTTAAGTTAGTTTAATCCTATTTATCAAATAGAAGAATGTCTCTTTTTGATAACTAAAGATAAGATTTTATTTGGAATATTTTTTAAGAATAAGCTATAATACATCTGTCAGTGGTTTTATTAAAACAATTAGTAAACAGATTTGAACAGCCATTCTTAAATTGAATACTAATATTGATAATCAATAAGTGACTAAAAATTACTTTGTTGTTTGAGTAAAGACAACACATAGAGTACTGATAAATAAAGTTAGACAAAACTAGCTAATTCACATAAAGTAAATTGCATTTTTTTAATCTTGAACTAATTCTCAAATATAGTAAATTTCAATAAATTCTGTAAGCGATGATAACACAATTTTGATTTGGAAACAAAATGGCAAATGTTACAATTTTAATCAAACAGCTCGATGATCATAAGAGCTGAGTTAAGGAGAATATATCTTGCTTCTGGCACAGCAAATGAAGTATTATTATGTGGGAAGATACTAAGTAATAGTGATAAACTCAAGGAAGGGGGAAGGAAAATGGTGGCATGACATTCTCGCCAAGTAATAATATTCGAGCCTCTACACATGGAGTTATCAAATTGAGGAATATCAGAGATAAAAAACTTATTTAACAGTTAGAGGGTATTAATGAAAAATTAGTTCAATTGTGTTTTCTATTGATTCAATATTAGTTTAATTTATTGGATCATATAGATAAGCTTATGTTCCAATCAATATAGTAAAATTTGGGAGGATGAAAGAAATAAATTTGAAAAATCTATTTCCCATTTCAAAAGCTTGCAAAAGTACCAATATTCTAAGCAGAATAATGTAATATCAATAACTCTAAAATAAAGGATGTTACAATTTAGCGGTCTGAAAATTAATCAAAGTTATGGCTATTTTAGCAAAAGAGAGCTGTTATCAATAAACAACAACAATAACAAATTTATTAATTATATATAAACAAATATTTATAAACAATTCACATTATTCTTTTTGATAATTTTAAAAAAGATATTCATTTGCTAATTTTAATATTCAATATGTATTTCAGTATAAACTAGTGTTTTTTCAATATTTAACTTAAATTTTTTCAATTAAAAGAATTATTCCCTCTTCTAAAACAGAAACCTTCTCAAGGGCTAAGGATTCTCATGTGATCTATATTTAGAATGCTTCTTAGAGTCATTTAATTTACTAATTGTTGTTTTCTGACATATAAGAATAAACTTAAAGGGTTATTTTTAATATAAATTAATTTTCAATTATTTGTAATTAAAAAGGTCATAAATTTATGTGTCACTAATACTTTTGTTTAACTATTCAAAGTTGCAATTTGTTTTTTCGAAAATTTTTCCTTTCTTCAACTTTATTTTTTTCTTCCCTCTTTTCTTATGCATCGATGAAGTCTTTTCAAAAAAGTAATTAAATAGTTAAATATTACTTTATTTTTTTTTATAATTCCTTTAATTTAATGTCAGAAAGTTAAATTGAATTTTTATAAAGGTAAGTAATCAACTTAAATAAAGAAAATCATCTGTTAAAGGAAGATATCTTGGCATTCCATCATTTTTTGAATAATAGAGTAAAGGAATTGAAATCATACCTTAGAGATGTTCCCAATAGATATCTTAATATGGAATTGTGTGATATTACACAAGCTTTATAATTTGTCAAGGAGGATGCTGAATACTATTAATTGAACATAAATGCTCTCCAGCATGAAATTAAACAACTGAAGAATTAATGTGCTGAATTAAAATAACTATTGCTTGAATAGAAAGATAAATATTAACAGCAATAATAAAATATTGAAACTAACTTAACAGAACAATATTCTAAAGCTTTAAAGGAACTTTAGGAGAATTTAACACTAGCCACTTCAAATTGCTAAATATATAGAAATTCAATGAATCTTCTAGCTTAAGAGAAAACAACACAAGAATAGTAAATTAAAAGTCTCTCAAATGAAATTTAAAAACTCAAAAAGTAACATGATGGCGAAAAAAATGAATTATAAATGATTATAGCCAGAGGAAAATCTTAATTGTCTGAATTGGAAAAGGCATATACAATCCGATTACATAAAGTTTAATAATCAAATTTCGAGGAATACTAAACCAAATTAAAGAATTAGGCTAAGGATATAAATGAAAAAGGTAAACAATGAATATTTACTTAGATTAAATGCGAGCAGAATTAGAGAAGAAGATTTCTTCTTATGAGAAATTTAACCAACAATTGCAATAAGATTACGAAACAATCCTTAATTAATAGACAGAATTGTAAGAAATAATTAAAAAGTAACTAGGTGAGGTTTAAGTTCAATCCTAATTAAATTATTAACTTCAAGATAATTCAAAATAACAAGAATCAATCATTTCTGATTTAAAATTATCTATTGCCTCATTGAAAGATGAGATGTAAATGACTTAATAGGTACTTTAACAAAAGATTAAAGATATCGAATTGTAAAAGGAAATCTAAAATTAAATATTACTAGAGTTAAGTAACATAGGCACAATAAAAATTGGAATTATGAAATAATCATCTGCAAAATCCTAAATTTTGGAAATGATTAAATTGATAAAATAAGAAAGTTAAGAAAATTAGTTAGAAAGGAAGAAACTTAATGATCAGGTCATTAAATTGCAAGACAATAAGTTATAGCTATAGGAAGAATAATCGTAACTAATATTTTAAAATGAAATATTTTAATAAAAAATTTCGTAATTATAAGATCAAATTGTTGGTCAATAGGAATTTGAAATTAAATATAGAAAACTTGTAAATGAGATAGTTTATTTAGCTTAAACAGACCCAAAGATAATTAAATCTATTCAAAAACAAATTTCAATTGACTTTTATAAAGAATATACAAATCTCAATAAAATAACAGAAAATGATCAAAATAGACCTTTATTTTTGTTAGCTAATTAGTTAGAATCAATTGATGTTGAATCAGATTCAAAGCCAAATAAAGGTTAGGAAGATAAACTATAGCAAGATAGGTTAAATAGTTAGATGGATGAAATTAAAAGTCTGAAGTAATTTGACCTGCACGAATCAGATCAAAACTTATCTTTTCAATGGAAGAACTCAATTAGAATGACATTAACTCCTAGTTTATATAATGTAAAATAGGAGGATTAAACACAAGTAATTGAAGAATTTCGGGCTGATGCTCAAACTTAAACAGATAGAAAGAAGTATATGTCAAAATTTCTACCTCATGATAACCTTGATGAAATAGTTGAGGAAATAAAATAAGGATATTTAGGTTATATAGATACAAGTGATATTCATACTCAAACGGATTACTCTATAGAAAATAAATCAACTTAAACTGCATAAAAGAAAAGGTCGAGTACAAATGAAAGCAAAGACCAGAAATAATAAATAAATTCATAATAGTAAACTAAAAATATTGATTCTAATCTTACTAAATAATTTGAGGTACAATAATCTAAGATACTATCATTAAATAAAATAATTAGTGATTTAGAAGTATATAATAATATCAATCTAGCTCTAATTAAAAGAATCCTTGTTTTTGAACGACAAATATAGTGAAGATTTTGAGTTGAAATCTAGAGAATTACAACGGTTAAAGGAATTAAGTAAAAATTAACTCCAAGATTAAATGGTAGATTATGAAAATAAATTGGAAACCTAGTCTAATGTATTTAAAAATGAAATAAATATTATGAAGCAAGAATTTGAGACTTTTAAAAAAATTTAAGACCAAAAGATTTAAAAGCAAGAGAAACTAATACATGAATAAGAAGTTGAAATATAAAATTCAAAAAATTAAATAAAGGAATTAAATGCTTAATTTTAAGAAGGAAACTAAAGAAAATTTGAATTAACTTAAACACTATTAAAATTAGAGGAATAATTTAAAATAAATACAGAATAACTTACAGAATAAATCAATGATTTACAAAATTAATTTAATAATCGGCCCAGCAGACAAGATGATTTGGATATAATCAAATAACTTGAAAAAGAAACACGAAGATTTAAAGGAATAAATATAAAATAACTTTGCAAAAATAGAATATGCTAATGAAATAGTGAAATATCTATAAATAGAAGTAGAAAATTACAAAAAGTAGTATAATTTATTTTCAAATCATAAACCAAGTAATATTCCAAAAAAAAGAATTTTATTTGATTCAACCTTGGAAGATGAAAAATCTATTGTTTTCGATAGCAAATAAGATTTCTTGCCCACCGTCACAAATCGAGATTAGTTCAACTCAACTGAAAAAAACAGATCGCAAAGGGGAAAAAGCTATCGTTTATCTGATTTTGAAATTAAACAACATACTACCAAGCACTTTTTTAAAAATGCTCAATAGACAAAAAATAACTTAAATAAAACCTAATTAGTTTAAAGACCTAACTCACCTTCGATTAGTAGAAATACTAAATATTTGTCAACAATGTAAAAAAAGTTTAATAATCCTTTTGAGAATGATTGTATTTTGCATAATGCTGAAATTTTGGTTGAGAATATTAAAGGTAATACACCAAAAACAAAATACGCTCAAAAATCAAATGATTAGTTTTTTTTAAAAGGATAATTAATGTAAGTTGAGTTAAATTCTACTACAAATTCTAATAAAAAATTTGATTTATATCAATAAAAATCATGATTAATTTAATTTTTTTTCTTATGAGGATAGATAGAATTTTTGTTATAATTAATTCAACTTTTTTTATTATCATTATACTATTACATTATTTCTTACAGACGAAGGGTGTGAACGAATCTTTAATGTTTTTTTAACTTTTTATTTCAATCTCCTTTATTTTTCAATCCAATTCTTATATAACTTTGACTTATTAAGAAAATGTTAACAAAAATTATAATTAGCATTTAACCATTATCTTCTAAGGAATAAATTATTATTACCCTTTTATCTTTAGTAAAAATGGATTTTAATCTGCTTTGTATTTATTCAAATAAATTTATCTAATATGTTTTATTCTAATAATACTATGAGGCAGCTTTTAAATAGGTAACTCAAAATTTTGTTTTTAACTTGGAAATATTGGTGATAAAATATAAATACTATATTTGAATTTTGCTCTCTCTAAAATGATCATTATTTGATATTGTATAAGCATTATTCGCTTTAAAGGTTTAACATCAAAATTTATCTAGGCTTCTAGATAACTAAAAATATGTGACACTTAAAATGTTGAAACCTTGATAGATAATAAAATTAAATAAGGACTAGTTACTAAAAGAAATCAAAGAATGGAAGTTCATTATTTAAATTAGTGCATCCGCACTTTACGTTATATTTTAAAACTAATTTCAAATGCTTATTAAGAATGCTTGAGTTAGCTTTGAGTGTTATAAAAAATATTTTGTTAATTAATTTAAATGGCAACCTAAAATATTTTTGGGAATTTTCACGATAACAGTAGACTAATGGAATTATATGAAATACTGTAAATAATGAAAAATTAATCAGCTGATTAATTGAAAATCTAAGCTTAAGAGGAGATTTTCGAAAAGTTTTCTATTCTTAACAATTATCTAATGTTTAATGAAATTTAACAACTCGCAATCCTTATTTGCAAACACAACAAGTAATTATAGGAATCCATCTCGATGTATTAATACTTGAAATAACAAGAATGTTAAATTGATAAAACAATCAATGTAGATAAGTTAATTGAGTCTTATGAAAATTCTGCAAATGAATAGGATATCAATTAAAATAAGAATGATGCTACATGGTATAAAATGCTAATATGTTGTGCAAAATTATTATCAAAAAAAATCTAAAATGAGGAGGATACTAAAATCTACAACAAGATTCATAAATAGTTAAATTTTTATATTGATCAAAATTTACCAAGCAATAATCCTAACATGTTAATATCCTAAATAAGTATGTTTCATTTACCTTTTATACAATATATTTAGTTATATTCATCATTTCAATTGTTAATAAATACTCTCAGATACAAGCAATACATAGAATTTACTGAAAAAAATTATTAATATCAAACCCAATTACTTCCAAATATCTTAAATATCAGTTAAAAATAGTCTTCATTTCACACATAGATTTGGAAATTTTAATCTATTCTCATTGATGTTACGCAAAAGTAATAATAAATTAAATTTTAGCCTAGTCAATTTTAATGAATTATTTAGTGTCACATAGCATTCATTTAAAAATGAAGGAATACAAAGGATAGCCTTTAGTTTTAATAATATTTAAAGGGGATTTAAAGTTATGAAAATTATTTTGGAGGAATCAATTTTAAAGTATTTTTATGAATAAATTGAATTAAAAATAGAAGAATACAAATCATTAAATCATAATCAAGTTTAACAAAAAGAAAGTGTTCAATTCAAACCGCAAGTTCATATTGTTTTTCATGGCTTGGAGGATATCAATTTAGATAATCCAAAATAAACAAAACTTGATTTAGAAATATAAATCTAAATAGGAGAGAATGAATTTTTGTCATTAAACAATTAATCAAGCAATTAAACTCTGATTTGGAATTATGATAAGATAAAACATTTTAATTTGATAATCTAATTATTAGTCCAAATATTTGAGTGCTCTTAATTATGGATTTAGTATATGCCAAAATCTCCAAAAGAATATTTTGAATTTTTATGCTCAAAGGTTAGCAAATAGAAGTTAGAAGTAGATCGATAAACATTAACAAATTGGTTTCAAAAGGAAAAGCCCAATATTAATAATAGTATTGAATCTCTTTTAGCTTTATTGGAGAGCATTGAATTCTTGCTTTTAAAAGTATCAAAATCTTTTAATTTAGATTGAAAGTAATATAAATAAAGAGATTGCAAAGTATTAAAAAGAAAAACCAATTTCATTTAATAAGGACAAATTTGCTAAAATACTTATTTAATCAGGATTCAAAATAGAGTATGATTTAATCAACAAAATTGAAATAAGACTAGCTGAAACCATTAAGAATAATTTGGAATCAATATTAAATTAAATTAGCCCAAAAACTTAACAAATAAAAGGAATTGTATAACTTATTAAAAAAATCACTCCTAATTTTAAATGATTTTAGTTTAAGACTTAAAATAAATTATAAAGTTGTATTAATATTTTTGTTCACATTTTCTATATGAAATCTAATGATTTAATTTAGATATATCAATTTACAAGATATGTGATAATGTTTAATTTTTATTATAACAAATATTCTATTTCATATGAAGCTTTGTAATTTTAAAGTACTTCTTAATTTCTGTCGATTGATTACTCATTTTTCTAACTAAGTATTGAAATAATTAAAACTATAAGGTATGAAAAGTAGTTCTTCAAACGCTTTAAATCTCTTATTATATGAATAAATTGATATCTGTCGTATAGAGAATCAAGAAATAAAAAAGAAAATGGAATTTTATTTTGAGAATATCAGAATGGCTATTATGAGAATTTCTTATTTAAGAACAATTCAAATAGCGGCTTACCTGAGTAAATATAATTGAAGCAATTATTCAACAAGGTTCTGTTGGTTTAATTAGTGATGTCTGTAATTATTATAAGATGTCCATGTTTCAAAAATACTTGTATGACTATGTAATTCATTAATTTTTACTATGTTTAGAATTTATTCGTGCATTAGACAATTACTGATTAGTTGTTTAAATATCTTCAAGTACACAAGAGTAGAAAATGCAGAAAAGGGTTATTAGATGGAAAGCGTGAACAGAGACATCGAAAGCAATATGAATGCTGAATTAAGTAAATATCGGTAGGAATTTATTTAGGAGCTCATGAAGACTCTTTCATTTAGAATCATGAAAATAAAATAGAAGACTTTGAAAATAAAGCAAACTTTTAGGATTGTGAGTAGATAATCGATGAGGAGTCGATTCGATAATTTATAGATGATATTCCTCATATCTCATTTTAATAAACTGAATAAATGAAGGAGATAGGAGAAAGGGCAGTTGCGGCTTTAAATAGTGTGATTGATAAGATGGAAGGTTTTGAATTGTTGGAAGAGGAGCAGGACTTTAATTTTTGGATTAAATATGTTGAGACTCCTGAAAAATATTAGATTGGCATTATGAAATACACATATACTTTAAACACAACTATCGACTCCTACTTAGAATTCATGAAGGATCTGCAATTACAGAAGTCGATGGATAATAGTATTGATGCATTTGAGAAACATTTGGAGGACATGAATTTATAGATCAATTATTTAAGATACAAAAAAATTATGTTCATGGATCCTCGTGACTTTTTATACATTAAATACTCAGATAGAAAGGGAGATGACTGTATTGAAATTTCGAAATCGATTTAAGTGGATAATTTCCAGCCTTAGTAAATAATTGATATATTAAATATTTAGAGAACTATCTGCCAAGCAATGTACTAGGGCAGTGTTATTGTTAAGTGGAAATCTAATAAAATAAATTGAGGAGAATAAAATTATGATTACAACGTATTCTGAATGCAACATGAAATTAAAATTAAAACCCGTGATGACTAAGCAAGCAAGCAAAAATGAAATAAAGAAAATGGTTAAAAGATATCGTGATCATTTTAATTTATGATGTAAATTTTTAATATTTTTTTTATTAATTTGGTAAATTATTATGGATTAGGATAACTACTATTAAGATAGATTAGAAGTTGAATCTCTCTAATAACGCCTACAAAAAACAAAATTTTTGGAAGATGAATTTGAAAATCAAAATAATTAGTTTAAGCCTACTAATATGAGAGCATTGTAGCCAGTCTCCTTTAGTGATACAGAAATCAAATCCAATCGTTAACAAACGTGTAAGTTTAAAGTTCTTTACAAACGAAATGCTCCTTTAAATTTGAAGTTTGAATAGAAGAGTTAATCTTAATGTCAATCAGAATCAAAATCTCAAATCGTAAAAATTAGAAAAAGAATTGCTAAAAAATTATTTAAATAATGCAAAGCCAAATGACATTATTTTATATATAAATAAATATAATCAAATGAGTTTAAATAGAATACAAGAAAAAGCTTAAGCATTCACTTTTGGATCAGAGTAATTTCCTCTCACAAATATTCCTAAATCCTCTCATGATTCTAAATTGCCACCCTTTAATAAAATTTTAAAATCCAATAGATAATTGCAATTTCAAAATTAAAACGATTTGCCTCTATCTCACAAAAGAGGAAAATCATAATAATTGATGGATACAATACATAATAAGGAAAATCAATTTGTCTCCCTTAACGTTAATTAGAGAGTACAAACAGAAACCAATTCATCGATCATCCACAAGCCTCCCTAAAGTAGATTCAGGATTCCAAGAAAATTATCCAATTATTCAAGACCACAGTCTAAAGAAGATTAAAATAGATATAAAACTATTGCAGAACAATTGAAATAAATGTTTATTCTTCAGAAGTATTTACTCGAATAAGGCTAAAATGCACAATTGCAATAACTATATTAATAATTTGAAATACTATGTAAATAATTATGATAATCTTATCAATTCTAATTGCAGTATTAGTAATGTAATAATATTCAATCAAATATTTTCCTTTTGCTACTTTGCAACTAACTATTGTTTCTAAAATATAAACTTCTTTACATAGGACCTAAATATTTCACTGTCAAATACTTAATGAAGTTCTTCTCTCCTCGAAAATTCTCTCTCTATTCGAATAAACAAACCTAGAGCTATGTTAATGTTAAGTGTATTGTAAAGGATTGAATGATGCCTAAAGAGTGAAATCTTAAAGCTGAGTTGGATCCTCATCTGATGAACCTTCTAAAGTTGTATTAAGTTGCGAATCCTTTTACTAGCATTTAATAATATCCTTTTCAAAATAGATATCATTATTTATGGAAAATATAGTATATTCTTCTGGAAAGCACTCCTGAAAATACTTTTGCTCTCCTTTGGGGATTCTGAATTTCGATTTAAGGTTTTAATTAGATTATTTTTATTGAACCCTCAATTTATTAGGAGTAATAGATTTTGATTGGTATTTAGAGTTACAATGAAATTCACAACCTCTTTTTTGCTATGATACATACGATTATTGTCTAGACTGTTTATAATAATTTTTTATCATTTATTATTTAATTTCTAAAGAAATAATCACTTCTATCCTTTTTGCAACAAGTTTTAAAATGAGTTAGAAGACCAAATTGATATTTATAAATAATATATATGTAAATCATTTTGTGGGTGTTGAGGCTTTTTCAGGTTTTTCAACTTTATCACTTCCTAAAATTTAGGCCTTTGCGATCTTTACAAGTAAATCCATTATATTTGGATTAACATTATCAAAGCCAGCTTGCATCTATGTTGCACCTAAGTATTCTTGTGATTTTAAGGAGAATTCTCCTCCGAATTTTGGAATAATAATATCGGCATATTATTCTGTGGGCTTTATAATAGAATCAAAAAGTGGCTTTAATCTATTTAAATAATTATGAATGACTTTCTCCACATCTTTGCCTTTGGCGCAGACTTCCTTGTAAACTAAAACTAAATAAATCAAATACTTTTTCTTGATAATCTCACATCTTAATCATGATGTAAGAATATTTTTAGATCTAGTAAATCTCTCAATTGTCTATCATACAAGATCAAAGTTCCTTCAATTATAATGACATTCTTATCCTTAGTGGTCAATAGAGTGTTGATGGCAGTTGACTATACATAAGCATAGATTATACTAAAAATTTTTAATAATCTTAATTATTAACATAGGGGACATTATTTAGACTATCAGAATTTTGCTTGCTTAGATCATCATCCATATATATACTAATGATCGAAGTCATCACTGTCAACATCAAAATTATCCTATTTTACCACACTAACCAAAAACCCTTATTATTGAAGTTCAGTCTAAAGCTTTTCTGTTAATAATGCTTTTCCTGAGGAGTGGCCACCACATATCTTTAAAAAATAAATAGAAACTTTACTCCAATTTTAAATGTTTTTCCACTTAAAGGTTGTACTTTAGGACTTGCATATGTGCGAACCAATTCGTTTCCAAATACAGTACTCATAGCAGTATTTGGTGTATTCTTATCCAATTAATTAGTTGTTGAAGAACTGTTTAAGTCTTCAAGCTGAGCTAAATTATCCATTAATTAAATAAACTTAATTCTTTTTTATAATTCTCTATCCGAAAGTAAAAAATAAAAAGTATTATATTTTGTATATAAAAAATAATACAAAATAAAAAAGATAGAAAAAATTTGTATTTTAGATAAAGTCCTTTATGATTCAAAGAAAATAATGGCTAATTCTCAATATAATCATTTTCAAGTTTGAATTTGCAAAGCACATAATAAATATGCATTCAACAAACTTTATCAACCTACAATTTTCTGGGTTTAGATAATATCCTGTAATGTATAGACCATTGCAAAGGTAAAACTTAACTTTTTCAGCCAAATTAATTCTGAATTGATTTGTACAATTGAACTTAGTTGCCATAATAAAGATGTATTTAGGTTACTTGAATTGATAAAATCATAAGTAACGAAGGTGGAATAACACTAGTTACAAATAAAAATGCATCTCATAAACAGCTTATTTGTATTTCAGCATTCCTCTTAGAGTCTATTCATCATTACATAAACACTATGTACAAAAAAACGAGATTAATTTTAATCATTATGAATATAATGATGAATATTGTGAATTACCTTATAACCTTATGAAATCAGGTACAAAAAAATAAAACTGATTTGTTCTTATTTTTTATATCCAAGAGTTCATTTTAATATTTATTAATACCTTCTTTAATTTTTGGAAGATTCTACCAACTTGGATTCATTGACAACTTAATACTAATATATTTATGGAACAGTCTTGTAACAATATAACATTCATAGTTTCAACTTAAAACAATTAGAATGATAAATATTATGAAGATGAATCCACTATCTTAAAATTATTTATATTATTTACATCTTTTTAGGGCAGCAGATATGATTAATTCTGCCATCTATCGCATTGCTATATCATTAGAAATTAACAACTCTGAGGAAATCCTTACCCATACTTTAGACTATTATCAATTATGGATTTAATTTCATTAATTGAAGACTTAACATTATTATTCTTTATGTAACCACTTTTTAGGATATAAATAAAGAATTGATAAGGTAAATAGAGTATTTATTCTACTCTCATTATAGTATATAATAATGAATGAAAAACACTAATCCATTAAAAATTAATCTTACATGTTGATTTATATTATATAGTTCATCATTATAAACTACATCAAAACTAAATATACACTTAGCTCCTTAAAAAGTAGCTTTATTGATTTGTTCTAGTCATGGATGTTTTCTACAGAAGCTTCTTTATTGAATGTACTCCACCAAGAGCATAGAGTCTCATAACCAAAGTCAAATGGCTTGAAATCATATCTCATAAACGTTAATCTCAAATTCAATAATTCAAAGGAAAGTGTCATTTATTAATAGTTTATCAAATTAAATACTCAACTATTCTTTATAAATACTTAGAATCGACTTCATCAAATCGGGACAAATGTTCTGAATCAATATCTAAAACACTTAACACAACTCCATTCTTTATTACTGGAATAACAATCTCACTTTATGTCTCATTGTCGCAAGCTATGTAGTTCTAACAGACCTTCACATCTTCTTGAATCTAGACTTTTCCTTCTGCCCAACATTACCCACATTATCCTTTGCCCTTCTCTATTCTTGGTGTTGCCAATATAGTACTTTAATATGGTCCGACTTCAAGATGATTATCTAATATCGAATCAATGAGTATACCATCAATTACTTGATAGAAGCCAACAAAGAATAACCCAGTCACATTATTTTTGAGGAGACTGACAATTGAAGTTTCTATGGCGTTCCTACCTAAATTTTAGTATTTTTTTAAAAAGTGATCAAGTAAATCAAGAACTTTTTCATATTCTTATACTTTATTATGTTAATTCATTTTAATATATTAAATAATTTATTAACAAATAAATACTCAAATTTGAATTACAAATATCTTATCATAATGATTTGTTAAATTTTTCGAATTATCACGAATTATTTAGAATTTTATTCATAATATAAACTTCAAATCCATATCTTAATTAGAGATTATAATAAATTGTATTTTTAATGAATTCCTTTTCACCATTATCAAAAATTTCAAAACCTACACCTTTGAATCTTCTCTAAAAGTCTGCAGTGGATGAAGAGGAGCCCATGATTCTCGAGAGAAGTTGTAAGGAGATTAAATTTAACGAACTACTTATTGTACTTAATTATCATCCAAATACAGAAGTAACCTACATCAAACGATAAGTTTTAAAATGTAAAGGGCTCTCAAATATAGGATGGCTCAATCCTTGTATTAACCAAGAAACTGAATAAAATTCATAAAGGAAAAGATCTATTTTAAAAAGAACCGATAATTGAAGATTATTATCAATTTTTATATATTATTATATTTTATTTTAACTCATATTTTTCAAACTGCTATAATAGCCTACAAAGTATCCATCAAGACTGTATTTGTAAGTTTCATTCCATTTTATTTCACATAGAATTTTGCTGCTTAGTTTCTAGCATCAAACTTTTCATTCAAAGCCATACTTTTTAATTATTTCATTTTTAATTTTCTTATTTATAACAATTTTTCTTCAATCTAAGGTTTTTCATTAGATGATGTTATTGAGAGTATTTCATCTCTCAACTTGTATAACTTTAGTTGTTGATTCTCCTTCAATAACACAGCCTCAATTCCTTTATTCATAGTTAATTCTTAAAATGGATTAAAAGTGCTCTCCTAATCTAAATTGTTGGATGATTAGATCAACAACGTTCCACTCTTTCTAAAATTTCTACCTTAAAGTTAATCAAGAAAAGAGTTCTTTGGTTATTATTATTGGTATAAACTAATTTGTTCTTCTAGTTACTTCCTAATATCTTCGCTCTCTTTCAATTTATTTTCTAAATTATCAATCTCTTTCCTTGTCAATTCTGAAGCTTCGTTAAATCCTTTAATCTTCTCTAAATGCCTTTGTTTTTCATTCTCAAGAACTTATACTCTATCAGCCTTAATTTGTAAATCAACCACTCTATTCTCTAATGCTTCCTTGTTTTTACGCAATGCCACACAATCAGAGTAAATTTGAGTTTTCTCCTACTACAATTTTTGCAAATCATCCTTCAATCTTTTTTCAGATTCAATAGTATATGAAATATCAGACAATTAAGACTTTAATTCTTTCTACCATTATGCCCAAAGAGATGTTTATGCATATGAATGCAAGGTTGGTTTGTTTGATAAAAATTCTTCATTAATATTTTACTCTTCAAATTGTTGATTTATTTAATTCAACAAATGAACAATAGATACACACCTATCTCTGTATGGCTATGAAACAGATTCTCCTTAACAGGAAATATACTATTAATACTGATCTAACTCTAGCTTATTCAAATCCTATTGCAATAATTGTTATAAGTAATTTATTAATTCTAAGAATTTCTCATTCTTTCTATTAAAGTATCCTCCCCAACATTATCTTCCATAACGTAATTATTTTGATAACTCCTTACACCTTTAAATCAATGTATCAATCAACTAATCAACAGTTATCTGCTATAGAGTTGTAGCAGTTGATTAGTTAATGATGACTTTGAAATTAAAGATTGAATAGCTATATTTAAATATTATTTGATTCAAGAGAGATTCAATTACTGCACCTTCTTAAATTTCAAGATTGCTAAGATCGTCGTTAATTCTTTAAATTGCAAATTACAATTCTGATAAGGATAGCTATGTACTGATTTTTTCATTTTGCACACTTTAGATTATCATATCAACCAAGGTATCAGCAATTTTGAATTAATTCAATAAAATTCCATTTCTAGCAACTTTCTCTAAAGATTCTCTGTCTGTCTAATTTTATAGGTATGTAGTGAATATATTACACAGATCACTTAATTAATAAAGAGATTTATGAGCATTTAACATCCAAAATCCTAAATCTTATAATTCCTCTTTTATGAATTTATCACTCTAATTTTCTAATTATTATAAAAATTCATCAGCCACTAGCAATGATTTCTCGCTTAATTTTCTTACTAAAATCACGGGTTCTAATAGATTGAATTTTAGTTTTGTGCAATAATCTTATGGTAATGATTTATAAATGATTATTCCCTTTAATGCTATTTGATTTCTTATTTCAATATTGTTTAATGCTACTTTCATGTACTTTTTGTAAGTATCTCTTTATTATGATATCAATTCTTAATTCTTAATATTGATTTCATCTAAGAATGTCTTTTTTGGATGCTCATTTTGAGTATTATCCTCCTCTAGCCTTTATTGGTCAACTTATTTATTCAATTAAGCTACCTTTACTTTAAGTCTTTGTATTTATAAATCCTTCTCTTATAAGTCATTTGCATTGTTATTAATCTAAGCATTAGCTTAATCTAGTTTAAATTGCATATCATTTAATGATTTTTCCAATGAATTGCTTTCATCCAATAAAGTTGATATCAATTCTTAATCCAATTTCTTCTCTTCATTAATTGTTTTAATTTAATTTCTTAATTCTTCAATAAGATCATCCTTCTTCATTAAAGTTTCTGTCATTTTCTCAATCATTTCTTGCAAAGCTTAACTTTCATCAACTCTTTGGCACAGTTCTTAATTTTCTTCAGTCAACTTCTTCACTTAACTTTCCAATTTAGCACATCTCATAGCCTTTTCATTTAATGATGGAATGGCCTCTAATCTAATTTAGTATTATTAAATTTCGGTTATTTTTTATTGTTTGTATTCATCATATTCTTATTTTAATTAAGCCAGAGCCTTTTGTAATTGAGCATTTTTAAGCACAACCTCACTAGAATCTTGATTGCCTACTTAAAGATTGGCTCCACAAGTGACCAATGCTTCTTCAATTTCCAGATCTGCTAATTCTTTTTCAAATTGCAATTAACTTACTTATTATTATAATGATTAATTTGCTGCCTCAAATTCCTGCAATTTTAAAGTCATAATGTCTTTATCAGATTTTAATTATTCACATTCCATTATTAATTTTTCATATGAATCCAAATCTTCCAAATTCTCAGTTAATTCTTATTCTAATTATTCTACTTTCTTTTTTAATGATTTATTTTCCAACTTGTAATCATTTGCAACAATTTTTAAAGCTTGATATTATTATCTAACACTTTCTAATTCTTGTTAATGATCTAAAAACTAAGGCTCAGGTTCTGATTATTACTTAATTAGTTGTTGTGGCTAAAATATCATATTCGCAATTTCATACTTCTTGGACTTCTTCTGCTTCTAAAGTGGACAGTCTCTCTTCAATTTATTCTTCAACAAGTCGTTTCACTACTGTTTCTTTCTTGGATTCATTTCTTTTCAGAGTGGTTTACTTTGTAGTTTGGTTGCTTCCATATTAACTTTGTTATTGAGGCTATGCTTTTTAAACAACTGCAGCTGAACTAGCACTCGTCTTTAACTTTTGTGGCTTAGGTTCATCTTTTGTTACTTTTGTAGATTTTCTGAAATATCACTAATAATTATACTTATTTGGATCTCTTGTGACCATAGTTGTCTTTTTTAAATGATTCCCTGTGATGAATAGGCCATGACCTTCAGGACAAGTAAAGTATTCCTTCCCTTACAATGTACCATTATGAGACCCAACTTTATTCTGGTGTTTAATTAATTCAAATTACATCCAAATGGATTCCATAAAATGTGCCTGGTCTACCTTCCAATTCCCCTAAATATCTGATATATCCTTTTTCATTTTTAATAGGATCTTTCAATATTGTTACGTAATCTCCTTCCTGCAATTACTCCATTTTATTAATTAATATAACAATAATTATATAAGAAAGCTCTAATTTGAAATAAGATCCAAGCAATTTCTTTAATGAATAATATTCAATATCAATAGTATAGTTAAAGGTTTGGTTTAAGTAATGATAATCTTAACTTTAATAATATAGTTATACGATTTGTTAATGTTTATTTAAATAATTAGAAATAATGTTTATATTATATAACTCTCCATTAATCATGCTCTTTTACATAATGAAAAGATAGAAAATGAATAGAAACTAAATTTTCACAATAAATTTTATTAAAAATTAAACATCTTAAAAGTAAATTAATGTCTAAATTATTTCAATTTGCTATTCGCATGATCCATCTTAGGGTAGATTATACTAAACTAGAAGATATTATTACTTCTAAGTCTTTAATTTTTATCAATAAGCATATTGAAATCAATGTTATTATGTCAACATATGAAGTGTATACATTATAAATACAGTAATAATTAAAAATTAAAATTACATTAGATAATAAATAAATAATATATTTTCATTAAAATATTTATTATTAGAGGGCATAATGCTTTAAATTTAATTAATTTTATAAATCTCTGACCCTTAATTAATAGTCGGGCCTTAGTTCATCTGGAACTATTTAATCAACACCCTATCTCTCCTAACCTATTATTATTTGTTAAGTAAATTACCACTTAATACGTTGAAACCACAATTAGCTCTTGTGTCTAAATTTTTGGCCCTTACAAATTTTCTCACTTGATGCAATTCGTCATATCGTCTTAATGCTTGACCAGCCTCATTTTAGGCATACTCCAAAGTGATAGGGTTATAAGCCAATCCATTTGTATTCCTTTTACCTCTTGTAAATTGTTCAGAATGATACTGTCTTCGTTATTCGTCCTATTTTAATTCGATAATCTACTTTAAGCAAATATTCTTCATTTCGCTACCATAGTACACCATCCCTTTATAGATTTGCTAATCTCCTTGATTCATAAGATAATTATTTTAGCTTGTATTACATTTCTCTTTGCTTTTTATCTTCGGCTGCGAAGTCTTTTGCAAATCTATCTCGTTCTGTTTTTTTCATATAATAAACATACCTGCCTGAAAAAGAGTCGTATCAGGCATTGGACTATGCAAAAGACTTTTCATATCGTCTTTCTGTGAATCTAGATTATAATTTTATTGGTTACAGTTCTGTTGTATTCTCGGTCCTGCAGATTTGATTTCTATTTCCTTTTGATATTCCTAAGATAATTGATTAACGTACTCTCTCAGCTCTGGTTCTTGGTTGTTAATTAATAATGCCATTATTGTAAGCAATCTTAGGTTTTTATGGTGTATAAATGCCTGAACCATAACTAAATGAGGTTGGTTAATATTGTTCAATAGGGTTATAATCTTGTTGTTTAGCAAATAACATTAATAATAAATTTATATTAATTATCAATCAAACTTTTTTTATGCTAAATAATAGGCTTCGAATGATTCCCCAGGATTCAAATGAATCGATTTGTTTTCTTCTGGTAGTTCCATACTCGCTTATTAGAAGGTATCAAAGGACTGTCCTAATTTAGAAGCATTAGAAAATGTTCCTATAATATTAATAAACAACTACCAGGAGATTTATTCGGACTTAATCTTGTTCTTATAGTACCAACCTTCTTATTCTTTTTATCAGACTTATTCTTTTGTTATTCTAAATTCTAACATTATTCTTGCAAATCACTTTTCTGATATTTCAATTCATCCTTCTCAATATTCCATTTTGCCCTTTCTTTCTCATGCTCAAACACCATATTAGATCTTCTGATTTCAGCTTCCTTTAATTTTTCTTCAGCTTCACTCAGCTTGGCTCTCCAAATCTACCTCTCTTCAGTATGATTTAAGTATAACTCTTCAATTTTGGTTTCATATTACAATTTTATTTATTCAATTTGATTTTCGTAGAGTGAAGAGATATCACTATAATCACCCTTATGATAATTTTAATTTGACATATTGTTTAATGTTATTTCTTTTTGTAACTATTCAATCTTCATAGCATATTCATTAACAATTGCTTAATGATGCTCCGTAAGATCTAAAACTTACAACTAATACTTCTTTTCTAAAGTTACTAACATTTCAGAGATAGAGTTACTCTCTTCCTCTAAATCTTATTATCTGGCTTTTTAGAGATGATTAATAGTGAATTCAAACTTTTTCATGGCCTCTTGTAAATCTTATTTTGATTAATCCTTTTATTACTACAAGAATTTGAATTTACCTTCCCAAAGTAAGGTATCTCGTTCATGTAAGGATTTAAATTCCTACAGTTCACTTTACAATTTTTCATTTTATTGCTTCAATTAGTTAATTACTTAAGTGTTCGATGACACAATATTTTAAGGGGTCGGAAGGTTTACGTTTTTCTATTGTTAATTATTTTATTCCTCTTATAATTATGTTTTTAATTATTCAACTTATTGTTATAAGTCAACTACTATTTTATTATTGTTTATTTCTTATTCTTTATATTATTGTCTTAACTTTTCATACTTCTATTGCTATTCTTTAAGGTCAGTTTCAAGAGTTAATTAAGCAACATTGCTTTCAATTTTAATTAACTATGTAAAGTTTTTTTGTTGATAGTTTTATAATTGAGTTTATAGTTATTCTACTTTGTGTGAATTGAATTCATTTTCTTAGGTTATTAAAGCCAACTGCTTTTCATATTCAACTTTCATTTTAATATTTTCATCTTATGCATCTTCTAGTTATTTTTTTAATTCATTGATTTACTCAGTGAGTTTCTATTTTTCTAGAGAATTATTTTATTTAATCTTTTCTATTTAATCTTATTTATTATTATTCAATGAATCATATTATCCCTATTATTTTAAAGTGTTTAGTTCCTCTTCCTTAATTTAATTGATTTGATGCAAGTCTTGTAATTACTTTTATAGATTCTATTATTCATCCTAAAATTGTTAAATAGATATTTTCAAAGAATTGTTCACCTACTCTAGACTTAAAATCTATTTTTATTTTAAATCGTTTTCATTTTACCAATGCTAGGATAATTGTTGCATTTACAAATCATTTTATTTTAACTTTTTCTATAATTTTTTAATCTCCTCATCTTAATTATTGTCAAATTGACTTTCCAACTCCTCAACCATTTGATTATACTTTTCTTCCATAGTCTTTCTATCTTCCATAAATTTTTACTCAATTTTTTATCTCTCTAATTCATACATACATCTCAACTATGAAATTTATTCTTCATTTTTATTCTATAACAATCTATACTCATTCAAATTTTATCTTTTTAATTCTTCGATTTCTTGTTGTTGATTCTTCGTTTTCAAAATCAATTTCTCTTCCAATTCTCTTTAAATTCTAGTCTTTTGCTATTCTAATAACATAAATTCTCTATTCAATCTTTAAATGTTATCCTCATAATTGAGAATCTAAGTTTTTGTTTATTATAATTCTCTAGTAAAATCATTTTATTAATATAATAATTAGCTCTCAGTTTTATTTAATTCTGAATTCAAATACTCAATCTATTATTACATTTTTCTTCTTTAGATTTCAAATTCTTGTTCTAATTATTTCATTTCGTTCAAATGCATATCCTTCATTTCCATATATTGTTTCGAGAATACTTAACTTTTATTCACATCGTTTTAGCTTTCAAATAAACCTAAAGTTTATTCATGATTCTTCTTCTCTAGCTTCAATTGTTCAGAGAGGTCCTTGAGTTATATTTCTAAGAACTATTTCTCCTGAGCAATCAATGCTTATTCTCTTTCCAAACTAGATTTTAATTGTATCAATTAGGATGTCTTCTCTTTCAATTGTGTTTCTTAAGATTCAATAATTTCTTTCAACCTTACTATTTATTTTTCGTTTTCTTCATAATTTAAATTATCAATCTATGGCAATTAAACTACCGAATTCTTCAATAATTAGATTTATTATTAATATTCATAAATTTTACTGTCCTTACTTTGTAATTTAAATTAAGCTTAAGTATTTTATTACTCTAGATTATTCAATTGATCTTGGAGTTACTAGGTTTTATCAGTTTATACTAATAGTCTTTCTTGCAATTAAGTGATCATTTACTCATATTTCGATTAAACATCTCTAATTTAAATAGTATACTCTGATTTCGTCGAGAGAAATGAAGAATCCATTTATGTTTCTTTTCTTTAACTCTGTTCTAATTGTTTTGTTAGATGTTGTATCTTTTATTCGTTGAGTGCTTTCATCTTATTGAATTCAGATTCTTTTAGGTAAAGATTTCTCTCAAATTATTTAAATTGCTATTGATGAAGTTCCTTTTACTTAATTAATTCAGTTTATAATATCTCTAATTATTTATCTGATGAAAATAGCTATTCCTCTAATAATTTAATTTATGATTGTTATGAATAAACTTTATTTTCTTGTTCTTTAACTTTACATATCAATTCATTAATTGTTTTATCCTTTTCTGTGCTGATATTTTCATTTTTTATTTATAATGGTTGTTATTGTTGTTGTTATTGTTGTTAATTTTATTGTTTAATGAACATGTTTGTACCTTCTGTCATCATTTTATTATAGAATTCTTAATACACTTGTTGCTTTAAAACAGTTTTTGGGCCATGTTCCAATAAAAATTAATAGAATAATTTGATGTCTCTCTCAAATTCTAAGATACTTCTATATTCAGATAATCGTTTTTGCAAGGTTTAAAATTCTTAATTAATAAATTAATTGCATAAATTGGTTGCTTCTTATTCATTGCGTTTACAGATCTCTTTGAATGTTTCTTTACACATTTGATGTAAATCATCATTTAAATCTTTGTCGTTGATTTTAGATTTCAAATACTCCAAAGCTTTGAGTTCTGAATCCTTATGGTGGTTCTTTAATTCTTCAAATGAACATGTTGGCAATTTGAGTTATGTAATTGATTATTCATATTTTTTAAATGCTTCATTTAACAACACTGTAGATTGCCTGTCTACAATTGTTTCAGTTACTTGTCGTAAATCAACAGGTTGATTGCTATTGAATTTGGTAACTACCATTTAAATCATCTCGACCAAAAGCGGACCATTCAAATAAATGTTCTAATAGATTTTCTTGGGTTTCGCATAATTTAACACTTTTCTCCTTAACAAAGCCATGGAATCTATGAACTCTATACTTTCACTTGATGATGGAATAGTAACACAATCTGAGAAAAGCTTAAGTAGGTGTTTCTTCACTCTATTTTATGATTTAAACTATCTTTCAAGTAGTTCTTTAGGTTGGAGTGCATCCTTGTTTTGTATATCTCTCAAAACCCAAATAAAAGGAGGTAGAAAATCCTCATAATCTTCAAGATTAATCATGAGTTCGAAATCTTCAACTGAATAACCTAAGGAATAAATATGATTCTTGTTTACCACAATAGATTACTACACTTGATAATAGAGATGCAAGTAAGATGATTTAGATGTCTTTTCTTTGATCGCCGCAACCCAAACCCTCTGTATCGATAATCAATTAACCATCATAGGTAAAATAGAATCCCTTGAGTTTATTATGATTGTTACTTTGGTGCTAGATTGAAAACCTTAACCCTGCATGAACAACTTATTCAATAACCAACTTTTGCCTGACTTTTGAGATCCAATAATGCAAATAATATTTAGATTGTTTTGAATCTATTGCAACTTCTAACAGGCCAATTTGTTGAGAATGATCTCCAAGGTGTTGTTGAATCCATCAAAACTTAATAGTTAATAAATATCCATGAAGTTGAGATAATATTTGAATTTAAATTAATTATCAGACATACCAATTTTGAATAATATTAGTTGATCATATTCATGAATTTTATTATTCATAATCATTTTGCTTATTCCCACTCTGGTTCATACTCTAGGTATTACCGTTCAGAAGATCTAGAAAATAAAATAAGTATTTACTCCATAACTATTCTTAATTTGAACTATTTGATAACAAATTAATTATGTCTTGTTTAGATTATTTCTAAAATTAATAACTAAATCTTCATACTTTAATATTGTCTAGAATTGTACGATATTTCTTCTTATATACAAATCCCATATTTGAATCACAAGATCTAATCCTGCTCTCAATATCTTCACTTATCCTTTTTGGAATAATTTAATCAGTGTGTTCTGATATCGTTTCAGATATTTTCTACACTACCTTGTTTTTTTGTAAAGGATTGGGAACGTCCTAACTTTGTTTTCTGGGTTTCTTAGGAGATTAAGCTTATGTATATTTTTTTCTAATTATGGGTTTAGTAATAGTTATCTGTCTTTAATTTTTACCCTTTTTCACAGATTCTTCACTTGATTCATCCTCCTCGCTTTCCCCATCACTTTCTCCTGAATCTGAATCCTCACTGTCGTCTTCAGCTTTTTAATTAATATTGAATATTATACAATCCAAGATGAAATTCGGTTGATTTTAAAGTTTCTCTAATAACTTTTGGGTGATCTTCTTTTAACCTGATACTTAATGGAGTTACTGGATGATTTCGGTTGGGTCAAAATACTGTAAAAAACTAGATTTTTCATTTCTGTATTACCGTTCTCAATACGATTGATTTCAATTTCTCTAGGAATTGTGTAAAATTTATTTAAGCTTAAGACAGATTCTTTTTATCCGATAATCGTGCTTGTATCTGCATTAGCTATTTCCCATTGGGGCCCTACAAAACTTCCATTATGTCAGGTCTATCTAAATCAACAATCTGAATCAGCTATTATTATTTTTATTATATATCATACACTTGATATTTTAGCTTCTATTAAAACTGGGTTCAACTTAGTCTCAGTCATCATTTTCAATAATTCCTAAATCTCTGAACTAAAATTGTCTGGTTTTGTGCTATCCTCCGAATCCATCTTAGATTTTCTAGATGATCCATATATTCCACTGTGTTCCTCGCTTGAAGATGATCTTGTTTTCTTTCTTCTACTGACTGTTTTAGTGAAATTCTACTTTTTAGAAATTTTTTTTGATTCAACTTATATCAGAATTTAAATACTTTCATATGTTGATTGCCCTTTCAAAATCTAATCTGCTGCTGTGACCGAATCTTTGTGTTGCTTAGTCTTGATTTTCTGCACTATTTCCTCATACTTCTCCTAATATTTGGCAAGACTTTAAAAAGGTAATGTGGAACTTCTATTCAAAGGTTAATCATACTGTGAGTTATCTCCAATGAAATTTACAAGATATTTAGCAGGTTCCGATGACTATTTATCCTTTATCACTTCAGCTATAATTCCAGGCCACCAGGGGTCTAAAATAATGTATACCACTTACATCCTCTTATCTTTGCCCAGACGATTTCATCCTTACTATAACTCTCAGGTACTTCAGAATCCATTTGGTATTGCAATTTCAAATATTTATTTATATTAATATATTATTATTATATATCACCAATTAATCAAGCTTAATAATGCAATCTCACAACTCTTGCTTATTCCTTTAAAATATTTATTACAAATACCTTGATCTAGTTAATTAAATCAATATTTGGTGGACTGGCCAATTATGAAATTTGTTATTAATAATTTGTATTTAAAAGAGTCTATAGTCTTTGATCATTGTTTTGTTAAAAGGAAAATTGAGGTAAGGCACTGCTGATTTAAACCAAATCCAATGGGTTTAATTGCTACTGAGATTATCCACCCATATAGATTTTTGAAGTTCTTCGATCTATATTAAAGATGTACTCCAAAAATACCTTAAGTTGCTAACATGTCTGTTCCGTGCACTTCCTATATGCTAGATTTTGCAATTAACTTGCTTTACAAATATCCTGCGATCATCAATTATCTCAATATTTTTATGATTATAACAAATAATTAAACATTCAAAATAAATTTTGTGTGAATGTGCTGCTCTATCCTCCTTATTAAACTTGCTCATTTTGCTCTGTTTGCATTCCACTCCCACTCTATTGTTGCTAAGTCAAGGACCCAAACATAAATTACTAATTGGTTGGGGGAACATAAAGCTAGGTTAATTATCCTTCCCAATCTATTGGAAACTTTGTTATTCGAGGATTACTGCCCATTATTTGTCGATAAACTCTATCAATTAATACCACTTATGGCTCATTTTCAATCAATTCTGCCTCTGTGTAGTTGTTATAGACATAATAACCAACTCTGAAAAACTCCTTCTACCTATATTTGGCGGTCAATATTAAGGCGGATACACTAAATAAATCCTCCTTTGATGGAATTAGTTAGTAATTTGGAGGTTGGCTGGTTATTGTGAACTACATTACTCCTCTTTACAATGGGCCCATGCTAAAATTATCTAAGACTTAGTCGAATTTCTCACTCAACGGAGATCCAATATAAATTAAACTGATTTAATTTTAATTTCTTACTTCCATTCTATTTCATCAGTTAAATCATTAAGAACTTCAAAGGTTATTTGCATAGAGATGGGAGTTTGGAACAAAGCCAATTCATTTTCAAAGATTATGTTTGTTACTTCGACAAGCGCCATTTCAAATTTAAATATATTATATTATATTAATAATAAAAAGGAATTTAATATTTGTTCATACTAATAGTGTCTAATCACTCTCTAACTTTATTCTAATTATTTCTATTATTTTATATAATAATCTTATAATTTTCTTAAAAAATTTAAATATTCCTGTTCAAACTGCATGGTTGTCAATTTATTTGCGCATTCCAAATTTAGAATTTACATAATGTTGTTTAATTCTTTAAAAGTAAAATTCGACTCATAAAAAACTTTTGATTATAATCTAAGTTGATTAATGGGATGGGTTGCCATAAATAATTTTGTGCAATCAAACAATCTCCTAATCATATCTTTGTTATCCATATGTTTCAAATTCAATTTTCTGTTTATAATTTAATAATTTTTCATTCTCTTCTTATTATTATTTTAAATACATTTTAAATTATTATGATTGTGTGTTCCTGACATATCATGTATATTTATGTTTCAGAACATGATCTAAACTCTATTTCTTAATTTTTTCTCTTTTTCTTATTAATCCTATTTAAGTCTTATAGAAATAGATTATTCATTATCAAAATAAGAACTGTTAATATTCTTCTTCTGTAATTATTATTAGTACTAAAAATGGTAGAGATCTTTATTTTAATCAACAATTGTATAATTTCTGTATAAATGAAGTAAATAATATTATAATATGTAGTTAATTAAAATCAAAATTGACTCAAGGTTAAAACTATAATGGTGATACTACTTTATTTTATATTGGTTAGTTAAAAGTGCTTTCTTCAGTCTCTAGATCCTTCTGTAATAAAGTAATGAAGGTTTCTAATTTTTTTTTCTTCCGGCCTTCAAGCTTACTAAGATATTATTAAGCGATTTTAATTCTTATAGCTTGATTTTAGTGGCCATTTGTAATAGCAGTTCTTTCTTTACTAAGGAAGGCTTCCAAATCGATATCTTAATTTTTTACTTCCTTTTCTAATGATGCAATTAGATCGAGCAATTAAATAATTACTTCAGAATTTGATTTCGATTTGCAAACATTATTTTTTTTAAATAAATCGAAAAGGTTTCGTTTTTTACTTGGAAATGCCTATTTGATTAGATTGCCATTTGATGGCAAAGGTTATTAGATCTATCTTTTAGGATTTATTTCAGTTTAATTAGGTTTAATATTCTCGAATTATGATCTTGTCCTTCTTAGTTTATCTTATTATTTAGGAAGATAGTACTTCCCCACTTTAGTGTTTTCTTCTCCTTCTGTGGATTATTGACTTGAACTGGCAGGAGGTAATTCTTATTTTTACTCTATTTTTATTTCACTTTTGTATTCAAGTTGTTTATTTTGTGGATTCTTTCCAGAACAGCTTCTTTCTCTAAGAGTTGGAAGAGCAGACTTATCAGTGGAATGGTTTTATCGATGAGTTGAAAATTTGGGACTATAGATTTCATTAAATACTGGATCAATGGGAATTTTCATTTAAGGTTTGATTAAAGGGTGTAGAAAGACTTCATTCCAGCTGAACCTTTAGATTTCATCCTTATGTAAACATCCTTGAATAAAGCTGAGGGACTCTTTTGAGATTTTGGCATTCTTTGGGAAGGTCAATTTGCAATTATTAATTCTGTAGATCAACTCCATATAGTTGGTGGCCATCCATGGTAGAGTGCCAAATAGCATTTCATAGAATATGAGTCCCAAGGACCACACATCACATTTCGAGGTGTATTGCTATTTGGTTAGGATTTGAGGTGCCATGTAGAGAGGAGTACCTACTAGAGATTCCATTACGCACTCTGAGGGCAAGGGTCTCGAGAACCCAAAATCTACTATTTTGCATTAACCATCATGTAGTAAGATATTGGCTGGTTTAAGATCTCGATGAATAAAATTACTGCTCACTATTTCTTTTAGTCCATTGGCTATCTACTTTATCATCTTGATGGCTTGATTTTCTTCCAAAATCTTATTTTCTGATAAATACTATTTTAAATCAGGACCATTGCAATATTCTTAGACCAGGTAAGTGTTATTTGTTGTAGAGTATACCTCATATAATTCAACAATGTTAGGATGCTTAAACTTCTTCATTATTTCTATTTCTTTTTGGAGAGATGAATATAACTAGGTGTAGTTTTGTGTTTTAGAATGATCAATCACTTTAAGAGCTACTGGAAGTTCTATAATTAGAGTATTATATACAGTTGGTCATGTCTCTTCCGAAGTAGACTGTTCCATAAGAACCTTTACCCAAAATTGCCTTTAGACTGAAACCATAATTAGAGATCTTCTTTTCTGGTTTCATATTCATAATTTCTTGTCTGTTCATTTTTAGTTAATTTATTTACTAGATAGACTTCAGGAAATTAAATTTGTGACATCACTTAAAATTGAGTTCAAATTTTAATTATTAATCACTCCATATATGAATTAGTATTATGAATTGATTACATAATATAAAAAAGGTCTTTATTATTAATTCTATATTTCAAGTATAATAACAATGGACTATTTTCCCTTCATTTAAACAAGCAACTTGGACCCAGCCTCTCTAAAGCACGGGGTAATATTCATCGGGATGACTACGATTTTAGGAGTAATTGCATTGCTATAAACCTTTTGTGAACATAAACATTTCAATTTGCTTCGAGAGGCATCAGTCGCCATTATAATAGGATTGTTTATAGGAGTCATTACTGAATTTTAAGTTTTCTAGAAAGCAAGCTTTGATAATTCATCAGAAATATTCTTTTTCGTTTTGCTGCCAATAATAGTTTTTAAGGAGGGGTACAATTTAAATAAGTAACACTTCATGAAGAACTTCTTTTATGTCGTGTTGTATGGTATTTTTGGAACTATTTTTAATTTTATGATTTTGGCAGCATTAACATACTCCTTAACAAATACATGTAACATTTTGTTTAAGCTATCCTAGCTATCTTTTGGGTGCCTCCAAATAGTACAAATGTAAATGATACTGCTAGTAATTCAACATATGCTTAGGTATTTTACTCATCTTGTATCTCATCAAAAGATAGTGCTGTATCCTTAAGTGTATTGGAATTTGAGCATGCACCTAAGCTACACAGTATTATTTTCGGTGAACAAATCTTAAATGACGTTGTAGTTTTTGCAATAAGTAAGACAGTAGAAAAATTTCATAATGAAAAGGGAGTGAAGAATAACGATTGGGAATGGTATAGTCCATTAATTTTTATTGGATGGATTCTAGCAAACCTAGTGGTAGGTTTAGTTGTAGGGGTTCTTGTGGGTAGTATAGCAACTTGGATAACAAAGGAATCCAGATTTTTATCTGAATAATCCTCTGTCGTTACTGCCTTTACCATCTATACTGCTTACTTCTCATTCTGTGTTTGTGAAGCACTAGGATTTTGTGGAGTATTGGCTGTTCTACTATGTGGAATAATGTTATCACATTACTAAACTTATAATCTACCAAAGATTTCTGCTACTTCCTCTAAAATAACAATCAAAGCACTCGCCTATATTAGTGAGACTATTATTTACTTTTATATCGGATATATGGTGACAGAAAATGCTATTGTTAAAAATTCATCAGATTACAATTTAAAATTTTAGGTTTATACATTTCTACTTGCGCAATACTTCGTGTTTTCTCCTATAGCTAAATTGACATCAATGTTGATGGCTCATGGTTTTGCAATCATGTAATATCTTATAAGTATTTCTTAATTAGTTTGAGATTGAAAACAAAAGGACCTTGGAGAATCAATAAGTATGAATTCTTTATCCTCTTCTATTCAGGATTAATTAAAGGAGTTGTTGCCTATGCATTGATTTGCGAATAGGAAGTGGGAGGAGAGGACTATTACAAAATTATCTAAACTGCCTCCTTATACATGGTTGTGCTTACCACACTAATCAATGGTGGCACTTTGAAATATGTATGCGAATGGGCGTATAGACAAATGGAAAAAGACTCTTCAGTTTATTATTCTAGATCTTAATCAGCTCAATCATAAGCTATTAGATAAACATTCATTCAGGAGGATTAAGTTGATTATAAAAAACTCAAACATAAAAGTGAAAAGTTCTTCAAGGGTTTCGATGAGAAATACATTAAGCCCTTCCTGATCTATTAATATAATGAACGAAAAGCTGATATATAGGTGGCAAAGAAACTAGAAAAGAATAAGACCAAATATGAAAAAGAACAAGACTTTAAGATGTATGACGATAGTGTTAAGCAATAAAGAGAAGAGCTGGAATTGCACAAACAAAAAAGAAACGAATTAACTCAAATTGATGTAGATCAATCTGATTCCGATGATGAACAAGATTAGCATTAGGAAAGCAATGGAAAAAAACATTCTCCTTCTTAGGGTGAACTATCTGAACTTAAATTAAGTAAGTAAAATAATGGAGTTCATAAAAATGATTGAACCGATCATATTAAAGAAAATGTTTATTTTATACTTAATTAGTTATATATATAAAAAAGATTTAATTATCAATAAACAGTGAGTTTGCAATCTTGTAATTCAGTAGATTCTTCCTTTTTAATCGAAAGTACTTTACAGTAATCAACATCTTCTGTACTCTAATTAAAAAACTCCAAAATTGATTTTAATGGTCTCTAATGAGTCACTAAAATAATGCATTAGTCATCTTCAATATTTTCCAATAAGTTTTAAACGTAGTTCAAAATTCTATTATTTACATCTTCTAATTCCTCTGGGTATATGCTATTCTATTTCAATTATTAATCGACTAATCTTATTCCAGAGAAATAGGGATGAGTTGGATTTTTATTAACCATCAATCGAGGTAATGGATTGCTTTCGAAGAAACATTGATATAAGGTTTCACAAATTTCGGTATTTATTGAAAGCTCTTCTTTTTTTATTTACCCTGCTATGTTTTTAGCAGTCATAATGCATCTTAAAAAAGGAGAAGATTAAATGTTAATCTCTTTGTAGTCTTTTATCTCTTCGAGAATCAGTTTTCCTGCCTTTTTGGCTTATTCACACCCATTTGGTGTAAGATGAGGATCATCAGTGTTTATTACTTTTTTCCATTCATTTGGACAATTGTCAGCTCTTTCGCCATGTCTTACTAAAACTATCATTTTTTAATTTAATTAATGCATTTAATTCATCTCCAAATTAATATATATAGATCAAAAACTGTTATAAATCTAATAGTTATCAGAAATAAAAAATTAATAATTTTAAATGTCTATAAAAAATTAATAAGAAACTGGCAACATAATTGATTCAAAATTAATTATGACAATTTTTTAATATTGATAAACACAATATAAATAATTATTAGACATTTGATACAATATTAATGTTTGTACTTTAAATGATACATTATGATTATATACTGTTTGCTGTTGAATATTTTCTTTTAAGTTTTCTTCATGAATATGAATATAATATCTAAGGCACTTTGGTTCAAATCATATAATAGTTAGATTGAGTTTATCAACACAGCTTATAATCATCTTCTTAAAAACAGTTTAGATTATAACTCTTTTTTTTACGCCTAAAAATTACAAAGGGACAATTTTAAATATTCATAATGAAATCCAACAATTATCAAACAAAATGAATATGTAATAGTTTTCTCTATGGTTCTTTTTCCTTATTTCTATACACTAGTACTAAATTTAGTTTCTTCTCAACTATATTATAAGGTATAATAATGAGAGATTACTCGAAGTGTTCTTACTAAAATAAACAAATTCAATAATTCTACCTCTTTGGACAATTTAAATAGATCAGAATATTTAGATCTGATCGATTGAATCTCAAAGAGAATGTTTGGTTTGGGTCACTGTATTGAAGCGATTATATTCACTTCAATATCTATTTCTCTGAGGTAGAAATGTACATTGAAGGGTAATTGGAAAGAATACTTGTACTCATTTTAGGTATTCTTGATTGAAGTTATTTAAGAAGTCTTGCTTGAGAATTAATTATGTTTGAAATATACGTATTTAGATATGTGAAACCTAATACATAATTCCAAATATATAAATTACAGCAAATATTTTTCAACAATCATTTTTTCAAATGACAGAAATTGGGAATTATTTAATAGGTAATGGAACCATGCATATTTGATTCTAGGGAAGACCATTGGACAGGGCACTTTTAGCAAGGTTTGCTAAGCAATCAATCAAGTGATAGGTCATGAAGCTGCAGTGAAGGTACTTGAAAAGAAATGCATCAATTAAGAAGGAGATGTAGAGCGAGTGAAAAGAGAAATTCAAATATTGAAAGTTCTTCATCATCCATAGATTGTGAAACTTTACGAGGTTAAAATTTAGCATAGAGTAATCCATAGGTAATTGAGACAGAAAACCATATCTATTTATTCATGGAGTATGCAAATGGTGGAGAACTGTTCGATTACATTGACAGAGTTAAATAGTAAGACAATTCATTTTAAACGAGTAGAGTAACAGAATATGAAGCATGCAAATTCCTACATTAAATCATTTCAGGGTTAGAGTACATGCATAGTCTAAAGATTATCCATAGGGATTTGAAACCTGAGAACCTATTGCTAACAAGCGATAGAGACATCCTCATTGCTGATTTTGGTTTGAGCAACCTTCAAAAGGATCTGCTGAAGACTTGTTGTGGGAGTACTTGTTATGCAGCCCCAGAGATGATACAGGGAGAACCTTATGATGGACAAATGACAGACGTATGGAGTTGTGGCATTATTTTATTCGCCATGATATGTGGTTATTTGCCATTTGATGATCTAAATACTCAGAATCTGTATTAGAAGATCACGAATGCTGAGTTCACTTTTCCAAAACACATTTCAATGGATGCCAAAGATCTGTTAAGGAGGATTTTAGTGGTTGATCCATAAAAAAGATATTCAATTTAGTAAATAAAAAGACATAAGTGGTGGCAATTATGGAAAAGAGATGTCTAATATTTCGATATCATTAGAATCCGCCAATGTCAGTATTCAAGGCCAGATGTATTACAATTCCTTGTTAATTTTTACCAAATAGTCCTTATAATGAAGAAATACCAAATCTACCTAAATGTTCTCCCAGGAATGCTAAATCACCTTATGCAAGATCACCACTCACTAAGTCTCCCAATACTAAATCCACTACATCTAAAATATCTAATTGTACATATAAATAGGTTTATGACAAAAGTAAATTGAGATAAACACCCTCTAAATCATTGCATGAATCTACAAACAATAACAATTCTAAAAATAACAATAATAATAACAATAACAATAACAAATAAAATATCTTTATTAAATAACAAAATTAATATGCTTTTTATAATAAACATAAGAAATAACCTTCTGGATAATACTCAACTTTGATGAAATAAACCAAGTTCTAAAAAGTTGTTTAGAGTATGCATGAAAATAGAAATTAAAAATTGCTTTCAAGTGCAACTCCCCATAAACCTTCCACCAAACATTTTTATTCCCACACTAGAAAAGTTAGCGATTTAGTGAGATCTAAATTTTAAAACACCTTAAAAATTGATGAATCTTAATCCACTAAAAATATTCTTTAAAGATTGACTTCTGGTTTGAACAGTCTCATAAATTCTCCTCGGTAACCAATCAATATTCGAGGAATTGAATAGCACAATGGTCCCTACCATTTATCCTTGATAACCAAGAAGCATCCCCAATTATTCATAGATATGATCCATAACTATTTGAAAATGCATTATCCAATAATTATTTACGAGAATTATTCAATCTCATTAAAATTGGAAAGTGACCAATTACTTGAGGTGAAATTGAAAAGAATCGAATAAATAGATGTGTATTATTTAGATGTTATCCAATAACACTATAATTTTTCTGAACTCCAAAAATTTGTCTAAGAGTTACAATTGCACATCAAATTTTGAAAATTACAACTACGAAAATATTATAATGACATCATTTAAAGATATTTTATTTATATACTATTGATTTATATTCTTTAATGAACTACAGTAATCTCGTGTCTCTTTAATTCAGCGACCTCGTTTAAATTACATTTCTTGAGTGTTTAACCTTATAAATTTCTTGAAATTTTTTAATTTAAACATTATGTTTAAAATTACATAGACTCAAATTTTGGAATGGGTTAAGGATGGTAATACTGAAACCCTGCGCATATTTTTCGAATAATGTCTACAATAAAACCAGGATGGATTGAATTCATTTTTCAAAATGGTTGACAAGGAAAAACGAAATGTACTCCATTGGGCTGCTTATTTAGGCTAATTAAGCTTGCTAGAAAAATGGCTCTCATCGTATTCATAAATTATTGACCTCAATCAAGTGGATCTTCATCACTACACAGCAGTCGAGCTTGCTAGCATAAAAGGGTAAGTCATATTATCTCTATGCAAAGTTTTATGAAGGAATATAATTCTTAAGTTTAGTTTAGATTAATTAAGTTGCTTTTGGATCATAAAGCCAAAATGCCCACAGAGAACAAATTTAAACGAGCCAACCCATTACATTGGGCATATTATTATGGAAACTCAGATTTAATTGATTTCCTCTTGTCTAATTACGCAGATCTCTAATATTAGTTGGATTAATTTGATATGTATCCAATAGATTACTTGTTTCTGGAAAATCGACCAGAAGAATATCAGTAATTGCTATTCAAATTATAATAGGAAAAAATATAAAGGCATTTTTATTAAAACTGTCTAAGAATATGCCTTAAAAAAAGATGGGCACCAGTTCAAATTGCTTAGGAATCTCAACACTCAAAGAACCATTGCATAACTATCTGTATCTTAGAAATCAAATAATTTGGAAAATCCAGTTATCATCAATGAGCCCCAATTAAAAGAACCAGCAAATGAATTAGATAGTATTGACTAAGAAAAATTCAATTTACATCTACAATGTGGATAAACAACTATGACATTAATGTCTAAAGTGCAATAAGCAGGTACAACTATTTAGAAGAGAGATTCAATCAGTTCCAGGATTAGTTAATAGTTTAAGTTGATTTAGGAGAGAATGAAGAAATTACCTAATAAGAATGTGTAGAATGAGTTACCTTTTGAAGATTCATAACAAGATTTTCATGAACCAGACGCTGAAAAGATTCCCTCATTGAAAATCATTTAACCAACAAACACTCTCTTCTCAGATCCTCATTTGAACATTAGAGATAAAAATGAAAATCCAAATATTTATTAAACTGATTTAGAAAGTGAAAGAAATTAATAGAGGGTCTTTTTATAACAAGAGGATGAATTTGGTAAACTATTTAAATCTAATATAATACCTTCGAGATCTGAATAATCAAAATATTTGGCTTCTCAATATCAATAATCATAAGGTCCTTCATAATTTGGAAGACAACTCTCCTAAGAAATTCAATTATCATAAGATGAATTTAGACCTTCAATTAAGGACTTTTCGAGAGTAAAATCAATGAGACCCTCACTTAAGAGACCAGGGCAAAGGTTATTCAAAAGAAAAAGCACAACCTTTAATGAAACTTATACTATTTTTCATTATGCAAAAAGTTAAACTAAGAAATAATTATTTGAATGTAGATTACAATTTTGGTCAGCAAGAATTGAGTCAGCAGAATTTTTTGTATATTTTTTAAAGTAGAAATGCAATCCATTTTTAATTTAATATTAAGGATTTAATTGTCTACATATTGCAGCCAATAAAGGGAAATACTAAATTCTGAAACATATTTTGGAGAGCGACTATGAGTATTAGGAATTAAAAGACCTTTTAAAATTGCATAGATCAATAACATAAGGTTAATTTACTAAGACTTATGTTAAGAAAGATATTTTTAATAAGGTAAATTTCATTTGAAATCCTTTTAGGTGGAGGCATTTAATATAATGACCGATTAGAATCCCTCCAATGCGTTACATTTGGCAATAGAAATTAATAATTTTGAATGCATGAAGATATTGGTAGAACATGGTGTATCAATGGATGTCTTGAATCATCGATGTTTGATGCCCATAGAACTGACATTCGATGAAAAGATGGTAAGATACTATGAAAATCACTATCGGAAAGGAAAGGAATAGAGCTTCAATTTGATGGGATACATGTATGTAATTTAAACTTCAGGGAGCCACGATCTATATCAAGATATTGTACTACTGTAATTGTAGAATATCAGGTAGTCCTTCTAATAGCGTAACATGGAATTTGAATTTCTCATAATAAATACTCCCAATTATGCTTATTTGAAGAATGGAAAAGAGCATTGTGTAAGGCATCATTATTATGTAATCAAATTGTCAGCAGACACTATCTACAAGTTAGCAGACATCTATTAGATTGAATGCTATCATTTTACAAAGAAGGTATAATTTAATTAACTTAAGCATTTGACAAAATTTAAATATAGAGATTATGGTCATTTTGAATTCCCCAAGCCATTGTAGATTCAGTAACTGATCATTAATGTGTTAAATGAAGAGTTCGATTTAGATAAGTTTGTCTTAGAAGGGTTGGTGATTTCACACTTTCCTTTGGAAGACAGTTCGAAATCATAAAAAGTAAGTGTGTTATGGAAGGAACTTTAATACAATTGTATTCGAGATACAATTAGGATATAGACTCATTAGATTGCACTGAGACCCTTGAACTCAATAGCATCCTATTATGGACCTGTTATTGCGTGGTACATAGCGTTTAATGTTCAAATAGTAGGCTGGCTAATATTGCCAGCTTTGGTAGGATCAGCAATCTAATTATATCAATTGATTGCTGATAAGATGCAGTAATATATCGAAATATCAAAGTGCCTCTATCCTACCTTCATTTGCCTTGTTCATGTCTCTATGGGCGACCCTCTTTATGGAGAAGTGGAAGAACCGAGAATCAGAACTGAAATACATTTGGGATATGCATAAATTTAAGCAGCAAGAACCTTAGAGAGTCATGTATACAGGACTTTACACAGTTGAGCCATGCAAAAACAAGGTTGAAGTTTATGATTCATTTACAACTTTCAAGAGAAGATTGATAGCTGAATTTTCTGTAATAATGTTAGGGTTCTCAATAATATTAGTAAGTTTTCTGGCATTCAATTAATGGCAGGGATAATAGGATCCTCAAAGTGTGTATATGCCTATAATTATCAATTCATTGAATGGGGTTAGCATGACTGTTTTGTGTGATTTATATAAACGGCTATGTAAATTTGTGGTAAATTGGGAAAACCATAAATATAATTCTGAAATGGAGCATTCTTATGTGTTAAAAGTGTTTTTATTTGAATTTTTAATATCTTACATTTCAGTAGTTTATGCTGTATTATTTAAAACAGACTAGACATAATTAACATTATCTGTGGCAAGTATTATTATAACAAGAGGTTTGATATCTAATTTATAAAGTAATTGTCTACCCTATCTCTTGTATAACTACTTGAAGTGGGGACTAAAAGATAAATTTGAAACTTTCAAAGTGTTCAAGGAATAATTCAAGATCTGTGATATGTAGTATGTGAAGGAGAAGTTGAAATAGGCTTAGCAGATTGAATTCATGAAGATGATGGAGGACAGTAATAACAAATAGCCATAAAAAGAACTATATGAGGAATACACAAATATTGCAATTCAATTTGGGTACACAACTATGTTTTCACCTGCATTTGCAGCTGCTCCTTTGTTTTTCCTGTTGAATCAATTTATAAACTTGCAATTTTCAATTTCAAATTATCAGAGAGTATTAAAAAGAGAAGTAAGATTTTAAAATACTAAAGAGAGCATAAGCCGCTGACTCCATTGGGATTTGGTTGTCCATTTTCGAACTAATGAATTACTGCTCCACCTTTATGAATTGCCTTGTCATAGGGATAGTGAATAAGGCTGAGTTCGAAGGATTGATAGGGGATAGCAATCCTCTGATTTAAGTGTTAGTATTGGCAGCTATCGAGCATATATTATTATTAATAAAGTACATATTAGGAATAATGATTCCGGATTGTCCTTATTGGGTTTCAAAGGAGTTGAGAAAGTATGCATATTTTGAGGGATAAAGTGCTAAAATCCATGACGATAGCGAGATTATTTTTTGATTTTAATTGAATTATTTTGTATATAATGAAAAGGAGAAGTTAAGCGATTTCTAGTTTGTCAGGGTCTCCAAAACGTCAACTTTCACAAATGAGCATACATGGTATCACGTATGTATTTATAAGATTTTCCGAATTTGGAACTGTTATCCTAAAAATATGAGGATGAACAACTAGGAATTATGTTATCTGAAAGTGTTATTGTGAGTCGATTCATCTGTCGCTAGATCATCTAGAAGGCAAGTGACATTATTTAGGAGAACTATATAATGAGTTTATTGATTCCTTTTGGTTGTTAATGGACAGAACAATTCACCAATATGATTGTCTAAGATATCACAGAGGATATGAATTAGATCGACTCAAATTCGGATGAGGTTGAACCTAAACCATGTCCAATAGAACATTGGAGAAGAATGATTGGCTAGATTTAGATTCCCAAAATGATTTAGATTGCAAACAGATCTTTCAGAAGGGAATCCTAATTGTAAGGTGCTGAAGATGCTAAGGCTGAAGTCCAAAGATTCGATACTCAACCAGTCAAGATGGGAGATTTGGATGACGACATAGACTTCGATACAGAGATAGAATCTATGCGTCAGGCTAAGGCTAGATAGATATATAATTTGCAATAAAAGCAGATGCAAGATCTAATTAAAAAGCAAGAGTACCAAGAGATGAACAGACAACTTAAGAGATTAAATGTTGATTCGAAATGTATTAATCAACTTACGTAGCCAAATACACTTACGATTTTGAGGGTAGAGTGATAGTTCAGAAGCCACCTGATGTTGAACGCTATCCAAGGACTTATCAAGATATCCAAGAAAAAAGAGTGCTATTAGAAGTTAAAGACCTCTTCCCTCATCATAAAAAATAATTAGAATCAATCAATAATCACAAAAAGAAAACTATCGAATAATGTAACCCTTCAACTTTATCTAATCGTTTTAGCACATCATAAATTGATATCATTTAATTAAAATAGGGAGTTGCATTCATAGAAGGCAAAAACGAAAAGAGAAATGATCGACAGCATTCCTTGATTGAAATCAAAGATCCTAAGGAATTGCAGAAGACTCTATCCTAAATCCATCTTAAAATGAGCAAAGAAGAGTATTCAATCATCACTAATCAACCCTTGCAATCCAGTTTCACCACTAAACAGTTGAATCTAACTCAAAACAAAGTTCAATTATCTCAACAAGTCCAATCATCCAATCCTCAGAATGTACCTCTGTCCATTAATGGAGATCAAAGCATTCAATCTCTAAACTCCTCTATATTGTAAAAACTTAATGGAACCATTTCAATCATATCAGATCATTATGATGAATTGTTAATACATGATCCCTCTGCCTTTATTACACCTACTACTACCAAATTGCCATAAATTTAATAGCCATTCTAACAACAATAGAGTGTTCCATAAATTCCATAACATTTGCTTACAGAACCAACTGCACATCCATTATCCAATTCTGTTACTAAACTACCCAAAACCATGTATGTTCCAGGCACCTTTTCAAAGATCATTCCAAAATACCCAAGAGAAAGAATTTCGCGAATTGTTAAACAAATCAAGTATTGATATTTCAAATTATTCAATCATTCAAAAACTTCATATTGCAGTTATTTATTCTTCAAATTAAAATACTTATGATTCAATTCATAAATTGAAAATATTTGTTCCCTTTTTTACAATTTTGATAATTAATACTCTTTCCGATTGGAAATATTTATACATTATTGCATTAATTTAAAATTTTTAGAGCAACAAATATCTTATTAAATTACATTAACTATTATTAAAAATTTACTCATCATAATTACTTCAAAAACATAAAAAAAGATTTTGGGGATAGAGATTCATAAATTTCTTTGATTTGATATTATTTTCTTCTTTATTTTAAATTGTTGAGAAAATCTAACAGCACTCATAAATTGTTTGAAATTCTGAATTTCATCAATATTATTATAAATTTATAAAATTTAATTAAGAAATTGAATTAATATCAATTTATACATAAATATAAAAAATTATTGAAGAAGATTAGTAATATCCTAAATTATGCCATTAGAAAATATAAGCTTCTAAAAATAATTATGATTCTAAATTGTTAGAATCATAGTTTAATTTCAGTTTTTTCAATACAAATAATATAATAATAGGTTTAAATCGCTCCTTAATCCTTAATATAGATTAAGGCTGTCCCAAAATATTGTTATAATCATTTAGTATTTAACTAAAATGAATATTATACCTCCATTTCATACTTTTTAAATTCTTCCTCTTAAATTTAAATCATTTCTACTTCATATTAAATGAAAGTATATCTTCTAAACATTCGAATGTAAATTTTGATGCTTATAATTCTAATTCATAATATTTTCAATCTATTTATATATAGCATTTTCATAAGCAATAATTATTGTTCAAATCAACAACATAATTTAAGATGATTCTTAAATGATTACCTTTTTTGTAATCTGCATTTTATTAGTTTTATAGTTACACTAATAATTGTCAACAACAATAGCATATTAAAAATAAGAGAAATATTCTATTAAATAATTTTTTCCTTATCAGCATTATTTGTTAAATATATATATTTATAATATTTCTAATTGAATTGATGAAATAAATTTAATCTCAAAAGTATAGGCATAAATAAATTATTTGAAATATCAATGCAAATAAAAGGACTAAAATATAACAAATATAACTCTCCTGATTTTACAAAAAGGTGTCCTTCTTAAAAGTTCAACTTAAGATTTTTTGCATTATTAAAATAACTTATAGAAAAGTTAAGATAAATAATAGTAATTAATATCTTGAGAGATTATTTTAGAAGCCTTAATGTTATCTGAAATCATTTTTCATCAAGAGTCATGTTTCGATTCAAAGTAGACAGTTTTTTTGTGAAATTTGATACTTAATTAATTTCAATTTCTTTTTTATATTTTATTTATTTCGTTTTTAAATTAGAAAAAACTAACCAAAACTAAAAAGTCATGAAAAATACTCAAGATAAAGATATAGGTCTTAATGTAGTGTATTTAATACAGTAACATAAGTATTAATATTAAATTAAATATGTAGTTTGTCATCAGATAGGAAGAAGGTGACTCTTGATTAATTCCATCTTCTAAGTGTCATAGGAAAAGGGTCAATAGGAAAGGTTGTACTAGTAAGAAAGAAAGACAATTAAAAAACATATGCTCTTAAAGTCATAAAAAAAACCTAATTGATAGATAATCATTAGGTGAAGTAAATCTATGCTGAGAGAAACATTCTTGTATAGATAATAGAATTTATTATTTTAGTAAAACTGCCATCATCCATTCATTATAAAATTAGAATACGCATTCTAAAATGAGACCAAGTTATACTTCTGCTTACAATATTGTCCAGGAGGGGAACTATACAACTTATTAGTTTAAAAAAGCAAATTAACTGAAGAATAGTAAATATGATATTGATAACAATAGAGCTAAGTTCTATGCATCCCAAATTGTCCTGGCCTTTCAATACTTGCATGAATAAGATATAATCTATAGAGAGTATATTTAACTATTTAAATTAGTTTAAAGCCAGAGAATGTGTTGATCGATTCAGAAGGCTATATCAAGTTAACTGACTTTGGATTCTCCAAATAAGGAATTTAGGGCAATTTTGGAGCTCATTCAAAATGTGGAACAGCCGAATATTTGGCTCCAGAATTATTAGTAGGCAACCATGGGAAAGCAGCTGATTGGTGGACCTTGGGAACTCTAGTATATGAAATGGTAGTTGGTTAACCTGCATTTTTTGCAGAAACCAAAGAGGAATTATTTAATTAAATTCTCCATCAAGAAATAAATTACAAAAAAATGGGTGTTTCATCTCAATTAAAAGATTTATTATCAAAACTATTGTAAAAGGATCCAAATTCTAGAATTAGTTCAGCCAATGAAGTAAAAATTATTATGATTTTAAATTAGATTAAAAAACATCCTTGGTTCAAAAATGTAGATTGGGATATGGTTTTATAAAAATAAGTACCTCCTGTGTTTTTACCTCAATTAAACAGTGATGATGATGTTTAATATTTTGATGATGTATTGAAATTTCTCTTAAAATTTAGTGTTTCCTTAAAGAACCTATCTTCTCCTAAACCAATTCATTATCTACAGATGAATAAATGAATAGTCCATATTAAGGATTTTCGTATTCTGCATCCCCACCGCAAAAAGAAGAATAATGGGAATTTTGATTCTTTACTTTAATTAATTTAATTGTATTATTTTTAAAAGTAAATTATACATATAAAATTCATTTTTTCTTTTTTGATGGATTTTTAGATACACTCTACACCAAATCATAAAGCAATTTATATTTTTGTTCAATCTACTCAATGCTGTTTTTTCGTTTTCCAAGTTCCATATATCCACTTTGAGAATTGGGAGTTATTGTTGTTTCTGTAGCTTAATGAGTTGGTGTAACACTTTTGATATGTTTAGGGGCATCTAATTTCAATTAAATGTCAAGCAGCTATTTTAAATCAGTTTACGAATGAATCATTTATGTAGAATTAGATCTTTATATCTGCATTTTACTGGAGTTATTTTTGATCTCTTGATTGTTAAAATCAATCATCGAATTTCTCAATTGCTATTTCTTTCTATTCATTTTATTTTGCCATTGCAGATTTCTATAATAGACATCACAACTATTGATTCTAACATTACTGTTGTCTCTATAATTTGGACTGAATGTGCACTACAATGTAATTTAATATTTACTTCTCTAGTTGCTTTCTCTTTTTAGATTTCTACTTACTATGATATTTTATCATTCTTCTTTCTCATCCACGTATTTTGTCTATCAAAAAATGTACTTGAATTTATTATCTTAGATTTCTGGTTGATCTTCGGATTAAAGGTGCATTCCTTCATCTCCTTTACATTATTCATTAGTTGGCCTTTCTCAATGAAAGTCTTTAACTTTTCTTGCTAGAATATTGCTTTCTGATACAGATAATCTTATTAGGTGGATAGATTGCATTTTGTTTATGATGTATTGTGAGTATTTATGCTTGTGTGTGAATTTTTTCTAATATTGTTTGATGACTGTGCTTAGTTGGTTTTGGTGATTTCTTTCGATATTAAATCGCTTAATCTATTTTAATGGTAATTATTTTTCGAAAGTTGATTAATCTTATTCTCTTTTTCTTGAGTTGGTTTTCTTATGTACTTATTAATTTGATTAAGATCCTAGGATTGTAAGGTTTACATTGGTTTTAACTATTTTGGAAAGAATTGTTGATTTTATGTAGTTTCACAGATTTATTTTCTCTCACTCGAAAGAGCATCTGAAAAATCTGGTGTAGGATCATCTGGGGCTAAAGAGTTTCTGAATGCCAATAACTATCTTGAACTTGATATAATAATATCAATTGAATACTTCTAAATAAACGAGAAATTTTGAGATCCCATAAATTCATTTTATGGAGGATGTTTTACAACCTATTCTATATTAACTTCAGACATGTTTGACGGATTGTCAAGATTATTTGTAGTGATTTTTTTAACGTCTATGAGATCACTTTTCTTTTCACATCCAATGTTCCGTATTTTTTTTAAACTTAAAAGAGCCTCTTAAGCTTATGGAGATAAATGCTAAAATGATTCGCACTTACTTATGGTATGAGCAGATGAAGTATGAATTTGCATCCAACGTATTAACAAATTAATTTTATAATTAGAAGTGAGTTTTTGATTAACTGTAAATAGTATATATAAAATTGATATGTTATTATCATTGTTTCTTTGCCTTATCCATTTGATATTGTAGTTCATCTAATTATCGTTGAAGATCTTCTAATTCATGCATTGGAACAGATTCAGATGCATCATCCTCTTCCTTCTAATCAGTTTAATCTACAAATCAACTTGTAATCTTACTTTAGTTATTAAATCCCTTTTTGGTTTGTTTATTAGATTGTTTCATTGTTTTTGATGCCCCTCTCTATTGATTACCTTTTACTTTAATGGTTTATTGCTGATTATTTGCATTGTTTTTCTTTCCTGAAGAATAAATGATCCCAGTCTCTTTGGCTAATTATTGTTTCATCTATTGAGCCTCCTCTTAATATTTAGCCAATTCTTCTGGAGATTTATTTTCATTTTATTTATCCACTTGTGATTTCTCACAATCTTTAACTTTCTTAGTTAATATTTTGATGTCATTCTTGAACCCTTCGATTTCTAGAGATCTTCTCTTTTCCAATTATTAATATCTAATTTAGGATGAAATAATACTTCTCAATTAATTTGGATAGATTCTCTTCCAATTATTATATTTTGTTAATATAAATATTCTAAACTTATTCATATTGTTCTTTGATGATTGACAATTGCTCATCTTTTGATTTGATTTGACTTCTAAATTTTTTATTGTATTCATCAGACTTCTTTTCAAGCAATTCCAAGGCTGTTTTATTTTCAATATTATATTTCTTTTAAATTTAATCCAATTCCATCTTCAACTTTTTATTTTTCAACTTTGCTACCTCCCAAATCCTCTTACATTTATCTCTCCTTATTCTAAAATTTTTATTTTTATGCATAACAATCTATAATTCGTTATATTCATAAGTTTTACCTTTAACAAGTTCTACATTTTGTTTCTCTAATTTCTATATTTTTTAAACCAATTAATCTAATTTTTATTAGTCTTCTTTTATTCTTAAATTGGTTTCAACTTCCTTTGCTCTCAATTCCTCTCTCAAAGCTGCGAATTATTGGGTCAACATAATTTCTGCATTTTCAACTTATTTTTTCAAATTTTCATTCTCCAATTAATAGGCATTCAACTATTCGTTTGGCATATAAACTGTTTTTAATATGCTTCTCCCTTAATTGATGTTGTGCATCTTAACACTACATAGCTTAATTCATTCAATTTACTTTCCTTGTTTCTCTCTCACAGCCAATGTATCGCCTGTATATTTTGTAGTTACTTCAGGTCTTAAATCTTTTTATAATACTACTTATTCCTCAATGGGTTCAATCATAGCCATTAATTCAGCAATCTTCTTTTTATCTTCCAATTCTCTCACCTTCAGGGCATCATTCTCCTTTTACAACTTCAATCGGGCCTATCTCTCTTCAAATAGCATTAACTAAATTCTTGAATTCTGTATATTTACTTTTGCCTCTCCCACTGTTTATTACAACTCTTTTATCTCTTATTTCCTTTTCAGCAATTCCCATTCCTGTTGATGCTTGTCCTCATATTGAATTTTGATTTCCTCCAATTTTGTCAACCATTCAAATCTTTCCTTCTCAAATTCTCCCAATTTAGATCTATAATAAGCCAATAAGTCTTAATATTGTTGGGGATCGTTAGGATTGATTGAAATCAAATTACTCAGATCTCGTTAACTCATTTTATAAACGTTAATTATTTTTTTGATTTTTATATAATACAAACAATTTATACTAAAAAATACTTATTCATTATTTAATTTTTATGCCAAACTCTTCATACAACTTACTAATCTCCTTCTTAGAGTTCTTATTATTAATATGCAAACTCTGCAAATCACTCTCCGATATTTATTAGCAATTAATTAATGAATTTAATTCATCTGGTTTAAAATTATTGATGTCGTAATTGATAAAACTATCCCCCAAAACCTTTTCCGAATCCTTAACTATCAATTCGGAAATCTTCAACTAATTTCCTTAGGATGGGGCCTCAGAATTGTTTAATTGGTTAAAAGTGGACTTGCCCTAGATGAACAGTCCAATATCCGCTCTACTTCTTATTTCATTTTGAGCAGGGATAACAGGATCTTCGCCACTTTTTTCTTTGCTAACTCCCTAGAATTCCTTCTCATCATTGTCACTATCATCGGATTCGTATTATCTTATATGATTTACAGAGTACTTACAATAACTAGTATTTTTGTATCTTTGTGCAACATTCTTCAAATGGAAACTCGTATTCGCCAACTGTCTAATACTTCAGTTTATTTCTAAAGTGTTCAGCATCAACAGTATAATAGTTAATTATCATTCCTAAAAACCAATTGCTTCTAATTAATACTTCTTATCAATTCTGCAATTCCAATGTATAAAATAAGAAGACTGTGCTATTCATTCTTATCCAAGCATCCAAAGATAGAAGATGATATGGACACTGGTTAAATAATTCCAAAGGGTATGTATAGTAATACTAATTTTTATTTATAAGAGATCGATCGTTTTTTCCTCTTTATTTTTATATCCAAATAGTTCCACTTCTTAATAGCAAAAATTATATTTAGAAAGCCAATAGCTACTGCCATTCCTAACCAGTAATAGAAAAAGTTAGGTTCCTAATACGACAAAGTGGCAAAAATTATCAGAGCAATCGATAATATATTTCGTATGAATTCTATGGAGTACAGTTTAATGTTCTATTATTTTTAGGTTAGGAATAAAATTTATATTGTTAGAATGAAGTATGGAAATAGCACTAATGCTAAAGTGAAATATCTTGAAATGAAGAAGCATTCATCATATTAATCGTTGTCATTCTCTTCTTGATTCTTGATCTATGTATAATTAATCAATAATTTACTCCTTTCGAATATTCACATATCGTATATGTTAAGTCAGTAAAGGGGATAATTAAAGAAGTAAATTGACTGATTATGAAAAAATGACGCTAATCTATCAGTTTAGGATTTATGGATTGCCATAAATTACGATAAAGCCATATCCTACCTTTTCCATTGATAAAGATTTTTGAAGGGAATGCAACTGTCGCCAAAAGAGATGCCCAGATTACCAAAGGGAAATACTCTTCTCCTTTAAGATTCGAAAATATGACACCCAATTTAGAAACATCGCATAAATAAAACAAGCTAACCAACAAAAAGATTGAGGTCAAAGTCATCACTCGTTTTAATTATTCGTTGATTGTTGAGAAATGATGATTAAAGCTAAAATATAATTTATAATTGATCTTCGATAAATTCCATAGGTGAATAACTATAGTTAAGGACCAATAATACAAGATAAACAATAAGGCCCCTCTGTATATAGGGAATGATTCATATATAAGAGTATTGGTTAAAATGTCTAACTATTTTTGAGTTGCTAGGAATATTATGAAAGACATTAACATTAAGGAAAACCCAGTGAATAAGCCAAACTAAAACCAAGCTTTGTTGTTTTTGCCATTCTAAAATTGGTATTTACGTAGTTATTCTTTGCAAATCTTTTATTTAGCTTAATAGAAGTGTTTTAAAAGGTATTTCTCTACTTGAAATAGCAATTGTTTCACTTTATTTTATCTTGAATCAAAATTTATTTCTGATACCAATTTCTTGCATTCATCTATATTAATTTACTCCTAATTAAGCTTTATATATTTCTTATTCTATTTCTTAATGAGTTTACGAATTGCTTCTTGATTTATTGATAAGTACTTTTCAAAATTAACCCCTTCATTATATAATTGAAAACATAATTCTTTCAATTTCTTACTTTTTTGATTAAAATCAGACTCTCGGATCTTGATTTATTGGTTAGTTAATTATTCAGTTAACTCTTCAGAGACTTAAGAGTTTGATCTGATTAATGATCGCTTCTTGCTTCTCTCTAGTTACCTTTGATATCTATTCATTGACAAAATTTATAATTGCAATTTATAAGTTTTTCCCTTTAAATCATTATATTTTGCATTCACAAAGGATCTGACCTTTATCAACTCTAAAGTAAACTTTTTATTAAATTCCTTCTAATCTACGGTTATTTTGGAAATTATATATGTTTTTTCCATAACAATTTTCTTTATTTCCTTGTACTCCTAAGGAGTTTTTGTTTTTTTGGCATACAATAAGAAGTCTTTGAGTGCTCCTGAGGTTGATAGATACGCTTTTACTGCCTTGTAATTCAAATACATTAATGCCCATTCTGGTATAATATGATTTAATAAGAATACAGCGAATTTCATTTAATTATTATTTAATCGTTAAAACAAATTTACATATGAAGCCCTCGCGCATACCTGTAAGAGCCTTTGGTAACGCAGTATACCAATAGCCTATCGAGTAACGTCAATTAAGACCTTCTTCCACTTAGCAAACGATGGAACCAAGACAAATAATGAGATGCGTCTCATAAGAATAAAAATTACCTTACCAACCTTTACAATACGTCCAATACCCTCAGTAAAGGTAATTCACTCAACTTATTGTAATTTAGAGGTTCGAATCCACCAATTAGAAAACCCCTTTAAGAGACTGTTGCTTATTATCCATAGTAGTAATAATATTAATAGTGTGTGCCTTTGAAAACTGAACAACAGAACAAGACATCCTTAATTCAGGAACTCAGCAAGGTTCAATCTTAAGCCCAATTGAATTTAGCATAACAAGATGATACGAATCAGTCAGCTATCATTAAACAACAAAATGAATAAATTTAATAATTGCAAACACAACTATCAGAGAAAGTTCATTAGTATTAATAATTGCAAGAAAGATTTAATGTAGAATTCAGGAAGTTTTAGGAAGATATCAGATATAAGTTAACTAATATTGATTTGAATATCTCTTAAAATGATTACACTTAACAGTTTATGTTGGAAATTGATAGGAAAGTCTCTAATCTGTAAAATAATCTAAATGAACAGTTTAAGGAATTGTAAGATAATTTTGAATAGAAGACTAAATAGAGTGAACACTTAGTTAAAAATCTATCTTCCAATATATCCTTAAGATTGAATGAGGATGAATAACACTTCAAACAAGAGATTGAGAATCTAAATTCTAAGCTGAATTCTAAGGCTGACAGATAGAAAGTAGAATAGACTATTTAAGTTTAAATTACTTCATTATAAAACTAATACTAATTGCAATTGTAATAGGCTCATCAATTACTAAATAAAATTAATAACGAAAAAAGCGATGAACTCCAACAAATCAAAAATTAAATACAAAACACGTTAATGCATTTAACACAATAAGTCAATTAAAAATTGTAACACATGTATGATACTATAAATGAACGAGATTAGGAGAATAATAGCAATAAACAAGAGAGCAAATAACTGAGTTAACACTTCACCAATTTGACAAATAAATTTAAGTAATTGCAACAATAATCTGTTGAAACTATAACATAATTAAAGTAGAAGAACAAGTAAATTGAAAAGGAAAAACAAGAACTTAATAAATAGTTGACTTAACAATAGTTCTTAGTTTCATAATTCTAATCTGAAATTACTAAATTAAAAAATACAAACTCTTAATTGACTCTACAATTGTCTCCTTAAGTTAAATAAAATAGTTTCTTTTCTACTTCTACAGCAGTTGCAATAGGAAAATAGAAATCAAAAAAGTAAATAAGTATTGTCAAAAAGAAAAATGAAATTAGTTTGGATGATTTTGCTGATTTTAATGAAAATTCATTACTGGATTCAAATGATAGTTTTGAAATTAATGAGACTTGTGGTTTCAGCAAAACAAAAAAGAATGCTTAAATTGAAGAATTCCAAAGTCCACCAAGAAACCCATTTAAGAAATCCTAAATATAGAATAATATTAAAATCTTAAGTGAGGATATCAGTGCCTAAGTCTCTTGCAAAAGCAGAGGAAAATCAGCACCATTACCTTTGATGAATGCTTTGACTAAGGCAATAAAAAGAAGTATATTATAACCGAATTAATTTTGATAGGACTGCTTTATCTAGGCAAAAATGACAGAATTTTGACATGTACGTATGATTCTGAGAAACATTTGATCGATTGTGATATGGGATTATGCTTATTGGATGAAAATGGCTCTCCATTTGTAGTTAGTGAGTAGGAAAAGGCTCAATTGATACAAATGAAGTTGATTAAGATAAATTGAACTATTATTATAATGCATACTTATTTAACTATTATGAATTGAATAGAGAATATTTTCAAAGATTACACATAAAGTAAATTGAAAAATAACAATAAATATATAAAATCACATTAATTAATTGATGTGCTCTCTTAATTGTTTAGATTCAATAGTTAATTGATTTTATTAAATTTGGATGTTTTTTTTAATTGTTTCTATCAGATTAGCATCGATATTTAGAGTTTTGTTTTTGATATTGTAGACTACTACCTTATGATAAGTTAGGAGCAATAATAGCATTGTTTGAGATTATTTGCTTGAATGTTCTCCAGTGTTCAGATTCAAATAGGATATTAGGTTATTTATTAGTAATTTGAGATCTTTTAAATCTTAATTTGTATAAATCTATTTGCTGGAGGCATAATTAATAATATCTCTATGCAATATTACCATAGTATTGATTTCAATTTTGCAACCCACCTAATTTGGTATCAATTCCAGCTAATTCTCAATTACTTTAATTAATTACTGCAAATGAGTCTTGCCTTAAAATGTATGTTGTTGAAAATGCCTACTTAAACTATTGGTTCTTTTGACTCTTTCAGTTTTTGGATTTCTTAAAGTGTTGTGGTCATCTAATGCTTTATTGTTTTCGTCTAATTGAAATTCTGAGACCTTAACTAAATCTAATTCATAATTCAATTTATTTGAAGTGTTGGTTGAGTGAGATTGCATAGCGCTTGTAGTTTTACAGGAATCATTATTACTATTTAATTTTTATTAAACATTATGAATCTTATCAATGAAAGTTGTTAATTCATTCCTTTGTGTATGAAATCTATAATTTTAAGAGTTGCTTCTTTCTCTTTCTTATTTGATATTATTTTATTTGAGATTCTCTTTTAGATCAAAATAACTACATGTCTATTTAGATTTATCATTAACAGGGGTTTTATTATCATATCGATTCGATCTCTCATTAGTTTGAAAAGCAGTATTGCTATAACTTCGATTATGCTTATTGATTTATTAGCATAATGATTCAGTTCTTTATTTGAATCTTTGCATTTGAAGAGAGTATTTTGATTGATTGTTATTTTGAGAACTTAAATTCTCTCTATAGGTTTGCGCATGAATTTCTTATTTTGGAGATGAGTTTTCCTTATTCTCATTTGAATTAAAATTAACGGCTTTAAAGAGGTCTTCCCAACTCCATCTTTTTTCTTCTCTTATTTACAAGCATCCTTTTATCATCTATTTAGTAGAATCAGAAACACGTGGATGAGTTGGAAATGAAAGAGGCTAATTGATAATATAATTGATATACCTTTGAGTCCAATTTGTTCATCAATTCTACTAAGTTTTGAGAATGCCACGGAGTCATACCATACAGCATTTCATACATAATTAAGCCTAAGGACCAGATATCGCATTTGGATGAATACTTGCCTCTTTTTAGAATTTAAGGACTCATATATAGTGGAGTACCAACAAGGGAGTTCATAATTGTATCAAGATTTTGATCTATTTGCTTTGCGAAACCAAAGTCTGTAATTTTGAATTGAGAGTCATGGATAAGGATATTGGCTGGTTTTATGTCACGATGTATGATGCCTTGTTTAAGTAAAGCCTTGATCCCTTACAGCAAATCCTTTAAGATTTTAAGTGCTTCCTCTTCAGGGATAACTCTAAATATTTTGAATTTAGTACTTTCTGGCCTTTATGAACTCTCTCAAATCGCCACCATTACAATATTCAGTAATGATGTAGGTATTATTTGCACTCTATAATACATCAAGCAGTTTAACAACATGGGAATCATTTATTTTTTTCATGATTTCAATTTCAGAAGCGATGAGTTGATTGGCATAATCAGTGAGAAGCAATTTCTTGTCAATAATTTTAAGAGCAACAATACTATCTAATGATAAATATGCAAATGTACTATCATTAGTGTTTTTACCAGCATAGACTGTCCCATATGCACCTTTGCCTAATTTGGATCTAAAACTAAATTGGTAATTCTGTATTTTTTTATCGGGTGGATAGCTCAGATGTTACATTTTATATTTGAATTTGAAATATTTATTTAATGTTATCAAAAATACTCCAATTTAAAATTTATGGCAAAATTGATGAAAAACTGTATGAATCATCATCCTATTTTAGGAATTGCAAAATTCATAAAAGCAAATATTAAATACATTAAATTATGATGATATACATTATGAAGTTTAATTAGTTAAAGACCTATTTTTGTTCAATAATATATATATACTTAAAAAAGACAGGAATTAATATTAATTTACTAGAACTAAATTCTTAATGCATTAGTGATTACCAAATCAATTACAGTCTCCTGATTAAAGATTCGGAATTAATGGATTGCAGAATTTTTGGTGAACTCCTAATCTTTCATTAAACTATATCAATAAATATTTTCGAGAAAATTGTCTTAAAAATAGAAAATTAAGAATTTCTAAGATATCTTTAAGGAAATCACGAAATTCTATATTGGATTATTATCCTCCTATCTCCTATCAAATATAATAATTAAATTATATCTAATTCTACATAACTATATAATATAGAAGGAGGTGTAATTCATATAAATTATTTAATCAAAGTATCCTGTTTCTAAATCCATTACAATAGTCTTAATGCATCTGTCCATCTATTTTCACTTGAACTGCAATTCAATAGAACAATTATATAGGAATTAGTTGAGTCCTAGAAATATTCAACAACTGAAGGCCCCGCTTCTTTTGTGATGCCTGTCTTGACTCCTTTGAATCCTTATTGTAATAGTTTGTTAGTGTTCTCCCAATACAATTCTCTGGAGGTGTTTTGTAATTGATTTGGAGTTTCGCAAAAATAGGATTAGGTTCTTACAATTTTTTAGAATTATTCATTTTACAAACTCTCGTATGTAAATTTACCCACATCATAAGCTGTGGAGAAATTGTTTTCGTTGCAAAGTCCTTTTGAATATAGATGTATGGGTTACCATGAACATTACTAAACTGTGTATTGGATAATCCTAAGGCTTGGACAAATCGATTCATTTCTTTTAAGAAGTGATCGTTTTCTAAAGAGTATAATTAGAAATTGTAAGAAAGTGTGACAGCAGCATCATTACCTGATGGTAGCATCAATCCATAAAGGAGGTCTCTTAAAAAGATAGAGTCTCCTTTCAATAACCCTGCAGAAGTTCCAGATATTTTTTATGCCTATTTAGTTTAATTAATTAACTTAATCTGGAACAAAAAAGCGTTTTCGATCTATGTTCAAATTTAATTCTTTTGCTAACCTTAAACTTACAATACAAGTGACAATTTTGGTAATCGAAGCTATTTATCTGCATTTATTTTAATTATATCCAGTGATATATTCTCCAGTATTCCCGTTGAATATAGCCCAACTTTGGGCTGAAACTTTAAAAAAGGGAATCAATTGCATATACAGAGGGGCTTTGCATAATGGCTGTTGAAAGATGGTCTGAGTGGGTTGTTTTTGTTTAAACGATATTTTTCTGCTGGCATACTAACTGTGAATGCATCTATCAGATATTTTGATTGTTTTTTGGTTTGTTTTGAATTTAGTTGACAAATCTGAAGGTGGGTCATGTGAAATGGTGTTGCTCTCAATTGATTTCAATCTGCTCAGGGTTCTTTTGGTGGATGTTCTTAGTTGAGTTTGAAAACCCTGAGTCCAATTTTTAATTTATATTGGTTATAAAGTTTCATCAATCATTTTATTAATTTATTTATTTAGAATATCCATTGAAGAGATTGCCCATAAAATTATATACATATATATATATTTTATATTTAAAATAAAGATATGAGAGGTAAGCAATAGGCTCAAGCACCTGTAACTCAAAAGTAATAACCCTAAAAATAAGGAAATGTACGCAAACCACAGGAAAGGTAATGTATGATGTTTGAAATGTGAAGACCTGGATTGACTGATGACGAGATTGATGAAATAAGAGAAGCATTCAATTTGTTTGATACAGAAGGCACAGGAAGAGTGGATCCAAGAGAATTGAAAGCAGCTATGCAAAGTTTGGGATTTGATTAAAAAAACCCAACTATTTTCAATATGATCGCTGAGTTGGAGAATGAAGGGTATGCAGTATGAGTTTAGACATAGAACTGACATTGATTTTGACTAATTTTTGGATGCCATCACATCAAAATTGGGAAACAGAGAAAATAGGGATGGGATAAATAAAATATTTGATTTGTTTGATGATGATGGAAGCAATTCCATTAATTTGAATAACTTGAAGAGAGTAATGATTGCATATTGAAATTGTATTAGGTTTCTAAAGAATTGGGTGAGACAATGACAGCAGAAGAGTTAGCAGAGATGCTAGAGAGAGCAGCTTCAAATGGAAGGGAGATCACTAGAGAAGATTTCTATAATATCATGGTTAAAAGAACATTTTGATAACCATCAGATATATATATTAATATAAAATTATATAAATAAATGATTAAATTAGAGGCGCACACCTTTAATCATAAAAATGGTTTGACACCAGCTTAATTATCGAATAAGTCTCCCATTGATATTGTTAGATCGAAAAAAATCATTTTCAAACGAGAGTTGTTAAATACAGAATAGAATTTTCTAGTTTAAGTAACACCTTTATTTCTATTTCATCCAGACTGATGAACATTAAGAAATTATTTACATTAAACCTGATGTCCCAGATCTAATTATGACCGATCTTACCAACATGGCAATATAAGAAGACATCTCAGAATATCAAGCCCTGGAGTATCACAATAGAGCAGCCAAACTGTTAGAATTTTATACGCAGAATCAGTAATCCAAATCATTTACTTTAGGATTCAAGTGTAATACACATCTGTTTTATTCTCAAAAATAAATTATGCCATAATCCTAAAGAAATATGCAGCCTAAAATGAAGCTTTAGAAATGTTGTTAGATTGTGTCTAGATTCTCAAGATTAAAGGATAGACTCTTAAAAAAAATCCACCTGAAAGTTTGAGCTTAGCCAAAACCATATAAAATAAACTATTGAGATTGAGACTCATCTTTTAGATCACTCTGCTATTTTCCGAAACCAAAAAGTAAACTCTACATTTTATATCAGAAATAAACAGGCCTTGGAAATGGCCAAGAGTGCCTTAAGGATATTAAAGAGCATTATATAGAACACCATTAAATTGTGTTAACTCACAACTGGATCATCATCAGTCAATAAAAAACAACGTGCCAATTCTGAAATCAGTTCTCCTTTGCAAAAAAACCAAGCATAAAATCCCCCTCAACAATAATCCTAAATCCTGTCTTATCCTTAAATTGTCGAGGCAGTCTTCAAAGAAATACTGATTTCTATTAAAACTATGCTGCCAAATGATGACAAGTCTCACGAGGTCATGAGCACTCAAAATTTAATGATTCGTAACTTCTAAAATAGAAGTCAGTCACTCTTTGCCTCTGAGTATGTCTTTCAACCGCAAAATAATCAACAAAATAAATTATTCACTATTATTGATGATACACACCCTATGTTACAAATGCAAATTCTAGGGTTGATGTAATTAACTTATGTAGATTTAGAGGAGTTATTCCCTATAAATAGTTTTGAGATGGTGATGGCCGAAGAAGTCATCCTAGAATTAGTAAATCTTATCCATTAAATCATTAGATAATGTTGACAGGATTAAGCTTCTATAGTATTTCAACAGAACTCAGATTCATCAACAATCAATAAAACAAATTAACAGTTGAAATCTGGCTGGGCAAAGCAGTGGAGATATTCTACACATATGTGCCACATTCAAGTGCAATCTTCAATTAGATTTATCAGGTCTATCAAAAATTATATGGAGTCGACAAATAATCTATTGTAATCATGTCACAATATAATTTAGCCAGAAGATGAAGAAGTTGAATATCACACCAAATTATTGAAACCTCATCCTTATAACAACAAATCCACCCTCTCTAACAAAGTTGTCATCATTATCAAGGTCCCCAATCATAACAAACAGTCTAAAGAAACAGAAACCAAATAATCTCAAAATACATAAACAACATTCCAAAAGATACAATAAACCATATTAGCTAAGAAGTAAGCAATGCTTCCTCAAAAACATATCTTTACCTAGCCTGATACAGATAAAAAATTCGATACTTGGCATGATGAAACAGAAAAGTCTCCTCAACAATAGTAGAAACTATTTATTTAAAAACATAATAAATCTCTAAACTCTACTGACATAAGACAGAGAGTGGAAATCCTAATGAATTAAATACTTAATCAACAAGCTAAATTGACATAAGAAAAACTAAAATAGAAACATACTCCTATAACTATCTTAAAACAAAAGTACTAGGCTGCATCTAAAGTTCAGGAAAATTAAAAGACTTTTAATCCATTTATGACTTCTTAATTTAAAACCACTATCTCTGCTAGTAGATCTCTTTCCAATTCTAGAAAAGCTAGCTAAGCCAACTTAAAAAGTTAATCTAACGGTGTCAAAACTGCATAAATGAGATATCGCACTCAAATAAGCACTATTACTGGAGATGATTCATCTAAGTAGCTTGCTTAACAAATTTCTACACAATTGGCTAGTCTTAATCGTTAATCTAATGTAAAATTTATTATATCTTAATTCATAGAAAGGATTCCTCCAAAAGAGAAGTGAGTCTGTTAAAAAGACAAAAATTCCATTTCAATAACGTTGAATTACTTATTAAATTATTTAAATTTACTCTTTTTTAGTATCTTAATTTCATTAATAAAGATAATTTTATATTCAACAATAATATATACACATTTTACCTAATTACATAGTAAGAGTTTAAATAATACAAAAAAAGAAGGGGTATATAAAATAATATCAATACCCTTTGAAGTCATCTAATAATTTATTCATAGAAATCAATTTCTTATATTGATATTTTTAAATATTTATTTTTATAATATTTATTCAAATGGATTAATCGTTTAACGATCTCAAATTTCAATTATAGTAAGAGCTATAAAAGGAAGGAATGGTTGAAAATATGAAAACATAGCTTAGATACAAGTTACTGGAGAGACTGTAAATGCAATAAAAGAAAATTCCATCCTCCGATAAAGTATCAGAAAGTGAGATGTTACTAAAAAGAGTGTTAGCTAGTGCAGTGGCAGATTATTTACGAGAGGCAAGAATGGATTATTCATTGTACTTTTACAATATATTTTAGGTCTGTTTTTGTACCAGAAACCACTTTTGGAGCAGCTTTATTGAATAAAGAGGAATTGAAAATACTTTTGAAAATTGATAATTTATAAGGATCAATTTTGTCATAAATGTTTAGTGATATATTGCTTCTTAAGCCTAAGGAACCACTGAAATCCAATGCAGCCACTTAAACATTTTATGGGGATGCTGTAATAAATTTGGAACAGAAATTAAGCATGGTAGATAATATGTACAAAAGCAAAATTGAAAATGAACTGCTCAAACCTTAGTATGATATGGAGGAACGAATTCTGAAGATGAAGAGAGAATATGAGCAACGTTTGAAAACGGAAATAGCCACAGAGACGACCAGAATCAGAGAGTTTGAGGCCTAGCACATTAGGTTGGAGGAGGCTGATAAATACAGATAAAAATTATAGGATTACAGGGAGGAATTAGAGAAGAATTTCTAAGAGAAATTAAATGTTTTGAGGGAAAGGGAAAATGAAACATTAAAGATGGCTGCATAGAAAACAAAAGAACTAGAGTCTTTGAATTATTAGTATAGATAAAAGATTTTGAAGGAACATGAGATAATTAAGTTAAAAGAATAGGAAATAGAGAAATAGAGAATTGCTAATGAGGAGAGCTTGAAATTCTAGAAGGCCAAATTGGATGTAATGGAAAGAGATTTGTCTAAGAAATTGGCTGATGCAAATGGCAATGAGGATGTGATTCGCAGAAAGTATGAGGCATAAATACATGCAGCCAAAGCTTCAGCTGAGACTGAATTCTATGAGGAGAGAGAATAGATTAGAAATAAACTAAAATAGCTAGAGGGAGATCTAAGGAATATGGAGAATTTGAAGTCAACTATTAAGACTTTGTAAAGGGAAAATGAACAAATGGTGGAGGAAAATAAAAAGTATGTTGAATAAGTAAGAGAAGTTAAAAAGAGAAGAAAGGAAATGGAGTATGAATATGAATAAATGAAAGAAAATCTAAGAGCAGTAAGTGATGCTCAGAGAAGAGATTAGGAATTATGTAGAAAATATGAAACAGACATAAGATTGAAAGAGGAAGAGATGACTTTATATAAAACAACTATCAATCACAAGGATGGAATGTTGAATGATCACAAAGTACTGTAATAGGAATAGGTCAAAAAGTTATAAAAAGAAATTGAGCAATATTAGAAAAAGGTGGAAGCACAAGAACTCTTGATCAAGGATTTGTAGGTTAAAGAGAATCATTCGCCTAACTTTGATATTCAATCTGCGTTATTTAAGGGAAACATTGCTGATTCACAATTGATGCAATATAATTTCTAGGATCACAGTAATAAAATGAAGCAAATCAACAATGAATTAGATGAGAATAGGATGAGAAGAAGAGAAGAAATAAAGAGATTATAAGAGAATGCTGTTGTATCTTTGAATACTGAACCTGCTTTGAAATTCGATAATGTTTGGGATGTTTACAACAGTTCTGTCAATTATTCTTAGGTTGGTGGATTGCAATATAGATCCAAGTTGCATGAAGATTACTAGGGTGGTAAGATATTTTAGACTGGAGAGGATGCCCAATCTTAAGTTGTTTAGAGTGGTGTATTTTAAAAGAAGCCAGGATAGGGAACACAGTAATAGCAATCCAATATTATCGAGGAAACATATTCAGAACTTATGTGACTTAGTTATATATTATATATATATATAATACGCTTAATGATTTTTACTCCAGCTTCTTAGTAGGAGAAAGCAACTTTAGAGAAGATAGGGGAATTTCTAATGGGTTTGAGCAAAAATGTGCTTAAACAAGGAAGTTCTATTAGTTTGCCAAAATTTCTGTAAGATTTGGAGCTTACATCAAATGAACTATGCTATATGCTTTAAGCGAGAGATTAAAATGACTATAGTCATGCTATAGGGAGATATACGTAAGTTTGGAAGGATGTATTGAAATCAGTTCAGAATAGTAATCAAATGCAAACGGAGGGGGAGCATGAACATGAACCATTGTCTAGAACTGATTTGATGTAACGAATGAAGTAGAGAATGATGGAAGGAGGACAAACTGGTAGGTTGGGAGGGGCTAGAGTCGGAGGCTTCCAATCGCCGTTAGCAGAAAATGAGAGAATAAAGAATCGTTAATTAAGTAGCAAAAACTCAAATGCACTGCCTTCGATTCGATTGAATTCTTTCGATCTACAGAATGATCGAACTTTGAATAATTCATCAAGGATGCAATACGAACTAGATGATCATCAGAAATGTATCTTAAATGAAGTTTTGAAGCAAAGTAATAAATTAAATGTGTAAATTGTTATGAAACGATATGATCCAAAAATTAAGTTATGCATATCATAAGGAACAGATACAAATCTCGATATTTTGGAGGTTATGAGGAATTTTAAGAAGGTAAAGTAATATCGTAATTGGGTAGGAATATCATGAAAGCAAATTGTAAGAGATAGTAAAAGATAGCGACAAACACAGTATGGAGTTGCAGAAGTTTCTAAATGAAAGAATTGATTATAGATATACCTTATAGACTTAATAGGTGAATGACAAACTGAAGGGAGTGCATAAGTAAATGATTTAGAAGACCATGGATATCGAAACAGTAATTTTGGATACTTAAAAACAATAAATCCAATAAGATATGATACCCAACATATTGAATGAATTCATAGACTATATCAATGATAGTTATCAGAATGTTTAGCATGAGACCTATAAGGTTTTAATGAAATTCGTGTCTGGATTTATAGTAAGGAGAGCCAAATAGGATTCGGAAAGGAAATTGCCCAAATAAAATTCTCAATAAATGTTGTCCAGTTCCAATAGGGAACGCAAGGCCCCAACTTTAAGAAGAGCAGATAATACAGAGCAATTGTAAAAGGAGTTGTCAAATAAAAATGTTGAACTGGACAAAAAGTTTATGGAGAACTCAGAGTTATGGAATAAAGTAAGGTAAATGGAGAACTAAATAATGCAATAAAATATTGAAATTGAATCCACCAAAATTGCTGAAAAGACTATAGAGTAAGAACGAACTCAACTGTTATATGATAAACAAAAATTAGAGAAGCAATTGCTAGTAATAACTAGCAAGACATTTTAAGATTAGGCAGTCTAAGTTTCAGATCAAACTATGCAATAACAAATATCAAAATTATAAAAGGAGAATTAAGAACTATAATAAAGACTGTATCAATTAACTGGAGAATTAAATAAGAAGAAATCAATACCAGCAGACCAAAGAAGCCTATAGATGGACTTTGGTAATAGTTAAGATCAATCCAACAAAGATTCACCCAAAGCTACAAGCAAAATTAAATCCTAATTTGATTTTCCTTAGGATGAAGATAATTTTTCAATTGGCTACCGTGGCGAATCGAATCGATAGATCTAATACAGCGATTACACAAAAAGATAAAGCACTGACGTTGTACATAGAATGAGTTTTACACAGCATGTCCAATCCTAGAAAGATTAAAAGATCTCAAAAAATAGTAGTCAAACATCAGATACATAATAAAATAAAAGAGGGTTGTAACATTCATCTACAGAACTTCATCCATCCAAGCAACCCAACAAATAAACAACACTTGATTAAAAATCAATAGAAGAACTAGATGAAGAGCAAATGCAAAAGAGTGGTTTGCTGTTGTAATAACAATCATAACAGTAAATCAGAAAGAGTGTATCTCCGAATAATGACAATGGCTAATTATTACGAAAAATGAGTTCAATAACAAAATCTGATTAACAATTAACTTCCTCGATTGTAAGAAAGTCTACGGTAAATTAAATGAAAATTGGTGACTCAACCATTCCCGATACTGATCTAACTTAAGCTTAAACTATTCAGGATACATAAAGGACAACATCAGGGAGAAAAATGACTTTGACAGATAGGAAAAATGATTCGAGTCCCTCAGACAGGAGAATCTAAACTGAAAGTTATGATTAATCACAATTTTAATAGGGATAATAAAGTGTTCAAATATCCAATACTCCACAACAAAATAAGTAAGTTAAAGGATACAAAAAGTCGGAAACCTTATTATCAAATAAAACAAAAAATAAATACGCCAGGAAATCAACAGATTCCATGAAAGAAATTCCAGAAGATCAAGCAATAAATTCTAACAGAGGGTCAACTAGGATAATTGAAAGTAATAAAACAAGAATACATCTAATTAAAGAAGAAGATGAAGTCAGTAGACATTCAAAATCTCGTCTTTCTTCTTAGCAATCCTCATAATCTCATATACGAAGATCCAGTACTACCATCTAATAACCAATTAAAATGGCCATAAAAGTCAATGATGAAAATCCAGCCGAATACTTCGCATCATGGAAACAAAGAATGGTAGAATAGGAGTAACAAACAGATATTGAGTTGTTCACTAATTTTATAGAAAACTTCATCTTGAATCTGGGATTACCTATTGAAATTTAATAGAAAGTCTTATAAGCTATCCCAAAAATGATTTAATCAAAGAATCTCAATTAATTGTCTGAAGAGTAAAATGCCTTATTGAAGCAACAACAATCCTTTAGAAATGTTGTTCAAAAATACGGCTTTGATACTGAAAGAGTGAGTTCCAATTAAACCAAAAATCATAGTAAATAATAATCTCAAGAATCTCTGTTAAAATATGAATCAGATGATGATTAAGTATAGATGAGTTCCAAGTAAGGGGCTTAGAAACAAATGGAGACTTAAAGAAGTCAAAATTAAAATTTTAAATAAAAATCAACTAAATTCTATTCATAAAGTTAGAAGAAGGAATCTACAGTTTAAAGGTAGCCATCCAGATAACCTATAGATCCCTAGGAATAATTGGATTAAGATGAAGCTAAAGATATTTTTAATATGGCTGCAGATTTAAAAATAGATTAAGTAGATTAGCTAACTTACGAGGAAGTAGTGAAATCAATATAAAATTAAGAAAATGATGGCAAATAACTACAACTATTCAAACCTCATGAATTAAAAGGAGAAACCTTCTTGCGAACCTTATTTAATCAAATTCAAAATAAAAAAACTAAAGGAGTTGAGAATGTATAAGAGCTACTTAGAAAATACTATAAAAAAGGAAAGCATGAAAACATTACTTATTATGAATTCAAAGCTTTCTATTAGAGATTAGCTGCCATTCATAAAATGTGTGGACAAGACATTTTATGTAATCATCTCTAAAGATTTATTATGCGATTAGGATACACCTGCTCGATATTTTCCAAAAGACAAGTAATTTATATTGTTAATTTGTGTAGTTGTTAAAAACTAGTACTTCAGTAATAAAGCCTTTCAATAGTACTGAAGATATGACAACCCAATCTAAATTGACAAATACTCATAACAATTTAGCTTAAAGTAGATTTACTAGCCAATAATTTTATATGTCAGAAGAATAGTTTTATTGAAACTTATTTCATAATAATATTATTCCAATCGTAAATTTAATGTATATTATATTCTTGAGAATCATATAAATCAAATATGCTTATGCTACTAATTTAGTTCAACCAAAATTCAAAGACACGCTTTCTGGACTGATTGTATTCCCAGGCTGACATTAATTAAATACAGGAATTGTCAATAATAAAGCTATCATTAAACACTTAGCTACAAAATGAATATATAAATAGGAATTATCATTATATAAATAGAAATATTTCTAAGAAAAAGTTTTAAAATTGAATCATATTTTGAAGGTTGATTATGCGATCAAAATCCATCTCCTAAAAATGTTCTACTTATGTTTAATCTATATCAATACATTCTTTATTTTGTGGGTAAATTGGAATCAAATCCTGAATTAAAATCTATCAGTAGTTTTACTCCTGTTATCCTTACATAACCTTGTTCCTATTTCCAATGTTTTAATGAAATGATCAACTTCTTAGGTATTGAATCCAATATGATTAATAAAATTTGTCTTTCAATTTCTAATTTCTTTAATGATTACTATAAAATTATGTATTTTTTATTATTCCTCCTATAATTAATTATCTATTTATAATTATAATGTAGTTATAGAGTATAAATTCATAATTTAGCCAAGTGAAAAAGAAGAAATTAATTAAAAATATCATATATTTTAATATGTATTAATATTTAGTTGTTGGTTTTTATTTTAAATTATTAATTAACTGAAATGAGCAAAGTGATTGAAAATTATGTTCTACAAGATGTGATAGGAAGCGGGCAATATGGTAAAGTGTATAGGGCTAAAAATATGAAAAATGATCAGATTGTTGCAATCAAAGTGGTCAAATTGGAAAAATTTAGAGAGGTCCCCAAATTACATGAATTCACTATTAATGAGATACAAACTCTATCAAAAATAGATAATCAAAATATAGTTAAATTTATTGAAATGCTTAAAACTCAAAATAATATGTACTTGATTTATGACTTTTGCAATGGTGATACATTAGAAGCATTATTGTAAAAGAGAAAATTCTTAACAGAACCAGAAACTATGAAGATATTTGCTTAAATTCTTAATGCCTTCAGGTAATTAGGTAAATCTATATTAGATCTTTGGTGCGTGAAAATATACTCCATCGAGATTTAAAACCATCCAATATCCTGTTTCACGATTAAATTGTGAAAGTAGCCGATTTTGGTTTTTGCAAAAGCTTACTTCATAACAATGACCTGACCCAAACCATGGTTGGTTCACCAATCTATATGGCTCCAGAAGTATTAAAAGGGTGTTCTTATAATTGCAAAGCAGATGTTTGGTCTTTGGGAGTTGTCCTCTATGAGTGTTTATTTGGATTTTGTCCTTTTGAAGATAAATCTATAGCTAGATTGATTATGCAAATTGACAACAAAGAGATCACATTCCCTAAGCATGTGAATCAACTCTCAAGAAAATGTGAAGAACTTATTCGTTCAATGTTGCAAGTTGATCCTCGTAAAAGAGTAGACTGGCAACAATTAATGCAAATCACCTTTTATGAAGAACCAAGTGTAGCGAAATAAATCACTTGCAGCGCCAATACTAATCCAATTTAGAATTTACCTTAAATGCTCAAAAAATAAGCATCAACTAACCAAGTACTATAGGATAGAACCAACATGACAAACAATCAACCTTAATAACAACAACAGTAAGACTTTTAGAACTTGAGAGTGCTTTTGAGAGAGAGGAGCAAAATTATATTCTTAGCCTAAATGGTATCATTCTTATTAGAATAAAATACTGTTTCTGCTGTTTAACTTCATGGTAGCTTGTCGTTCTCACAAAAGACAGCTATCATTGCTTATTTTCTGATGAAATTAGCATAGAATTAGACTGAAGTAATTAAAAAACAACTAGACTAAGATCACAGAAGGGAAAGTAGATGGGAGGAATTCTAAGGTAGCAACGAGTATAAATAATTCAATTCTACTTTTCAAAGAGAAAGCGAATAATTATTGATGAATATTGAATCATTTAAAAATGAAGCATAAAAAGTGATTAGACATATGCAACAGAATGATTTAACAACGTAAATTAGAAATGAATTGATGTCTCCATAGTTTAATAATTTGAAACTTTACACCTCTTTATTAATTAGTTACATTGAGGAAAGTAGAGAAAGATAAGTAAATTTAACTGAGGATTTACAATAAAAGCTTTTGGTTGGACTTATTGACTTATTAGAAACTAGTTAACTCAACGAATTTTTCGATAAAAATTTAAGTGATGTCAATATTAGATTTAATGATCAGAGATATTTTGAATAAGTAATTTGATTGCATTTAACATTAGATGAGAAAAATGCCGAAGGAAACACTAACAGATATCCTCAATCAAAGATTAGTTAATGCAAAGATCAAATGTGCTAAATGAAATTTCTTATAATTTAAATATAATCAATTTAATTTTTTCTAAAAGTATGGATGATTGGAAGCCTGATGCACATCCAAACGATCTACTTGATTATAGGCTAGACAACCTCTAATGAATTCTTTGCATTCATTTGAAATTATTGGTTTCTAAGGGAAAGTCACAGATTGAGATTTTACAATGATCTAAAACTCTAATAAAATGTTACTTGTTCTTTTAATATCTTTTCTTGGCTGACTCCTTAACCAAATGGTTTTTGACCGAACAGCATCTCAAAAAATATCACTCCAATGCTCCAAATATCCACTTTGCTAGAAATATTTGGAGGTTAATCTCCCATGTGGAAACATTCTGGAGGCAAATACCAATATGTTCCTACTCCTTGAGAAGTGAGTTGTAATTTTGAATTGTCATCTTCCAAAACTTTGCATAATCCAAAATCTGAAATTTTTAGTTCATTTAAATGGAATAAAATATTTTAGGGTTTTAAGTCATAGTGAATAATCTTATTCTTATGGTTATTTAAATATTTAATGGCCGAGATAATTTATCCTACCAGCAATTTAGCTTCCTTTTCTGGAAAGCATTTGTACTTTTTAATGTAATAAGCAAGATCTGGCCCATCACACAATTCCAAAACTGTACAAAAGGAAGATTTATCAATTTCAACTGAATCATACAGTTTCACAATATGAGGATGATTCAATTCCTTATGAACCCTATTTTCTCTAATAGCATGTCTTATGTAATTTTGTTTTGCATGATCTGACCAATTGGAATTCAACTAATGTATTTTACATGCCACTTCTCTTAATTCTTAAAGATCATAGGCCTTATTAAGATATAATAATACTTTATAAACTTCACTAAACCCGCCTTTTCCTAATAGACTTAGAACTTAATATCTTTCCCCAATTAATGGATAGTCATTATTTTTTGTAAATCTTGCATGTTCTTCTTCGTAGACTCGTTTTAATTATTTGATATGTAAATTCTTTTCTGTTTCGAGTCTGTCAACTGTTTCTTAGAGTTATTATTCCTCTTTGATCAAAAAGTTTAGCTTAACATTAAGAGTTCTCATTTCTTGTTCTTCTTTGTTTTTCGAGTTCTTCTTTTTATTTTCATATTCTGCTTTCAAGACCTCCAATCTTTTAGACTATTCCTTGGCTTCTCTCAATTCTTAACCGTCAATCCAAACATCTACTAAAGCAGTTTTCTCTCTCTAAACTACATACTCACCAAGCCTAACTCGATTTGTTTACAATTAGACTTGCAATTATTACTTCTTAAGTTTCTCGTTCTCTATAGCAAATTGTTTCACTACATCCTAGATCCTCAATTACTATTCAGTTAATGACTAAAACATTAGTTTATATATTACTTACAGATATTGTTTCGCGAAGTTCTGAGTTATGAGTTTCGAGTTCTTTTATTTTTATTTCAGAAATTGCAATTTAATTTTATTTTTCTTTTAGTTGTTTCTCTAGTGCTGGATCACTAGGCAATGGACTTTTATTTTTAAAGGGAGAATCTTAGATTGAATACTCCATTAATTTTTATTCACACTTCTTTGCTTTTTATTACTTTTTTTAATACTACAAATACTGAGTGATCTATGAATTTTTTCAATCAATATACATCTTTTTATTAGCCTTCCTTGGTCTTTTTCTTTTTTTTCTACTATGAATGTTTCTTAGTAATTATGCTTTTCTTTTATACAGGACTCAAATTTTATGAAGTAAACAATTTCTAGGGAGAATTCTCACTGTTTTGAGAACACTTTAAGTCATCAGACTTTTTATTAGAATCCATATTCTGTTTATTACGATCATTCTCATCTGTTTATTTCTCACTCTCTATCTATAAGAATTGCTCTTGGATGATTTCCTCTTTCGATTTTTTGTGAATTCTGGCTTCCAAACAAATAAGTCGATCTAGTTATTCTGGCGGCAATTATTGATGCATTATAATTAATTAAATTATTAAATTTGAGCACAATTGCATATAATACAAATTTAATCAGAATTTTATTTTTAATTAATATAAAAAATGAAAAGAGATTTATAAATAATACTATTAAAATAGAAAACATTATGAGAATTAATATTTTAGTTAAATTAATTTTTGTGCTAAAATTGAATAACAGTGAATTTAGAAATTATTATCATATTAATAAACTCATCCTAACTACATAAAAAGTCACTCTTTTTGAGTAGAATATTAATAGAATAACAAAATGATATTTTTCTGATTTTATTGATCAGAAGTTGTTTAATATTAATAAATTTAATTGGATAATCTAAAATAACATTACCAAAGATTATTCATATAATTTACAGATTTTACTAAAAATTAATTCTTAATGTAACTGCATTTCAATGCTAATATCTAAACTAATAATAAAAAACAAACTAATAATTGTAGAACCAAAAATAGTATTTAATATGTATTCATATTCCAAAATTGTTTAGATGATACTTAATTTTAATCATTATTACATTAAAATATAAGTATATCAATTTTAATCAATTAATAATCATCAAAATATTCATAGTTTTGATAATATTCTCTGCCTTCAATAATTTATTTGACACACAAGCTTATATAAAATCAATAAATCTGAAATTTTTCTAAATTCCTTCTGAAATGAAAAATTGTTATGCAAACTGATTTAATAATTAAGAGATTGGATTTTAGGGTATGGCATCATCATTAGATATAAATTTGGCGCAATAAAAATCTATTAGAATACAAAACATTGATGTGTATAAATTAAAGTATTTTTAACGAATATTAATTAAAATTAATGATCCAAGGAGGAGTATTTTCATAGTGTCTGCAGGAAATAAAGGAAAATTGTCCTCCTTTGCAACGTGTGAACTACAGTCATAAAAAATCATTTAAACATTGCTTGGAGTCAATCACTTAAAAGATTCCAATTGTAAAATCAATCCACAAACTCCGATTAGATTAGGAATAAAAAATATATTAGAATATTCATAGAGTCAAGAAATTGAATTTAATGCAGGAAATACATCAGGTAAATCCTAAACTGCACAATGAGTTAAAATAGATTTAGCATGATCAACTGACCCTAAAGTTTGGTATTGAGTCAATTATATAAAAGCCGAATACAAACAATAGCAAGAGCAATATGTGGAGGTATTGTCAGATACTCAGGATAGTTACATTAAGTATCAACAATAGTTAGAACATCATGGATCGGGATTAAAGATATTTCAAACCAGACCTCTCATTCGGAATATAATGGAAGAATATGATTAGGAGGAGAGTACCTACAGTGATTCTTACATCAATAAATATTTGGATCTTAATTGAGTATTATATAATTAATTGACCTAAAAATAATAATGCGAACAAAGTTTCACACTCTGTCGATGCCTTGCAAGAGGAGCATGTTGTAATCTGAACATTCGGAAGAATATATAAATAAGTAATAGGCTAACAACTCGAATTATACTAAGTTAAGACTGGATGATTTAATAATTGATAAACCTTAGGAATTTAGAATAAAAACTAGTTCAGACATCAAAATGTCATTAATATTAGAAAATAAAAGACGTTTAGCATAACCTGCAAACATAGAATGGATGTACAATTATAAATCTAGTACAAAATTGCATAAACAATCTAAAATGAATGAATATCTAAAATCAGTTATAGAAGAAAATAAATTAAGACCTACTATTGGACAATTACCAGATGTGAGAATAAAATCAATGACTCACACTGACTTTATCAAAGAAAAGTACGATTTCAGGAAGAAAATATTTTAGAATCCGAGGAAAGTTCGATCCAAATTCAATTGATTATGTGTTTATCTTGATGTTTAAATTAAATCTCATATAATAGATATTATTAAGTAATATTGTATCCAAAGATGAAACTAAATCTACTGCTACAGTAATTAAATGATTTTAACATTAATTTCAAAGTACGAATAAATTTCGAGTTAATATAATAAGATATATGATGAATATTATAAATCATACATTAAATTGAATTAAGTTAATTTCTTCAGTTAGTATTGCATAATCATACTATTTTTGATCAACATTCGAAGCCACTTTATCTATTTGTTACTTTAGAGTTTGAATTTCAGAGTCTATTAATTGTTTTTCTTATTGATCTCCCTTTAATTCTCTAATCTGTATATTAAGATCAACTATTTTTTAGAGATCATCTTTAAGTTGATTTTTAAGTGAAACATTTTCATCAAATAAGGTTTTGTATGTTTTTAATTTTGATTTAATCTGATTTCTGAATTCGTCTGACTTCGTTTCTATAAGACTTTTTTGTTATTATAGACTGCTATATTGACTGAACAATATTTGATTATCGCATTATATTTTCATAATTTACTCACTTTAAGCTCTGTATTTCTATAACAACTATTATACAGCATAAACAATGGAATCACAGTCCTATTAGACATCAAGTAGTAATGATAATTCTTTGACCATTTATTTGTATTATGCTAATTGGATTTCGTCAATTTATCTAGAACTCTATCTTGGAGTAACACTATTTTTATTTTGAAATTCCATAATAGGTTAGGGTGGATCTATTCTGTGATCTGGACTACTTTGAAATTCTTCGCTTTCATCGAGTATGCTATTTTGCATAATTTATTTATAATCTTCCAATATTTTTTATTGTTTTATGCTTGAAGCACTACTTTTACTTAAATTGCTGCTAGTAGGTTATAGTAATTGTTATTGTGGTTGTTATTGCAGAAATTGTTGCTATTATTACATCACAACAGGTTGAGGTTGCGGTTAAGGTGGTAATTTCTTATGTTAAGGGGAGCGAGATGGTTAATTTTTGTTGGGCTAAGGACTTCCATAACGTTTTTTGTTTATGATTGGTTCTGACTTGTTTACTGACATCATATGATAATTATCCATCCTATTGTTGATAACAGGGATTTATTTCGCAGAGTTTCGTACTTCTGTAGTGCATCGCAATACGAGATTCATAATGTTACCATGTTCAAGTTCGATTTTATGAGATACTTCTCTTCCTTGGACATCATTAATAAGGAGTTTTGAACTTCCTAAAAGTTTGATGTACCCTTGTTCATCAGGGGTTTCAATATAAAATTAGAGCTAAGTATTATAATGACTAGAGGTTTACAAATTTAGTGTTTTGGGTGTCAAATACATATTGATGAGGCTAGGAATATTTGATTATTTTTTGAGTTGATGATAACTATTAATACAATATTTCTTTCCTTTCACCTGATTATATTTAAGAAATGTACCGCATTTGACTCCAATGTTGATTTAGCAATTGCCCAATGCTTATTTTAAGCTGATTTACGAAATTGATATCTCTATCATATAATGATAGTTAACTAATATAAATTATTTAATATATTATTTTTAACTGAATGATATTTTATATACATATTATGATCTATATATATAGTGTTTTTAGATGATTAAAATAATTAATGAATAATTTTGATTTCAGCAATTAAACAAGGTTTATAATATTATATTTAATAAACTATTTAGACCTAATATATAAAATTAGAATGAAATAGCAACAGTCACAATTAATCCAGCCACTAGATTATCATAACTTTTAATACTATTAATAATTACTAATGCATATATATTGATTTACACAACTTATTTGATGTTGGAATACGAGCTTATAATTATGATAGTGTTCTATTGGATAATCGATATAATAGTTATTTTGACTCTATCGATTCTGAAAATCAAGTTAACATACTCTTAATAATATAGATATAAAATTACAGTAGGCAATCTTTTGATTGACACATTCCTCGCAGCAATTTTCAAAACAATAATTCTCGTCAATTTCACCTACTCAGAACTGGACATCCAATATTTCAGTTATGTTATCATGGCATATTATTTCATCAGATCTGTGGTTATTAATATTAGAAAAATCGCAATCAATGAAACCATCACATAATACTCCTTTGTATATGCATCCATTTATTTGTAGCTTGTTTAAGGTGTAAAAATACTGTTGGTACTCTAATTGATGCTAATAACCATGAGATGGAAGTGCACCATTTATTGGAGTTGGTATACAACATTCAGTATTGCTTGGGGTTTATTAGTTATATTTTTTATCGTGCACTTTGTTTTTCTACTCTCAATCGGAGAAACCTTGATAGATTACTACAAAAAGAAGACAACCAAAATATAGTTGATAGGGGGAATATGGTTAACATTTTATCTATGTGGATTTAGCGGAATTCCAATGTGGTTCTGTTATATCATCTGTTAGAACCAGGAAGTCAATTCCTTTCCGACTGTCAATTAAGCAACCTTATTGTGCATCTTGATTATTTCATATAACTTTTCACTTCTTGTGGTCACAGTCATCTGCAAACTCTAACTTATGTAAGATCTACCATTAAATATCGTAGACAATTTATCAAAGATGTAGGATTTGACAATGACAGTCAATAGGAACCAGTTGTATAAGAAGAAAAACTACCCTATCAATTTCTCAAGATTTCCTTGCCTTAAAAACTAATTCAAATATCCTCAACTTACTTTGATTTTGTCTAAGACTCAAACAAATAATAAAATAAATAGCAACAGCAACAGCAATAGCATATATCCAATAGCAACTTCAGTGTGATTAATCATAAGGCCAGACTCAAGGCTTTCGAATTCATGGCTAAGACCGAATAAATCAATTCACCAGTAGAAAGAGAGTCAGGACTTGTGAAAAGCGAAGAAAAATGCTAGGTTTGCTTTGAAAACTAACCTTAAATTGTTATGCTTCCTTGTTAACATGGTGGCATTTGTGATGATTGTCTATAAAAATGTTTAAAGAAATCACCAAATTGCTACTTATGTAGAAATGTATCTTATCAATATTAACAAAGAAAATTCAAAAATTGCTTCGAGTTTCGAAAGAGAATTCTGGGAAATTTGCAATTAATGACATTGCATTATGTGATGCCTGAAATTAATACTCTATTAAAATGCGCTTTATTATATAATTTAAAATTAAATGAGTTTAAAAGAAATTGTTACCATATAAAACATACTTGAAGCACTCTAAACTGATGATGCTGAAAAGCAATTACGAAAGAAAAAGCTGTTTGCCTTCATCATAGATGCATCCAAGCCTAAGAGACTCCATGGCCAAGGAGATTACATGTAAATGATCAAAATTATGGATGATTCCTACAATGGATACCTGACCCTATTCTATTTCTTCAAATCTCTTTCCGAGGCTGCTCCCCTGGACACCATTGGGGATATTGTCTTCTTAAAAAGATACCATTACTAATTGTTTAATGGGGAACCTCAAGGGAGAAGAAATAGTTTCAAGACTTCATATTTCTTATTGTTTGATGCAAATACATTGGAATTGAAATTCAACCCCTAAGATAGTACAGAACCCTCCAATGAAGAATTACTTTGCATATAAAAAATCTCAAATCATAGTTAATCATATTTGGCCTAAACCAGCTGTAAGTCAATCTATTTATTTAGTAATAAACCTCTATTGGTATGGAGTAACAAACGCAATCTATGATGGATTATTTTCAATATAGGAATTGAAGGATGAAAATGTAGTTTAATTAAGGGACTCCAAAAACGATCAATACACCCTATTATGTTAGGGATTGGTTGATTTAGAAATCCAAGAAGGAGCTATCATTAAATTAAGAAATATCTAAATGTAATACCAACTTTGATTATCATTATAGTTCCAATGAAAACGAGATCTTAATCACTGATAAAACCAATATCATGTTGTTACCTAATTTCTGTTATGATGTTTAGCATTTTGAAGAAATCAATCAAGTATTTCCTAAAATAGATTTTTAACAGGAAAACTATTAAACAATAACAATAGGATCATGTAAAACTTTAATAATTAATTTTGTATAGTTACATAAATAAAGAAAAAATATGAAAATTAACAATATGTTCCATTGATCAATCTGATATAAAAATAAGTTAAAGAGAGCATCATTGTGGTTTAGGGACAAGTTCAAAGCATCTACCCTACTTCGGTGGAAGAGGCTTTCATATTTTACAATAAATTCAAATCATTTTCTTACAAAGAAGTCATAGCAAATGGTTTGTAAATATCAGGATTACAAAAAACATTACAAATATAAATTAACATAAGAGATGCTTCATTAGAGGGAACAACCTATGTAATACAATTATTGATTTTTGATAATCCTTCTTTCTTTCCTTTCCCATTGGTTTGGGACAATGTCGAGTATATGCAAGCTGAATATCAAAAGGTAATTATTGTATTAGAAATGATTTAGTTACTAGAAAAGTTGATCCTGGAACAAGACTAGACACATGACTTTGTTTTGGAAGTAATTGAATCGCCTGAGTCTACAATTTATAGAGTAATTGATACAAAAGTTATTTATTGATATTCAATTTATTAATTATTGTCTTGATTGTGTCTATAAAACTATAAAGAAATCACGTTTGTTCCAGTGTGGGAATCAACAAAATGGCGTTATTGAATGAGACGATATTCTCATTTATGTTTATTAATTAATTTAATGTAAAATCCTAGTATCCTGAATTTACAATAAGTGAAATAGTTTTAAGTTAGAAGACCGTAAATAACGAAAGGTTCTCCTCTGTTGAAAGGAAATCAAGTGTAGATTGCAGGTACAATGTGTGTAAATGGGATAGCAAACATTCGTAATTAAAGCTTGTTGAGTGATCAACCCCAGCACTTAAAAATAAAACAACAAGAAGAATAAGAACTGTAATGATTGATAATTATTTAAAATAGAGGCATGCACAACCAATTCGAGAGAAGAATATAAAAGCAAAACTAGTTTGATATAAAGTAACAAGTAATTAGTTTCGTAATAATGTGTAGGATAACATCTTCTAATTGAAATTAAGTAATGAGCATCAATTGAATTAATTGAATATGCAACTAATAAAGAAGAATAAAATTCTAAGCAATAGACTTCAATAATAATATAAAGTATTTAAATGATTGCAATAAGATTAATGAATCTTATATGGAATAAATTAATAAGCTGCAGGAAACCAATCAAGCTTATGAATAGCAAATTCATTAATTGGAAGAGAAAATAAAAAAGTAGAAATCAAAAAAGAAGCAATTGAAGGAATAGATCGACCAACTCTAATAAGAATTGGATGAGATGCAAGAGAAGTATCAGAACAATTCCAACTAAGATATGAACTAAGAGGTATGCGTTTATCTCACCCAAGGATGATCAATAATAATAATAGTAATAGAATCACATTCCTCTTACAAGACAGCAACTCTATTAGTTAATGCAATATTTATACCAGGGAGATTAGTAATAGTTAGAGAACTTCCACGAATACTAGGATTAAGAAATCGATCCAGATGCAATGACTTATGAGTAGCTCTTGGAATTGGAAGAATAGATAGGGTAAAAATACTGATTTAATTAGTAATGTGCCCAAGGGATTAACCAAATAATAGATTAAACAACTGCCAAAACGAACCTTGAATCATGACAGTATGCCAGAAGACAAGTAAGAATCTCAATACCAATCTTAGATGTTCAGTATGCTTGTTCGAATTCAAGGAAGAGGAGAAGGTGAGAGAATTGCCTTGCAAACACATATATCATTCTAGTTGTATAAAGAATTGGTTACAGAACAATAAGCAATGTCCTCTGTGCAAAACGGAAATCGAAATCCAAAAAAATGATGGTGAGGAGTAGTTGAATTAGCAGGATGAACCAGATTAAGGGGATGAACCATAAGTAGAGTATGATCAACAACAGTTTGAAATAGAATGATTCTTGATAATTTTACATAATTAATATATATTTCATCAATAAACTATACTAATCTACATTCATTATGACTTTTTTTGTTATAGGATTCTTTTTATCAAATTCACAGTGATAGCTGTTATTATCAATGAAATTCCTAAACACATTAGACCAAAGACTATTTATTTCTTTGAAATTGATCCTTGCATCCTAGACAGAAAATCGTATTTTGCTATGAGGAATGATCTCTCTCTTTTGATATCATCAAGCATACTATTCAATTTCTTCATGTGACCGCCCATTTAATTTAAATCTGAGATTTTGGCTACTTTCTACATGTCTGCTAATTCAGATCCCGTCTTGTATGTGATATTAAAGAGGATGCCGTCATTTTCCAAATTTATAAAGCAATACTTCATATGAGAGGTTTTGTGATTTGATTAATGTTGATAATTGTGTTCCCAAGCTCCACTTCTTTCGTATAATGGAACGTATTTCTTCTATTCTGATTCTTCGAGTTTCACAGAATAATTTGAAGAATTTGCTCTTACTCTCAAATCGAATACATCATCCTGAGAAAAGTAATCTTCGAAGCATATTGATTATCCTCTCTCCACTTCATAACCAAATTACACGCCCTCAACAAGCCCAACCAAGAGTAGCAAGATCATTTCAGGTTTACTTTTATTATTTGATGTTTATTAAATATAACAAATTTACTAAAACCAAAAAAGATTATAGATATAAAATAGAGCTCATTCAACTTTCCTCTTTAGTTGGTATTTTTATTGTGAGATTCTTCTTCTTGTTTATCACTGCAGATGAAAAATTCTTTACTTTCCTTTTTATTGCTATACTATCCTCATCCCCTTTTGGAGAACATTATTATGGATTTGTTGGAGGCCTGGCTTGTCGATCAGTTTTGTCTGGAATTTCAACATACGCCTTAGGCATAGGCTTATTATTCAAATTATTAATGGTTCTGATCCTCAGTTTTCTCCATACACAAAATATCCCAACCACTACTAAAATAGATGCTGCACATATTATTGACACAAGCAATACAGTATCGCTTATCATTTCTTCTTTCAATTATTTAATTATTTATAATAATATATATATTCAATATTAGACTTATTCTAAGATTATTCCTTCTACTGATTACTTCAAAATTACATTACCTACATTCATTATTAACTCTGCTCTATCATTTCCCACTAGATGATCTTTATATTCCCACTCTTAAATCTCTCAATTATATATATCTTAAAGTATTAAATTAATAATGTGTAGATTGCTTATTTTCTAATCGATATCACTTAATTTGTTTTTTAAAGTACGGTTTTATCATTATTAAACTATTTTTATCTCGATAAAAACGATTTCCATTTCGAAATTTTTGAAATATGAATCACTTAGAATTAGAATTCGGATTAAGTTAAATTTTGTATAGAATATAACAATTGTGTTTGGGATAAATATTTCTGAAATAAATGCAAAATTATTTTTGATTAGAATTTTGTTCATATCAAGAAAATGAATAAATATATAGACATAAAATTGTAGGATAATTTTTAAAGGATTGTTTTTGAAAGTTAATACTATTGGTTATGTATTGTAATTGAGGAATCATTATAAATTTCAGCTTTAATAGTTAATTAATTTTAATTTTATGAATACAGAAATAGAGTTGGACAAATAAAATAACATCAGCAGTCCTTTGATAAACAATAAAGAAAACTAATAAAAGAGTGGTTAAATTCCTATTAGAAGTTCTTCAATCTATTAAATAAATTAGGATTTGTTACGTTCTTAAATAAACGATCAACTTGATAAATCCCTTTCAGAATTTGTAATATTTATTGAAGTATCAGTAGTAATCAATAGAGGAGTTGAGAAAAGTGATGCCCTTCGTTAATTACGGTAAGGCATTGAATATGCTTCTGAAGGCGACGCAGGAGGGAGAAGTTGAAGAATTCTTAGTAATTTTGGATGATTTGAAAATTAGAAAGGAGAAATTAAAATTGGACGAGTTATTGGATCAGAAAAAGTAAACACTACTTCACATCGCATGCTTTAAGAATTAGCCCGCAGTGGTGGAGAAATTGTTGGAAACTGCGAAGCAAAATTCTACATAAAATCAATTTGAAGAATGGATAAATAGAGTCAATTAGGACCAATTTGCATCTGTTCATTTTGCAGCCTATGTGGGATCTATATCAATCTTGGAGATGCTTAAGGATGCTGGAGCAGATCTAAACATAAAAAATTCTCAAGGTTAAAATGCTTTGTCAGTAGCAGCTTAAGGTGATTAAGTTTAAGCGATGGTATGGTTATATTTATAAGGTCAATCAATAGTTGAGTAAGATTCACAAGGAGGAACGCCTTTGCATTGGGCAACGTATTTTGATAGTCTTTTTGCCCTCCAATTTTTGTTGTCATGGTTGTCCAAACTACCGAACTACAGCTATTATATAAATTTGAAGGATGGAGAAGGTATGACCCCTTTGCACTTGGCTGCTGTGACTGGGAACTGTAGAATTGCGAAGAAATTACTACAAAAGGGAGCTAATAAAAGTATAAGAGATATTAAGAACTAAACTCCTGCTGAAGCTGCTTTTGAAAATCAATAAAATGGAGTTTTTGAGATTTTGATGTCAAATAATTGCTTATTAGAATTCCTGAATATAAAGCCAAGGTATTTGTAGTGAATACTAGGATAGCATCAAACCTCCCTCTGTAAGTTGGACTTAAATCATAGCTTTTTTCATAATCTACTTTTATTGTATGATAGGGACTATTTTATTTGTGTATCCATTTTATTTCAAACACGAATGGCTTTAGATTTTGTCAGTCTTTTCCTTTTTGTTGGGTATAATACTGTACTTCTTGACCATGTTCTTGCATCCTGGTTTTATTGAGAAATCCACAGATTAATAGCAGTTGTTTAAATTATTGAATGATAATGAACCTTGGGAAGTGTGTTAAGAATGTCTAATAAAGAAACCAGAGAGATCTAGACATTGTGAATTTTGCAAAAGGTGTATCGTAGTATATGATCATCATTGTCCTTGGGTGAACAATTGTGTAATGATTATGTTCATTCTAATAGATTGGAGCAAAAAACTACTTTATTTACTTTTCCTTTATTTCTATAATTTGGATAAATTTGATTCATATTTTAATACTAAATAGTGCGTTTATTGGCCAGGAATACAGTGATGGCAATCCGATTTATAGTTGGTTCAATAATATGATAGAGTCTCAGTCGAATACTTTATTTATAACCAAGATAGTTGTTTAATCAATAATAATATTTTTAAGTGTTTTGTTCATAATAGCAGTGTCTCATTTACTTTATGGATAAATCATAACATTATTTACAAACAGGACTACATTTGAGAAGTACAAGCAAGCTGAAAACTTATAATCCAACAATGGGAAGTCAAAAAGTTAGAAACAATTGTAATATTTCATATAATATTAGATCATAACAATCAATTAAAGCTGAAGATCCGAAGATATAATGTTCTTGTGCTAATTGTATATTGATGTGTTGTGGAAATGCTAATAACCCTGCGTTTTAGTGAAATTGAAATCATGGAGTGTGTATAATATCTCAAATATTATTATATATGTGAAATTCAGTATAATCTAAAAATCTTGTTAGTTATCAATGTTCAAATAATAATAATAATAATAATTAATTTTAATGTCATACATTGGAATCAATACATCAGGTGGCATCAACCCTTGCATCACATTCTATGAGAGAATGCAAGCTTGTATCAATAAGGAAAATTTGCCAAACAAAATGGGTGTGCAATTGAAGGATTGGACTTTTTAGAATTGTGTCAATCGAAGGAAATAAGTAAAGCAAAATTGAATAATTTATTAGTATGCACTCAATTACAAAATCCAATAAGAATTACACAAGAACAGAATATTAGTATTACCAACTTATGATGTCGAAAATGATAGGTTTGTATCAAAATATTAAAATGCAACAGAAGTGTTTTAATAAAAGCATTGAAAATATACAAATACACAGAAATATTAAATATCCAAAATACTCATTATTATGATGGTAACTTAGCAGGCCTCAATAGAAAAGCTTCAAGATCTTCCCAAAATGCATTTACCACATCAATATCTTAGTACCTTTTGCTTCTATGCAAATCGAAAACCTTTACATTCCATTATTTGATCAAATCTTTCAGTTTCTCCTCCTCAAACTTTAAGTGATAACCTCTGATGCTAAGTTTGAGATAGTATTACAAATTACTTTTTAAACAATTGATTGGGGTTTTAATCTGGGAATTGTTTCAACTCGTAGGTAGATCCCCTTAAAAACACTGCAACCACTCTTTTCCAATTAGTTATTGTATTGGGAGTATCCAATATTAAAAATTATTATTCGCTATAATTAAAACCATTATCTTTACATGTCAGTCAATCTCAACTTCACTTTAATTTAAACAGATCTGGATTCGTTAGTGAATTTCAATCCATTTGGATCCAGATATTATCCTTACTCTAGAAACTACTACACATTCTTCAAACAAAGGTTTCCCAATTCCGCTATTTGAGGCACTATAATAATGGGCTTCTCCTTCGATTTAATGAATTCATTCAACACAGAATAAGATAATTTAGCAGTTGATAGCTATTTAGCCTTGTTAACATCTTAAGTTCTAGTTCCAAGAATTTACTACAATTCCTCTTCATCTCCGCCTACTCCTACATACTAGCCTTAAAAGATCTTTATATGTTATGCTTATTATAAATACTTTTTAGGATGTTTTCAAAATGTCATCAAATGTCCTATCTTAAACTCTAAATAATCTATTTCTCGTGGTAATGGGTTTTTCGAATCTCAAAATCTCATCAAACACCTTTAAATTGAACTCTTTCTCAGTGAGTGGCTAAATCTATATCATATATATACCTCCTTCTCTGAATCAGGCTTCACCTTTTTTTAACTAGCAAACTCAACATCCTCATCCTTTTGGAGGGCTTTCTTATTGTACAAGGAGGCCTTCTTGTCTGCATTGATACAATCTGTATAATCGACTTTGCCAGTGAAATATTCAATTATGTCTTGATTATCTGCCTTAAACACCTATTCAAAGTTTAGATCCAATGCCTTTTTTCTATAATTTTTTTATTCCAGCCCTTGCAAATGACAATCCAGAAAACACCACAACGCTCCAAGAGTATATTCCTAACCTGATTTCGACTTCCAAGCTGTTTCCTTGTATTTATGATAACTCAATTACAGTCGAGCATTTGAATTCGATATTATTATCAAAGAGCAGTCTATGGTCGGTATTTTTGCTTTTCAATTTAATTTGCTTATGATGAATCACATGATCTCTTAACAATTCTAAAGGGTCATTCCTTCCTTTCCTAAACATTAGAATATTATATTATAAATTAATATATTTCTGATAAACAAAAGTATTATTATTTTATTATCTTTCATATAGTAAGCAATCAAATAGATGTACAACTCCCTCTTATCTCTGATTACGGGGACGAATTCATTAAAATATCTTCTTATATATAATATTTCAAAGTTTTGTACAAAATTTAAACTCTTAGACTATATTATTATATAAATGAACAAAAGTCAATGTTATTTGCCTAATCAAAAATAGTTTTATGCTCCAATCATATTGACATTGAACATGATGTATCTTTCAGGAATGCTATCAGTTGCTTTAAACTCTTAATTATAAAATGGAATTTTATACTTTGGTTGCGCAGTTGGATCAAGGTTATACAAGTAAGAAAATATTTTTAATTTGTAATCAGATACATCTAAAGGTTTTCAAATCGTGTAGTATTTTACATCTCTGATTTCATACTTTTGGTTTCATTACTGCCAATCTATTTTGTATATCCTTCTATAGCACCACAGCCAGACCTTGGTAATTTAGCATTAAATTTTTTAATTGGAATTGCTGGAGGTATTAATTTAATATAAGTGATGATGTATTTGAGATTGAAATATACTGATGAGGCGATCTCCTTTTTCTCATTATTCATTCCACTATAATTTGCTATAGGGAGCATTCTAAATGCAATTTTAAGTGCAGAAAAGATATACTTTGTAACAATACTTATCTACTTATGCGCAACTGGTGCAAGGATATTGTTGATATCAATAATACCTTTTTCGGGTTTGTCATAAAATGTGAAATAATTAGAAGAGGAACTATTGCAAAGGAATTAAACTACTGAATTACAAGTAAACTAAACTGAAGAGGGACATGAGAAATTTCTTCAAGCCTTTTTAAAAAATTTCAAATATTTAATTTTAGTCATAATCTTTTAGACTTCTCTGATTCAATTTTAATATCATCCATCATAATTATTTATGATCATCTTTAATATGATATTCTACGACTCAATAGACAAGAATAGATTAATTGTATTAGGTTAAATTAGTGTATGTTTTGGATACTGCTCTAATCTCACTAGTTTTTCGAATTCAGGCTATTATTTGGGATTAGGCACTCTTTTTTATCCAATTGTGTGTAAGATTTCAACTTCAGAACTAATAGTAATTGCTGAGATTAGTTGGATTATAAGATTAGCAACTATGTGTTATATAGCAGTGATGTAAAAGATAAGTTACAATCTATTTTTATTGGATAGTGAAGTCTAAAATAACGTCTTCTTTATTCTCAATTTTGTTAGTTTGACCTTATTAATTTCATTACTATTTTATTCAGTAATTCTTAATATCATTCATTATTATAGAAAAAACCAGAGAAAACGAAAGTGGAGGAGGAAGTGATTATGGAAGTGCAAAATACATAAGAACTTAATGAGAGTTGATCCAATTTTACCAGTAAATATTTGAATATCATATATTAATGAATAAAATATATTTCCCAAAAAGAAGGAGGGTTCTTTAATGTTCTGAAACTATCACTGAATTATAATTATAAACAACTCAATCAATGGCTGTAAGAAATATCTTTTAATGCTCAGTCGACCAATTATGAGGTGCCTAAAATTATCATTAAAACAGAGGAGAGTGAAGGAGTTTCGATTTCTAAGGATACTAGATTAAAATTTGGAATGTGTTTTGTGATTTTTATCTGAAGAGTTTTTGAGGAGAAAACAGACCCAATAAAATAGAAATACAGAAACCGCAATCAATCGAGCTTATATACATGAAGTTCGATTATAAATTCATACTCCATAAACTTTTGAAAATAGTGAGTTACATAACATTAAACATATGCATTCATTCTTATAAAAGGGCTTTAAACTCAATTAAATTGTCAAGAACTAGCTGATAAATAATGATCTAGAATTAATTTAGTATATTACAAATTATCCAAAATATGATCCATATAAAGATAAAGATTTTCAACAAAAAAATTGAATAAGATATTCTTGACGCTGCTGTATTATCCTCAAATAAAAAAATTAAAATTCCTTTAAGGAAACCATCTTAGTCTTTTAAATAATATAAACAACAAAACTAAGATTTAAATGCTTCCTTAGATTCTCTAACTGATGACTAATCCTTAAATCCAATGTAGACAATCTATACTGATAAAGTATGATATTTATTAGAAAAGTTACTTGAAAAATAATACACAGATAGATTTAGCAAAACGATCAAGGCTATTTAAAAAATTAACAATTAAAAAAGTAATTCTAAGATTTTATAATAGTGACATTGTTCTAAAAATATGTAAAACTTGAAGGAATATCTCCAATCTGAAAAATGATATTAAAATTTTGTATTTAGCCAAATATTATTCATCATTTAATTATTAAGAACTCAGGTTGGAATTTGAGTTCTTGAGCGCATCCATGACAAAGGTATCTATTTTAATCTGTAATTTAAAATTTCTAGCGTTTAGGTTATGGAGCAACTTATTTGTTTTTCTCCAAAGTATATTCTATAGAAGGCAATTAAGACTTAAGTGACATACATTTACAAGTGGCTTAGGCTTATATAGCGAGCAATTGCCATTCAACTTTTTCACAACTTTTTATAGATCCGATGAGCCATTAAGTTTTTTCTGGCAGTTATTAGATATAGTTATGATAGATTATGCTCATTTGTTTTGAGCATTTTTTACATTCTGATTGAAATTAATAGATATTTTATTATTATTTTTTAGGAGGGGAACTTGAAAAATATTCTAGGCAGGAGGGGCATTTCAATTTAAAGCATATTGAACGTATTCTAAATTCTGAAAAGCCTTCTCCTTTGATGGACAACTATATTCTTTAATCTCCTTGGCTATAAATTTCTTCTTTATTCTGTTTAATCTGTATAGGCAATATATCTGACTAATTGCTTCTGTCCATAACTTGTAGGCTAGCACAATCCCCCCTGTCTTTTTGGATATCTTGTCGCTAATTTTGATGATTATTTTATAATTAAGTATTCTAATTTATCATCTTTTTTAATTCATCATTGAAATCTTGGTCTTTTTTATTGTTGATGACTAGTTCCCCATAATTCCCCTCAACTTACACCACTTTAACCCCTATTTGTTTAACTTTCGATACTTTATTTACTTATTCCATTTTATTTTATGCATTCATGGCTAACTATATATGAAACAATTTAATACTTTTGTTTCCTCCCATTCAAGAAATTCTGGAACCGTATAAAACATGGTAATAATATTTTAAAATCTTATTCTAATAAAATAAAAAATTTAATATAAATACAGAAAAAATAGAAAAATTAAAATAGATAAACTCAGAAACCTAATATTCATAAATTTATTGAATAATAAAAAGCTCCCTAATTATTTGAAAATATATAGATATATATATAATAATTATTCTTATTATTCTACCCTGTCAGGAGAAGAGAAAACATCTATATATTAAATCATAGAATCTTTTCATAACTATATGCTCCTTTTTTAATTCTTTTAATTCATTTTCTATCTTTCTGATATATTTAATCACTCCTTTAATTCTTTCCTAAGATATCAATTATTGATAGTTGATTAAAGGAGTAATGTAATTTAACCTAAAAAGATTATGTAGAAATTTTATGAGTTCTTAAGATACTTTTGATACGCAAGAATGACAATTATTGTTTAAATTGTAAGAAGTAAATGATTTGAATATACACTTGTAAACCCTAATGCAAGTAAGGAAAATTAATATTAGATTTTGAGTTTTTATCTCATGTAAATTTATTAAAGAATTATTAGAAATTTTTCTAGGAAAATGGAATAGGCTTAAATTCAGATATAGAAATATTTAGAAGATTCATACTTAACTTAATATCCAAGCGCTATCCTTGATGTTCAGAATGTACTCATCAACGATGCCAAAAAATAAAATGTTAATGTCATACAATTACTTCTGAAGGAGAATATTTTCCATCCTCAAGGAGGTGGTTAACCAGACGATGAAGGTTAGATTAAGATAAATGATAAGTATAGAATATGTTATATATTAAGTTTAATCAATGTAATGTCTCTCTAAAATGACAAGGCAAAATAGCAAGTCCTATTGAATTTACAACATTAACAATAACTATTTGATCTTCTTATTGAAGCAAAATAATAAAATCAAGCTGTCATTTAGATTGTGAATGAATAGCAAAGAAGAAACTATGCAAGACTTCATTCAGCTGGTCACTTCATAGATATGGTAGTAAAGAAACTTGGCTTAAAGTGGACTGGAGCCAAGGGTTATCATTTTCCTGATGGAGCATATGTTGAATACACAGGAACATTAGAAGGAAAACCTGAAGATATATAAGTATCCATATAATAAACTTGCGACTAATTATTGAATGAGACTGAAGAGAACGATAGTAAACAAGTGGAATTCTTGAATGAAGAACAATTGAGTCAGAGGTTGGGGGGAGAAGTACCACATTATTTCAAGGGGGCTTAGAATGTAAGATATATTAAGTTGTGTAAATACGATGATGGATGTCCATGTGGAGGTACTCATGTGAATCATGTTAAGGAGTTGATTAAAGTGAATATTGTGAAGATATAGAAGAAAGGAAAGTTTTTAAGAGTGTCTTACAAGGTGTAATGATTTATAATAAGAGAGAATCAGTTAAATAATTATCTAAATATATATTTGATCTAGTGTTTGAGTCTTTGTGGAGTAGTTCAAATAAATAATTCTGTTTATTGAGGTAAACATCAAATAATTAAATGTATTATTTTATTATTATAAAACGAATTTTCTAATGATTCTAATACTCTTGGGTGTAATTTAATTGATTTAAGCATCATCAGAAAACAATTAAAAACCAGTTAATTTGAGTAAATTTGCGAAAGTGTTTGAACATTATGTATGATAAAATAATATATTGAGAATCAATCGAATCAATTCAGCAAATCATTATTTACTTAATTAAAGTCCAAAGTTTTAAATGGAGCAACTATTCAAGATCTGGATGACCATTTTGCAGAATTGGTTGGACATTTGGAAAAAGATGAGTTCTCACAACAATAATTATATTAAGTTGAGTAAGCTAGATTAGAAGGAACAATCTTATAATTAGAAGATGAATTAAAATAATTGGAGGAATAAAATGCATATTTAATTTAAAAATAGGAGACTTTGAATGAAGAAGCCCAATAAATTGATGTTTTATTTAGTGCCAATCACGAAGCATACATTTAAAAAATCGGAGAGCAATACACTTTAATCGAAGCCATTGATGAGTTAATATCATAAGTTTAGGAGAAACAGACCATTAAAGATGACAGTGATATTATGGAGAAGTTAAAATAGATTAGTGAAGATCAACATATAAGCATTTTGGCTTAAGTGACTGCTCATTTAGATATGGAATAAGCAGATAAAATCTTAGTTCTATTCTAGGATTTGAAAGACACTCTAAAGGAAGGATTAGAAGTAGATGAATAAAATAATGAATTAAATGTTAAATTGCACACAGAAATTAGACAATCCATAGGCAGGTATGATTTAAGAATCAATTATTTTAGTATGATACCTGAAACACTCATTTAACAAGAAGAAATCCTAAATTCTATAAAAGAACAATAAAATACTTTATCAATTACAAAAATGGCTTTAGAAAAGCTTAAGTCTGATATGGATGAAGTCACTTCAGATAGGTATTAGTATAGTTAAATCGAATAGAAACTTTGCTTTGCTTTAAATTTAATAGGCCAAATCAATTTTAAAAGACAACATTCAAGATTTATCAGATCCTAAATGATATTACATATTTTGAAAACCTAATGCATTTATCAATTGCTATATTAACAAAATTGTTAATCTACTTCAAATAATCATCATAATAAATCAATATCAAAGGATATCAAATGAATATGATGTATTTGGAAGAGAATTTTCTTCATTATTTGACATCTAAATCTATTCATTTCTTCAATTGTAATCGGTAAGTTGCATAACTTATTCTTTAGTTCATATTATATTATTCAGAGATAGTCAATATATATATATAAGATCATCTTATTTATCAAATAATCTTTATCAGTATAAATATATTTTATCATAATAATTTTTAAGCTGATATTTCCAATAAAGGTTTTAAATCTGGCAAAGGTCTTCTAAACAATTAGCTCGATAAACAAAAATTCTGTGCCGATTTACTGCTATACAAAGAAACCTTGCTTCTATTAGGAACCCCACGAATCTAGTATATTTTTGACTCATTTTACTGATTAACTCTAGAGACATGTTTGTAACTCGTCTTACCATTCTTTGCGTGATAATTTAAATTTCTGACTAGTTTTGCTCAAATACAATGCATTCGTGCTATTCAATTCTGGAAATACACTTTTATTTCTGTAAGGCCTATAAAACCTTCTTTGTAGAGTTTTCTATTCCTGTTTCCGACTTTATGGTAAGCTAAAGATATCTTATTTTGGCAATGAAATCTCAATTCTCATTTAATTATTTCTCATTTATTTATTATTAAGCTTAAAGAAACAAACTTAATGAGTTGTTTTTAATTTTTTTGTTTTTTTATTGTCCATGTTAAATCATTTTTCAATTTATCTATTAAATGAATCTTTTAAACTCCCTATTTAGAACTTATTTAATATGTCATTTTGGTTTTTTCATTTCACTGAATCTTTAATAACATGATTTAGTTTGTAAAGAATTAAATATCATAAAAATAGAATGAAGAATAGGTATAAGATAACAACATTAATTAGAAATAAATATAAAACCTTATATTTGGTGTTGAAATAAAATGTATTTTTGATAAATATTTTTAATCTTAAAGTCATGATATTCAAACTATCTGATTAATAAATTTTATAAAATAATAGGTTTTATCTTTAATATAGATTGTCTATGGAAATAATTTTGTTCTTATTTTAAGTTATCTTACTTATAATATGTAAGTTTTAAATAATTATTCAAATCCGATTGAATTTTTAGTAAGCATAATATCAATATAATATAGAATAGAGTTTTGATGAGGTTTTCTTCTTCATATATAAATTAGCATTATATTTCCTTAAGTAAATAGTTACTTATTTATTAGAATTTTTCATAATATATTTAAATACTCACTTTAATTAAAGCTAATTAAATAAAATATATAATTAAAATGAATAAAAAAATATATTTTATTTTAATATTTAAAGATAATCGGCTTTCGGAATTTAAATTAGAAATCGTTAGTAAAATAGGAATAGATCACACTATCATTTTATAAAATCTGATTTCAAAATTTATTCTATAAACTTATAATAAAGGAAATTTCTTCAGACTTTTAGATATAAATTGATTTATTTAGTTTTCTATGGTAATTTTACCATTTTCTACTTCATATTGTGGAGTTTAGCCTTAAATTTTGATTAACTTTGATCAATTCCATAAATTTAAGGAAAAATTAAAACTCAAAATCACTTATAAAAAATATGAAATTAAACACAAATCAAAAATCCAATATTCCAGATTATAAAAAAAAATGTAGATTTCATATAATTTGTTCTATAAAATTTATTCATATATATAACTTAGTAAAAGAGAATTAACTAGAATTACCTAGCTTACAACAGAATTATTTAAAATTTTTAATAACTATGAATTAGAATAGATATTTTATTTGAAGAAATTTCACCTTCTTTTGAAATAGTCTAAAAAAAAATGAATCAATGTATTTTGAAAAATATTAAAATTGACACTCATTAATAGTTGTTAATATTGAGATAAGATTAAGATTTCTCAATAATAAGGGAATAGTTTAGTATTAACTCCTATATTTTGATTCATCTAAAACAGACCTGGAATTTTAATAATTTACACTGTTTCTTATTCTCTATGTCTTTTCCAGTTAGGACTTCTATGCTCTTACGAGTATATTGATTCATTCAGTTTTCGATCAGGTCGAGTATGTTTTTTATTTTTCGAATGACAAAGCGAACGTTGACTTTTGGTTCTAAAGATAGTGCCTCTTGCAAAACGAACAGATCTTGTTTCAGGGGAACCACTTACACTATCTTTTATTTTGCTATTTTTTTTTAATATGCTTTTCACTGATTTGGCATCATCATCTCTTTCTACTTATAAAGATTAATTGAGGCCTGGGGAGTTTTGTTTAATTTCATCAAAATGACTATGTGTAATACTAGTCCTAAATAATCTTCGTTTTTGTTTTGAGCCTCTTTTGAGAGATTCAATATCATCTTTATTGGATATTTTTCTTAGAGACTCTTCTTCTTGAAAATTATAGAATCTCTTGTCTTTAATGATTCTAGTTTGTACAGTTAACAAGATTTCTTCATCTTCAACTTTTTGATCTAATTCAAGTTTGTTGTCCACATTTTGAGATTACACAATTTGATTACCATTATTGGTTAATTTGGTATAAATGCGATTTGAAGAAGAGGCTTTCAAGGAAATAGTATCTGTTTCTAAGCTTTAGATCTAACATGATCCCATTTTAAGAATTTTTAGTAAAATATAATATAAATAATGCTAATACAAACTTAGAATGCATTCAAATTAAACTTCTCCTCAAGTGATTGAGTTTTGTTCTTTTGGAAGGGGATGACTTATTGGATCTAAAATTTGTGCCTTAAGCGAAATGTACTTTTTTCTATTCAGAGAGAGAATTAAAGCTTTTATTTAATGGAGATTTGAGTATGCTTCTTTAAGATTGCTCTTCATTATTCTCTAATTAGTAACTTATTCTCTGAATATAAAATGATAAATCTAGATTTTAAATCTAAATAAGTTCTCTCTAAGGATTATGTTTCTTTTTGATTCTTCGGGTCTCACTTTTCACAGTCACTGGACTGTCATTGACACGAGAAACTTTGGATAGACAAAATTATCGTTGATGATCTTCTTGAAAATTAAAACTTTTCATTCTTCCTTTACTTTTGTTGATTTTGTTAATAGGGTGATCCAGATCTCTTATTTCTGATTCAGAATTTCTTTAATTTGTGAGATGAGTGTATGTTATACTCAACTTAAGGGATGATAATTTGGTACTTTTACTCATTTCATTTAATGTTCTCATTTTGGATTCTAAAGACATAAGTTCAGAATCTATAGTATCCTAACATACAAATTTAGCACAAGCTGATCCCATTTATAATTATATTTTTAATCATAAATAATCATTTTTAAGATGCGCTTTATGTTCATAAGTCCATTAAGCCATTTATTTCGATTTTAAATTGTTTGCATCCTTCTAATCCCTTTACTCCAGAGCAGATTGAATTCTTTGATCCAAAGATTGATGGTATTATCGTATTCTATTCAGTTTATTTTCATATTTTTGGTTATTGTGAATTCTCTCATCTTATATAAATTATTCCCTGTTTTTCGAAAATCGTTCCCCTTAGGTCATGAACATAGGAGATGTCTTCGGAGGAACAAAATTTACGAATGTGTTTTTGTAAACAGGAGTTGCTCCGAATCTTGTCGAAGGTCGTATATCTGTATGATTGGTCTGAGGCCTGAAAGGTTTTTTGAATTCTTCAGTCAATCTTGACAATTCAGGTAAGAAAGTTTTGGCTGCATTTTGAAAAGTCTTACCAGGTTAACTATTAATTTAAATTAACTGATTTCCAGCATTATCAACTATCGTCATTCCTGCCCTAAGTCTATCATGAAATTCAGTAAAAGTAGCATATCCTTTATTAGATGGATCAACATAATTAATCAATATTCCAATTTCCTATCCATTAAGTATATTCATTTCTTCTAATTTCTATTTCATATCCTACTAAGAAATATAACCATCTTTATCTTTATCGAAATCTTTAAATAACTTATACGCTCTTTCACTTCTGTTGAAAAGTGAGTTTTCAACCTTCATCAACACATCTGACAATTCCTTTGATTAGTTCGGTAAGTACCAAGTCATTCCAGCATCCTAATTGTAAAATTCTATAGACATATTTATTAATTCATACAGATTTATTTTTCAATATCTTATTGTTTATTTTCTATTGCCTATAATAGTTAATCTACCTTGGATACTTTCTCAGGAGGTGCTGGTCCTTTTTATCTCAATTGAGCTCTGTCATAAAATTCCTAGTCAGTTTCACTAAATTAAATGGATCTAGCATTTACTTAAACAATATCCTAACAATTTCATCAGATCTTTAAGTTTCATATTAGCTAAATTACAAGACGCTGAGCATGCTTTCAAGATCGAATTTTTAGTATTTTTCATTCACACTTTCCAAAAATTGTATGATCGCATGAGAAAATTCTTTTACATTTACATTATTTCCTTAGATTTTACTTTTAAGAAATTCCTCAAATTTTGTATGTGAAGGTAAATATCTTTAAATCTTATTCATAAGATTCTTTGTCTTTGTTTTCATCTTCTCCAAGGAATGAGCATCTACTCTTGTTATGTCGAATAAAGTAATAAGTTGATCCTCTTAATATTTCATGCTTTTTAATAATAACTATTTCTTATCAACTGGTTCCTGATTCTTGTTTGAATATGGGTCGTTGTAAACTTCCTCTTACAATTAGAATGATTTAAGATGATTCAAGAACTTTTTATAATCAAATGTGTCATCTTGATTTTTGAAATTGTCATATAAGATTTTGAGATCTTGATCAGATAGTACACTGGGATCTATCTCTAATTTCTTAATTACTCTTTCAAATCTGCCAAAACTTATGTATCCCTTTTGTAATTCATCTTACATGGTGAGTTGTTGTCCCAATTATTATAACTTAAATTATAGAGGGTATAAATACTCTGTTTTTTAGAATGAGATTGACTTGATTCTGGTGTCTTCTATCTCTAGCTTATAAAGCATCTTTTCTTAGGAAATCTATGGTTTCCTGATTTTTTACCAAAGAATCCTTTTCATCTTCAGTTAATGCTGGCAATGCCTTTAAATTTACATTAAGAGCATCCTTATCATTGAAAATGAGATCTAGAAATTCATCTAATCCTAAATCACTTGACCCATCCATGTCTGCACTTGCTAATAAGACTCTTGCCTCATCAATATTTATGTTGATTCCTAATCTTTAGATCATGTTGTATAGATTTTTAACGCTAACAGCACCATTGGAATCTTCATCCCACAAATTGAAGATCTTTTAAAAGTTTTTTCTATTTGCATATCTTCTTCTAATGGCTCTTCTGATATCTCTGACTTTTTCTAGGTCTACCTTGCCTTCGAGTGTATTCTTATTTTCTAAACCGACTAACTATGTTTCCTGAATTCCTGTAGTGTTCTCCTCTCTCTTCTACTATGCTAATTTCTCCTTCTACTCATCTAATTGATAAGTACAGAATAATACATTTTGTATGAACCGGACTTTCTTAACTTTACCTGTGTTCCTCATCAAAGAAAAGTGTATTAGAATCACCACAAAACACTCTTTTCATCAATTCCTTCTCTTCCAAATTGGAGGATCTAATTTTACAAGGTCTGAATACCTCGGATAGCCAATTAAATGATGTTGGTTAAATTTTTTAGCTGAATTTTTTGTTTCCTCAACAGGATCTTTGCATTGTACAATTCTTTTAGACTTCTGGTCTAAGATTTCTGAAAACTTCTTATTTTTGGGAACAGATAATGAAGCAATTCTATCTCCATCTTAAGAATTAATTTGATTAATTGAAGTATTTTTGAATGAATCTAACATCCTTGAATGAAATGATACAGATTACTTGAAATCTCGATTGGTTTTACCTTGATGATGAATGCGATCTCTTCTGACTATCATCTAGAACAGTTACAATTAAATAACCTATTATAAATTTTAGTTAAATTAATCTAACTTTTAGTATTTACTTAGAATGTTAGAGATAAGAATTCGGTGCTCTTTTGGATCATATTATGAGTTTATTATATTTCTTATACAAAGTTTTGGTATGTCTTTATGGTTATATATATTAATTATTTTATGGATCAAATTGAATTCAAAACACTGGATGAATTCATTAGACTCTTTCACAAAAAGGGTAAGATGTTATAGAAATATAGTGTCGACATTCACGACATCTGAAATGTTGATTTAGTTGTAACATTTGGCGCAAATTCTAAGCGAAAAATAAATATAGACTGAAGCTAAGAATGATTGTTTTTTTAAGAGATGGAGTGAAATCAAAATGCCTATAAGTTTGATAACATTTGATTTCATCTCTTAACTATTCGTAATCTACACCAAAGTTAACGAAACCTTGAAAGAAGATGTAATTATTAATGTATTGAGCATAGATTTTATTAGATTTTATATGGCCACTGATTGTCTATGAATTCGAAGATAAAAAAGTGGTAGTTGAATATTTCACCATTTTGAAAACCATTTACGATAGAAAGTACAGGGAATTACTTAAGAGTTTTGGAATATTGGAGATAGTCAAATACATGGTAATATTGTCGACAATAATCACAGCTTAAAACAACCGAAATTGATGATATGATTTGTTGTGAATAACACAATAATAAAGAAAACCCATAATAAACCATAACTCAAGAAACTCAAACTAAAATAGATCAATTTGGATTGTTCATCAACGACATCTTCAATCAAATGATTAATGATTTAAAATAATCCACAGGAAACAACCTCACCGATCTAGAATAACTATTTGGAATCTCAGTTCATCAATTACTCTCCTATTGTACCAAGGATCACAATTACTGTTAAGTTCAAACCTTGTTAATCATTCTCCTAGTAAAACTAGTATACTTATACTTAGAATCAATTACCCTTAGTTAATGCAGACGTAATTCAGAAAGTATTCTAAAACTTTGAGGCCATCAGTTTTATCGTCCTATTATATAATTCGACAACATCTTAAGTACTTCAAGTCTACTGCATTAAATTATTTCAAGTGATCACGAACAAGAACCCTTCGGTATCATCAATATGTTAAATAGATTATATAAAAACTTATTTTGAGTATGATACCATCCTCTAAAAATACGAAGTTTATTGAGAATTTACATTCTGAACCACTCATTTGTGCAATATTGGAATGGCTTTTGAACATTCCTATTACAATCAAAATAACTGAATATCAAATGTTTGATGAAAAACTAACATTCAAGAATCATGATGTTATGGAATTAACTCTAAACTATTTGTACCTCTGTCCTGTCATGATGAAACAATAATTGATAACTACCTTGTACACATTAATGAGAAATAACAAAGAAAATTAATTATTTTTGTTATCCAATAAACACTTCTTAAGTACATTTCCAAAATTCTTAATGGGTCTTTAAGATGAGGATTTACTAGAAACTGATGAGAGTCAAAATTCATTACAAAAATCAGTACTTATTTTCTTTAATTAAAGATTTACGATACAAGTTTAAAACTAATATCAACAGTGTTTATGAACTAATTCCAAAATGGCAAAATTGATATGCTATTTTAATGGCTTAAATTAGCTGAGTTAGAACATCTCAAATAGAAGAATGAAGATATTGATGGATTCAAAGATCCCAGAACTCCTAACTATTTTATTAGGTAATTGATTACATACGTTTTTAATAATATACTTAAAAGCTCAATATTGAACACATCTGAATTATCAAATGAATTATTGTGGAGAGGATTTCATTTATTTATTGCATCTTTCTTGGCTATCATCACAAAAGATTTAATTCAATAAGATGAGAATATATCTAAATTAATAGGGAAAAAGGTAACATACAGTCCTCAATTGTTAATGATCACTTGTAAATATATTTAATAAGAATTTAGAATTATTTGAAAACTAATAATGGAATGATCATTAATTTTGTATTCGGATCATTTAGATTGTTAACTTTTTGTACAGTTAAACTATATCTATGAATTTGGACATTATAAAACCAAGTATTAATTTTAAGACAGGTGAATTTGCAATATGGCTGAATCAGCTATTCAAAAAGATACTAAGTAATGAGAAGGATAACATATTTCTATTGAGAATCATTTAGACATTGATATGTTACTATTAGCATTATATTGTGGCATAAAACTTTGGATAATAATAATTGGAAGAGATTTAATAATTATTGAAAGCCTATAGACATTTGATGTAGAGTCTCATTTGTGGAAGTCAATAGTTCAAGAATTTAAAACATATTCCTGTAGATATTGAATATTAGATTACATTGAGTCATTACTTTTATATTGAATCTTAGATGAAACTAATAAATCAGATCAAATAAAAGTGTTAGAAAGATCATCATGGATCTCATGATTCCTTCTTCAATTTGTATGCATTGTAAGAGTTGATTGCTTATATTCAATAATAATTGCAGGAGTATTACCTTAGTTTGATTAAATTATGTCAAATATATGGGAAGAGATCTTAAATTTTCATTTGGAACTTTTGCTATGAACTCATCAGAATGAAGAAATATGAAGGTGATGTTCTAGAGTCCTATTTGCAGACATTGATCAATCAGCCTGACATTATCCACGACATTGTAGTCAGTGATGAAATGATTGTGTATTACTATGATTGTCCAAACATGGTGAATATGAAACAGAAATCACAATTGAAATTGAATGAATTGATTAGATGGGCTAATCTCTTAATACAACAATAGGAACATGAGTAGATCTTACTGTATTAGGAATAATATTCGAGACAGAGTCAAATTCTGATGAAAGATGTAACCAAGACTTTGGACAAATATAATTTGATCTAATTGCAAAACTACGAAATATTTGAATAAGAGAAATTAAAATATGATCAATCTAAAACATTATGATTTATATAAGTTGATATTAATTCAAACTCCATCCCAATTCTTTGACTTTTCGTTGAATTACCACGCTAGTAATATATTTCAAATTTACATGTTATGTATCGTCGAATGGAATGCGAGAAAAAGATCATGATCAACAAAACTACTGATTCTATTGTGATTTGTATAATAATCAATCCCGTTTGATTAAGCGATTCACACACAATGTCACTTATCACTTTTTCAGATTCTGGGTACAAGCGATACTAATTCATTTAATATGCCATATAGCCATAGACCAGAATTCTAGTGATCAAAACTGACAATAATGTCCAATAATATCCCTAGTCCCACATACTTCATACCTTTGAATTTTCTTTGAATTCTTTGCATCAATCGAATAAAACCCAAAAATTGAACACAAAATCCAAAATATATTCCCTATTAGCAATGCCCCTATCATGTAAGCGTAAGACAAGCACTTATCATAATATTGGAAAAATTAGAATCCATGCTATATGCTGTCATAACTCAACATGACCTAATTTTCAATTGAATTGGTACTGCAATAAAAGTGTTTGCTCCTTGCACAAATTGTGCTCTTTTCTCTATATTTGCGTCGAATGAAGAGGAATCAGCTGAAACCAAATAGTTCTACTGTATGTGTCTGATAATAAATGGTTTTGAGGATGTATTCATAATAATTTAATATTTATATATATTGGGATTTTTACATTTTTCCAATACCTTACTCATTCAAAAACCTATAAATTTTTCAATTCTGTACAAAATACCTGAGTGTTTATAATTTTATAATTATGATATTTTGTTATTTCCTCTTTCTTGGGTGTTTCTTGACAGCGCCAATTATCTAACAATATTCATTCAAAGGAATTGAGTTTATCACCATCCCTTTCAATATCTCAAAAAATCAAATAAAAGTCACCTTGGATTCTCAATATATTGAGGAATAACAGGTCCAACCCTTTCTATTTATTTGCCTCACTAAGCCAGAATCCGTTACCTTCAAGTAGTTGCTATCAGAAGAAAAGTGAGTATTCAATTTAATTAGATGCTTTGTAAATTGGTTTTCCTATCAAACGAGATAAACTTAGTATCTCATTTTGTAGAAGCAGTCAACCAGCAAAGAAATATCAAATTACTATCAAATCTATTAATACGATGAATCTTTATATATTGGATTTCAGTCAACTTATGAAGCCAATATAATAGTTAGAATATAATAAATCATTTCCAATTAATGCATTTTGTATTTATTCACTTTATATCAGGGAATGTTAAAATGAAACCGAATGTAAAAATCAATTTTGCAATTGCAATTTTTATCAAGTTGGCTAAGATTGCAATCTTATCATAGATGATCTCACTTCATAATAAATATTTTAGGGTAAAAAGATTTATTATGTTGATGTCTAAAAAGGGTAAAATGAAAGTCAATCAGTCTTATTAGAATTTCAAAATTCAACTACCTTCTACGGATTCTGCATTACCTAAAATTTCAATCCAAACTTAATTACATAATAAAATAACAAAACATTATACATTTCCTTAGATTAGATAAATCAATGCTACGAATAAGTAAACAATTTCAGAGAACAATTTAACTCCTCCATCAATTACTATTTTCTAATATATTTTGATACCAACAACCACACTTATTTGGAAAGTGCTATTCAAAATACCGATAATAACTAACTCATTATAATTCTTTCTACTATTTTATCCTCGATATCATTCTGCTTTTTGTTTTGTCTTATAAAGTCTAAATGTTTTAAAAAATAAAAAGAACCTGAGAAAGAAAATCAGAAATACGAACTAAAACATGCTCCATCCCTCATTGATTAATTCTTCCCATCCTAAGAATTCGCGGCACTTCGAAATAAATGCGAGAAACTCGTGACACTAAATCAATGCCTGATTTGCCTTGACCTGTTCTACGATGATTCACGTGTAAGAGTCACCTATTGCAATCATATCTTCCATACATCTTGCTTTGATAAATGGATGAATGTACATAAAGTAATGTGATACCACATATCACCAGAGTTGTCCTAATTGCAGAAGTCTATTCGACGAAGAATCCATCCTTAAATATTCCAACCAGAAAGAAGCTGAAATCTTTTAATGGAGTAGTAGAACAGAAGAAGTCAAGACCACTATGAAACCCCTAATCAATGAGACTTAACAATAATAACCTTAAGTTTCCTAACTAGATTCACAGAGAAACATTCAAGCATTTTGAATTAGTTTGTTTTTTTTTATACAAGAATTGTAAAATAATTAATTAATGAAGGAAAAATTTTACCTTGCATTTAAAAACGAATTGGATCTCATCTAAAAACTATAGTTAAACCCATTATATAAATAAATCACTGTATGGACTGATCATTTGTTGGAGAATCAACAGTTGACTGAACAAGAACAACTATTAAATCAGTTGTCCAATAATTAAGATCATTTCAAATAAATATTGCAGGAGTGTTGTGACAACCTTGACGAACAAAATCTAAGTCTACTGTGTCTATTGACCTTATTTTTTGGTTTAATGGTTCCCCTCAAATTGATTGAGGAGGAAAATTTAGCTAATATTACGGAAAGATACTTCAGTACATTATTTAACAATTAAAAATTTAGCTTCACATTCTAATACCATAAAACTATTGATTACTCTATTTCAAAAATTTAAGTTTAACAATATTATGGTGCTCATACCTTAAATTTATGATTCGGAAATCAGTACCCTTGCATAATCAATCAAAATTAATTTGTTTGATAAAACCTACATGTCTGCTTATAATTTAATTGAAGAATACACCTAGAATGTAATATCTGTTTATCATGCTATTAGAAATCCTAAGAGTGTTTCGATAACATAATTAAATTGGCTTAAGATCTAGACATTTACTCATCAAATTAGTTGCATATGCAATTGATTCAACAAATCAAAAAATTTATTGAATACGAAAGCAATGAATTGGCTTAAAAGTTTGTGGATATTGAATTGAATGAATATTATGAGTCCATTCCAATTTTTAAGGATGTAAAGGTTGTTAGATGCAAGGAGGATTTATTGAATAGGAAATTGTTTATATTAAATGAGTTCGTTCATGTTCCAGAGGATGAAACTATTGAATATAAGGAGATGGTCAATTTAGAATCTAAAAATCAATTCATAGTCAAGAAAGCGGTCTCTGCATTTATGAATCAAAAGGGAGGCACTCTATTTATTGGAATCAAAGACTCATTCTAAGTGAGAGGATTTTCTGTTGGAAATAACAATTACTATTTTAGATAATGTCTATGGGATGATTGTCTTGATTTGATTCATCCTTCCTTGGTATTTGACAAACAAGTCAAAGTAGATTTGATACCTGTCTATTCATTAGAGGGTGAATAAATTGAAGGACATTACATAATTAAAATAGAGTTGATTAGAGAACTTAACTGTTCATTTGTCTATACATTTGGTGAATTGATTGAACATCATTAATAATGTGAAGTGACATTTTGTTTTAAAAGACAAGGAGATCAATCTAAAGCTGTCAGACATCATCATTTGAAATAGTTAATTAAAATTCTTAATTTAAATTAAAATATTAGTGGCTTTGAAAGAATGGGTAGAGACTATTTTATTGATGGTAGAACCAAAAATAGAAAATATGCTAATTAATCTTCTCATGAAAGAGGAGAGTCCAATTAAGTGCAATACAAGTAAGATTTAAGAATGAATAACCAGTTCTTAAAAGAAATTTAATACAATCAAATTCTAGATCAAAATTTTGAACCTCATCCAGATATCGATCTAGCTAATCTAAATTTATAAATGGATTGTTAATTGAATCAACTTGAGAAATGGTAAGAATGGATTGTAATTCGAAAATTGAAATCTAATGATTTTGATAAATTGAACAATATCCTTAAGACTCTTCAAGATGTTTGTGTTCAAGATATCATCCTTGCATAAACTACAATTCATATACAATTGAAAAATCATAGAAAATAGGAATTTATTGATAATCTAAAACACTAACTTAATCGAATAAGAGAACGAATTAAATTTACATATGGATATCCATAAGTAATTTAAATTGCTAATGAAAATATCAATATAGAATAAATTATCTCTGAAAACTTAAAATTGCATAACTTCAAAATTCTTGCCAAAAAGGAATGTAAATTAATAGAAGCTAAACATGTTGAAGATCTTATTTAAATTTATAAATTTATAAAAGACAAAATGAAGATCGAAGTTCATTGGAAGTTGAGGGAAGCTGAAGAATTTGTATTCGCACCCATAGAAGATGAGTAATAAAATTTACTAAATTGAAATATAATATTTAAATTCAGTAATCAATCATAAAATTATTATCTGATTGTTTATATCCATTACTTAAATACTAGAAATGAATAAGACAATGTTTTTAAATAAGGTAAGCCATTAATACTGAACAAATGCATTTGATTCAACACATTAATCCTATATAAGCATCAAAAATTTATAATTATCAGCATAAGATGTAGAATAGATGTAATTAAAAGGTTTGTTATTTCCTAGCATTTTGTAATAAATAACTAAGAATTATCATTAAATTATTTTTCAGCCTCAGCATGAAAAAAACTAAAACAAAAAAAGAAAGGAAATCAAAAAATTGACTAAACATTATTATTTCAAGGATATACATTATTTTTGACCTATATTCTTTCATTATGAAATGTTCTTATGATATAATTATTAAAAATTATTCCAATAATTTACATATCTGATGAAAAGACAATAAAATCAACATGTATCTTCTAAAATTTGATTTTCATTTCTGTAAATTAAAACAAAAACAGTTTTAACCAACGAACTCTAATTATATTATCCAAATCTATTTATTAATTCTTTGAAATATGTGTATTTTTGACAAAGGATCTAATCCTTTTTTGGAATGTAGTAGTCGATTTTTTCTATTTTCTGTAATTAATTTAATAATGGAATAATAATAAAATGAATAGGTTCAAGCACCTAGATTTGAAGAAGCTGTCTTTAAACTGACCACTTAATTGATGAAAACATGCAATCCTAAGTAAGTGAGTTTATGACATCTATGACAGGACTTTAGATAAGAAATTCCTCAAAGACTTCAAAATCAAACCCAGTGAGACACTTGTCAATTTGAATAATACAAAATTAGATCCTTAATCTCCAAAAACTAACAAGGCATTGTAGGATTTACACCTATTTTCTAACTAATTGGAATTGCAGTACAATTATTTCTTTTACTCATAGAGAGAAATAAGAGTTTAAAAAAAATGGAGAATCTTAAGAGTTAACAGACAAGAGATACTGGTTGCACTATTTCTAAGTCGCATAAATAAAAAAGTCTGTGATTTTGCAAAGGAACAAGTATAAAAGAGAAGAATGGATTGAAAAATAGTAACGTCCCAAATCGATCTAAAATCTGGATCAAAGCATGAATAGCAGTATCAATATTAGTGAATATGCGCCTTATAAAAGTCCAACAGAAATGATCGAAAGTTGGATAGATAGTCAGGTGTAATCTAGTGATCGCCAATTATAAAAATTCAACAAACTATAATAGGTAAATTATTTCAAAAAAATATTATAGAAAAGAAAAGAATTAGAGGAATAAAATCAAGAAGAATAAGAAAAGTACAAGGAGAAGCTTGATTTAATATTGGAAAAAAAGAAAAAGAATAGATTAAACAATTTAAAGCAGAAATCATAAATTGCTAGAAAAGATGTTTCTAAAAGCTTAGAAGTTTCCACTAAGATGAAGACTGTTGTTCAGGAGCAAAAATATAAAAATGCTCAAATGAAAAAATTATAGACTGAATAAAATATCGAAAAAGCGTATATAATAAATAATAAATTAAATAGATAAAAGAGAGTTGACCATATTAAATAAACATATGTAGATGTATTGGAAGAAAAATAAAAGATTTATGAGGAAAAATTACATTAAGTTTTGAAAAAGAAGGATGAATAGGACAATTAATTAATGCAACAGAGATTATAAGAAATATAAACAGAGAGAACACATAAATCAATGAAAAACAACACAAAATCTGATCAATGGTCGACAAAATTGCCTTTGTTGATTAGTAGAAGTGAAGCTTAATTTTAAAATGTTTATAATTCTAATTTAGCGTCGGTTATTGAAAAATTTTAGAAGGAAGAGAAAAAGAAACTAAAAATGCATAAATCATAAGAATTGGAAAAAGAACAAGTTGAAGAAATTAAACAAAAAGAAGAATAATTTAAAAAGAGATATTCAGATAAACTCAAATAATTTGAGTAATATATTATTTCTATTTATTAGGAATAAAAGATAAAAAGTTGAAGAGAAATTTGCAAAAAAAGATTAATATTTAGCAGAACACTTATAAAAAAAGAAGGATGATTTGGAAGAGAAATTTGATAAAATTAGAGAATTAAGCGCAGAAAATGAAAAAAGATTCGTAAACATAAAATAATAATATAATAATAAATGTGATAAGCAAATGGATAAAGAATCAAAGAAATTTAAATCAAATATGAGTCTCATTAAATAAAGAGAATAAATAATTGAGTAGTTAAGATATAAACGATTCTTAGAAAAGAATAAACCTTTGAATTTAGTTTAAGACACTACATCAAAACAAAGTGAAAGCAAGCTTTAAGTATGATAATAAGAAAATAAAAATATATATAAATTAATTTAATGTACTTTTAAATCCATAAATCAATCTGTGTGTTAAGATCCTTTAGTTGCACCAACACCTGGCTTTCCATGTCTTGTTGGTTTATAGGTTAATGAAAATTCGCCCAAATATCTAAAGTTTGCTTAAATCACTTATACCTGCCGATCATATCAAACTTGATTTCAACATTGCTAAATTGTCTTCCATTATAAACTCCAACAATTGAACCCACCATTTCTGGCACAACAATTGTATTTCTTTAATGAGTCTTGACAGGCTTGGGTTTCTCACCAGGCAATGTTTCCTTCTTGCTTTTTCTAATCTAAATATTCACTATCAAATCTTTACCTTTTTCATTAAATTTTAGAAGGCATGTACCTTCTCCCCTTGATTTGAGATTCTTCTTCTTTATCTGGCTCTGAATTATTCCACCAATTTATCCATAGGTAGTTTAACCAACTCTTCAAGTTAGAGACCTCTGTAAGTGAACTTCTTAACTCCCTTGAATTGTTTGTCTTATGTTTATTCTGCCATAATTTGAAAAATGAAAATTAAAGATTTTAATATATTCCAAAACATCAAGCATTATATAAAACAAATATTTCCCTCAATTATTTACATTCCTATTTTATTTTAGCATTTGTTATAAGAAATTGAAGGTAAACTCATATGAGAAGAAAATCAACTATATTGTGTAATATTATCAATAATCTATAAGCTAATTACATCAAATATATATAAACATACTTTTAAGTATTGAATTTAATTCACTATTTATGATAATATAGTTTATTTTAAATTTAATCATATAATAATATTTTATTAATAATGAAATAGTTTGTCAGCCCATAGGATATGCTTAATAAATTTAGAAACCCTCATGAAATTTATACACAACAAACAGATTTTTATTATGAACCATAAAGCGATGCAAACATACCAAAAATTTTATAAGTATTACTAATTTTAAGTAAAAGCAATCAATCAATTTTTTTGATGATGAAATAAGTAAGAAAACAAAAGATAAATTAATAGAGGAGTTAAGATAGAACATTATTCGTTGGTTAAAACTATATTAATCAGTTGAGTAAGAATTTGCTGGAGAATTGGCAGTTTTTGGATCCTACAGATTTGGAGCAAATGGGAAAGACAGTGACATTGATTTAATCATATTGGCTCCACCTTAAATCGATAGAGAACTTCATTTTTTTTAACAACTGCCTTCAATTTTGAGTTCTAATTCGAAAGTGACAAATTTGTATTGTATTTAAGAAGCTATGGTTCCTTTGATTAGATTTAAATTTGCAGGTTTTTAAATATTCATACTATAATTTAGGAATACAATTCGATCTAGTTTTTGCATGTGTTAAGAAGATAATGAAGCCTTTAAGTCAGAGCGATCCGGTTGATGAGAAATCTAGTAGGTCTCTAAATGGATTAAAAGTAAGTGATTACTTTTCAAAATACTGTCATTAAAAATCATATTTGTCCTTTCTGAAGTTTATTAAAGCTTGGGCAATCAATAGAGGTATCTATGGGAATGTGATGGGCTATTTGGGAGGAATTTCATGGTAAATACTGACTCATAAGATATTTTAACTCTATCCCAACTACAGTGTTTAAGGATTGATTGAAAGATTCTTCTTCATTTTCTCCTAATGGAAATGGAATGAATTACCAGTTGTCATTCAAAAATGTGATGAAATTTGGAGAAATTCTCTTTTTGAATAATAATAGAAGTAACATAATGTAATGTCAATTCTAACACCAGTGTATCCATACATTAATTCAGCATATAATGTATCGAATTGTACGTTTACAATTATTGAAGAACAATTGAAATTAGCAAATATCATCATGTAAAAGATTTGTTTATCTGAATTACAATGGGTATTATGAATTATTTATAATAGTCTGACTTACTAAAGAAAATTTAATTTTTTGATATCTATTACACTTATCTGTAAATAAGAGCATTGTCTAAGAATAAGGATGATCTAATTCAATGGAAAAGTCATATAGAATCTAAACTAAGAAAGTTAAATAAAATGTTGGATGAAGGTGATGTAAATAAAGCAATAGAATTTCATCTCTATCCCAAAAGTTTCCAAACAGATTATGTCTAAGGAGATGAAAATGATACTCCTGGGTCTCTCTTTAACTTTAGTGAAAGCTTTTTTTATGGCATCAGAATAAAGGATGAAGAACTAGTTAAAGAAAAACTTGATATCGAAAATATTATTAGATAATTTTGTGATTGCCTTGAAGGTTAAAAACCTTATTTTAGAGTTCCAGAGAATCTTAATTTAGAAATAAAAGTAATTTATCACTTAAAATTTAGTCATTGCATAAGGATTAGATTCCAAAAAAGATAAAATCTGAATTGTGATGTCCTACTTTATTATATATTTCATCATAAATTTAATATAACTCATTTAACAGAGATTATAAAATAAAATCATACTCACAAAACTTACTTCCACAATTTTTTTTATTATAATGAACTAGTATTATTAAGTTTCTCAGAGATACGATTCAATATTTCAGCTTAAATTTCGTCAATACTTTTAAGAGCATCAATTTTATAAAAATTTTCTTCCAATGCTAATTGATCAAAAAAGCTGCCTACCTTTTATTAAAATGAAGAGTTTTCGTATATCTCCTTTCCATAGTCCCCTCTTTTGCTTAGTTCCTCAATGGGAGCAGTTAAATAGAATGTCATATCTGGTTAAATAAGTCCTGCATCTGGAGCTTTACACCATTCAATTGGTAAACCTTTAGCTGCAGAAAATGCCACACCAGAATATGCATAACGATCGCTTACAATATTAGTACCATCTTAAAGTTATTTCAAAATAGATGTGCTAGAATATATTAAACTTTCTTACTGCTACTCCCATCTATTAGCTGAAAATAATAAATGTATCACTTCATCACTCATATTTTTATTTCCTCTTAGATAATCAGAAATAATAAGTCCAAGTTAAGTAGTTCTGTCAGGAAAGGACACTTTTTTTGCATTTAATTTTTATGAAAGTAATTTAGCTTAAGTCGATTTGCCTGATTTATCAAGACCCTCCAAAGCAATGAATACTCCTCTATTGAATTTTTTTATGGTTTGCTGAATGATTATTTCCATAAATTACCACAAATATTAATAATAACAGTTTATATTATACTTTATAAATTTAATGATAAAGTAGACATCAAAAGTTTATGAATCATTTGAGTAGTTTTGTGAATTATAATAAAAGTGGATAAAATAAGAACACGAAGAAGAACAAAAATTCATTTAATTAATAAGCTAAGAATTGACTTATACTCAAATTATACAAATTGGTTATGGATTAGGAAGATTGAAATTAACCAAAACTAAATTGACATTTGGTAATAGATAAGTACTTGTTTTTGAATAATAATAAAAATTATAACAATAAGAAGACAACAAAGAAGAATAAACCAAAGAATTTTCAGAAGTAAAATAAGAAAATTTTAGATTAAAACAAGGTGATCAAGTGGGCATTTATATATGGTCTAACGTCTTAACTTCATAAAAATTTAAAAATCCAGAAGCAATTGGTGTAATTGATAGATATAGAAAGAACTTAAGAATTATTTTAGAACAAAATTGTAAAATCCCAGATGATAATTCAATCTATGGGATTTGTTTACAGGAAAATCAAGTCACATATAAAAGGTAATTCTTTATTGAAATATAGACATTTATAAGTAATTGATGATATAAAATAATAATATGAAAAGCATCCAATTATATAGATATTGTTTGGTGATTAAGATGAAAAAATGAAGGAGAAAATAAATTAAAATATGGAATTCTAGGGTGATACAATAAAATAATTAAACGATTAACAAAAGATTGCAGTTCAAAAGGCAATGAATCAGCCTCATATTTCTTTAATACATGGTCCTCCTGGAACAGGAAAAACAAGAACTGTTTGTGAATATATTAAATAAGCTGTTTTGGTTCAAAGACATAAAGTATTTAATAGATTTTACCTTTGATAGATTTTAGCATGCGCCAATTCTAATATTGCAGTTGATAATATGATTGAAAGAATTTAGAATATAAGTTAATTGAAGGTTTGTAGAATAGGTAATCCTGCAAGGATGACAGATTAAGTCAGATATGTTTGTATTGATCAATTAGTGAAAAAGACTACAAGTTATGCAATGTATTCAAAATGATAATTAATTTAGAATGAAGACAATAAAAACAGAGATTTAATAGATTGAAAAAAAACTTAATAGAGCTGAGAGAAGAGAAGCTGCTGAACTTAGGGATAAATTAAAATAAAAAAAAAAGGAGTATTTTGAATAATAATAATTGGCTTATGAGGAGGCTATTTAAGATTGCTAAGTAATATTTAGTACAAATGTTGGAAGCGGTTAATTTCAATTTTAATAACTAACCAAAAATATTAAATTTGATGTTGTTGTTATTGATGAATGTGCACAATCATTAGAAATAAGTTGTTGGATTCCAATTCTTAAAGGAAATAAAGTAGTCTTAGCTGGAGATCATTGCTAGTTACCCCCAACTGTAAAAACTAAAAATACTGGATTGGAAATGACCTTATTCGAGAGAGTTGAAAATGAACTTCACGTTAACATTTTATTAACTGTGTAATATAGAATGAATAAATCAATTATGTAATGGTCATCTTAAGAATTTTATGATGGTCATTTGGTTGCTGATTAAACAGTTGCAAATAGAACAGTAAGTGATACAATTTTACTCTTTGTTGATACTTCATGCTGTGATTTTTATGAATAACAATAAGAAAGTTTATTATATTTTGATGATTAAAATAAATCCAAATATAATGTTGGCGAAGCAGGATTAGTGTAAATAATTTCTGAAGAACTGATTAACCTGGGTGTTTAGAAATAAGATATTGGAATTATTACACCTTATAATGCTTAAGTTTAATTATTAAAGTCTAAAATTAATGATATTGAAATTTCAACCGTGGATGGATTTTAAGGAAGAGAAAAAGATTGTATCATAATTTCAATGGTCAGATCTAATCAGATGGGAGAAGTAGGTTTCTTATGTGAATCTAGAAGAATGAATGTTGCTGTTACAAGAGCCAAAAAATTTGTTTGCCTTATAGGGGATAGTGAAACAGTTTCAAATGATGCCTTTTTGAAAAGATTAATTGATTACTTTGTAGAAAATGGAGAATAGAGGAGTGCATAGGAATATTAACACGATGATAAGATTTAAATCCCAATGAAGATAGAATAAGTTTAGTAAGATATAAAGACCAGGTTAAATACATAATCTCAAAAGCAACATCCTCATTTTTATAATAAAATTGAAAATCAATAAATAGAGCAAAATCTTGTTCAATAAGAATAAGATTAAAATATTATATCTTAGGTTGAATAATAGATTCTTCATTTTATAAATTCAAAAGATCAAGAACTTATTTTAAAAAAAGTAAAATGGTTTTCAAAGAAAAGAGCTTCATGAATTAGCAGAAAAATATCAATTAAATCATGAAAGTATCGGTAATGATAGATTGAAAACCTTAAAACTAACTAAAATATAAAATTCCAAATAATTAAAATTTGGATGATCAATTCAAAGACGAACAATAGGGTGAAGCAATTGATTAGAAAATATCTTAAAATCAAAATTAGGATGATACAAAAGTTGATAAAAGTTAAACTTTAGAAAAAAAAGAAGAAGAATAATAATAAAAACAATTGTTGTAATAACAGTCATCATAATAATAATAATAATAATAATAATAATAATAATAATAATAATAACAATAACAATAACAATAATAGTAGTAATAATAATAATAAAAATAATAACAACAGTAATAATAACAAAAAAAATCATAATAACAACAATAATAACAGCAATAACAATAATAAAAACAATAACAATAATAACAAGAAAAAAAGTAAAATAATAAAAATAACAAAAAAACTAAAGAGTAATAGGAAAAAGAGGAGGAAGAATTTTATAATTCGATCATTTTAAAAGATGAGAAAAAATGTTCCTTTATGTCCAATAATATTCAATGTATATAAACTGTATAATGGTTGGGTTAGAAATGCAAATTTTGTAATAATTAATTTTGTCAATATCATTTATATGCTGAAAGGCATGGGTGTGAGGATGAAGCCTGTAGATAAGCTAAGTAATGAATTACAAATAAACTAGATTATAATTTTAATCCGAAGGCCTAAAAACAGAAAAAAGTAGGTCGGCCATTTAAGAAAAAATAGCTGAGTAATAGAAGGCTAGAGGGAAAAAGTAAAAAAAATGAGTTTATTAAAGCTATATAAATAATAATAAATGAATTTATAAAATTATAATCGAGAAGGTCGTAATTATAAAACTGAGAAAGTTAGATAGATATCACCTTCTTCAAAATTAATGCATTTGAGCAATCAAGAAATTAGCTTTTATATTTCTAAATATGGAGATCCTTAGGAAAATACAAAGGATTCTGAAAACACCAAATATTTTATGTCTTTAATTTAGCCATTACTTGAGGAGAATTATCAATTAAAAGATACTATATTAAACCTTACCGAAGCGTTGAAATGTAACATTGATTTAATTATTTAGTGGATAAAGAACTGCTTTTGGAAACAATCAGTTAAATTGTTAAAGATAAAAATTTATCGTCTTCAAGCACAATAAGTGAAATTTTACATTAGTTAACATTAAGTGTTAAAAAAGATAGAGATTATACAAGAAAATTAGAAGAGATAATTGAATAAAAGGATCTTTTTATAGAATAGTTGTAAGGAGAAATTGAATAATATAAAAAATGGAAAATTGATTTCATTTAAGAAAAAAATTTGGAAGTGGAAGCAAGAACGAGAAACTTTTTTTAAAAAATGCAGTAATTAGAGGAAAATAATTCTAAATTATGTTTAAAGAATAATGAGACTGTAGAATTGTTAATTGCTGAATAATAATAAACTCAAAGTTTAAATGAAAAATTATCAAAGTTTGTTGATGACTTGTACAAAGCTCAATAATAAAAATAGGAAGTATAATTTTAAAATAAAATAAGTTATAATTATAACTCAGTATTGCAGAAAGATAAATCTATTAAGAAAAACAAGATAGTTAGAAAAGGTTAAATGAGCAAATAAGTTAACTACATAAAGATCATTATCAATAAATGGAATAATTGAAAAGTAAATATTGAATTAAACTTTAGTTGAATAAATGGGTATCGTAAATGAATTGAAGAAATAAATAATAAATTAATAAGAGGAAATAAAAAATTTAGAATTAAGTTACACTGCTTCCTTAGACAAAAACCTTAACGAAATAAAAGTATCATTATCTCTGATTTTTATAGAGACTTTAATAATAGCTCTAAGATTCGGAAAAGCAAATATAAGTTTATAAAAAATAAGAATTAGCAAATTTAGATAATTTGAGTAAAATTATGATGGAGAAGAGAGATAAAGATTCAAAGTTAAAGAATTTAGGCCAAATAATTGCTGAGAAAGATAAACAAATAGATAATCTAACTTTAGACGTATTGTCATTAAAATCCAAATTAGAACAATCTGAATTGAAATGTACTTAGTAAATTACAAAATACAAGTAAATAATATCTCTATAATTAGATAAAAATATAAAGAAAAGACATAGGTAAAGATTTATGAAGCAAAGAAGGATTTAGAGCAAAAAATTGTAACAGTATGAATATGGAGGAAAAAAAAAATAGAAGTGAAAGATTTCAATGTATGTAAATAATGTATATTGGATGTTCAAAAAAACTTCTATTAGTAAAAGGAATGTAAAGCTGATAATGAAAAGATTGAGAGATGAGATAGAAGATTTAGAATTCAAATTAAATAGACTATGGATAATATAGTGAGGAATTTCAAGTATGCAAAATTAAAAATGGAATATGATAGATTAAAGCTGGAATTGGCATAATAATAATGAAATTATGATTTCTCATTTTTAATTTTAACTTTGGATATAAATTATTAAATAACACAAAGAACGAGTCAATCAGATTAATAATAGTTTAAATCTTGTTTAGTAAATAATATTGAATCATTTTCTATTTTTATATTCTGGTTTATTATTTTGCTTTTTTTCTGAGTAAAATCGTTAGACATTCCAAAAATAAATCTTTATATTTCTTATTTAGGAGCGTCTAATTCTAGATTTCTCTTAAGCAATAATAGTAATCCCAAGTGTCTCCTTTCCTTACCGATATTTTTTAAACTTTTCAAAACCTTATCCTATGGCGCTATCTTTTATTTCTTTAATTTATGAAATTTAAATGGATTGGGGTTCGATAGTATTATACACATCACCCGGTTGTAATTCGTTCTTTCCATTTGATATATTATTCATTTTCAGTCAAATAAATGATCTTTATATTTGGCTTTCTTTATCCTTCCGAATATTTAATCATGGAAAAACCCTACTTTAATTAAAGCAGAGCATGTTATAATTTAGTTTATTAATTAATTTGAATCATTTGCTTTGGTAATGTACTTCTTAATTCAGGTGATTAATGAGATTGCAATTGTATATTATTGCTCTAGGGAATTTCAGGAAAATGGTCAGAGTTTTTGAAATTTAATGTGAACTATTATTATTGTTATTATTATTTCTAATCCTATTCCATCCATGGAATTATGTGGGATAATTGCTCCTTTAATTTCTTATAGTCTATATTGATTTCTTATCTGAAGGGTCTTTCAAATAAGCTATTCTCAAACAATTTCCTAATTAATTAATTACTTTAAAATACTCTTAATTTATACTGATATTTTTTCTTAGGATTGACCATAAAGATAAATCTATCTTTGCAAATTCTTAGTGATTTTCCAAAATTAAAATTAATTTACCCTCGTTATAATGAATTGTAATCTATAAATCATTTTAATAAGTGACATCTAAAATTTAAGAAATATTCAGAATCATTTTATTTTCATCGAGATAAGAAGGAGATAAGATTATTTAATCGTCAACAATGACAAAGACTCCTTACTCTATTTCTTCTTCATTTACTTTGCTTAAAATTACATTTGTATTTTATTTAACTGTATATTGAACTCTCTAAATACAATATGTAGAATTAATTAAACTGATCAATTATCGTTAATCTTTAGAGTTCTCATGTATATCCTGTTCTAGCTAAGTAATTTACTCATTTAGAGACTCAATTTTACTCAATAGTCTTGAATTTTGCATTTACAATAATCGTATTTCGTTTTACTTGATTTCTTCTTGCAATTCTTCAACATTTTCTTCATTTTAATATTTGAAAGAAGAATTAGAATTTTCACCTTTACTGTTAAATTACTTATTGGATTAGAATATCTGATACAAATCATGAGATTCTTATAAATTTTTTTCCAATAGAGTTGTCAATCCTTAGAGTAAATGTTAAATTTCATCCGTAGGTAATTAAGTAGGTTACTTTTATTAATCCTACTTTACTTAAGGAATGTTATTTAGAAGAATCTCTTGTAATGGAATTTTATTGTCATTTACATTTGTAGTTTCAATAGCCTATTGGAAATCCTTTATTTAATAGATTTATGTTGTACATCTGTTAGAAATGCTTGCTTAACTTAAAGTAGAAAATTATTTAATTCAGTTAACTGATTTGTTTTAATGAACTTCTTTGAGTTTAACATATAAATATTTTAATTTATTGTTTACAATGCAATAAAAGGAAAGAAATTCAAGGAATTTATCACTTTAAACTTTTTCTGGATTGAAATGAATTAATTACAATAAAAATTACATGAAATCATATGTCATCTGGAACTTCAAAACAATCGCCTAAATCATAAGGGAATTTTTAATCGCGAATAACTTCATAGATTGGTACTAATTGTTATTTCTTATTGTTTAACTCCTTTTTTTGTTTTTCTAAATCTTGCATTTCTTTTTCGTTTTATTCATTTATTTTTTATATTTCTTTCTCATAACTTTCTACTTGTAAAGGTTTATTATATAGTTATCTTAATTCTATAGCTCTAATTTATTCGTCTAGAGTTTAGTGATCCAAAATAAATTAAGAGAACTTCTCATGCGCTTTATTGATGAAATCTATTTCTTGCTTACTCATCTGTATTATTTTTTATTTTAAATATTGCTTGATCTTACGGATAATTATACTATTTATAATACCAAATAATTCAAAATGAATAAAAAACCTTTACTTCCTAGACAAACTAAACCCACTTCTTCATCTCCGCCCTCAAATTCGGGGAACACTTTACTAGATCGTATAAAGAGTTTAAATTAGAGACAATCAGACCAAGTGAAATAATTAACACATACTTCATCTTTCACAACTGATCGTGTAAAAAATAGAACAAGGGCCAATTATTCTGAATACTTTGATTCGAGGAAATTGCCATTTAATTCAACATTACAACCATCTAGATCTAGCTCTTGTAAAAAAAAGAGGCACTTTTATGATGAAAAAGTGGAAAGTGATGGCAAAGTCTCCTAATTAGAAGATTAAAATATGTAAATCAATGATTTCATCGCAAATATTCCATTATGTAAATTAAGTAAAGATGAACAAATAGAAAAATTAGAAATAGAAAAATCAAATCTACACAAATTAACATCAGGTTATTAGAAAAAAGCCGAGGAAAGAAAAACTATTATGAAATAGTTGTACAACATTTTGAAGACTAAAGATCAAGAAATAGAATACTTGAGGAAGAATTACGACAATTAAATTCTAATTTAATAACAAAAATTGGAATAGTTTAAACATGAGTGTCATTAATAATTAGATAAGGCAGACAGTCGAATAATAAAGCTGGAAGGAAACCTATAAACTGCATTATAATATAAGTAGAAAAGATTAAATGATTTATTGGTTAAAGAAGAGAAAATGAGAGATATTCTATCCAAACTAATTAAAAAGTAAGAAAGTAAAGAAAAGATAGATGAAGTTAAGAATATTTTAGCATTTATAGCTAGAGAAAAATCTAGATTTGAAACCCCAAAAAAATAAAATTCATAACATGAGTAAATAGATAATATATAGAATGAGCATCAAAAATTAGTATCTTTACATGAAAATGTCATGCTTTAAATAGAAAAATTAAACTATTAAGTATCATAATGTTTATAAACATCTTAATATGGTTAAAAAGATACAATCAAAGAGCTTTCATAAAATCTCAAAGAAATGATTAATTAATTTTCTTTATCTAAAAATACTTTAAAAGATAAGGATTAAAAATTAATTTAATTATAAAATGATTTGATGAAATACAAAAAACTGGTTGAAAATAAAAAAGATATTGATACTTAAAAGTATATCTAAGTGATTAATGAATTGAAATTGGAATCAAGTAATTTAGAAAAAAAATATTAATAACTAGTCATACAAGAAAAGTTTGGAGAAGAAAACAATTAAGAGCTATAGAATCTCAATGATTAATTGAATGTTTAAATAATCAAGCAATAATCTTAAATATAATTATTACACAAACAGATTGACGATTAAAACAAAGTCATGATGACAAATGAAAAAATTATTTAGTAATATTAGCAAAAGGAAAAATAATTGTATGAAGAATTAGACAATCAAAAAGATTAATAGGAAGAAATAAACAAATTAAAAATTTCATTAATCTCATTAAACAATCAAAAAGATCACCTTTTAGAAAATATTGAATAATTATAAAATGAAATAATCTCAAAAAATGATGTAATCAATTAGGCTGAAAATTAAATTAATTAATAAGTTAGGTAATTAAATAAGGGACAATAAGACTTAATTAAATATGAAAATTATAATGAAGAACTATAACAGAGAAATAAGATTTTACAAGAAAGATTGAAAAAAGCAGAAGATAATAACTTATAATAAATATTACAAGATAAATTATAAGATATAAACAATAAGTTAGAGTTGTTGAAAAATGAAAATGAAAGTTTATCTCACCAAATTTAAGTATTATAAGATGAAAAAGATAAATATTTTGAATAACTAATTCAATTAATCAAATAAAAGTAAAATAATCTTTTATATAAATCTTAATCTCCAAAAAATGCAATCTCAAGATAAAGCAGTAAATTTGGAGATTAATTATTTATTTCTGATGGTAACAATAAATAAATATCAAAATTTTAAACAGAATTAGACAAATTTGACGAAATTATATCATAAATTACTTCCAAACTGATTTAAGTTGAATAACAAAAGAATGATTTTAGAAATTTAAATTTAGAATAATAAAAATAGAATTCATAATATCTATTGTAAATATCTAATTTGGAATAAGATAATAAAAAGTATTCTTAAATGCTTTAATAATGGCATTAGCAAATGACTGGTAATATCTCTGTTAATTTGGATTAAAATTAAGATATAATTAAACTTGTTAAGTAAGAATTAAAAAAATTGAAAAAATTGGAGGAAGAATATTAGTAGTTACGGCAGATAAATTCAAATTTAACCTTAGCCTAGGAAGAACTAAATTTGGAAATTGAAGAAAAGAATCAATTATTAGAGCAAAATAAATAATAGTTGGAAATAGAATAAGAATAATTATAAAATGCTATCAAAGAAAATTTGGAACTTAAATAATAAAACTAAACCTAAAAGCTATTAGAAGTGAATAAATAATTGGAACTATAAATTGAAGGTTTAAAACAAAAAGAAAAAGAATAACAAGCCAAATTAGAAAGTTTGAAAACCTAAACTGAAAACTAAGATAAAAAGTTAATTTAGAATCAAAATCTCATTTAATAGCTAAATGATAAAGAGAACAGTCATAGTTAATTAAATTCATAACTTCAAAGTGATGTAAATGATTATCTAAAACAAATTTAAGAGAAATCACAAGAAGTTGAAAAATTTAAGATGGATTTATTATCCTCTGAAAATAGAGTAAGATAGTAAGAATTAATCGCTAATGAACTTAAAAATGAGATTATGCTTTTAACAAATGAAAATAATAATCACAAAGCTCAATAATAATAAATATAAGAATTATAATAAAATTTATAAACTTAAATCAACTTAAATTAAGATTAATTAGTTTCAATTCAAAAACTGAAAGAAGATTTAAATTAACTAAATCAACAAATAACTTACAAAAGTGAATAGTTAGATTCATAGTCGATGGATATCAATTAATAAAAAGACCTATTATAATTACAAATTATCTCATAATAAAATTAATTGAAGCAATTGCAACAGTAGATAGTGGAAAATGAAACAGTTATTACAGAATAAAGTAAGAAGCTGAATGAAACTAGCTAAGATTTAGAAAAATTGAAATTTGATTTGAATTAGGTTGAAATAGAGAAGGGCAAATTATTTTAATAATAAGAAGATAGTTTAATTTAAATTAAAGATTTGTTATAAAAAATAGAATAAGGTGAACAACATAATTTAAAATTGAAAGATTAGATTGAATAATAGGAATAGAGATTATAAGATAATATTGCTGAATTATAAATCAAGCAAGAAGAAATTAATGAAATGGCTATGAAAGAGCAGGCAAGCAAGTTTGAATTAGACTGCTTAAAAGCAAAATGCCTTTCTTATGAATTGCAGATTGAAGACTAAGAAAAATTGATATCTCAATAAAATAACTAAGCTTAATAGCTATCTGAAATTTAGGAGTAACTTTAAGATTTATAAAAAAATAACGAAGAATTGTAACAAAATTTGAATGATAAAGAATAAAATTATGATATTTTGTAGAATGCCTATTATGATATTGGTGATTAGAAGAAAAATTTGGAAGAAGAAATTGAAGACAAAAACTAAGAGATATCTATATAAAATAGGGATCTAAAGATTTATAAGGAATAAATTGATTAAAATAAGGCTCTAATAAATTAATTATAAGAGCAGATAGCTCAATTCAGAAATAGTGCAAATATCAATTTTGCTGAAAATTGTAAACTGAATGAATAAGTTTAAATGATGAAAAAAGAATTAGAGAGCTATTAAATTGACTCAAAATAGAATTTAGATGAAAGAAGTGATAAAATTAAGGATTTAGAATAATAAATTATAGATTTACAAAATGAATTAGAGAATTAATAATTTCAAATATAATATAAAGATTCTAAAATAGAAGAATTAAACAACAATCTATAAGAAACATCTGAGAATCTAGATGATATAAAATAAGAATTAGAAATAACCTCTAGACAATTGAAAAATGAATAAGCACAAAAAGAAGAAGAACTTAAATGCAAATAATAATTAGAAGGTATTATACAATAATAGAAGTTGGAAGCATAATAATATATTTTAACAACTAATTAATAATAAGAAAATTTGCTATCTTTACATAATAAAATAATTGAATACTGTAATGAGATAGAAAGTTTGAAAAATTAAATTTCAACATTGTAAATTGAATGTGAAAAATAGCAAAAAGAGATGGAAGTTTTAAATGAAAATTTAAATCAGGCCAATACTTTACTTGAAGACTAAAAATCAAATTTAGAAAATTCAGAATTTCAAATCAATTATTTTTAAACTCAATCTAAAGAGATAAAAATTCAATATGATTAATTATAAGAGAAATTGCAGGACTTGGAATAAGAAAATGAAATACTAAACAGAAACTAATCCAATAATGCACAGAAGTAAGAATAAATCTAAAATGAAAAATATATTTTATAATAAGAGATATCACAATTAAAGTAATCGCTTGCTACTTTATTTGAAGAAAGATAAAATAATTAAGACAGAATATAAGAATTAATATTTACAATTGAGTTATAAAAATCTGAGGATGCAAAAAAAGATTAAAAAATAGAGTTGATTACAAATTAAGAACTTGATTTACAGCAACGTTTAATTGAACTATAAGAATAAAATACAACCTATCAATAAAATATTGAGTCAATCTAAAACTAATTGAAGGATGAATAACTTATTACAGAGAATTTAAAACAATAGAATGAAAAAGATTAAAAACAAATAGATGAACTTAAAAATATTGAAATAGTCTAACTAAATCAATAGATAGTTAATTTAAAGGAAAAAATCGCATTCCTTGAATAAAATGAAATTTAAACTTCAGAATTAAGTAGTCATCTCGAAAATTTAAGATAAGAGAAATAAATTAAAGAGCAAAAAGAGAAATTATTTAGGGAGGAAAATGATAAACTCAAAGAGGAAATAAATAATTTTAAGAACTAAATAAATTAATTAGAAAGGGATAATATTACAAATGAATAAAATTATCATTAGTTACAAGAAGAAATGAAAACAATTGAAATCAAATATGAATAACTCAAGACATAAGAACAATAATTAATCTAATTGAACCAAGATAAAAGTGAATAAATTTCAAATCTAAAAGTAATATAGACTGATTTTGAGTAAAAGTTAGAATAATTAAATAATGAAATAAAAGTGTATTAAGAAGAAAAGTAGACTTAGGAGAACAAAATATCATAATTGAATGAGTTACAATTGCAACTTGAAAATCAAAGAGAATCTATAACTTTAGAACTTGAATAGCTTAATGAATAAATTAAGGACTTAAAGAAATAGAGTGAAATTAATGCTTGCTAACAAAATGAAAAAATAGATTAATTAACAAATTAAATAACTCTATTGTAATAAAAAAATGAGGAATAGGAGAATTAGATAAAAGAATTGAGTTTGCAGAATGAAGAATTGCAGGATTAATAATTGTAATTTATGGAATAACTACAAACTGAGAAACAAGCTCACAATACTTAATTATCCGAAAATTATCAATTATAAGAAAAATTGTAGAATGAATTGGAAAACGCGCAATAATCAAAAGATTAGGTACAAAGATTAGAATAAGAGTTATATTAACTTTAGTAAGCATTGCTAGATAAGGATGAAAGTTTAGTTAGATGGAGAGAATAATAATGTTGTAGTTAATATATCTAAAATGAATAAATAGGTTAATCATAAAATACTGAACAAATAGATAAAGAAAATAATAATGAATCTGAAAAATTGAATAAAGGAATAATGCAAGAATCCTTATCAAATCCTTTAGAGGATTAAGACAATGATTATAAAGTTGAAATGAAGGAACATGTGAATTCTAGAATTTTTGATTTAGAATTTGATGAAAAAAGTGGTACTTAGTAGTAGAACATATTGCCAGCAGTTAGTGAAAATGTAAGTGAAGCATATGATTTAGCAATCAAAAGGAGTATGGGACTGTCAAAAGATTAAATTATATAACAATTATAAGATTAAAATAGATTATTGTAATAATAAATTGAAAACTTGAATTAAGAAAATATAATTTATGAATCTCCTAGCCAACACAAGGCTTTAATAGAAGAGTTATAATAATAAATTTAATAACTAAAAAATTAATAATTACAAAGGATTATTCAGTCTCCTTTATAAGTATTAATTGGAGAGCATTTAGATGATGAAAAAGATGAATTAAATTAATAGGAGAAATATCATTTATTATGGGAAAAGTGTACAGGCTTAGAGTTAGAAATTTAAACAATTTTATTTGAAAGCAAAGAAACTCATAAAATAAATGAATAATTGAAAAAGGAAAATGACAGTTTATTATTGTAAATAAACGTCTTAAATAAGACTGTTAAGGTTTGGCAAGAAACAACAACAAACATCCATTAATAACATGATTAAAAATAATTAATAACATTCAGTGTATTACAAAAGGTTCTCAATTAAGAATAGCAATGGGCATCATAAATCAATTAGATTGGACTGAGTTCAGAATGCGAATCAATCCTTAGGTAGGTTTGCTAAACAGTCTATGGAGTTCCTGCTCTTCAAAAATAACTTGATGATATTAAAAAATAATCAGATAAAGAGAAATAGGAAATCAATTCATTGATTAATGAGAGATGTGTATTAAGCCAATAAATAATTGATATAACCAGTCAACATGAGAATTCATCAAGACGTAATAAAATGAGCGAACCAAACAGTGCGTTAAAGATCAATTAATCTATGGATGAAGAGGATCCAAGTTTAAATATTAAATAGCTTATTGTCAAACTCAAAAGAGAATTAGAAATTTTGAAGATTGAAAATCATTAATTGACTTTGTAAATGAAACAGCATGAATAAAATGAAGATATTTATATGGTAAATAAAATTATAATATCTAGAAATAAAACAAGTTGATGAAAGATGAGAATAGATCATTAAGTGAGAAATTAAATTAGATGTCAGATGAACTATAAAAGATGGCAGAAAAAGTTTCTAATTCAGAAAATGGAGCTTTGGCTGAACACCTAAAGAAGAATATCTAGAAGTTCTTTGAAGCTTTGCAATAAGAGTAATTTATCGTATTTAAAGTAGAAAAAAATAAGAATTCCAGTCTTATGCATCTCATCTGTTAAAATTAAGTGGAGTTTAATTTGAATAGCAAATAAGTGAAACTTTAATTATCAAATTAAGTTCTGTAATTGATAAAAAGAAATCAAGTGGAGTATTTGGAATGTTCAAGTGATTTTAATTAATATATGTGGTCAATATGTTTTGATGCTGATTTTCTATGATGTATATATATATTAATTAATACTTTTTTCATAAATGAGTAATAATGAAGATAAGAAATAAATTGAGAGACTGGGAACAGCCAGCACAATGTGTCAAACCTTTTAATAATCTCAATTTTAGCAACAATATTAAAAACGAGCTGATTTCACTCAAGTAAATCTTTTCCCCAAAAATATCAAAAATGATTCGAATCACAAGTAGAATACTCGATACTCTCGCCAAGAATATGGGAATGAATCGGAAGATCAAAGATAAGATTTACTATAATAGTAACACAAACAATAATAATACATAATTCAACAACAGAATTCGTAATCAAAACCAAAAAAAATATAAATAAAGCTATAAAATGAATCTTAAAACCTAATTGAAGATAGGTAAGAAGACTTTAATAGTGTGTATGATGATGATGAAAATTTAGAATCCCCTATTCCAAAATAAAAAAAGGGCAAAGGAGAACATCTTTATGTCAATTGGTACAATATATTTGAATTTTAGTTAGATGTAGGCTTTAAGTGAAATCTTAGTTAAATATAACATATAAGAGATAAATCAGCCATATTTAAAAAAAAAAACTTAAGCAAAATGTTGCTGTTTCACAATTACAACTAAATAATCACTTTATTAGAGTTAAAAACAAATCATTATAGCAGAAGGAGGAAAGCATTATGATGAAAATGATATCAATCATTGTAATCTTCTATATTCCATCCTCTATTAAATGTTTCAATTAGAGAAACTAACTAAAAAAAAGTCAAAGGAAATTGAAGCCAAATAAATAACAGTCTTTTAGTTGATTTATACGCTATCTTGTATTACATTATTTAAGGATGATTTATTATAATTTACAAAAAACGATAAAGAGAAAGTAATAGGAAACCTTTTTATTATATCAAAATATATATTTGAGATCCTTGTAAATGGGACTCTGGATCCAATTTTTAAATAATCGGACAGCAATGGTGAAACACTTCATAACACTTTGACTTCAATTCATATGGGTATGTTTCTGATGGTTTGCTCGGATAATTTAAATTAAGAATAAGAAATAATCTAAAATTTGCAAATTAAAAGTATAAAATCACTAATAGATCTTTGGAAAAAAAAAAAATATTAAAATAACTGAAACTTATCAATTTTGATTTTATAAGACTTAATTAATTTATAGTTTGTTAATTTCTATTACAATAATCAACAGATTGTTGGATATCAAATTCTTATTTGGAACCTACATACTCTGTAATTGATATCTATCTTTATAATTGATATTTATTGTAATAAATTAATGCATTAAATTAGAATTTTAAGTGCTTTTTATTGTTTTTGAATTGGTTAAGTAATTTTATTAATATTTTATTGAAACTGAATCTATATTAGGATTTGTGTGAATATAAAATGGTTCTTTTTCAAATACGAATTATTATTATTATCATTATATTATTTATTAAATATATGTTGTATTATATAATTATATTTATAATATTTTAACTAGATAGATTTGCAATTGTAAATTAAAATGTATATTTTTAACAATCATTAAATGGTTTGTTCTTAAATTCAGAAATACGAGATATAGCTGTTGAGAAGTTGAAAGAATATGAATTATGATGTGTTTTTTTTGATAATTACTTATATTTATTTAAAATGAGCTATGATGAAGACTTCATCTTTGATCCTTAGAACGATGATTAACTTTGTTTTATTTAGGGAAATTAGTTTCTAGATGACCTTTTAGATTAAAACAATTAATTAAAGTTTGAATGTGAATAACTTGGAGATATGAAGTATAATTGATGAAATTCTTTTAGTTTTTAGGAAGAATTCAATGAAATATCTGATAATTTGGATGCTGTTTAGAGATTGTCATCTACAAATAATTTTGCTATAGAAATTGATTCAAGTTTGATAAACAAAAATTAGATTTTCAATAATCAATATAAAGTGGAAGATTGCACCTGTGAATCCAGGAGTAGAAGTAGAGAGATTGAAAAAAATGTAATCAATTAGTTAGAATAGAATTCAGACTGGGAAAATAAAAAAATGGACCTAAGATGAAAATGATTTACTAGCAAATTTGTATTATTAATTTAATGGAGATTGGCAGAGGATTGTTGAAAGAATGTCAGGAAGAACCATGGCATAATGCAAATAGTATTGGCAGAGAAAGCATAAACCTGAATAACCCTAGAAAAGCAAATGGACTCCGGAAGAAGATTAATTAATTTTAGACAATATAAATAAGGAAGAAAACAATTGGGCAGCAATAGCTACAAGTAAATAAAATATCATATGTTGACAGTATTAAAAAATAAGACAGGCAAACAAATACGGGAGAGATACATAAATAAATTAAGGTCAGATATTGTAGATGTCAAGAAATAGCCATGGTCTAATTCAGAGGATCAAAAATTATTGTAGTTATATAATTAACTTGGATCTAAATGGGCTTAGATTGCTCGTCATTTTTTCGGAAGATCTGTATATACTTTTGCTTAATTATAGGATTTGTAGATCAAAAATAGAACTAATAAATTATTAAAAACTTAAAGTGGCACATAACTATAATAAGAAAAGCCAAAATTACAAGTATAAGATCTGAATCTGGATGGTTATCTAGAATTAGATAAGACTTGTGAAAAATCTCAAAACAAACCTAAGTTTGAATTTCCATAATTTAATTCTTAAACAGTCTCTTCTCAATTAATTCAATGAAATGACTTTTATTTATTTATAAACCTCTTGTATGCGAAACAATTTTGTGATTTATTAAATTCATAAGATTAATAAGTTTTATAATTTCTTTATTTTCATTAAATTTAATAATATAATAAAAACAATGGCATATTACGGAGTTGGATTGCCCACAACTATTTAGGAATTGGTTTTTAGATTTAGAAATCATGTTTGCAAAGCCAATCCTTATTGTACATTATCAAGATTAAAGTATTAAGAAAGTCATTGAATATTAGAGCAATATTTTAATAATATGACAAAAATGGTAACGGAAAACTAAATCTAGAAGAATTAGATAACCTGTTAAAGAGTGTTGGAATGTTCTTAAAAATTGTTGAATTGCAAGCACTAATTAAATATTTTGATAAAGACGGAGATGGGGTTTTGAGTTTTCGAGAATTTCTAACTTTTATTAGAGAAGAAATGAACGAAAGAAGAAAAGCTATGGTACTCAAAGTATATGAGAGTTAGTAGAACACCAAAATTACATCAGATTATTTAAGTAAGATTAAAGCCTATAAAACTAGGATAAATTTATAAGATTGATAATTTAACAGATGGAATGAAGACATTTATTGATAATATTCGTGTCGGTGATGAATTAACCTATGAATAATTTTTGGAATTTCATGAAGAGCTATCATTAAATATAGCATCTGATGAAACCTTTACATCTATTTTATCTAAAGCTTGGAATATTGATGAAAAGCAAGAAGACACTGCATTCTAAGAATATTTATAGAATAGCTTATAATAGATTAAAGAACGAGTTATTACAAGAGCAGGTGGTAAGCCATTTGTTGTCAATGTTTTTAAAGAGTTTGACACTAATAAATCTAAAGATCTATCTATTAGTGAATTCATTTTTTTACTAAAGAAAGTAAATTAAATTATTGAATTTTTTAGCTTGAATTGGATTGGAATAAGGCAGTAATCAACAGGGTTTATAGAATTATGGATCAAAATAATAGTGGTTCAATAGAGGAGTAAGAATTCATTAGTTTTTTTTAAAATTGATAAAATATATTAAAAAAAAATAATAAATAATAATATAGAATCCTTACACATATCCTAATAACGACAGTATTATTATTACTGATATTATGAAATCTGATTGATTTTATAATTTCAATTTGTATTTATTGCTAGATTGCAGATTTGATTGATTTGAAATATAAAAAATTAAACCTCTTATTTCTCAAAATCAAATTATAAAAATATAAAAGTTATCTGAACAACATCTTCACATCTTCAACAATATCAAAATACGGGTCATTTAGTAACCAATGAAATTTTAGAATATTTTAAATGGTTTGAACAAATAATTTATCATAGAAGATTAAATTTATATTGTTGTATTTAATTAATTAGATAATTAAAAATTCAAAATAAGAATGATAGCAAATAGTGGCAAAAGTAAAATCCTTAATGAAGATTAATGCAAAATTCACAATAATGCATATGATTGTGTAAGCTTAAATAATACAGACAGGAGATTAACATTTAAAGCATGTGCAATTTGCAAATAATAAAGAACAAAGGAATAGTTTGTCACTTATAAAGAGATATAAAATAAACTATAAACTTAAGTCTCAAATGATTTAGTAGGAGAATTCAAATTAAAAATGACTCCATTATTTAATGAGACAGAAGAATTAAGAACAAAATTACTATAATTAGCAGATGATATTCATGAGATCTTACTCAATAGCATTCATTCTTTATTTGTTAATTGTTTATTTAAGTAGTTGCCTAATAATCTTTTCACAACTGATGATATATTCGATGTAACAACTATTAATTACCTAATTCTAGTTGGTGAATCCAAAAACTATTGATGACTTCGGTTCTATAATTGATCAATAGATTTCATTTTAAAAAGGAGATGAATTAAGTGCAGGTTTATTGGCTAAAGTGCTGTTTAATGATCAAGAATCAATGTAATTTTTAGATGCTTTAACTGAAACATCAGGAGTGAAATAGAAATTGGAGAAGGTTCATAGTGATTTTGCTTAGCATAAAAATGAAATTTCAAAGAGGATTGAATAGATGAGTAAACAAGTATTGATCAATAATCTTATTTGATTTTAGAGCGTAGTAGAGAAACCAAAAGTAGATTTAAATGAACCTGTACTCCAATTCTTAATTGAAAAGAATAAGCAAGACCAAGAATTTTTAGTGGAAACTATAAAAGGAGTAATATCATATATAAACAAAGTTATAAGGGGAGAAGGACTTTCTAATTGAACCAAATCAAGAAGAGAAGTAAGAGCATCCTTAAGTGAAATCGATAATCTCCATTAATTAACATCTTCTTGCTTATAGTTCTGAAACAAGGATATTTATATTTGACAAGACAAAAAACTTTTCATTTGTTTAATAGTTAGATTGTGAAAGTGACATTTCAGCTTTGCGTTCAGTTACATTAGAAGATAATAAAACCTATATAATTGCAAGGTATAATAAGGAATAATAATAAGTGTTGAAGAAAATGAAGAATCATTTTAATTATAATATTGGGATTGGGAAAACTTTGAAAAATGGAAAGTCATTAATGCTCATGATAAATACATTTGGTAGATAATCAATTTACCTAAAAATCTAATAGCATCATGTTCAGAAGATGCAGTAAATATCTATTGTTAATTAAGACTATTAAAATTTTTGATGCTTAAAACTAAGAATAGGTGTAGAAAATTGATGTTCATTAGGCAAGTGTTAATGACATAGCTTTAATAACTCCAGACATTATTGTCTCAGTATCAGATGATTGTACCCTAGTAGCTTCTAATTTTTTTAATGGAGATTTAGTAGGAATAGTTGCTTAGGATAGTGAAATTAAATCAGTAATTGCCTTAGATGGAGTTAGATTTGTTACTGGAAACAGTTCTGGGGAAGTAACAATCTACACTTTTGTTGAATCAATAGAAATTTAGTAAATAATTAAAGTTCATGATTCTGTAGTTAGATTTCTTAGTAGAATAGACCAAAAGTAAATAAATTTCATCTATTTTTATTAGGTTATTTGTAACTTCATCCTGGGATGGCACTCACAAATTCATTTCTGTAATTGATGGAGAAATCAAAAAAGCTATTAATGGTCCAAAAAAGAATTTCTCTGAACCACTTCTTTGGATTCACGATATTGGTTGTCTAGTAGGCTCAGCAGGTGGAATTTTACAAAAATACAAATGATAAATAATTAAAGTATTTTAGGAATAAATAAATATTAATTAGTCAATTGTCTTGTTTACTTAAACAAAGCTTAGAGGTTTAAAATAACTTTTAGTTAATAGAGAAGTTTAGTTTATATAAATGTTCTTGGTCTACATAATTATTATCATGTTCCATATTATTGAGTTGATATTCGTCCTCATAATCTAATTGAATGTTTTTTTGATAAGATAATGTTTTAGAGGGCATTCGAATTTTATCCTGCGGATTAAAATCCCTATCATTAGATGTTCTAGATTATGAACTTATCTCCTGTTATTTTTAATAATCCTGACTCTTTCTACTAATAGGCACACTTATTATTGAGATGGTTCTATTTTTATAGCCATTATTTTGAGGAGTGGTTTAGGTATTAGCTTGGCTGACATAATTGACACCTTGATCCATTTCCATACTGGCGTTGATGTGTGTATTAATTTCTCCTTTGGCAATGATGTCATGATATTATTTAGATACAATTTATTTGGGTAATTGAATTTAACAAAAAAATGGGGTCTAAAAGAATGGGTGATTTAATGCTTCTGATATAGTAATCCTATCTTTAGGATACTTCTTTGTCATTTAACAGATTAGATTCTCCACTAATTAATATTAATAAGGAGTATTTACATGATTTAGGATATTTAGATGAGGGTATTTCAAAATATCCATCAGTATTTTTTTTAATAGTTTATTTTAAATCGTTATGTTTAAATGGATTATAACCATAAAGAACAACAAATAAAGTAATTCCTAAACTAAAAATATCGCATTATTAATTGTATATCTTTTTAGATTCATCATATTTCAATACCTCTGGGGCTGAATAGCTATAATAAATAGTAAAATTTGATACCCTGGACTTCCACATTAAGGAAATGGCATATTCTTCTACCAAGTAAATGCTGCCAATCCGAAATCAATTAGAACAGGGTTCTGAATGTTATTATTTTTTAATAGGATGTTTTGTGGTTTGATATCTCGATGCATTACTTTTTATTAATGTATCTATTCAATTGCGCTGAGAAGGTGGATTATCATTATTCTTAAATCGTCAGAGGAGTAAATCTTTTTTGAGGATTGCTGTGATACCAACTCCGGACCATCGATATAATCAGTCAATAGACATATTTTTTATTGATTCTCATAAACTCTATATAATTTTAATATATTTGAATGATTAAACATTCTAAGAGTTTAGATTTCATTTAATAATTATTCCTCATAACTCTTATTTTTATTAAATTATTTTATTGTTTGTTTTTTTATTATTTTTACAGCAAACATCTCACCTTCCCGATTAGAACATTAATGAACCTTAAAATATAAAAATTGGTTTACTGTTGAAAAACTTCCTGAACCTATTTGCATTCCCAGTTTGTATACTTTATCGAAATCACTTAAGATACAGCAATTTGATAATGCAATTTCCCAGGTTTTGAATTATTACTTGTCCTCTGTATTCAGGTGAATCTAATAACCATTATTTATTAATGCTATTTAAAATCCTGTTTCCAATTAATTAAATTAACAATATACAGTATCCAATTATACAAATCCTTTAATGTTATTTCCACTTCCTACATCAGAGTACAATAAAAATTATTTCACCAAAAAGTAGGTTCTGAGGCATCTCTATTTGAAGGTCCTCCCTACCTTGGTGAAATTACCCATTAGCACATGCATATTTTGAAAGTCTTCCTTGTCAAATGACGGAATGTCAGTTTTATTCCAAAACTCTTAATTTTCCACTTGACCTTTGCTAAATATCATATTTATTATTAAAAATTATCAAATTGAATAAAAATAGCTTCAATTCAATCTCGAATGTTGATATATTTAAAGATATCTCATAATCAATCATTTAAACCGGTTTAAAATTATTCGTCATATTATTCACAAATTTATTTTACTTTAATTTTTCCGACCTCTTTTTTATAACTACAATAATATCCGAGATAATGTTTTCATCATAAAATCACTTGATAAACTATATCAAAGTACTCTAATTGAGCATTCCCTTACGAATCCTTTTTTGATTTCTTATTTTTCACATGAACATTGACAATCACGACTTCATCACATCATCATAAATTTTATTTTACAGTTATTGTGCATTTAAATATAATTGAATCAATTGAAGATTTGCATTGACATTCAAAACATTTAATTTTCAAAATAAGAAATTTGCTGTGATCCCACATCCTACTTTGCATTCTTCTATTTTCTTTTTATATATTCTTCCATTTTTATTAACTTTGAGAATTGGAAATTTAATAATTAATTTGTTGCATGATTAATAATATTTTATTTTAACATTATATATATATTATATTATTAATCATCACATTATTATGTAAATTTATCCACAACCTTAGGATGAAACAGATAGAAAATTGATTGAAATCCCATTCAATATTAAGGAACAAACTCAATAAAATAAACTCTAATCAGAAAGCATTGAAACAACTTAAAAAGATTAATTATCTACTTAATTTAAATCCAAAGGAATGCTATCTTCAGATTAGAAATCCTGCTCATAAAAGAAAGTTCGACTTGATTCCACAGGGTAACCAATATTGAAAAAATCCAAAGCTCACTAAATTACGTTTTGCAATCAATTATACCAAATACATTATGTAGAAAGCTGGAAAGAATATAACTCCAATGATAATTAAGAAGAAGAGAAGGAATCCTGTTGTCCTTTTTGCAAAGTCTTTTGATAATATGAGGTACTCCAATTAATTTAAATAATCTGAAATATCAATAGTTGTTTATATATTCATTCTTAAAACCATATTATCTGAAAGATTTAAAAATGATTTTGTTGTAATTTATCATTGGAGAAATGTCAATAAATTATTAAAGAGTCCTTTATACATTGAACTGTTACAATATCAATATATATATTTTATTTACTTTATACAATTTTTAATTGTGAATACAATTCCTAAGATACTCTGTAGATTGATTTATCTCTCTTCAACATTCTATTTTCAAGTCTTTAATATATTAATAATAATCAAAGAGATGTTATATTTTTGATCTTATTTTCTCATTAATTAGTTTATTTGAAAAAAATGTAGAAATTATTTTGTTGTCCCTCTTCCAATTTCTAGATAAATTACACAATAGCAATCTCAGATTGATGTTATGAAAGTTATTTGTGATTTTTGTCAATTTATTCTATATTTATAAATTATTATAATAAATTGTTTGTGATTATTGTATATTGAAAAAGTTTTAGAATAATACATTTACAAAAAAATTATAAATCTTTAATATCAAAGTAGATTCATATGTTCTCTGTTTCTGTTTTGAACCTAGTGCCCTATTCATTTTCAAATCTAACCTTTTACTTTTTGTCCTTATTTATTGAAGCTATAAAGAATAAATGAAAATATTACAATCTTTTTTAAAACTACTGACTAATTAGGTCCTATCTGATTTTTTGAAAGTGTTCATTAAATTGTAAGAACTTTTGATTTCTTATTCTGATGATTGTGATGAGCTTTAAGCTATTCAAATTATTACAAACAATACCATACAAGGAGAATCTTGATTTAGTTTTGAATTCAATAATAAACTACTTTTTTTAAGTCTTTTTAATTTCTTATCTTTGTTTTATGACATCATTAATTTTCTGAGTTTTCTCTCAAATATCTAGATCTCATTTTGAACTTGATTTTAATAATCTTCTTCAAGTGATTTCTTAGCATTCTTAAACTCTATGTAATTCATTGATTGATTACCTTAAACTAATTTCGTCAATTTTTCCTATTTGTTCTATTCCAAATAACTCAACTTATCTTGAAGTCCGACTCGAAGTTACTCCTCTAATTTATTGTTTTGTTTCATATTTTTTTCTCCCTTGGTCTCACTGACCGGATATAATAAATGTTTTAAAGCCTATTATTTTTCACTCTTAATCACATTAGTTGTTGTCTCTTTCAGGATGCTTGAGTTCTTCACAGCACTCCCTTGAGGAGTTACGTTTTTGGATTACTTTTCTGTGTCCTATTCCAACTTCTTATTACTGATATAATCCTTTTTGAATTGCTAAGTGGTTTGGGTGATATTTTGATTGCTGGTCTCTTTATCAATGGTTTATAGATTGCCAACCTATTTCAATTATTCTTTGATCATGGTGTAGAAGGATCTATCATTGGACATATTTGTTGATGAGTCTGCTTTTGATCTCGTAAAACTACTCTTGCGGTGCTATTGAGTTAAAACAGATTGCAATTGAGATATTTGGTTTTTAAGAGACTGTAAATTTTAGATATTGCTCATCGTGGAATAAATACAGGGTTAATATCGATTAATGTATTATTATGCATTTTTAGGAGATTTACTATACACTCTCATGCTATCTGTTGAATAGGCACTTCCATTATAATTATAAAAGTTTCTGGAGTGAGAACTCGAGGCTTAATTCATTTAACGGAACTTAATTGTTTTTATTAAATATAAATATAATCATTAGATCGAAAAAAGTTCATTCATTATTTGATCTAAATCTGAATCAATCATAAATTAAATTCAAATTCAGTTATGTTGAGAAATTACATGAATAGAATCATCTCTATGTGTGAATAAATTAAACAAAATGGAACTGTAAAACTAATGATTTCAATCTCTATTATGTTTGCAAAAATGATAATAGCAACTATTTGAGTTTGATAAATCACTTATGAGTATATATGCTAAACAATATCGATTGCTATATTTTAAATAAATTTAGTAGAGTAATCACTAAAATCTGATGATTGACACAATAAAAATACTTGTTTAAATAGCTCACGCATTTGAAGAATGAGATAAAATAAAAACTATATTGATCTTGTTATCTTTATAGAGAAGAGTAGTATTGATAATATATCATATTTGTAATGAAAAGAATACATCAGAAATTAATATGTGACATTATTAATAAATTTTATAAAATTAATAACCATTTTTAATATAGAACTTAGTATCTAAGATTAGTTCTTCAATTTAACGATTGTAACAAAGCGGTCCACGAAACCAATTAATATTTCAATCAATAATGGTAAGTGTTTATGAAGATGTGCGAAATGTGATTTTGCTATTGAATTTCAACGAAAATCCCAAGAGTGCGATTAAAATCATACTTGGGTAAGATTAGACTTAGAATTAATGTGACTGATTTAAAATATATAAATCAAAACAAATAGTGATATTTTTTGTCTGAATCTGGTAATTTAGGTAGTTTTCTTAGTCTACTTCCATATTCCTTTTATTTTTAGTAATCTATGTCCAGAATTTTGTTTGATATAGTGGGTTTAAGAGATTAAAGTTTTTTCATTAAGTTGTGACTCTCTAAACAACTGTTGAAACTGAAATTTGGACTTTTTAGATCAAGTGAAGTAATACCTCTTAATCTAGTTTAATTGACATATGGATTTTCTCTCACCTTTATCCTTTCGATCTTATCATCTAGTAACTTATGTAAATTATTGTGAAGAATACTTTCTTAAGACGATGTTAAGCATTTTATTATTGTTATTTATTAAATTTAGATGTTTTTTAAAGCATCAAAAATCTGTTATTCGATGCAGATTTATTGGACTCAATAACTTTGTAAATGTTGGTCTTTTCTTTGTTGATCTCTTCCATCCTTTTGAAGTGATTATAATACTCTTCCAGTTAGTAAGATTCAATAGCAGGATTATGGATAATAAATCGATTTGCTTTCATTTATATTAGTAATTATTAAAAATAAATTAATGAACAATAAATAGAGGTATTAAAATTGGAAAAAGGCAAGATCGGACAAAAGAGATCAAAAGTAATAGTAAGGTTAATAATAATAAATATCATTGCATCAATTGCAATAGTTAAATAACTAATAAAGTAATAGTCAAGATGAAAGTGACGATGAGGATGATTAATAATAAATAGCAAAGACAGAGGAAAGATTGAATGATGTTAAGTTGTTCATGATTGATTATGGATAATGTGATGTTAAGAAATGCACAGGCAGAAAAATGGAAAGATTTAAACTATTGACTGCAATAAAGCCAAAAGTCAAATTTTAAGGAATCATAGTAAGCGCAAATGGAAAGAAATATGTATCAAAAGAAGATGAGGAACTATTACAAAAAGGGATTTGTGTAATTGATTGTTCATGGGCAAAGATAGAAGAAATTACTTATGTATCTCCAAATGAAAGACTATTACCACATATGGTTGCTGTAAACCCAGTGAATTATGGGAAATAATTTAAATTATCATGTGTAGAAGCCATTGCAGCTACATTAGCCTTATGTGGACGTAGAGAATAGGCAGATTTCATTCTTAGTAAATTCACTTGGGGAGAGAACTTCTTTAAGTTAAATAAAGATGCCTTTGATCTCTATTCTGAATGTCAGAATGATAAAGAATTAAGAATAGCAGAACAAAAGTATTTGGAGATGGCTTAAAAGAAGGAGAACACTGGATAAAGGAATTATGATATGCCAAGTAGTTCTGATGAAGAAGAGAATCAAATTTAATGATCTCATATCTATAATTTATTCATTGCTGCCTCAAATTCTTCTTATAAATTGAATATAGGTCTCTAATCAGGAACATGGCCAAAAAAATAATTGTTCTAAATTGAGTTTTAATTTTGTAGTTCTTCTTCCTAAACTTGTTGATTTGACACTTCATATATTTTATTAATTATCTAAATCACATATCCTCTATTCTCTTTGACTGGTTTCATTCTAATATATATAATATAAATACTTAAATTCAGATATTGCTGTCTATAGTAATTACTATGTATCAGTTTGAGGTATTAGTTTTAGTATAATGTTTGTAGCATATTTGTGTAATTGGTTATGCTATTAATATTTTTGTATTAGTTGCTATCTATAATAAGAAATTTTACAAATAATGCTTAAGCCAATTCTTATCTGTTGATGTTCTCTAAAATGTATGGCTGATTAGTAAGTACATCATAAAATTAAATATATGTGAGATTATTTAAACCAAAAGTATTCTCTTTATTCAGTATGTTTTAAAAAAAGTCTTTTGTTGTTTAAATAAAACGATTGTAAATTTAGGTGACTTCTTATTTATATTACTCCTGGTGATTAATTAAACCTATTAGGATGTTTAAAATTGGTTATGGATGATTGGACAAGGCAGATAAAAAAGTGTCTAGTTTAGTGAAGATATGTTTAATTATGAGAGACTTCTATTCTTGAAGTGTTTCAGTAATTTGATTCAATACCATACATATGACAATGGAGATACCCTCACATTTATCAGTGTTCAGATCATTCAATAGATGGTTGACTAACTCAATTCTTTTATCCATATGCTCTAATTGATTCTCCTGTGTTTAATAAATAATCATGGAATAGATTAATTCTGCAATGGAATAGTTATTGATATCTTGTATGAGAATGGATAGTTATGACAATTAGACATTTTACCAAAACTAAATTGTTAAGTTGGATGATTACAATACAAGGATTAGTTTTGAGTACATTCATAATGACTTTACTCACATGTCCAATTGTAATAGAAGGCAGAGTATTTTAGGTATTCAGCAACTGGATGAGGAAATTCAGATGTTTGGCGTTTAATGCATAAAGTGAACCCAACAATTCGCTTACGACAAAAGGATACTTGATTACTCTTTTGTAATCAGTTTCTAACTCATCATATTCAAAAAAGGATAGCATCTATGTAACTAAATCTTCATTATTGACTAAACTAATTTGGTTGTTGTTTATAAATATCCTTACAATTCTTTCAATTGGATGTTGTTCTCCTTATTCACAAGGATGCTATCATCATCAAGGAAGTCTGGGATATTTTTATTATTATAAAACTCATCGAAGATTGTTAACATTATATTTATATTATTTATCTCAAGCGAGTTTTACATCTTCAATGTGGACTGGAGTCATTGGGACATATTTATATGATGGATCAGCATATTTAGTTTTCTTAACTTGTACGGATTATGTTGCTCTCTCTTTGATTATTTTGGCATGTTATTTATGATACTAAGATTTGAATAATTATTGATTGTTACTCTCTTCATCATTTCAGCAGTATAAATAGAACTAATTTCAGTGTAATGTGCTGACAATCTTTGATTCAATGTGTTCAATGGAAAATGTAATGCATTGGTTGCTTTCTTCATCACGTAATCCAAATTATCAGGACTAACTATCCAAATATATTGCATACTAATATGATCTGTTTTCAGAGGAATAGTAGACCAATCTAAAGAGACCTGACAAAACTCCAATTGGTCCCAAGAACACGGCTGCTCTCATTGGTCTCAACATATGATATCCTTAATGAGTGAGTCCTCTATGGTAAACATATTGGTGTTAGTTACTTTAAGACTGAGTATTTGTGACCCATGAAGGCTGTTGCAAAGAGCACTCTTCTGTTGAAATAAATGAACATTTGGTTTGTAGGATGAAATCCGAATTCTCTTGGACCAATGAGGAAGAATCTGCCGATCTTACCCAATAATCCTGATCGTTTGGCTAACTTCTCGTTGATGACCACGGATAGTGGGTTCAGGATTTTCAACCATGCTTATTAAATTGGATTCATCTTTATTTAATTAATATTATTTGATTTCTTTTCTCATAGATATTAGGGGATTGTGTGAATAATAATAAATTACATACATTTTTAACTCAAATCAGCACTCACACTTTATACCACAGTATATAAATTATATTAATTAAATAAAATGAATGAAAATAAGGAAATGATTCAACATGACTATCAAACTCAACTCAAGGAATTCTACGAATAAACCTAGGAGATTGTTAGTTCAATCCAGTAAGGAATCAGAATTAAGAAAGTAAAAGACATCATCTAATATTCAAAGGATATACCAATTCAAATCAGCAATTTAATGGGACAATTGAAACCTATATTAGAATCTATCTCGTAGAATGGTGAAATTCAAAAATACAATTGGCTCCATTTGAGATCACTTATTGTCATCACAACCAGAGATATGTTATTGAATATGCAGAAACTTTATCCATACGAAAAGACTGCTCAAAACGAAGGCTTCGAAGATGAATTAGATATCGTGCTCCAATTTCTCTGTGTTTTTGAATAAAAGTAAGTTATCCTCTTACTATTTTACCAGACCACCTTTTACTTTGCAACGAATATGCGAATTACTTATTGATCCCTAAAAACATTACAAATCATCCAAGAAAATATTGTTCGCCATGGAAAAATTAGTAAATGTAAGTACATGATATAAAATTATAATATTTTATTTAATGAAGCACAAACCAAGTTATTGGAAATCTACTCACTTTGCTGCCTCTGTCCAATATCTTAATTTCATTATTGAGTGCATCATCTTCCCATTGGCTTTGATTCTATACATAAATCACTACAAAATGGATAGAAACCTATATGACAATTGGGAATATAAACCCATTATTGAAATTCAGAAAATATAGGGCTCTAAATGTCCATCAGATCTGGAAACTTTCTTTGACTATAGTTACCCAGAATCTTCCAGTGGTATTAATCAAAATAATAATTAAAAGGATGTGATTGTGGTTTTGGCGAAGAAGATGAGAATGGCCAAATTGATTATGATAAACTGAAAACAGAACATTGTTAGACATCTGACATTGATGAAGGATGCACCGAAATAACTCCTATAGAATCTTAGGATTTTATCATTTGGAAGGGGTATTCCATCTGCGGTAAAAGATCTGAATACACTTACAGAGAATTATTTTATGAAAGGAATTGCACTGCCATTTGCAATGGAGTTTGCTAAACTAAAAATAATCAAAATACTTGTGGAAATTACCAAGATCTACTCTCCAAAGAAAATCTAACTCAATCTTATTTCAATTTCACTTTAAACTATGGAATAGATGTTTGCTACGAGGATGGAGAGTCAATTAATCAATATCCACTATTAGAATCAGCCTATAAATGTGTGATTTAATCATCAGAATATGCTTTCATTGATGAGTTTGATCAATACATGTTATTTGAAGAAAATGAATATCCTTATGAGAGTTTACCAGGATTAAAATATTTTAATGAAACACCTAAATTTGGTCTTTTTGGTGAAAAGTTTACTGAATATAATTGTACTATTAAATAGATTGACGTCTCTAATTATAGAGACAATTACATTCAACTTGTATTTTTGATTGCTCTCATAATGGCAGGTAAATTATAATCAAAATAAATTAGGTTGTTTGATGGGTTTCGGAGCTATATTTCATTCAGCTATCATCTAAAATTTAACTAGAAAAGGAATATTCAAGCATAAAATATATAAAGTTACTTGGAAATTTTATTGTCCTACTACATTCCTCATTCTTCTTCACATGGCACATTTAGCTATTGTAGGCACTAAATTGGGATTTCTTGCTCATTTTAGAACTACTATGCATACTTATATTGAAAATGTAATTGTGTTTCATTATAATACGATAGAAATGCACCGATTGGTCAAACATATTGAATCTTGTTTTTATGAGAGATTTTATTGATGCAGAATTGATGCCTCTTTGCATTCCTGAATTAGTCTTAACGTTTGGAGCTATGTTATTGGAGATTTTACAGTTGTGCTTATTTGATAGGAGAATCCCTGAGACCATTGCATCTCCTAATCTTAAAGGTAGAGAGAGTCCTTCAAAATCAAACAATTTCATTTTGAATTTTGGGTTTGATAAAGAAGAAAACATGGAAAAGCACGTTTTAGATACTGAAAATATTAGAATTAATAAGAAGAATGTAATTATTTACTAGTAATATAGGAATAATTAAAGTTATATAATGAATGATTATAAAAGGATCTCTTCTTATATAGTCAAATTAAAATAATTATGTTATTTCTCTCTTTAAGACTGATAATCACACATAAACCAAGTTTTGGAGATCAAACTATCCTTATTTTTATAAAATTTAATATTTATTTAAGTTAGCATAGAAATCAAGAGTCACTAACATTATTATTTATTATTTATGAAAAGAATTAATAGATGAATATATTATATTAATATGATAATTCAGAACTTTTCATGTGCATTTACTAAATCTGCATTTTAATATAAATATCCATTAGATGCCCATTTCATTTCTATATTAAGTTTCTTATCTTCAGAATCTTCATTTGGAATTATTTTTTGATTATATGTTCCTTATACTTGATTACCATTCTTGAATTACCAGACACCAACTTTGTTCGGTTTATTATTATCAAATTCTCCTTCATAATAGGTTCCATTAGGTAGAATCCATCTTCCAGAGACAAATTTGTTTTCCTTCCATAAACCAACTAACTATTGAAGATAGATAATAAGAAAATACTCTCATCCCAGTATCATTGTAAATATATGTTCCATTACCCTCTTTTTTACCAAATGCCCACCATCCACTATATTAGTCTTTGTTTGGATAGGTGAAATTGCCTTCTCCATGTCGCTTACCATTTTCCCATTAGCCTAAGATTATAAATGAGAGTGAAACCGAAATATTCTCCCTTCTCTTTGTATGTTAATTTGCCAATTCCATGTTTAGCATTATTGATGAAATCACCAAAGTAAAGGTCACCATTGGCATAATTATATTTGCCTTTACCATTTCTTTTCTAAGAATTAGATTTGAAACAGTTACTCCATCGACGTATTCACCTTCATAGATTTCATTATTGGCATATTTGGCTTATCCTCGACCTGTATAATCTCTAGAAGACTTGGTCTTTTGATCACCTTCAGGGAGGAATTTGATAAATTCAAAATTATTGTCATCTGGATTTTCATCAGCCATTTTATATTAAATTAATTTATTAATTAGTTTTGAACAACAAAGAGTGAATATTATGATAAACTACAAGAGAATGAGTAGAAGTGATGTAATTTTAGATGTGAAAGAAAAAGCACAGAGAACAATAATATTTTGAATCAGAGTAAAGTAAATACTATTACATTTGTTTAGCATTTTTATGGACTTATTTTATAAAAGTTGAATTTAAAGAACAAAAGATGGAGTTAGAATAGAGATTTCTTGTTAGATAGAGAGTATATTTGCTAAGCAGGATGTACTCCTACAATTTATGAATAGACTAATAATGAACAAAAATTCAGAATTAGAATCTATTGTCAAATAACAATAATGAGTATATAATCAAATATAAAATAACATGTTAAGGATTAAGATATATTTGCTTATTCTTATAATTTCAATTTTTTACACTATATAAAGATCTTGAAGGAATAAAAGATGAATAGAATATAATTAGTATGTCCAATTTAAGGATGAGATTAATAATGATTTGTATTAATTTTGCTGTGATTTATAAATGAATATTTAAAGAAATTCTAAGAATTAGCTTTAAGAATAATAAATTTCTTGAAAAAAAGTAATAATGGATTTTGTGTTAAACCTTATACATTAGTCTTAGACAATACCCTTCAGACAAGGAGTAAAGTTCAACAACTACAATCTAATCTGCATGTAAATGATGTGAATTAAAAATAGCATCTCTGTTTGTGCATACATTTTGGCATTATTAATTAATGGCACAGTTGGTGTTAAGACTGCCAAATCGACGAGCGATAGTTATAAATTGGTAGTTACACCCCCTCCTTGGGCATTTTCAATATGGGGAATCATTTTCAGTATGAATTGATATTTACTTAATAAAGGCACTACATTGGTGGCATTATTGTGGAGCATTCATTCAGTGTCTTGGAGTTTAGAAACTCACTTGTACTTTTGGCTATATTGTTTCACAATTTCAGTTTGGATCTTACTTTGGGCAATAGTTAGCAAAATAACAATACTTTTATGCAAAATAGTGCTAATTTTATTAACAATTGTATTAAAAATGAAATAATATTTAAGAATATTTATCTTCTTTGGAAGAGTACCTTGGTTTTGGAGAACGATGATTGGTCAATATACTTGATGAGAGGAGCAATAGCATTCTAATTGGGATGGACTTCAAGTGCACAATGTTTGAACTTCTGCATTTGTTTAGTGCATGTCTTTGGTGTCACACAAGACATGATATCTAAATTGATTTGGGTATGTATAGTGGTTGCTCATTCAATTTATTTGGGCTTAGCTTATTGTCATTCAAAATAATGTATTTATATTATCATATAATTTTAGACAACAAGAATGTGCTACTAAATTTTGGAGGTTATTTGTTGAGTATGACTTGGGCAATAATGGGAGTGGCAATTTCGTACAATAATTATAGTTCTGGAAAATCAATTAATAAATAAAAATGAAGTATTATATTGTATTTAATGATGACATCATCATAGTATTATAAAAATCGATGATTATGATATTCAAATTAATATAATTAAAAAATGGAAAAGACACTCCTTGCCATAGGTTTAATGATGTTAGTCGGAACACTTTACAATGTTCAAAGCGTTCCTGAATTGGAATTGGCTTAAAAATTCACAAATTACTAAGCCCAATTCAACAAATAATACTCAGGATCTGAACTCCTCTATAGATTATAAGTTTATGAGGCCAACCTTGCTGACATTAAAGCCAGAAATCAAAGAGTCGGAAGATAAATCTTTGGCGAAACCTAATTCACAGACCTTACCGATGAAGAATTCGCTGCCATCTACTTGACCCTCAAAGTCGTCCCTGAAGAATTTGAAACACAAAAATCTTAATTTGAGAATGTCACAGCCACCCCCATCGATTGGAGATCAAGAGGAGCAGTCACTCCAGTTAAGGATTAATAAGCATGTGGTTCATGCTGGGCTTTCAGTACAACTGGTGTCTTGGAAGGATGGTTCTAGATCAACACTGGAAAGTTACCAAATCTCTCAGAATAATAATTGGTTGATTGCTCAACCTTTATTCCTGATTTGAACTAAGGATGCAATGGAGGTATGCCATCAAGAGCCTTGAACTATGTCAAGAGAAATGGTCTTACAACTTAAGATGCTTATCCATACGTATTATATCATATCATTCTTTATAGTAAGCTGTTGATTAAGCCTGCAAAATCAAGGGAGGTGAATACAAAGTCAGTGGATCAACTGCCATCGCCGCCAACGAAGCCGCTCACTAAGCTGCCCTCTAAAGCGGACCAGTTTCAGTTGCTGTCAAGGCCTCAGATTGGAAGAACTATAAACCCAAAGGTGACAACTACATCTTCCCAGATTCTGAATGCACAGGAGATGTCAACCACGCTGTCTTGGCTGTTGGATTCACCAGTGAAGCTCTTATCGTCAAGAACTCATGGAACACCGTTTGGGGAGTCGATGGATACATCTACCTTTAAGGAGGAAAAAACACTTGCAGTGTTTGGGATAACTCAGTTGTACCAAAATGATATCAATCATTATCATAAATATTAATTCCAAAATAAATCATATTTCAGCTAGATCTCCTTTCTTAGAACTAAACACTGCTATTTATAACATGATCCAAATATCCACACTTAATTGGATCACTCCACACATCACAAATTAAGTCGGCTAATTCTTAACTATAAAGTAGAATGTCTTGAATGCATCTCCTAAAAACCATGATCCTATCATTGCATATGATAATCCCTTTACGCTCTTTGCTGAGTGATTCTTAATGGCTTAAGGTAATCCCAAAGTGGCCTGGTCAATATAAAATAATTTCTACTTCAATTGCACAACTCAGGAATCCAATTATCTCCCAGTACTGAGGATTGCCAAGATTCAAATAACTAGAAAGCAAAACGAAAATTAAGAAGGATATCAAGCATGCTATGTATGAATGTAATTGACTCCATCGCCAAAACTTATTCAATGGACTATCAAAGAATGTGTCTGGCTTAGCCTTTAATATCGATTTGTTCATTATTGTCAAACATGACCTAAGCAATTCAACCTTAAGGTTATTGTATGATTCATTACTTACATCATTATCATTAGAATTGATTGATACAATAATGCATTTTCAAAGCGTTTTTCGTACCAAAACACTATTCTTAACAAATTTGCAAACAATAATATTGCACACACATCGATCGAAAATGAGCCTACACTCTTTTATGACTTTATCAATTAATATTGAGCCACGTATCCAATTAGAGGACCCAACACAAATCCTAAGTATATATCAAAACAGGATCAAATACCAATATTCAAAGCAAAATCAGCTAATTAAGAGCCATATCGAATTAAATCATCGAATTAAAAAAACTCCATTCTTTTATATTAATTATTAACTGACAATATAAATTATCTACTCAATGTCCGAATATTATTTAAGAACCAGAGTGATCAACACTCAAGAAACTACACCCAAGCGAATGTTTGGAAATCCAAATCAATCATACACCTAACCATCATTAAATTAAAGTCCTGTATATCTCACACCAGACAGAGCTATGAAGCAGCCTTATCGAAATCAAAATCAAAGTGTAATTCCTAATCATCTAAATTAGTACAATGACATGTCTGAATATATTCGCAGATAATAATAAAGTCAATATCCTCCTACATATTAATCTAGTTAAATTTCTATTCAATAGGAATTCAATAATACAAGCAAATAATAGTTCGATTAAATCTTCAAAAGATCAGAAAATTCTATAACCCAAGAGTCGAGTTGGTTTTAATAGAAAAACAATAATATCAATCCAAATATACAATAATATAGAATGGAAAGGGAAAAAATGAAGCGAGATTCCTCGTAGCCATTTTATGATAACAACCATTAAGTTACGGATAGAAATCTTAGACCAATCAAGGTTGATTTTTTATTTTTATTAAGTTCGAAGAAAAGGTCTCAAGTGATAAAAGTGATATTGAAAAAATAAAGTAGATTTTGGTTGATCAACAACTGAAACTCAGTCTTTAAGTAGATGAATATAAAGTTAAGTTAAATAAGTAGGAATAAAAAACAGTAGAGCTTGAAAAATAAAATAAGCAACTGAAAACACAATTAAATCAAAAGAGTCAAGAAATGAAAACTCTTTAGTAATCTCATATTTCATAATCGAAACTCGAAGAAATTCAAGATTAACAAATGAAGAAATTCTAGAAAATCTACGAGCAATTAACGTAGTCAAATGATGATTTACGCGAAGAAAACAATCAATTGAAATTACTCTTATTATAGTAATAAATTATTATATAAATTAGAGTGGACAATTATTCCTCTGTCTCTAGATCAATTATGAGCAAGAAGAACTCAGAATAAGAATTTCAAGTTTTCGGTTTTCAGAATGATAATATCAAAGAATTAATAGATCAATTTCTATAGGGGACCTCTGATTAATTGTTGTCTTTGACACAAGATCCTCTTATCTAAAAAGTCTTTATTTAATTTAGAGATATAATTAATGCAATACAATTCAATCAACATCAAAAGCTAGACTTTTAGATGCTCAAGGAAACAGACTTTATGAAAATTAAAAAATAAAGTGAAGACATCATTACAGTGCCAGAATTAAATCAAAAAGCTGATACTCTAATAAGGGAAATCAAATAGAAGATGGAACAAATGGCATCCTTAAATGTATGAATATGTTATTAATATTAATAGGAGGGAGATTAAAGGAAGAATGCTATAAAAGAAGAGATTGATAGATTATAAAAAGAATATGATGGCATTTAGATACTAGTAACAGAACAATCAGATTATTTGGATAAAAACACCAATAATTTACATAGAAATAGTATAATCTCATTTGATCAAAATTTTGATGGTGAGGAACAACAATGAAAATTAACCATATACTTAATATTTCTAAATTGATTCGAATTTAAACATATTTAACAAACAATCTGAAATTATTTTCTTACGAATATTTCTCAAATCCACAATTCCATAGATTACAATTAACTACACTCCATTAATGAAGATATTTCTTAAGATTAAATTAAATAAAAAGACGTACTGTTGTGTTAAGAGCTAATATAAATTCCCTAATGCTTGTATTAATATTAAATTAATTAATATAATTTTTTAACAAGTATAACTATTAAATGATGTTAAATTACAGTAACATCACTTTTGTTTCTACAATCGCTATCTAATCATACCGATTAAAAGTCTCTGCTTGCTCACGTTCTAATTCTTTTGATAAGTTATAAAACATAATTTATAAACTAATTGACGACAATTTACTTTAAATATAACTAATTGTCAAATGCTCACGTCCACAGATTTGCATCTTCTCACTTAGACTTCATCAATTGTTGATAGAGATAATCAGAATAATCAATAATAAATAAACCATTAATTAAATCTCTGTTTATATTCTAATAATTATAATTAAGAATGATAGTTTAATACTTTCCCAAAGATCGAAGAAACAATTTAAATTAATATAATGAGCAGAATTATAGAATCACCTTATTTTATAAAACTAGATTTAAAAATATATATATTATTTTAACTAAAATTGATACATTATTTTTATATTTACTTTATACTTACATATGAAAGATTAGAAATATTTAAAAATCAATTACTCTTAAGGACTTGAAGACTGACCATATACTGTTCAAAATCACACGCGTCGACACAATTTGCACTAGAAATCTTTATCAAAAACTAATTTGTTACACTATTTATCCTATTGAATTGATTTAAATTTATCAAATATGGTAATTGTAATGATTATGTAATTAATATACTCTTAAGTAGTGTTCTATAAATTTTTTACCTTACCTCTTATCTGCACAACGAAGAATTCTTTATTCAAAGAGAATAGCTTTTTTGCATACATTATATCCAGGTCCTTAACTTTTTTTCAAAAACTATTCCGAAGCTCAGAGAACTATTTTTAGAAATATAGTTTCCTGTTATACATTTTAAGGATTAATGATACTTAAGAGTGCATATATCATAATATATTATATTTATGTGATAAATTGAATTGTACAATATTGGAGAGTCGTTTACATAAAAATTGGAAGTTACTTAACTTGACAAAATGTGTAAAGTCCATATAGAATATTTAGTATAAGTAATATGAAGACAGAAATGAACTTGTTTTCATTTTTTATATTTGTATAAAACTAAAACTCACAAAATAAGTAATTTTAAACACAAAGTATATATATTCATTCAAGTTGGAATGAGGACTTAGAAAATTTTTTGGAAAGATAGGAATTCCAAACGTAAAGTAATTCGGTATATTCTAGAACTTGATGAGATTTTCTTTATCTAGAAGTACTTTAGAAAGAGGTCTTTCTTAGTGAATTAACCGTGGTTTAGGGGGATGCTAATAAGCAACTGACTTCAGTATCTCCAGTTTCAGGGACCGGGTAGACATCTCCATTACTTTGGAGTTTAGTTATAGGTAGTTAAACGAGCTTCTGCATCTTTATAAGAAAGCTATTAAAATAATGTTAAAATTATTGTTTATATATCCAATTTAATAGTAGTTTTAGACCACATATTTCGGAGCTTAAAGAAGGAGATATTGGGTGATATTGTAAAATTTCGTTCTTAAATATTATATTTTAAATATATATTTATCATTTACAAACGTATAGAGCAAAGCCATTACATACATACTGGGCCAAATGAATGTAATCCTGCAATTCTAATAACTCAATGGGAATGGCATTTCTGCTCCAATTATTTTTCTCATATTCAATTGATTTAATGCTTTATTCCAAACCCTTAAAGACATCTTCACTTGTCTTCTTCATCAAATCAGATATATTGAAGAAGCCTATTCTATTTGAGTTACAACACATCAAGGTTGTTTCATCCAGACTGATGGACACCGACCTGATGTAATCTCTCCCGTTGGCACTGTGGAAGTCACTTCTTTGTAAATAGATCTTCTCTTTTAGGAGTTTCGTCATAGGCAAATAGTATAAAACCACTGATCCAGAATCGCATCCAACACATAAGAATTGACCAGTGAATGACACATTCATACACGTGATATTTCCATCCATAAATGAGATATAAAGACATTCAGCCTTATCAATAGACCAGATTCTAAAGATTCGGTTTTCTTCTGCAGTAACTACATATTCAACAGACGGAACAAATTCTACTAATTTTACTTGATTCATCACAGGTCCAAATATCCTAATGCATTAATTTTAATCAGTAGCCCATAAGAGAGCAGTTCCATCTGAAGAGGCACTTGCAAACCAATAGCCCATAGGAGCAAAGGCTAAATGCCAGATAGTTTGTAAGTGTCCTTTGTAAACTACCAAAGGTTGTCTAGATTTTAAGCATGAGAATTTTATAGTTAAATCAACTGAGACTGAAATGATGTAATTCTCATCATAGAGAATGCTAATGGCAGTTACAGGTCCTTCGTGGATATGCATTTCAAAACTAGGATTGCAAAGTAGCCTATTTTATCTATTCTATTTTAATTCATTCATGTCATAAATTAGTATGTTACCATCATAACAACCACAACATATTATTTTGCAGAATTTACTTATTTAGATGTAGGAGATCACATTGGGCAGATCTTGTAATTTGATGCCAAGTAAATTCTTTTGTTGATTTAATAAACACTCAACTAGTTTTGTGTCATGTGATAATTTGTATTTGATTAATTGAGAATATTTGACTTGTTTCTCATTGTTATTTTCTTATGATTGTTGTTGTTGCTGTTTTCTCTATTATAATTTCTTTATCACTTCTTGTTTCATTTGATTTGCGATTTAATAGGGCAATTGCTTCTATTCAATCAGTTACTGAATTTCTGAGAAATCCTATTGACTCAGAGGATCAAGATGAGACTTTTAACATTTTTCTATCTAAACAATGATTCTGAGCCAATCATCTTCAATAAAGGTATTAAAGTATTTTTCTTTGGTCCTCATGTTTTCTTCAATCAATCTGAGATCCCTTAATTTGTCATCCTTTGCGTTTACCTCCATTGATCCTATTTATTTATTGAAATAGAATAGTCCACTCAGAGTTGCATACCTGTTTGTAGTGAAGCAATCGCTGTTTGAATATTGATTAAACTTGAGTTTATTTTTGAAATCTTGGAATATTTGATTTTAATGTTTTAAATATTCCAAGATGTAATTTATTTTCTCATACATTATTGAGGTAGTAGTTATTGAACAGTATTTGTAAAATTGACTATAACCGCTCAAATACTAATCATCATGTCGATTCTTGGATAATATTAATAATTCATCACGAATATACTCATTTAAATATGCTGCATTCTAATTGACCATGTATGTAATGAAATCATTTAATTCTTTTCGTGCAGATATCTAGTCATCCTCCTTCTTTTACAAACTTTCCTGATAATTTTGAAATAGCTTTTCCATCATGAATGAACTGCATAAGAAATGCAAAAATTCAATCTGTGGTCTCTAACTTGCTATTTCCTAAGAGATAAATTGCTAATAAAAATCAGCTAAAATCTTCTCATAAGTGATGGATTTCTTCGGTATTTAAAGCATAATATAATTATTTTATTATTAATATATATAATTACTTATGAATTATTATTAAATAATACATAGATACAATTTATCAAACAGTCTAAATTAAAATGTCCAATTAGTTTTATATACCAATTGATTTCATCAAATTAGTTTGAATATCAGATGTATTACTCATATGATTGTTCATACATTACAGTTTTAATAATTATATATAACAGCAAATTTTATTATTAAAAAATGGGTAATTAAACCTCTTATGTAAATGAATAAGTGATCTCAATGGATGGCAAATTAGAGGATAATTTAGAATGCATTGGATCGAAGTAGCACAAATATTTAGGATAGATTTAATTATGGAGGAGAGATTCTAAAAGCAATCCCACAATCTTCTCGAAAGTATCTATTAAACTAATAATAAAAGCAATCTCACAGTGGATAACGACATGATATCAACACAAATGAACATAATGATAGAAAAAAAGTGAATCACCCAAATATTCTACAATATTATGGCTGCTAATCCAATTATTTAACATTTAAAGGTAATATCCTTTAAACCAAATTCTTTTTTGAATATGTTCCAAACACTTTAGATAATGTTATCAGTTTTCATAAGAAGAATTGTAGTTATCTGGAGGAATCTGAAATTTGGAAAGTACTTGATTTTATTATCATTTAGATAATTCAACAGATAGTTTCTGCTTGTTCATTTTTACAAAAATTAGATTTATTTCATGGAGATTTGAATCCATAAACAATCTTTATTGATAATTCCAAATAAGTTAAAATATTGGTACTTGAAATAAATAACAAAATAGTATCATAATGCTTATCCAGAAATAATTACATCTTATGCTAAATTATTAGCCTACTCTGATGCCAGTGTTTACATATCACCAGAATAAATGGATTCTTTGGCTACCCAATCAGTGGATCCAACAGACGACCCGTTGAAAACAGATTCATTTTAATTTGGACTCACCTTACTAGAATTAATGACCATGACCTCAAGTATTCTTAATCATTTATAATGAGTTTTGGAAGATTGTATAGATTACCAAAGAAAGACTATTTATTTTAAATCAATAATGGATCTGTTGTCATCCGCAAGAAAGAGATATTCCTAACAGTTGATCGATTTTGTGTAAAGATTGATAACATTTGATGAATAATCAAGACCAAAACTATCTGATTTCCTTTATGATACAAATCTGTAATCATAGCAAGGCAGCAGTTTCTTACCCTAATCCAAAATACGAAGATATACATCTCCTCCTAAATAACCTGAAAGGACTAACTCTCCACCACCTGACATGGGATGGAGTAGCAAATCTCCAGTGTAAAGAGATCTATCAAACCAATCATAATTTAGGACTCCTTTATAAAGAAGTGTCTCTCCTATTTTGGATAGATCTAACAAGTATCTAAATCTTGCTCAGAGCAGAAATACAACAGCTTTAAGTTTGTTTCATAAGAGTCCAAATAAACCACCAATATTGATTTAAAGTCAAACTCCTATCAAAAATGAAAGAGGAAGAAAACTTAATACTGTAACGGATAATTCTAGAAATGTTCTGGTGATAAGCAGAAGTCCAATATAAAACTAATCCAGAAAAACATCAGCTCATCAACCAGCTTTAACATTTGTTACTCCTAAGCATTATACTAACCTTCAGCCATTATAACAAGAATATTATTCTGAAGCTGTTAATTAGAAATAATTTAATCAGTAACAATACTTTTCTTAAACTCTCTAACATTATGTTCAACCTTATTACAACAATTAAGAAAACTTTAATAATACCTTGCCAAAACCCCAAAATACTTTGTCCTAACCTTAATAATAACATTCCATATCATAACAACAGCCTTAATCTGCAAATGCACTCAGTAAAACGCCATAAAAAGTACCATCAAAGGGTATAAATTTACTATCCCCATTATAAAGTATTAATAAATGATTTATTTTTATGTTATTTGATAACAGAAAAGATTATTTATAATTCTTAATTAATTAATAGTTATAAAAATATAGAAACCTACACCTGAAAATTTGAAGGTTCAAAGATTAATTGAGTTTAATATTTAATTTCTTCATAATTAGTTCATAAATAGATATGATAATGTTTTTTGTAAATTCATTTCTTAGCACTTATTGGTCTCTTAGTTCCATTATGAGATTTGTTACCAACTGCAGATTATGGTCTTGAGGAATAACGTGATTAAGGGAATTATTGAGAATCATCTTAAATATCTTAAAATTATTAATATTGTTCCATAGTTTATCTTTTCGTATCGGCTTAATAATATTTTCCATCTGTTCCTTTCACCTAATTAGAAATTATTTGTACTTTTTATTAATTGGTTGTACTGCAACTTAGACAGTTTATAGGATAGAGCCTTTTGGTTCCAACTCCAATAATTTAATCTGTTGGTGGAGAAGCGGATTATTACATATTCATAGGTGTTTTCTTGATTTAGACTTCAAACTATTTATTGTGAATACCTTATAATGAATCGATTTCTCTTCGCAAATAATTAATTGTGTCTATTGCCTATCCCAACCTAGTTTCTAAATTATGTAGTTCTCTTTTCATATCATCTTCATTGACTTTATTTTTTACTTATTTAATTAGATTATTTATGTCAAGATCTCTAAAGATTCTAGTGACTCTTCTTTCAATTTCATTTGCATTTTCAACTTTATGAGCAATATCTTACAAATCCTTTTGAATCTTTTTGATTTTATCGTCTTCAATATTTCCTTATTGATGGAATTACTCAAACATTCTATTTATCTCATCTTTGGTTACAAACTTTTGTTCTTCTGATGTATTTTACACTTACTATTACTATTGCTATTAATATAATTATGAGAAGAATTAAAAACTATCATATCTTGATTTAAACTCAGCATCCAATGTTTCCCAATGCACATTGTTTCTAATTGACATTTATTCTAATTTTTTAATGTCCCCTTCAAGAGTACATATTTTATGAGGATCAATTTTAGATAAAAGAAATGCTACATTTTCAGCATTAATGTTCATATCTTTTAATGCTTCAACTCTTTCTTTTGCTTCATCATTCAATTTTTAAACTTAATCTTCCAATTATTTGATTTTTTGTCTATGTTAATCTAACTAATTAGAGACATCTAATTTATTTATGGCAGTTGCTAATCTGCTATTCAAATCTATAATTTTATTACTTTGCTATTTATTTGATTCAACTAACTTGTCAATCAGATTTATTTTATATTTTAATCTTTTGATATATTCTAAATTTACAATTCATTCATTTCATTAAATTATAATTTCAACTTTTACTATTTCTCTCCTACTAAATCATCTAATCCTTTAATTTAACTTCTTATAAAAGCAACGTCTTATTGAAATTTAATTAATTATTCATTATTTTATGTTTATTGAATCTAGAGTAAAATTAGCTTTATTACTTCTTTTAAAAGTTTATCCTCGCTAGCTCTAATTGCTTCATTAACAAATTCCTCGTTAGTTCTCTTCGACAATAGATCTTGACAATCATGAATTTTCCAAAGAGTTTTTCTATCAAATTATGATTATTTCTAACCTTTCTACATCTCTAACAGCTTCCTCAAATTTTTAAATGTCAGTTGATATCTTTTTCTCAACTGTATCTAATTCATTTCTACCACTCTTTTGTAGTTCATCTATTTATGATTCCAATTAGTTCTTTTGTTTTCTCATTTTTTCCTTGCAATCCTTAGTATCATATTTAGTAAGCATATCATTTTCCAATTTCGTAATACGCTAATCTTATCTCTAATAATAGATTCATCTCATACTATTTTTTCTCTGTGCAAATGTTGAATCATCGAAACCACCGAAAATAGCTTGCCTCTTAATTCAGTGATTATCTTCTCCAAAGCTCCTTTACCAAATTTCTACTTTCCTTAAATCTAAGTTATATAGGTATGCAAAGAACTCGATAAATCCTTTTCAATATCCTTATCTGTAAACAATAATGATTCGCTTAATAATTGAAACTATTCTTGAATCTAAAATAAACATCTTTATAACTAATAGTAAAATTTCACTAGGTCCCACTAACTTCTTAATAGCTTCAATCTCAACAGTATGGTTTTCGAGATCTCCTTAAACTCCTTCCAAAAATTATTTCAAATAGTCATAATTGACATCTAATTTAAATAGGGATAACCCTTTCAAACTTAATTCGTCTAAATACTCAATTGGTTTATACCTCCAAGTTCTTTCCTGCTTTTTTGACTTCCTTTACTTTTGATATCCATTTAATAATTTTATATTGTTTTATGAATACTTATACATCATTTATTACAAAATAAGTCGAGATTGTATTATAAAAATCAACAATGCATTTAAGTATATTTCAAAAACCTTATTAAATAGCGATAGAGAAAACACTGAGCCCCAATTCTTCCAAATAATCTTTAATGCCATTTTTATAGTTAAAAGATTTTGTAAAATTATTAATTTTATAAGATTTTGAATTCTTGTGGTGTTTGTAACAGAAATTTATAAATTATAGCACTATAATTATTATTATATGTGGTATTAAGAATTTTAAATATAGTATTTGAAACATGATCGCATATTTGTAATCAATAAGTAGTATATAATTGTATTTATTTTTTATTCATAGAATAATCTAATATCTTTGGTTATTTTGAACTAAATAATATCATCTAGAAATTTAATGTAGATAAGAATTAAATTGCAATTCATTATCAGTCAAAAGTAGTTAATAACTAAAGATTTAAAAAATTATAAAAGAGAATTATCTTCCACTTAGAAATAATTACTAAATTTTCAATATATTAAGATTAAATTTTAATTAGCTTTGATACTAATCTTATAATCTTATCAGGTTCTAAATTCAACAATTCAAACTCTTCCCGTATCTGTAAAAACATTATTGAATATTGATATATTTTGAAAGAACATAATTTCTTTATTCGATGTTGAAGCTGATCAAACAGGATAAGATATTTTTTATATTAAAATATTATTTCTTAAATTTCATTTCTCCTTTATCAGCAAGTGTGATATAGTAAGAAGACTAGGGATATACTTATATATTTATAAAGAGAAGATCAAATTCTAAAAATCTAAAAATATATCTAATATCTAAATGATTTTATAATAAGAATTACTCCATTATTAACTTTATCTATCATTTTTTTGCCTTTGGAAAATTGAAAAAATGCTTCTTCTTTAATTTTCAATGAAGAAATGAGATTCTTTAGTCTTTCATTTAGTAATTTATAGATTTATATTACTTTTTGAATAAAAATATATGAACTATCAATGTTTTGGTGGCCAAACTAAATTAAGAGCTCTTCCAATGTAATCATAGAGTGTAAATGTAATAGCAACATCCATAACAACTCTGCCCAATCTTGGTACAGTTCCTAAAAACTTAGAAATATTTATTCTACCTTTGTAGAATCCTCTGACTCCTTCATGTTGATATGTTTATTTACAACAATCCAAAACACCATTGTATTAATGAGCTTTAAGGCCTTGCATTTATGTCTTAATCACGTCAACGGGAGTATTGCACATTACTGATGCTGCACCAGCAATACCTCCTGAAAATAGAAGGACAACAGGTTCTGGCAAAAATGTGAAATTTTTCTATAAATACAAATTTAGAACATACCTATATCAATTTCTTAGTATCCTCGAACACAACAAATCTGATACCCTAATTGCTGCCTTGTTTTACAATAGTTGGAACCAATCCCTTATAAATACCAGACAAACCCATTTCATTGACGATTGATCCAATTCCGTGAATCATTCCTCTATATTTAGGAGTGGTGGATAATTTGTCATGGATTAATTTGACCTAGTCTCTAAATCTTATTATTACCTTCAAAGTCTCAGTGGGTGTGACTACAACAACGGCTTCAAACACACCAGCTCCCAATCCTGCAAAGAATGTTTGGAGTCTGCTCTTTCTGTCAGTGAATACGTTGTTCTTAAGCCATTCATTTGCACCGAATCTGCAAGCGACTTTAGGAATGGAAAATGTGACCAATGGTGTTAAGCCTCTATAAAATCCTGGGATTCCAAAATTCCTATAAGTTTCACCGATGCAATATTTGACTCCTTTCTATGAGTATTCCTTATAGAGTTGCATCATGGTTTTAATATACTCAGTGGGGTATGTGATGCATATTTCGATTCCACCTGTGATACCACCTAAAATAAAAATGAGTGAGATGGGAGTTTACCTGAGATGATACCTCTTACTGGATCTTTGGAATCAACTTTAGCTCCACCCATTGTTATGATTTTTATTATTATTTATGGATATATATATATCTTATTTTAATAATCTGTTCAAATAATTATATTAAAATGGCATCACTTAATAAATTAAGTAGCAATGAAATTGGTAATATTGATAGATAAATTGCTAAATTAAAGCAAGGATAAATATTGTCTGAACAAGAAGTCAAGAGTTTATGCATCAAAGTTTTAATATATAGCAATTACATAGGCAAAAGAGATATTATAAGATGAACCAAACATCATTTAAGTCAGAGCTCCCCTCACTATTTGTGGAGACATACATGGTCAATTCCATGATCTCATTGAACTCTTTTAAATTGGAGGAAACCTACCAGTATATTAATTTGCAATTCACTTTTAGGACACTAATTACTTATTCCTTGGAGATTATGTTGACCGAGGATCACAATCAGTTGAGACATTTTCATTGATGTTGTCCCTCAAAGTCAGATACAAGGATCGCATCGTATTGTTGAGAGGTATGTTGAATAATATTCTCAAAGGCAATCATGAGAACAGAGAAATCAATAAAATTTATGGATTTTATGATGAATGCTTTCGTAAATATGGTAACGAAATCGTATGGAAATAATTTACTGAGGTTTTTGGTTATCTACCACTCTCAGCAATTGTTGAATAATAAGTAACAGCAAATTTAATTAAACTCAAAGATTTTTTGTGCACATGGAGGTTTATCACCTGCAATGGAATCTGTAGATCAAATTAAATAACTTAATAGAGTCCAAGACATCCCTCACGAAGGATTAATGTGTGATTTGTTGTGGAGTGATCCTGAAGAAACGAAAAATGGTATTTTAATATAAAACTAAACAATTAAGGATGGGGAATCTCTCCAAGAGGTGCAGGTTGGACTTGGGGTTGCGATATCACTGAGAAATTCTTGCACTCCAATAAATTGAAACAAATTGCCAGAGCCCATCAATTAGTCATGGAAGGAATCCAAAAAGTCCATAATCAAAAGACTATTACTATATTCTCAGCCCCTAATTATTGTTATAGATGTGGGAATTAAGCATGCATCGTTGAGGTTGACGAATAACTTAAGATGAATTAGTATACTCAATAAGCATTTATTATAGGACACAATTTGAACCAGCGCCAAGAGAAAATGAGCCTCATACAACCAGAAGAGTACCTGATTATTTTCTTTGAAATATATAAATATGTTATATAATACGAATTGCTATTTAAAAGTCAACCTTTTACAAAATCCAGTAGAATTTAATATTCACCCCTTTATTATAAATGTAAATTCCCAATCATTTTTAGGATACCAACATTTTTTTACTATATTTTTATTCTGTCAAATGGTACATCGAGAATATATATACACACAATCTAATTATTCCGTTAGGAAATTAATATTTATTATTTCAAGTTCTTTTAATAATAAATAATGAATCCAAATCATATTATTCATAAAATATAATAATTTTCCAAGATATTTACAAAAATAAATTAGTTAATTCTCACTTCATTTAATATTGGTGCATTTATATAATATAGGCAATTAAAGTCTTAAGGTTTAAGATATCAGAATCACTTGAATTACCCTAAAAGAACGTCATTAAATTAAGCTTTCTATATAATTTTGAAACCATAGTCACCAGGTATATAATTGTTTTATATTTGTCAACTTTTAAGATAATTTTTAATCTTCTCATATTGTTTGTTCTCTTGCTAGGTAAATTTTGTCAGAGATCAAAGTGGAGGGCAGGTACATTCTTTTAAATTAACTTAAAAAAATCTAATCCATCATTTTTGGATTCCTAACTAGAACATTTTTGAATAAGATTAGAATCATATATATATCAGACTATATTAAGTATGTAATAATATAGATCAAGTAAGCAAAACCTAGTCAACCAGATTTTACAAGGGGTTTGTTTTAGATAATTTCTAGATTCTCAAGATTCTATTGGCTGGAGCAATTATTGTATATCTTCACGTTTCTAACGACCTCTTCGATACGAAGAATGGATGGTCTAGACTTCTTATGACGAATTTTTCTATAATGATTCTAAAAATAGTACTTTTTAAAAAGTAAGCATTGGGAACTAACTCTACATTTTTTTGAACAATTTTCGTCCAAGAATTACTCAGAAATCAGCTGTTGTTGATTAGTCTGGAATTCTAAAGGAGAAAGGGGACACAAGTTAATATCTAAATCATTTATCATAATATATGTTATTAATAATAATACATATTTAAATTACTTTTGATTAATAAATACAATAATTCCTTACACTATCAAATGATAAATTTTATTATCTATTATTTAATTTGATCTTCAAAACTTTATTTTGCACTATAATGGTCTGCGTATATTTATAATAAATTTCCTAAATTCTTATTATTGAGCTAACTTATAATCAACAATAATATTCATTCACTACTATTTTAAGATTTTTGAATATCCTTTTTCTAAAAATATATTATATAAAATAATTTATTCATTTTAACACATAATTGCTATCCATCATAATAAATAAATGAGAAAACACATTCATCATGAATTAAGTCACTATTAAAATTTTTAAATTATTAGACTCATCATCAAACCACAATCACAATTATTATAATTTTTGATATTCTTACGTTTACAGGTTATCATGAAACCTAATACAAGCAAGTTATCTAAGAAAAATAGAAATTGTATTTTAAATAGACAAGAGTTAAAACATTACATGAAATTTTTATTTTTGTCAAATTCCGTAAATTTCATTAATTAAATAATTTGATATTGAATTATACTTAATTAATAGTTTTTGATCAAGTAAATGAGCTTATTTTATATGCATTCATAGACTCAAAATGAGACAAATTCAAGTTTGAACATTTATCTTTCAAGATTTATTTTCTTACTGTAGAGCTCAAATGTGGTGATATTAAAGGAATTTTAATTAAGTTATCAAAAATTAATGTGAGTGAAATAGAAATTTATTTTCTATTAATAATTAGGATTAGTTGTTGGGATAATATGTTTTATAAGAATAAACTTAATTCTAATTTATATAATTGAGAATATCAACTATATTAATTTTTTTTTATTTGGTTTTTCTTTGGTAAATATAACCGAAGCTAATGACTCAATTTAACCAAATCTATTATACCTTTAAAACTTGAATATAATAATCATCTTTAAAGATGTATGAATTTATTGGTAACAATAAATACTGCTTTATGGGTAAATCTTGGATTAGAATTTAATTATGATTTTTACAATAATATAATAATTGGCGGGATTATTAGATTTTATTTTCATCTTTGAGTTTTACCTCAGACTATATTATTATTGATCAATAACTTTTATAAATTTCTAAATATAAGTCCAGTTTTTATTGATGAATTATCAACTAAATTAAAAGGTATAAGTTTAAATAATGGGTAATATTATTATATCAAAATTTGAAAATTTGTTTTTTTCATATTTAGAATTCATTTAGTCCTTTGCAATCATATTTTTATTCTACTTATCCTTTATATTTTTCAACCATTCCTAATTCCAGACAACTTATCTAAATCATATAATAACAGCTAAAATGTATAGAAATTACTAAAAATTCTAAAATGTCTTTAAATTTTTTTGTATATCAAATCAAACTTCATCAAGAAGCTCAGTATATTAATTATTTACTTAATTCTTAATGGAATAAGTTTTAGAAGATTTATTTTAACAATAATAATAGATAAAATAGAAACATAACATAGATTATTATAATTATAGAATATATGGATAGCGGTTAAAATTGATGGAGCGGAAATTATACAACCAATAATTAGTTGGGTATCTATTATAATTAGAAGAAATCAATTATATGATTACAAAAGAAAATGAAAGAACAATTATTAATTGGAATAAAGAAAGGTTTATTAATAAGGTGCAAAGTAGAAATAGTACATCTGATAATAAGGATTTTGAAACAAATGAAAATCAATATCGTATTATTATAAGCAAAACTACTAATTGAAAGATAATTAGCTAGAATTATAAAATAAATATTTAAAGAAAAGGATGCTTAAAAACTTTTTTACAAAGAGAATAGTGTTAGTAGCAATAGAATAATTGCTTAGTCGAATATTGAATATTTGGAACTATAAAAGTACTATCTTAATGCAGAAGGAGAAAAGAATAATAATCAAATTTTATATTGTTTGTTTCACTGAGTAATTTACATTATTCTTTTGAAAGTAAGGAAATAGTGTCTTATTGAATTGGTATTAAAATCCAAAATGAATGGGCAATTATTTGATAGAGAAATACTGAAGTAGTATTTATAAATCCAAAAGAAACTATTAGATCCATGCATTTTGTGTTTTTGGAAAGTAATTGATTTAATAAATATTGTTATTCGAAGATATATCCATATATTAATCATGAACATCTTGATTTCTATTTTAGTTTCAATCCTTTGTCTTCTATTTACAGTTTACTTATTTTACTTTCATTTTTTTTCTATTACAATTCCACTAGATCTCTTCTAATGATTTCATCAACTATTGTTTCGAAGACATTCTTCAACCCTTGATTATCAAATGCTGAACATTACACTCCATCAAAGAAACCAAAAGTTTAACAAAATTACTACAGAAATTACTGTTAATTTTAATCATCATATTGATGGACCAAATCCATTTTATTCTAAACAATCAAGAATGGAATGTGTCTTCCATTATATTCATCAACATATTGATAAACTATATTTTACCATTTTACTAATTATTATCTGCTCATTTCATTTGTTACATCAAATACAAATATGATTCCCAATGCACCTTTCAAATATATTTTCATTAAAGGAGACTCTCTTTCAGCCCCAGATACATCCCAGATTTACAATTTTAAGAATTTACCATTCAAAAGAACTCTCTTCAGTACATAATCACATCCTATTGTGAAATCAGAAGCTGCTTGTGGGGCCAATCCAAAACAATAAGAATTCAGAATTTGTGTTTTTCCAACTCCGCTTTCACCAACTATAACAAGTTTAATATAATTTTATTCCATATTAAATCACAATTCCAAATTTTGATTAATAAACCTTATCTATTCCAATTGCTCATGAAATGCTTTCTTCTTATACATAGTCAGAGTATAGCGCTAATAGTCTTTGATGTTCCAAGCCAACAACAAATATTGACGTCTCTCGATTCCAATGCAGATGAAGTAATCATTGGACTGAAATTGATTAATACCATAATAAATTCTAATTCATAATTATTAAATACATGTTATTCCAGAATTGATTATCACTCTCCTTCAATTATCGAACCTCCACTTCAAATTCTTTTCTTAATTTATTGAATTTCTTATTCTTCAACATCCTTTAAATTACATTCATGGTATTCCTCTTAATCATAAGCACATAATCAAATTCAATAATCTCAAAATCAGCCACATAGACAAATTTATCTTCCAACACTAATATATTAAGTTTGATCGTTGCGGCAATTTCCTTTAAATCCTATTAATTTGTTATTTTATTAGCCTATTGTAAATTCATCTACCAAATTATTCTATTATTATTCAATTAATTTTGGGCGGTAATATTTATATATGAATGATAAGGTTCATAAACTGAATCTAATTTCTCATAGCCCTCAATAGGTATGTCAAGTTATGAAATCACAATCATATATCTTAGATTATTGTAGAATTAAGTGAATCTTAATAAAAGGGTATTTTATTGTTTGACACTCTCAGCAATATTTAATTCCTTTCCTTTTTCTTCATTTTGACAATTTCCTTATATTTTAATTCCTCTCTTTTATAGAGGCTTTGAAATAATTGTTTGTTTGTCAACCTTAAATCCTGTGATTAGTTATTCTGATAGTTATGATAAGATATTAGTTTGTTTATAATTAACTCCTGGATATTAGGATTTTAACTCCTTCAAATCAATATCAATCTTTATCATATTTCTAGTCTCTTATGTCGTCTTCTATTGTTGAGGCATTTCCCCAGTGTGAATTGCATCATATATGAATTGCTTGCCTTAAGAATATTATCTTTTTTAATGGTAGATGAGTTTTGGAGATGATGGTTTCTTAGTGATCAATTTCAATTATTTCTATTAAAACTCCTATGGAATCTCAATTTTTTAAGTATAATTCTACCTCAAAAGTAAAATATTGTTTTCTATGTAGATATTCTTCAACACATATTAACTTAGTTATTCATTTAATAGAATTGAATATGGCTCTATTGTGAAACAATTGAATAATTCTTGTTCTTACTTACTTTTGTAAGCTCTCAGTTCTACTCTAACTCTTACTACTTGATGATCTTTAGACTGATAAATACTACAAATGTACATGATATCACTCTCTTTATCATCACTGATATCTTTTCTCCTCAAAAATGTCTTCTAAACTTCCTTACCTTTCTTATTCATCATTTTGATCTTCATTCTCGTACATCTAAAAAGCATTAATTAATATTTTTTTTATTATTGACATAGTCTCCATTTTGCCTACAATGATATGATTGTTGGTAAAAGTCTAGATTATGATTCATTTGTAATCATATAAAATCCTTAGGAAGATGTATAAAATTTCTCATTGATCTCTTCTGTCAAAGGTATCTCAAAATCTTTATATTAAAATTATAAGTCTAATTCTGCATTTATCATTATGTAAAGATGGAGAACATTAATCATTGGCATTAATAGTATTCTATACTTATGATAACTTTTTGGCTCATTTAAAGTTAAGAGTTTTATAAACATCTCCTTATCCAGGTATTTCAATCCATGATAATTTCCAAAGAAGCAATCTAAGTAATGCAAATCCAAGAGATATTTTCTTTTGCGTTTCTCTTTCTACAGCAATATAATAATCTTTTAGTCAACCTTATTGTAAAAGTAATTTATTTAGACATAAAACTCATTCACAAATGTCCTTATTAAGAATTTCTTAGTCACTGGAGTATCTTTGATTTTTTTAAGGAATAATTTCAATCTTACAATTCTTATAACTTTCTTACTAAATTACTCTCTCAATTCTGTAATAAATTCTACTTTCTCTGATGGATGAAATTTTTCTATAGGATAACTAAAATACTATTGAATTTTTTCAACTGATTCTGATAAAACTATATCCATATAGTGATTTGTATATTCGTTATATTTTATTTGATAAAATTACCTTGGAATTGAGTATGCTGTCACCACAATATCCTAATAAGGCAGCACTAGTATCCATTCATAAAGCACTGAATCAATGTGAATTGATTTTAAAAGAATCGGAGTTTCTCCTCTTTTTTTTATAATTTCAATTGTTGTATATGCTTGAGGTTTCTTAATCTCGTCAAAGTAATATTGTTTGACCACAACTTTTTACGATTCAAGCAATGCTTGTCTTCTTCTTCTTCTTATCAAACACTTCTGGTGTATTATGGCTCTGAACTTTAGTAATCTAAAGGCTAATAATCAAATACAGGATTACCTCTCTACACTAACTTTGCCTTTTTGTTAAGCATCTCCAAATATAGTTCATCAGGATCTTGAATCCATTCATAATTAAAAACAGAAGGAAATTTATTAACATAATGATTGATATTGTTTCCAACCTGCTTATCCTTTCTCTTTTACTCATACTTTTTCTTTAATCTCTCTAAATAAAGATTCTTTATGTATGTAATTTGATAAACAGAAGGATCTGGCATTGTACAAAATATTGTCGGTCTGTCCTCAATTTCAAATCTGTTCTTTAGATATTACTAACAATATATTTTCCTACTTAAGTAATTTCTGCCTAAGAAGGTGGGTTCTTTGTTTGCAGCATCCTTCAAGCTTTCCTTAAATGAAGAATAATTTCTATATAATCAAACTTATTAATTACCTCTCCATAAGAAATCCATAAACTTCTTCTAAACTATGACATTTTAAATGAAGTTTTTCGTTTTTCCATTCAAAGTCAATTTCATCCAAAATTATTTTGGTCACTTGAGTGAAATCAGAAATGGATATATCCTAAAACAATCTCTGACAACATTAAGCAATTTTAAGATTAGAATACTTCTTTTATACGATTCCTCCTTCAATAAGCAATTCTTAATGTTCTTAATAAATTTAACCAGAGGCAGTTAAGATAATATGATATTTTTATTCAAACAAAATGGATTTTCTTATTTTAAATAATAATTAACATTATTTTGCTTTTAAAGTTATGGCTTTATATTTTAGTATTGATGAATCAAAGAATTTTATCTTAGTTCTCAACACTCTTTAAATTTTCTTGGCGGCTCTCTCTAATAAAGTATAATCAATCTTCTCCTTTGATCTAGTATCTTTATCAATAATATATTGAGCATCGTCAGTAAATAATATCTTATTATTAGTAGCATAAAATATCTCACTACAATTTTATCTATTGATTGGACCAAAAAATTTAATGACTGAATCAGGAATGATCATCTCGTTTTCACATAAATTCTTTTGTTAAAGATTGTAGAATTGTATCACATTTTCTTCTTTAAAAATTAAAATGAAATAACCTCCTTAGATCTTTTCTATAAATCTCTTATGTTTATATTTCTGATTTTTAATTAACTCTTACTATTTTCTTGCCAAATATCCCCTCAATAAAGACTATAGTTTCATTAATTTAGTTAATTTAATTGGTGATCTACGAGAAGAAATTGAAGTTTTTTCATCAATATCAGACTCCATCAATTCATTTGATAAAGCATCTGTGACTCCATATAAATTAAGCTAATTATTATGAACATAAAATAAGGTGCTAATTTCTTTATAATTGATTGCTCGAGCCTATTTATAAGCAATTAAGTTCATTCTTGCTGACATATTAGTTTTTTAACAAAATTCATCAAATGAACGATACTTAGAATGTAACTGCTCTAATTCAAAACTTTATCTATAAACTTTTGCTCTTTTCCTCTATCGCTTATTCTTCAACTCATTAATCACATATAAGATCTCATTCTAGTACTTCTTAGCAATTATTAAGCAATATTCTTATTCGTTTTCTATTGATAATTTAGATATTGTTAAGTATTTTACATATTTTTTATTTTTTTTCTTCAGTTGCATCAATCTCTATTAGAGCATTCTTCTATAAGATCTTTATATTTTGAGAGCTGCCTACGCTTGAACCTGTGGGTTAATTTAATTATTTTTAAGGGAGTGATTCCTTTATTTTTTGCGATACCACTTTTATATCTTACAAATGGCATTTCCCTATTTATTCTTTTACTCAAAAGTATTTTCAAATGTTTCTTAATTAGCAAACGATGCAAATGTAATTTCCTTTTATGATTCAAATCCCCTAATCTAATTGATAATTAATTCTTGATCATCATAGGTAAGATCTTCTTATTAATTTATAGGTATCATAGAATCAAATTATCCATCGGGCTGTTAATTTTCAAAATGAATAAAATCTTAAGATTTTTAATCCTAACATTCAACATTTACTATGGATTCCTAAGAGAAATTAATATGATAACTGTTTCTTTTTTTTAGTTTTCTCTCTAGTAGTTAGATGTTTTATTGATGAATAGATTACAAAAATCTTTATCTGATTTTACTTTAAGTCTCAATTTCATTTTGCAATTATTTTGAAATCACGCATTCCTCTTCTTCATTAAAGTCATTACTTGATGTCAAAAACGATTAATTCAAAGTTTTCTGTCTTTTACCTTTGATTTAACTATTGGATTTATAATTGGCATCATCAGATTGATTGATAGATTAATTTAATGACTGTGTGAATGAATCAATCCTTGATATAGGTCTTTTGTAGTAAAAGGATTTTGTCTCCTCTCCGTGTCTTGAGGCACTTCTTAATCTAAATTTATTTTAAACAGGTATTTGTTTTGGAGGTAATTTTTCTACATATTTAGTTAATTTTTAAGTCAGGGGGTCTTAGTGTCCAAATAGTTCAACACTCTATTCGTATGCTTTTTCATGAAATCTTTTGCTTTATTCATCCTATGATAATGCTTTGTATTCGATAGCTGCATTATGATATGCGATTACCAATTATTTGCCAACTGAACACTCAATTGATTGTAATGCAATTTGTAATGCTCTCTGGTGCTGTTTGAGTTTAGAATAGATGCGTTAAATTGATTAGGGTTGTAGAGGGATTTAATTCATGTGCAACAGTCAATTTTAGGGCTTCGTTTAAGATCTCGATTTATTGATCTTTGTTTGTCAGAGTACAACCTTAGTGTTAAAAAAGAATTACCTAATAAGTTATATACATCTAATTTGATATTTGGCGAATTTGTATTACGAAGAATCCATCTATATATCAATTCCTTAATATTTGACTCTTAAGTGAGGGAGTATTTTATAAGTATTTAAGCTCCTTCTTCAAAGGGCTTATGCTATTCAAAGTAAGAGAATGCCTCAAGTAATTTATTGTCTCTTAATTTTAATAAGGCTTATTTCATTTATATATTAATAAAAACTATTAGTCCATTTTTATTAATTTGAATTATTAACAACAAATTCAAAATTTAAAGAAGTAAACATTTAATGAAGAATCCATGGACATAACAAGCAGTTGCCTAATAATAAATTACATATGGGGTTTGTTACAACATCCTAAATAAAAAATATTAATTGCAATCAGATGAAAAACTGTAATTTGATTATATAACAATATTAAACAATGCAAATAAAATATAAGAAATGAAATAAAAGTTGGCAATACAAATTATAGATTAATAATTTGGAGATATGATTGACCCTAAGAAATTTGAATAAAGAATATAATAATTGGATAGTTTAGAGAAAATAATCAATGAGGTTCTGTTATGTTTATAAAAATGCTAAATATGTGTACAACATAATAATGATACAAAAAGCTTTATAAGAAATGATGGATCGGTTTATATTAATATTCCATTTCAATATAAAACTTAATTTATTCAATTATTAAGATAGGCACAAGAGAAATAGCTTGAATTAATAGATCCAGATCAATAAATCATTTAATAATAAAGATGCGTAAAAGAGTTAAATGAATAACAATCATCAATAGAAGGGATTTATAGTTAAATTATTCAATTAATAGAACAACTAAAATGTTGAATAGATAGATAATAATTAATCTTTGATATATATATATGTTTTAAATCAAATGATATACTTAAATATCTTCTAAATGTCCTGCTTTTATGAGATAATATTTAACTATAATTGTCCTCCTTTATCGACAACTTCCATTTTTGGGTAAACTCCACATCCAAACTCAATGAATACTTGGTCATTTGTATCCAAAACTTTATTTACTCCTTAACTGGTCATCACTAAATTTCTATCCTATTGGATAATCTATAAATATTGTTACTTTATTTGACATTGAGATAATCGAATAATTCACATAATCTTATGCAACAATCATTTCCACAATGGGACCATTAGTTACTTGCTATGATGACAATAGTTCACCAGTATTGACATCAAACTCTCTAAGTTTACCATCTTTTCCTCCACTAATAATTTTGATCTATAAATTATTATATTAAATACATTATTTTGGATCTAAACAATATTCAAAGCACAAACAAGAGTTTGATTTTTTATAGTTCTTTCTAATTATGCTTATTAAAACTATCCTTAAGCATTTTTGATAATTTTCCACACATTGATATTTTGATCTAATCCTCCGGAAATGAATCTTCCTTTTGCTAAAGTGAGACAAGTTACAGCATTTGAATGAACAGTTAATCTTTAAATTGGTTTTTAATTATCGATATTCCAAATTAATAAGGATTTATCATATGATCCACTAACAAGAGTTGACCCATCATCCAATGATAATAATGCAACTACAGCTGCTTGATGTTCTACTAAAGTGTTATGCTCTTTTAAAGTTGATAAATTCCATATCTTAATTGATTTATCTCCATTATCACTTCCAGATGCTAAGAAGAAAGGCACATTATTTGCTTTAATAGTAGTTAATGTACAAACCCCATCAGTATGACCCTTCAATTAAGATACCAGAGAAGAATTATCCCAAATATTAATGAAAGTATCTTTAGACCCAGTGGCAATAAGGTTGTCTTTGATATTGATAAAACAAAGTATCATTCCATTATGTCTAATATCTTAGGACTAAATTTCTTATAATTCAGTGACCTTCCCTTAAATCGTATGCGTATTTATAAAGTGATTTTGTAATTATAGGATTGGAGACTATTATATTGTCTATGAGGATTGATTAAATTAATTCAATTGCTGCTCAAAGTTTAGAGTAGTTAATTTTGGCTCCTAGATATTTAAGTAAGGATTTATTTTGATAGCTGATTAAGGAAGAGATTATGTCTCCAGATTGAGTTTACTTTAACTTTTAATTTCCTAAGGCATTTACTTCTACTAACTTTGTTCCATAAAATCTAAAGGTAGGATGTAGTTGGTCATGTCACCAAATTTGGTAATTAATCTTTCTTCCACTTCTTATTTTATAATATTCAGTTATCTCAAAGTTGCTTCTGAGTGATAGAATTCGCTATTCTGACTTGTCAATTATAATAATTCTTTTGAAACAATTTATATTTATTCAACTCTTTATCTGGCCAAATTGCTTATGTATGCATTTACTTTGCTAACATAATTTTAATATTTCATTTCTTCTAACTCTTTGATCAAGTTAGCATTTGAACAGTCTCCAAAATTATTTGGGGGTGGAGGAGGTACTAGATTTAGAGGGGCTTCTAACTTTGTTTTCTTAAATTGAATAACCTCATCCTTAAATGCAGCATAAACATTCAAATATCTTTTATAATGTTCATCTACAAACTGTTACATCTAAACTCCAAGATCTTCAATCATATTTGAAATTTCCAACTTAATGGAGCTAACATCTCTTTTGATTTTTTCCTTTTCCCTATCTACTTTTTTTCTGAATCTATCAAGATGATTATTCTCTTCTGATAACAGGAATAGGATTTCTTAAGGTAAGAAATCTTAATCCATTTCAAATACTTTGGGCAGCATTGTAAATGTACTATTTATGTCAGTTACTGGATATTGAGGTTGATAGTTGTAGTCAGATCTTTGCTTTGGCATAGTTTGTTAAGGTTGACACATATCCCCTTAACCAAATGAAATCCTTTAGTTTTGAAATGGCTATTATTGAGCAAATTATTGATTTTAGGGAGGTAATTGGTAATTTTAGTTCAGGCTTAGGTTTCTCTGTGTAAAATTTGGTTGAAACATAGCTTCTGAATAATCTGTTGTGCTTCCTGCATATGATTGTTTTTTAACGCTCATTGTTAATTTTTGATTATTAAATAATTAAAATTACAAAGCATTAGTATTATTTTTGTTACAAAGTAAGTCTATTTTGTATTAACTATAAAAATATATAAACAATCATTCAACTGAATCTTCATCATCCTATTCTATTATATCAGTAGCTTCATTAAAGGTCTATTATTAGTCTTCGGTTAAAGATATATTTTTTGATAACAATTCCTAAGAATAATAGAATGCCTTACTACAACTTCTGTTTTATCAAGTGAGACAGCTTCGTCTATACATGTTAATCCGTTTAAGTTTTTGATTGAAATATCTGCTCCATTCTACAACAATACTGGTATTATAGCTAATTAATTATTGAATACAGCCCAATCTCAATAAAATTGGATTATTTACGTAGAGGGGTACAACCATATTGATTTTAATGATTTATTAGTTTATGCAGATCAATATTGTTTTTTTTTGAATACTAGATAATTTCTACAAGAATAGATAAATGACCATTAGCCGATACCATATCTAATTAAAATATGAGTAAATATACGAATGCAATTATTTTAATTAATGTCAATCCAAAATAAATCAACATTATCTTCAAAGCATCCAATCGCATCTTCATAATCTCTAACTATGTATTAAATGCTTACCCAAATCTGCAACTGTCAATAAAGAACTCCTCTAAACAAGAATATTGTTCTTCTTCCTGCTGCATCAGAAATATACAATTAATAATTTTATTTCTTTAATAATTAAGGAAATTGAAGGAATAATACTATTTCAATAAAATATACAAAAATATAAGAAATTTAAACAATGATAACGATAAATTATTCAATCACAAAATAATCAAAATTCATCATTATAAACTGGTTTGTGGTCCTATCCATCCCATTTTTCAACCTTTTTAAAATTAGGAAGCCTAGAATATTGATTGAAGTGTTCTCTTCCGTTTAATGCATTATTGACAAATCTAAAGTTAATATAATTTGATTACTATTCGATATTTTATTTGCTAAAAGCACCTTTGAGTTTAGCATAAACAGATTTTCTACCACTCAAAGCCATAACAGAAGGATGAGCTGCAGCACATTAGAATGCTTCTTCAAATTCGTAGTTATCTCCTCCTTAAGTCCATAAGAAATTGACTGGTTTATTTTTTAAAGATTTTGCCACTTCTAATAATTAATTGATATATTAGTTTCTCTCTTACTTATTACTATCATAAATGTGAGGAAGAAAAGCAATAATACACACACCTAAATAATAAAAATAATTAAATACCATTGAAATCTATGCAATTTTCTGTTAAAACATCTTTTGATAGTAACTCTACTACTTCCACCTTCTTTGATTTGTTAGATTATTCTAAAGCATACTCTATCATTGCAGAAGAATCTCTGGCTCCATCATAAGAGATTGCTTCTGAATCATTAGAGAAACCTGCAGGGAAGAATTTCAAAGTTGGATATCCTGAAACTCCGAAACGAGTGGCTAATTAGGTATTTGCAGTGGCATCAACCTTAGCCACTTTGACCTTTCCCTTGAGTTCTGATCCTAATTTATTCCATTCTGGTTCTAGTTTCTTACAGTGACCACACCAAGGAGCATAAAATTCAACAAACCAAGAATCCTTAGATTTTAGAACATTTTCATCGAAATTTGAATCTGTAAGAACAATAACATCATCGGCTGATCCTGATCCTGATCCTGAGCCAGATCCAGAACCAGAGGATTATTTTTATTGATTTTTATTTGAAGAACTACCTTTTTACCTACCATTTACAGTCTAAAATAAATAGAAAAGATATCTACCGATTTGACTTATTCTAATGCAAAGTTGATTATTGCCTATGCTGATCTTTCTCCTTGATAATCAGATGGAGAATTTTTGTTTTCTCCGAAAAATTTGATTGTAGGGAATCCTTAAATACCATACTGTCCTCCGAGATCTTTGTGAGCATCTGCATCCACTGCAGCTATATTCACAATTCCTTCTAATGTTTTTGCTGCTTTTTCGTATTCTGGGGCAAGGGCTTTGCAATGACCACACCATGGAGCAAAGAATTCCACTATCCAAAGAGATTTAGAATTTAGCACCTTCTCTCTGAAAGTCTGAGGGGTTAGGAGTTGTACTTTGGATCTTGAGTCATAAAGTGCATAAGAAGTAGCCAACAATAGTGAAAGAAGACAGATAACTTTGTTCATTAAAATAATTAACACATCACTATTATTCTAGAATGTTTAGTAATAAAGTTTGGGTTTTAGAGAGTGATAATTTTATAAAAGGTATAATTGCAGATGGAAACAACTATATAAGTGAAGAAAATGGTCGGAAATTGAATGGACAGGTGTGGGAAAGATGTGAGGATGTTTAAGCAGACATGGTCAATCTGGCTATAATTAATGATCCATAACTTTTATATAACTTAAGTGAGAGATACAAAAACGATTAAATATTTACATATGTTGGACCAACTCTGATTGTTATTAATCCATTTAAGAGTCTCGATGCAAATCTATAAGAATATGTAGAATATATTATTAGAAAACGTCATAACTATAAATCAATTACACCTCACACCTATGCAATTGCTGCATATGCTTTTACCAAATTGACTGAAAAAACTTAAGCCATCGTCATATCAGGGGAAAGTGGAGCAGGCAAAACAGAAAATGCAAGATATTGTCTTAATCTATTAACCAGTGTTAATTCCGAAGAAAGTGAATTGTCTGATAAGATTATGGGGTGTAATCCAATCTTAGAAGCATTTGGTAATGCTAAAACAATTAGAAACAAGAATTCCAGTAGATTTGGAAAGTATACTAGACTCTTTGTTAATTAAAAATAATAAATTGTTGGAGGAGACATTGTAAATTATCTGTTGGAAAAGAGTAGAGTTGTTTCACATTCCAAATCAGATAGAAATTTTCACATATTTTATTTATTATTTGGCAATCCAAAGTATTAAAGATAAAATTTTAATTATTTGGGCACAGATAATTATTTCAGTTAGAAATTTTTTGATGAATTGATCTAAGCATTCACTACTGTTAATATTGATGCTGAAGCCGTATTTTAAGTTGTTTATTCTGTTTTATTGATAGGAGAATTATAATTTGATGATAGCAATTATGGTAACACCAATCCTTGTAGTGTAAAAAACGAGGATCTATTGAAATAAATTTGCTAATTATTAGATTATGATTTCAACGATATTGTTAAGGCATTAACCTTAAAGTAAGCTATCTATGGAAAAGAAAAGATTATGTCACCTATTAAATTACTTGATTGTATAAGAATAAGGGATTCTTGGGCTAAAGAAATTTATGAAAGATTATTTAATTGGATTATAGAGAAGCTTAATGAAACCTTGATTACTAAACAGGAAAAAACAACATATATTGGTCTATTGGATATCTATGGTTTTGAAGTTTTCGATAATTTTAATGGATTTGAGTAAATGATGATTAATTATTCAAATGAAAGACTGCATTAATTATATATTGAATACGTTTTCAAAGAAGAGAAAAAAATATTTGTAAGAGAAGGTCTAGAAAAATTTGTCGATAGTATTAAATTTGAAGACAACACTTAATTGATTGATATGTTTGATAAACCTCCTGTTTGTTTTTTTAATCTTATTGATTAAGCATGTAGGTTAAATTAATCTGACTAATAATTATTATAATCTTTTAGAAAAGAACTCAAATTTGCCAGTTCTGTAAAGCCTACATTTACTATAAAGCATACTGCTAAAGATGTAGAATATACTTGCTAAGAATTTGTTGAAAAAAATCAAGATGAAATTCCATAATTACTTTTAGAAGCAAAATGTAATAGCTAGATGGTCTAATTATAACCAAAACCAAAGTCAATTGTTGTTAAGATTAAAAATGAAATGAAAAGTTTAATGACAGAATTACAATCGTGTGGAGTTCATTTTATTCGATGTATCAAACCAAATGATGAATTGGTTCCAAATAAATTAGATAATAAATATGCCATGAAATAAATTCGATATTTAGGTGTTTTAGACTCATTAAAAGTTAGAAAAGAATCATTCCCTATTCGAGTAGACTTTTGGAGGTTTTACCTAAAATATAGATTCATTTAAGAAGGTGGGTTTTAGGATCCGTTAAATAAAGATTATAAAGCATTGGATTAAAAAATGTTCTAGGAATAATTTAGTGAATTACCTAAGGATTTATATTTATTTGGAAATACATAAATCTTTATATAAGAAGCAGGAATGACCTAGATTGATAAGATTTACACATTATTGATGAAAGAGAAGAATGATAAGGCTAGATGTATTTAATCTGCTTTTCGAAGAGGTTAATTGAGAGAGAAATTCAAAAAGTTTATGGCAATGATTAAAAGAGTTGCAAAAAAGATTAAAAGAAAATTAAGAAAAATACAATTTAGAAAAAAAATGAAAGCTGCTACTCTCATTCAAAAATTTTATTATATGTACTAAATCAGAAAGAAATAAAAGTTATATAAAAAACAGATTGAATATTTAAAGTATGCTATTTTAAGTAAAATACATCAGAATAAATTTAAAAAAAAAATAGAATGCATAAGGAAAATACAAAAAAATTTTAGAATTAGCAGAATTTAAAAGAGAATTATGTAATATTTAAATATTAGAAGAATTTTGAACATTGTTATTGATAAATCTTGGGATTAGGTAAGATTTAATGCTGCCATAATAATATAAAAATACTATCGAGGTTATTATACTAGAAAACATCACAAAAAAGAAATCTAATAAATTAAGGAAGTAGGAAGAAGAATAAGAATGGAAAAAAGAATAAAAACTATTTAGAGATGGGCTAGAGGATATATTGTAAGAGTGAGATTAAGCAAAATGCATGAAGCGGCCTATTTAATTCAAGGTTTCTTTAGAATGAAACATTTGAGTTGTGTATTTTAGAGAATGAGATAAGCTGCTGTAATAATTCAGAGGAGATTTAGAATGATATTACCAAGGAGAAGAGAATTAAAATAATAATATGATCAATACATTTTACCACTAGAATAATAATTACAACAGCAAAAGTTACAGGAGGAGAGTGATCTATTTGGATTAAAAATGGGTTAAAAAACTGATTATGATTCAGCATTGATTTTGGGGATGGAATCATTGATTTAGCCTAAAATATATTTGTTTGCTTTTATTATAGATTTGGAGATCATCTCAGATACTTCTGATAGTTATAATGGAACATTTGCATCGAACTACAAGGATTTATTTATCCAAAGTTTTGAAAAGGAAAATCCATTATAATTTATTTAAGTTGGTGAAAATACAACAATTGGGGCATGTTGTAATAAATTATATGGTTGGGGCTTAAATGATATGAGTTAATTAGGATTCACATAGGACGGAGAGAAACATAATCCAACCCCATTGAGTTTTACTGGGAAGATGAAAAGTATGTCAATGGGATAAAATCATTGTCTCTTATAACAAAATGATAATAGGTTGTTTATTTGGGGTTGTCTTTAACATAAATATATTTAGCATCCTAAGTTGTTACACGAGAATGTTGAATTTATCAAGGCTTATAGAAATAGAATCCTGTTTATATCAGAAGGTAAAGTGTATGATTAATTAAAATGTATTTAAATGAATGTGAAAATCACCTCATTGTCATGTGGAAGTGCATTTACAATACTTTTAAGTGAAAATGGAGGGTTGTACGGTTATGGTCAAAATGAGAAAGGTCAATTGGGATTAGGGGATAACAAAACTAGAGAACAAGTGGAAAGATTGCCATTTAATGAAAAAATAATTTAGGTGGAATGTGGATATAAGCATGTAATAGCTTTAAGTTCTCTGAAAAAAGTATTTATTTGGGGATGTAATGAGCATGGCTAATTGGGAACTGGTGACTTTGAGAACATCAACAAACCTAAGTTATCATAAATGAGTGGAGATTAGGTAATGGCTGGCATGAAATGTTCTTGTGTACTAAATAAACAATTATTTTGGTGTGGTACGAATGGCACTATTCTTATGCAATGTCATTTCAAGCCATTCATCTAAAAATGCAATTATTTGAATCGAAAGGAGTATTAGATTGTCAGAGTACTCAGTTCTTATTCCAATAATATTTCGATTATATATTGCACTTATGCTTGTCTACGTGGATTATTTGATAACAATTTAGGAAAGGGATTTTAAGTTATTAAAAATTTAACGACCAATTGGGTATAAAGTGGAGTATGGACTATTGATCCTCCTTATGTTGAAAGTTTGAGTAATTACATGTGCGAGAGACACTAAATGAAAAGCAGTAAAATGAATTCAAATGGTAGCTAGAACAATAATTAAAAAATAATGCAAAAGAAATAACAGTTATAGTAAATATAATCTTTACCATATGATAAATTGTGTAAAATAGATTTAGATTTATATTTTTGAATTAATTATCATACTGCTATCTTTTTTTAATGTTATTTAATTGGGTTAAGTGGAATGTTCGGCTTTTATTGTTTTTTGATTAAGTTTATTAATTTTTAAATTCCTTCCTACACTCCATCACCGGTTTTAGCGCTGCACATTTAGAATATAGTATCTTATTCTAGATATCCAAACACTCCGCATTCTTAGATCAAAACCTGATTATCAAGATGTATTTTGTCTTGTTTTGTAAACATAATGAGAATTACTACCTATTTCACTTAATTAGTAATACATTCAAGTATTCTAAATCTTTATTCAACTTAACAAATTGCTCTTTGACCTAATATAACTACTCTTTATTTGAAGAATCTATGATAAAAATTAGTCCATCAGTGTTTTCGTAATAGTTACTCCATAAGCTTGGTACTTTTCCCCCCACGTCAAAAATCATAAACTCAGGATGGCTAAAATCTACATTTACACCTATTGATAATTATAAATCCTAACCAACTGTTGGTTTTGTTTGCACAAATTTTCCTTGTCTGATGTATTCAAATATTGATGTTTTACCACTTCCTTCCAACCCTACAATAACTAGTTTGAATTTCCTTTGATAAACCTCAACACTTCGAGAATTAACACATCCCATGTTATTTATATAAATTTTAATATTGATTCATTAATTCATGTTAATATATATTCCCTATTGTGGAATCTCTAATATATTTGCTTACTTATATCTTTAAATCTCTCAATTCTATCCTTAATTAAGAATCATCATCTAATAATTAAAAAGCACAGTTACATAATTCCAGGATAACAGTCAGAAATTGAAATCTTCAACCAATGATTTCAGACCTGTGTATGTTATAAAGAAACAATATTGAAGTTAATTGGAATATCAATAATTATGTCCTCAACATATAAAATATTTAATAATCATTCTTAATTGCATTTGTGTAACTGAAAAAATTTAAGTGTTAATTGATAACTAATTTTGTAATCTCTTCAACTGAAATATATAAATATATACATATTTTATTGAAGTTTATATATTTATAGATATATATAAATATATGTGATTTAAACAAATTTATTAAATTGAGGACTATTTATTAAATATCTTTTATTTTGTTTACATAATAATATAACCACCAGACAATATATTTTATTTATGCAAAAACAATGTATTAAATACAAACATTATTAGAAGAATTAAGACTTAAGAAAATAAAGTTTATAAGGTGAAGGTGGGTTGGATTTATAAAATTCAGAAAATAAAAATAAATTAATAAATATGAAGTTAAGAAGTATATAAATAGAAAAATTTAATTCAATAAATGATAGCCTTAATTAACTGAAACGCCAAGAATGAAGAATATTTTGTAAACAATTTGAGTCTTATACCTTTTTAATCATATGATTCAATCTAAAATATAAGCACTAAGGAAAGAAGCTACTTTTAGGAAAACTTAGAATCCAATATTAATAAGAGAAATTACTTTGCAATATAATTTATTAAGAATAAGATTGTTATGCTAAGTGTTTGTTTATGCTTTTCATGATTCAAAAACATAAGCTATTCCTCTTATAGATTGGGTAAGGGTGGAATAAAAAATTAGGTGAAGAGATTTATTTTATGATACAAAAGATTATAGAAAAGACATTCGAGATAGTTCTGATCGAATTCCATCAAGAGAGTTGAGAGAATTCTCTTAAATGAATTGAAAAGAGCTATTAAATAATTCTTTTTATTGATGAGACACTCCTGATTCTATTAATTGAAGTTCTTTTGATCGAAAAGATATCAGGAATTTAGCATATATTAATCTGAAAATTATATGAATGATAATGTTTGGAAATTAAATGTTATTTTATAATACCAAAATGGTTGATATAATATAAATTGATGATAATATCCTATGAATTTTTTTAGCTTCTAATTTCCAAATGTTGTTTTGTGCTATTTTTCATATCACTATGCTATTATTCTAAAAATACCTATTTAAATAAGTTTTAGATAAAATTAAAAAAATATGCTTGGAAGGGATCGAACCTTCGCCTTCAGCTTATCAGACTGATGATCTATCCGTTAATCTACAAGCACTTTCTTGATTACTTATACTGATATTGGAAACAAAAAAAAAAAAGTGGTTCTAATCAATTAAATACTTAAGATGAAATAAAAGACAGAATGTGATAAAACAAATTCTTAGATCTACAACTTTATATAATAGAAAATCATTTGCAATTCTTCATGAAAATCCTCTTTCTTAAATATATATGAGTGTGATTTCAAAATGATATTTTTAAAAAGAAAAAGGAATATTAATGTTAATTTTGGATTATAGAACCATTTTTAACTAATTTAATTTATTTCTTTCTCTGATTAACTAATCATAAAATATATTTAGATTCATATCAGATAAATACAGTATGTTTATTATATAATTCCCTTAGTAAATTTATTGAGATCATCTTCAACTTCGAAAGAACTGCATTTTTTGCGAAGATTAAAATGCTTCATACCGATAAAAATCAAATAATGCCTTTTATGGTATAATTGAAGCTACGCATACTAATCTGAGGTTTATTCTATTAGGATTATTGCATTTAAAAATTACTTTTTAATTTTTCTAGTGAGAATAACTATTGTTTGTAATATCATCTCATTTATTCTCTAAATTTTTGTCTTTGGGGATGAATAAAGATTTAGAACATAACTCCAAAAGCCATATTATTGGACTCATCAGAATTATCTTAATTGAATATTATGAATATAAATAGAAGCGTCAATAAAAAAGGGAAGAATATTGTATATATATGCAATAAAAATAACCCAAATCTGATTTTAACTTATTTTGATATTTTTTTTCAAAACTCTCCACTAAGAATAACATACAGTTAATTAAATTAAAACTAATTATTTTTGACTGACTGCTTGGACTGCTTCAAATAATTCTAAGTGCAATATAAATAATGTATCAATATATTTAATGTTAATTATTATTTATTTTAATTCGCAATTTATTGAAGTAATTGATTTTATCATACTATTATGATTTCAAGTAACTTTTTGAAAGAACATAAGATTATATATATAGAAAAATATCAATAATCTATATCACTTTTCTTCCTCTTTTGACTAATTTTCTTAAATTTATCTCTAATGATATGATAAATTTTACTCTTATTAATTCTTCCTCAATTCGCATAACCTTTTAGCCAGCTTCAAACGTCCTTATTATTATTTATATTATGTCAAAAATTTGACTTATAAATTAAACAACATCTTTGTTATTGTTATTTTTGGATTCAATACTAAGTCTATATAGCATCAATTATTTTGTCAGTTCAAATTCTAATTTTGTCATTCTAACTATGTTTTTCAATCCAATTCTGTTTCTTAAATCTACACCTTTATCTTCAATTATGCAAATTTCCTTTTATTCTCAGATATACGTTACCTTAAAAGATTTCCATTCGAACATTTCGCTACTAGTCCTGTAAAACACTACTATGATCCATTAAAAAATCAGTTGTATTTTGTTCTCCAAATTTGAAAAATCAAACTTAGCTATAAATTTAGTATATTCCTACCTAAATTTTCAATATTAAGTTGCATAGCTAATTACTATCGAATGCTATTTTAAAGAATGATATATTCCTTCTCTTCTGCCTCCTCTTATAATAAATATTCTATAGATTCAAAAGCAATTTATTATAATTTTCTGTTTGTATCAGCAGTATGTATATCAGCGATGGATATAGATTAACTATTAGTTCTTAAAAGGGGCTAATTATCGATTTCTGTATGGCATGTAAACTAATCATAGGACAACTGTCTCATTCTTTTATTTTAAATATTTATTATTTTATTTTAATTTAGAGACCAAGAAAATTGTAATGAAGAAATGAAAAAAATATTGCTTTCAAGAATAACCCTTTACTTTGCACATATTCTCTTTGGTTATGAATGTATAAGATGAATTGGGTTTTTTAAATGCAGATTGATATTGCACTTTATAATCTACAATTTGATATAAGTACTATTAGCAAAATTGACTCAAGTCACTATATCAAAATTGAGCTAGAAATTGACCTTTCCATTGACGATTAAATACAATTAAGAATTTATTAGATCAAAGGAAATTTAAATTATTGTATTGTAAAACAATAAATCTTATATTACTTTATGAATGAGTACTCTAGACTTTGAATTTTAAGAATCCAATCTTAATTTGCTAAACTTTATAAATGCTTTAAATCAGAATGAAATAAATTAAAAAGTGAATTGTAGTAAAAACACTGTTTTAACCCCTTTATTAAGAGGTTAATTAAATCACATCTATAATCAATTAAAAGGCATGGAGAGTCTAAACCATTTAAATAAGAAATGTAAGGAATATACTAAAGTTTATTCATATCTTAAAATTAAACAATTTCAAGCTATTAAAAAAGTATATTTTAACAATTAAAATAAATGTCAAAGAATATTACAATATAAATATCGATAAATAGTTTGTTAATTTACACAAATATATTTAATAGGTATTTCAAATTCAAATAAAAAGTAAATTGATTAAAATATATTCAATTTATCAAAAATATAGACCAATTACATCTCTAATTGATTAGCCAAAGGAAGTTTATACATTAAATATTTCTTCTCTCTTTAATTATGTTTAGATTTCATGATTTGCTTGTTTTTTAGTGGGAATTTGTAGATAAAATTCAATATATCTAATATTTATAATAAAATATGATTAAATCATATTTAGTGTGTTTAATATAAGAGTTTGAATAATGTGAATGATTGTTACTATTGAGAAAAGTCGATGAAATTTTTTAAAAAGTATAAATATCTATATTTATTTGTAATTAATTAATAGGGATTGAATATCTGAATTATCATTTAAAAATTCTAAAAATTATTTTTAATATTTTTATGGACAACAATTTCTAATTGCCAAACAAATAAGCCTGTCTTGACTAATTAACAAAATTAGGAATAGATTATATTGCACATCATCATGATCCAGTTCCAACAATGGAGGATGTTGTTAAAATAAAGGTTGAGGAGGGCACAGCATATGTTAAGAATTTATTGTATGTTGATAAAAAGGTAAAAAATATATCTTTATCAATTAGTCCAATTATTATTTGATATTGGCCAATAACACAACTTAAGTTGGCAAATTGTTTTGGAAAACTCTTGGATTAGCTTCTGGAAACATGAGATTAAGCAAAGAAGAGCAAATCGCTGAAGCTTTGAAATCAAGTAAGGGTAATGTAAATCCTTTTGCTGTTGCCAACGATACAAATAATCTAGTAATGTTCATTTTATATTCAATAGGTCAAAAATATTATCATCGATGAAGAATTGACTAAATATAAGAGATTAGCTTTACATCCAATCGAGAATACAACTACAGTTGAAATTTCACTTGATGATTTACAAAACAAGTTCTTAAAAATACTAAACCGATAATTTACAGTCTTATAATTAACAGATGCTGCTGCTGAATAAAAATTGGAATAATAAAAGGAATAATAAAAAGAATAACAAAAAGACTAATAGAAGGATCAACAAAACTAATAAACATTAGCTATTACAGTGAAAAAATCAGATTTTTCAGAGTGGTATCAATAAGTTATAAGAAAAGCAGAATTGATTGAATATTATGATGTTAGTGGTTGTTATATTTTAAGACCATGGGCTTATTTTATTTGGGAATAAATCCAGAGATATTTTGATGATCTTATTAGAACTGAGGAAGTTGAGAACACTTATTTCCCAATGTTTCTATCAGCTAAACATTTGAATAAAGAAAAAGAACATGTAGAGGGATTCAAAGCAGAAGTTGCTTGGGTGACAAAATACGGAGAAAGTGATTTGAATGAACCACTAGCTATAAGACCAACATCTGAAACAATTATGTATCCAGCATTTGCAAAATGGGTACAGAGCCATAGAGATTTACCATTAAAAGTGAACTAATGGACAAATATTGTGAGATGGGAGTTCAAATTCCCAACACCATTTATTAGAACAAGAGAATTCTTATGGCAAGAAGGACATACAGCACATGCCACAAGGGAAGAAGCTGTGAAATAAGTGTACACTATTCTTGACTTCTATGAATAAGTCTATGGAGAATTATTGGCTGTGCCTGTTATCAAAGGAGTATAATATTATTCAATATGACTAGATTAAAACAGAATCAGAAAAATTCGCAGGAGGAGATTTCACTACAACTGTAGAGACAATCATTCCATAAAATGGAAGAGGTTTATAAGGAGCTACATCTCATCATTTAGGATAAAATTTCAGCAAGATGTTTGAGATTAATTTCGAAGATGATAAGAAATAAAAAGCTTTTGCTTGGCAAACCAGTTGGGGTTTAACTACTCGATCTATTGGTGCCATGATTATGTTCCACGGTGATGATAAAGGTTTGGTATTGCCACCAAGAATTGCTAAATATTAAATAGTTATTATTCCAATTATTCACAAAGATCTTGATGAGAATTAATTGAATGAAAGATGCGAATAAATTAGATAAATGTATTAACAATTTAAATATCTTTAGTTTGGTCAAATAAAAATTAAGAGTCCATTTGGATAGCAGAGACAACTATTCTCCAGGATGGAAATTTAATAAGTGGGAATAAAAGGGAGTTCCTGTTAGATTGGAAATTGGACCGGGAGAATTTAAGAATAATGAGGTTAGAGTTGTTTAGAGATTTGACAATAAGAAATATCAAATTAAATTGGAAGAACTTAATCAATTAACTTAAATACTTGATAACATTCATAACGCCATGTTAGATAAAGCTAGAACTGAATTAAATCAAAGAATCAAGTAAGCAGATAATTGGAAAGAATTCATGAGTCAATTAAATCAAAGAAATACAATATTAACTAGATGGTATATATCAATCAAAATAATTTAGGTGTGAGAGATAAGAATGCGAAAAGGAAGTTAAAACTAAGTCAGGAATAGAGTCTAAGGAGAAGGATTCAGAAATTGATGGATAAGTCTAATTAACTGGTAGTGCTAAAACCTTATGCATGCCATTAAAGTAAGATTAACTAAAGGAAGGAGAGGTGTGCTTCAATTGCGGTCAATAAGCCAAGAAGTATGTGTTATGGGGAAGATCATATTGATATATTAAATATACAACAACATAATATAATAAATTTATTTATAATTTAGAGGAAAGCCATTTCTACTATCTATATTGAAGGTAAAATAATCAATCAAAAAGAGAACTTAACTATTCTATAAAAAAGCTATAGAGATTTGTATAGCAATGACATATATATGATTAGCAAAATGTCAATTAAAATTTTACGCTCAATGTTAATTGATAAGTTTTATCAAAATTTTATTTGATTTGAGGTAACAGCAATTAGAGTATTGGAGTAAGATTTTTATCTAAAATTCAAAATAACTTCTTACAAATATGAAACTTAGATTGACAAATCTATATACACAAAAAATTGAATAATAATGGATGTGTTTTCATTAAGGATTTTTATTTTGTGAAAAAGAATAATTGATATTATTTATAAATTATAAAAATAGGGAATTTAATTATTATGAATTCAGAATAAAACCCTAGCTAACTATTCTCACCAAAGGAAGAAAGTGCTTCTTCAAATTAAAAGCTAAAGGCTTCTACTTAAAAAAATAGGGTCAGAAAATTCAAAACAGAAGATTTTTCTCTTAAAAAAAAACTATAAAATCAAACATTTTATGGGAAATTCAAAGTGATATGTAAAGGAATGCAACAATATATCTATGTTCTATTAGAAGATCCAAATTCCTCGGCTATTGCTTATGTAATCTAATTCTTATTGCTAACAAGTATTTTGTTATCATGTGTAGCCATAATTGTTGATTCATTAATGGATAATGGTATTTAAATAATTTAACTACTAATAGAGAATAATTAGGAATATGATAACATTTCGTTCTATCTAGAATATTACTTATTCATATTCTTCGGTTCAGAATACTTTTTAAGAATGTTCAGTTCAACTGCTTTTGATTCAACTTTCACTCAATTTATTCTATCCCCGCTAAACATAATTGATTTGTTTGCCATAACTCCATTCTTGTTTAATTTGATATTTGAAGGAGCTAATCTTTCTGGATTAAGAGTCATCAGAATCATTAGGTTCATGAGAGTATTTCGATTATTTAAATTATCTCGATTTATTAAGGACATGTTGATGATTGTAATTATTAGCATCACTTAAAAAGGTAGACACAGTTAGGAATTCACTTAGGGATATTCTTATATTGATAACCATGTTTTTGTTCCTTGTGTTATTTTTTTCAATTATAGTATACTACTTGGAATTCAATGACAACATTGAAATATATGATGAATAAAAAATATAATCAATATCAGAAGCAATTTGGTGGTGCATCGCAACAATGACAACTGTTGGATATGGAGACAAATTACCGTTGAGTTTATCTGGCAAATTTATTGCATGCATTGCTGCATTCTTTGGAATCACATCTGTTTCATTGTAAATTGTCATTAAATTATAGGCCTGTTGCTGTTATGGGAATGAATTTAACTTAAACTTTAAGAATTGCAGAAGAGAACAATGAGATTGTAAAAATAAAAGAATAATTTGCTGTTGTAGATTCAGATCCAAATTTATAAGATTAACAAACTTTAAATCTCAAAGAATTGAAGTTCATGGAAAGAAGATTAGAATAATTATTGGATAACAATTAAAAAGTCATGGATTTTGTGGCATAATCTTAGGATTTGTTCGATGAAGTTACATAAGACTTGATGAGTCTCTATTCTGCCTTAACTGAATAATTGGATCTCCATATTGAAACTAAAATTAAAAACCTGAAAGCAAAGCATAGAGTAATTAAGTTTTATTAATTAAGATTATGAAAATGGAGAAAAATCTTAATTAGAAAAAATCAATAGAATTGGGTTAAGTAGTCAAGGCTTTTAAAGAAAAGCAGTAGATGATGTCTTAGCAATCAATCTTAATGTGTGAAGAAAGCTAAGCAGATCTTTTCAGTGTTGCAAGCAGATAAAGCAAATCTTTTATACTTAAAAAGAGTGAAAAATTAAGAAGTAAAAATAATAAAGGATCTTACATGTGTATAATAAATAATAATAACAATAATAACAATATTCATAATAGTGTTCACAACCCTTATAAAACTTAAACAGATATTAATGATAACCATGATGCACATAACAATAGCATAATTTATGCCTAAATTAGTTCTAAGAATTCTGCCATCTAAAATGATGTCTTATAAAATTTAAAAGGAAATGCTGAATTCAAGTTTAATTTAGAGGATTCTAGTGGAAATATTGATGAAGAAAGCAATAATAATGAAAACAATTTAGATTGTAAAATGTAAAGCCTCTCAAATATCTAAGATGTTCGATTGAAAAATAGTATAAAAAATAATATTAAATGAGTTTCTTTGATTTATAATTCTTGCATCTTTATGTTTAAAGCTGTCTTTAAGTTTACATATTAGAAGTATGTATTCGATTTTCAAAACTTATGAATTTAATTGAAATGATTGAGAAGTTTACAATCAATTAAACATCCTCATTTTATCTGAAAACCTTAGATGATAAATAGCTGAAATCAGTAGAATATTAGGTTAGCCATGATAAAAAATAATCATTAGAATGGCAACCTAACTATTAAGACCCAACAGTATATCGTTTTAACCTTCACTTAAGAAACCTTATTCTCATACTGATGAATAAATTAACAAATTCAGACCAATACTTGAGTCAGTATTCTAGTATTAGCAATAATATAAATAAATTATTTAACGAGTTTATTATTACCTAAAAGTTTACTTAGTATTATTTAAAGTATTTGGTAGTTTTATTATAAGGTTCTAGGATTTACCAATAATTAGACAAGAGGTGCATTTTAGAAGCAAGTCATTTTAATTTTCTATTATAGCTTTATGTTGTAGATGAAAGAGCATTTTAGTGAATGAACTATTATTAATAGAATTTATTGCAATAAGAATATGAAATAACTAAAAGATTAATAAAGATAACAAAATTATGTATTAGGTAAATTAAAAAGATCAATGTAGATTGAATAGATTCTTCCTTACATTCTAAACTTTATTAACATCATATGGGTTTTTAGTTGCTTCAATAAATTCTTATTAAGCTTCATGTATTATATCGCAAATGCGATTAACAACATTTTTTTTTGAGTGAATAATGACTGTGTTAGGACATGTAGCAGTAGACTAATAATAATAAATGAATAATCTTACTTCACTTTAGTTTGGAGTTGTTAGTTAAGAATTTTCAATTTCCTTAGAGAGCATCTCGCTGAATTCATTGATTTCTTGTTCGTTCTGAAAATCTTCTTCTTTATAAAACTATTAGAATTATTCAGGTGTAATTATATGTTCATTTAATAGGGTTTCTAGCACAACTTATCTACTTGATAATCTTGATTGGTGTTTTGGTTTCAACTAAGGAGAGAGCATTGGAGAGTCTTCGAACTGGGATTAGCAAAAATTAAACTGATTAATTAATTAGACGTCTTCTGATTCATCAGATGAATCCATGATGCTTGATCTAATAGTGTTGAAGGTTTCAAGCAAATTTAATTACGGATTAGAAGAGAGATAGCCTAACTGTTAATATGGTTATGCATTGAGGAACACAAAAAAGTTTCTCTCTCCAAAGTAATTAATAAAACATTAATGAAATAATAGTTCTTGTACGGAGTTAAAAGTAGTATCAACAACATCTAAGAGGGTATCTTATTTGTGGGGAAATCTGAAATATATAAGTTAACTTACTATTAAATTAAATAACTTTTGATAATTTACACATCTTTCAAGACATCGTTTTGATAATCTTAAGTAATTCTTTTAAGTTAAGAATTATCCAGTATTTCCATATTATAATTTTCATCCAACAAAATGGTATTTGATTCCTAACATAAATCTTATAGTTTTACAGAAAAATGATTCAACGCTAATCCTTTCTTGTGATAATTGTATAGAAGTTTAAGTAATCCAAAGAAGGACTGTTCGAAAGCCAAGTTTTGAATATTTTATTCATTTAAATACTAAATGACCAAATATAAATATTGGTCATCTTCATATAAAATCTCATAATTTGAGTAGCTGAGAATGTCCTTCAAATACTGTTTTCCTAGGTTTTTTGAGTATTTTTTTATCGATTTTAAAATACCAGTCATTTTATCTCTAGATTGAAAAATCTAATTGAATAATATAATAATACTTCAAAATTATCTAACTAATGAGTCTGTTTCTCAATTTAGTAATGATTGTGAATATCTAGATGCATACAGAGTTTATTAATGAGTTCATAAAACTACTATAATTATGGCCCTGAGTATGTAATTTATCCAAATTGATTTTGGAGTGTTACTCCCTTCTCATCTAAAGTTATGTATGTTTGAAATAAATCCAATTATTAACTACTAGATATTAATTACCCATCAATGACTCTTATTACTACTGGGGTGTTTTCAGAGTGTAGTTAAAAGACCTAAATTAAATGAGATCTAAAAATTTACATTATAATCGTCGTCATGTGAAAATGAAGTGAGCGAAATAGGATTCCAAAAGGATTCAGCAAATAATGAATCTTACATCATTGATTTTATTATATTATTTATTAATTAACATATATATGAAGCAAAATAAAAACCCTTCGGCCTCATAAATCATGGTGACCAAATTAGTTTTAATATATTAAGATAAATACTAGTATGGTTAAGAATTCTCCTTGAAATGAAAGAATATGATTTTTTTAATCAGAATTCAATCCCAATATACTAGTGCAACGAATCATAAATTTGAAAAAATTCAAATTATTATTCAGAAATTAATAATGTAATGACAATGATTAAAATAATATTAACGTTTTCATAATATTCAATGTAATGTCTAACTAAAGAGAGCCTCTACTCTTAATTAAAGATTTGTTTTGAATATTCTTAATCTAAAAAGTTGATGCTTTAATTACCCTCATACATAATTTTAATTTATTTACTTTATTCTACTGCCTAAAATGAATTTAATTAATCACACTTAATACTAAGAAAGAATTTATAAAGTTCATAATAGAATAAGATTTGTCTATTAATTTAATTTTAGAGTAAATCTGGTTGAAAGTGTTGAAATTTAATTACCATACTTAATTATGCTGAGATGCTTTGGAGTTAAATATACATACAATATCGAAAACAATTTTATTAAATTTTATATGAGGAGGTGAACATTGAAATTAATTCCCATATTTTTCTTCGCTTGTAAAAGAATTAGGAGTACCTGCATGTTGCAGAGTGCCATTTATGATATAGAATGGAGATGAAGATTATTAAATAATTATAATGAGATATAAAGGCAAGATATATGCTTTTGGAAGTCTATGTCCATACGATCTGGAAACAGATTTATCCGTAGGAATTTGTTTTGGGGATAAGTTAGATTGTCCAAAACATGGATGCTAATTCAATATTACAAATGTCATGGTTGAAGGACCTCCATCTATTGATAATTTGCCTAAGTTTGGAGTAAAGGAGAATGAAGACTCAATTGAGGTTTATGCTCCTCTAATAGTGTCTAAAAAGATTATTCCTTAACATCATTTTAGAGATTACAACAATCAAAGAAAAGTCATTATATATTGAGGAGGAGCAGCTGCATTTCTTGTTTGACTACTTTGAGAGAATTTAGATATATAGGAGAGTTATCCTACATTTCGAATGACAATTATATGCCATATAACAAGACCAAGATGAGCAAAAGAATCAAGCCAACAAAACCTGAAGAATTCTTTTTTAGAAAGGATAGATGGTACTAAGCTATTGCTATTGATGCTAATTAGGCAGAAAAATCTCTTATGTAAATAATAAATATCGTAATACATATGTGGAGTTGGATGACAGCAACAAGATTGCTTATGACACAATATTGATAGCAACAGCAATGTCATTATTAGAGGCTTAAACAATTTGATAAGGATATCCAAACATCAAAATCAACATCATTGATCCCAAAGACGAAAGTCAATTCCAAGTCCAGTATGGTCCTGAATTCACAAATCTTGTTTGGATCTGCATGTTGAAAAAGGAATCAATATATATGACAACATCAAGATTAAGAAGTTCGAAAACGATTTCATTGTCTTCAAGGGAAAGCAGAAACTTAAATCTGATGCAGTGATCTTATTACCAAAAACTGAATTAGCAGAAGTTAGTGATCATTAATTCGAATTCGATAATGCAGGGAGAGTTAAAGTGGATTACTTCTAGAGAACTGATATTAAGAGAATCTTTGCATCTGGTAGTTATGTTAGATTTCATGAACTTATAGAAAATACAACTTTACACTATCTAAATAGAACAGAGTTGCCATTGTTAATGAAGGAATCAGATGCAAAAATGTTCCATTTATGTCTGATCTCAAAAATTAAAAATACTCAACACAAGACATTGAACCGGCTGTCAGAGTATATATCTCATTAATCTTAGAAAATCAAAAATCTAGATGCTACAAGAGTACCTTATATAAATTTAGATAAGGTGTGGTACCAGAATACAACCTATTGACTATCAGAGATATCATGTCAAAGTTCTATTTCCCATGTGAAATACAGAAATTTCAGCTGCTTCAAAAATGAAAGGAGATGAATGATATCAATCTATAATTATTATTAAAATATATCATTGAGTCTAAGATTATCCTTCATCTTAAGGAAAAGGTTAATACAATGCTTTTGTATATTCCTTTTGCTTTATGCTTCTTTCTTTCTTAGTTTTGCGCCTTACAATTTATTATTATTCATTGAAATTATGCACTTAATTATTGGATTCCTTTTTTGATATTATCAATTTAATCCAAAATTTAAAGTACCCAAAAAACTTTGCTAATTACAATATACTAAAAGTCACTCCCAATGCTAATACTATTATAATTATGATATTTTGAATTTTGAAAGAAAATAGCAAATAAAAAGTTAATACTAAGGCAACATTCCAAAAAATCCATTTTACCAAAAATTTAGCCTTTTGATACTTTTTATTTGATTCTCTATTATTTTAATCTTTGTTCTCTAATTCCTATGTTAAACCTTTGGTTCCCCAAGTCAAATCGTCTATTCTGCAAAAAGAGTAAGTGATAAATAAATGAGTATAAGTTGGCATATAGTAGACATAATGGATTGAATTTATTGCTATTTAGATTACCAATTTCCGATCAATACAAATTTGTAATAAAAAGGGTAAAATTGTTAAAATTATTGAGAGTAAAACGATAAAATAAACATAAGAAGGCAGATCCTAAGGATATTGAAAAAAGTTGAATGGCGATAGGTTGATTATCAATTCTTCTATGAACAAATAAATTGTTATTCCAGCGTTGAAAATGCTGAATAGCCCTAATAATGTAGATATCCCATAAAATTTTGAGAAGAAGTATGAATTGATTTTATGTCTTTCTTCCTCTTTTTCATCCTTCTTGCTAATCATGTTAACACTACTTGGATTGTAATTTAATGAAAGGTAAATCAAACAGAAAATTAAGAAGCCGTAACTTCCCATTACTGCCTATTTAATTGCTGCAGCAACGACTTTCTCTAAAGTTTCTGTTAAAGTATTTAGAATCATGTATAACCAAACCATCTATAGCGAGATTATGGAATATTGCATAGCTAAATTTATTAGTAATTTTACCTTATGAAATTCTGGCAAATACCAAACAAATTATGAATAGATATTGATCGGTTCTAGAATGACCACTATTAGGCAATAACTCTCCGAACTTCTTTATTACATAATTCAAAGCAAAAAATGATCCATTTATCCATCTTCTTCTTTGCAATAACAGTTAAATCATGGTTTAGGGAGGGTCAACCTCAACCAAAGCATCCCTGACATATCTTAAGTAGTAACCATTACAAAATAAGTATAAACACAAGACTCGATCCTCTGCTAAAAACATGTTTGCTTCTTCTAAGGTGGCATGTTCATAATTATGATCTAATTTAGATTTTAGATAATAGTCGAGAATGTTTTCATTTTAACTAACCTCCTATTCATTATTCGCTTGTACTTATTAGGAATTGTTAATTTCAGGTTCAGTATTCTTTTTATATTTAGTCGAAAAAGCTTTGTATCTATAGGCTGAATATGCTCCAGGTAGAACTTAAATAAAGTTCAATGCTGACTCAAATTACTTATCCAATAAATTGCCAATATCATACTCACATTTTTAACATCTTTCGATATTGAAAATGTTCACACTTAACAGTTCAGTTAGAATGTCCATATATTCATCCTTTTAATTGCCTGTTTTAGATAACTCAATCGTCATTTTTCCACATGCACCTCCTACTTGATCATTATCGATTAGTTCCTTTACCAAATTGTATACGGACCCTTTCTATGGTCTGGCTCCACAGTCCATCAAAACACAATATTCTGGCTTAAATTCATGACAAAACCCTTTAAAAAACCATAAATGTGAAGACAATTTAGTTCCATTAGCAAATTTAAAAACATGAAAGATGGGCATTTATTCTTCATCTTTATTTGGAAGCTTTATTTTTTAAACATTTTGATAAACCAAAGCATTATCTTATCTTAATTTAACATATTCCACCGCCTTCCTATGCTGCTCCTCCATAATTTTTATTATAGCTTAAAGATCATTTTCATTTTATTATTATTGTTTGATTTCATTTCTTAAATATTTATCTTGATATATAGATTTTAATTAATCTGGTTTCTCTTAAAATAATTTTCTTTACTCCAAAGAGTATTTTTAAATTAGTTCTTTTTTGAACTTGTATCTCAAATATTAATATTCCAATGTTTAATTCACTTCTATATTGTTTTATTTGTCCAAATATTAACAAAAGTAGGCTAAATTAAATACGATATTTACGTATAATGTCACCTTCTTGGTTATTATTATTTTCATCTGCTTAATTTCTTATATTTTCAATCCCATCGTAAATCACGACTACTACAATTTACTGTGGCAATATATCATTTTCATAAAACTCTTAAAGACTTTCTTGTATTCCCTATAAAGATTTTTACAGTTCTGATAAAGGTTCAGAATACATTGTTATGCAAATCATTACCTTTATTGGATTTTCTCTACAAAATTCTTCTATTTCCTTTTGTTAGTTCCCATCAAATTACTCAATTTCTGTTTTTCTTCTATCCTTATTCTATAAAAATATGATCTCACTAATTAATCCCTCATGATCAATCTTCATTACTTATGATTATTTCATCATTGATTCATTTTTTACCGTCTAATCAGCTGCTTTCCTTAGTGAACCTATTCCTTTAATGCTGATGTTTGTAGAATGTACTTTAGTAATTCCATTTTCTTCATAAAATATTTGCTTTTATAGACCTCCGTTCTTTTGTAGTTACAACTCTAACGGCTGATATCTTGACCGATAATCAGATATCTTCCTAATAAATTCCATTGTTCTCCCAAAAGAAGTGGTATTAGTATGTTTCATCAAGATATTTATATTTATTGTAAAAATCCTTTAAAATTCTCTATATATAAGAATTATATTCTATTAATTATAGATAATCGTTTATAAACTACCACTGTGGAATAGTATTTAAAGAAAGAGGATCCTAGATTTATATGTTATTCCTATTAAGAAAATGTATGTGCAAATTTAATAGACTTATTTTTAAAAAAATATTCATTTATTTGGATTGCTATCTAGAGGCTCTATTACATTATATGTATTAGAGACAGTATTTTATATAAAATGATTAATTAAGCTTCATTTTAATAACAATTAGAAATCTAGCTTCCACTTATTATTTATAATGGTATAAAATTTAATTTTTAATTTAAAATTTAGTTTAGATAATCATAGTTCCTCTTGTTTATCATATCCAAAATAATTATAGACTGATCTGAGCAAATTATAACATTCAATGAGGTAGAAATGTAAATAGATTTATTGATGCAATTTACAATTAATGCACAAATTCAATTCTGATTGTTTTATCAAAATTTGTATGAGAAAATAAGTTTAATAATTATTGAGATTATTAAATTACATCCATATGTAATTTGTTTCTATATGGTGTTATAAGTAATAATATAAAAATATTAATATTTTAATCATTAAATAATTGTATATATGAATTAACTAAAAACTTTATTAGAGAAGAATTTCACCTTACACTTCAGATCAAAACAATTCTGGGTAAACTTATACGTTCCGATATTAAGTGCAATTTTATCAATAATCTTTACGTACAAAAATAATGAGACCTATTACATTTTGTTAATCTTTGTTTGCTTAAATAATAATGGTGCATTACGACACTCATTAATATTGATTATTAGAGAAAAAAGCTCAAACTTTAAGAAGTTGTAATAATAAATGGGATTAAGTTCAAATGCCTATTATGCATCCTGGATTATAACATTTTTTGTTTTGACTATCGGTGTTTCACTACTCTATATAATACCGTTTATTATATTCAGACTCAATGAAGCAGGCGATGGACATTTAAGAATTGATATGTTATTTTTAGGATTCATTTTATATTCTTGTGCCTTAGCATCTTTTGTGTTATTTTTAAGTTCATTTTCCAAAAACTAAAATAAAGCAAGTGAACTCATCGGACTATTGAATGTAGTATTGACATTTGTTGTGATTTCAAATTTTGCACCAGAGCCAAAATTAACATTCCTTGGCCAATTACCAACATTATTTGTACCGTAAACAGCATTCTAAATGCTATTATTAAGTTCAAATTGGCTCTATAAAGAGTAAGAATACTTCTTAAATCCTGGAATATACATCACTTGTTTAATTGTTTAGATAGTGGCTTATTCACTAGGTTTTATGTATTTCGATTAAGTGTTGAGTGGGTCTAAAAGGTATTTTTTCTTATGCAATTATTGCAAAAAGAACAATAAAACCTATGCAGATTTTGACGATGAATCAACTCCAAATGTTAATAATTAAGATGCAGAGCCATATTAACTTTACAAACCTATGCTGAATATTTAAGATTAACTTGTCGAAAATCAAGGATAACCATATATCTAAGTAGAAAATATGTGGAAGAAGATTGAAAATCAATATATTCTCAAGTCACTCAATATGGAGATATATTAAAATGAAATTTATTGTCTATTGGGACCAAATGGAGCTGGCAAATCTACTTTAATTAGTATATTATCTGGATTATAAGAAAAAACTAAAGGGAAAATCAACATCTTAGGATAGAGTATAGATAATAAGCAATTCAAGAATCAAATTGGAATATGTTTATAAAAAGATGTCCTTTATTCAGAACTAAATGTTTATGAGCATTTGAAATTCTACGGATAATTGAGGGGCATTTTAGATTAAGAATTACAACAATAAATAAATTATATCTTATAAGTCTGTCAATTACTAAATGAAGCCAACACCAAGGCAGATCATTTGAGTGGTGGAAATAAGAGAAAATTAAGTTTGGCAATATCTCTAATTGGGAATTCTAAAATAGTGTTCTTGGATGAACCATCATCAGGAATGGATGCATTGACAAGATAATAAATTTGGGATGTCATTAAATAAATGAGATTACATCGAGTAATCATAATGACTACTCATCATATGGAAGAAGCTGATGAATTAGCCTCTAGAGTTGGAATTCTGATGAACGGATAAATTGTAACCTAAGGAACTCCTGATTTTATAAAACTTAACTTTGGAGTAGGTTATCATTTACAAATGGACTTTTAGGATTAGAATTAATTATTATTAGAGAAACCAAGAATTTAAGCTTAACTCTAAAAAATTGACAGTTACACTCCAGTAATTTAATCTGCTCCAAATTCCTTAAAGAGTGTATTACCAGTCAATAAAATCCATTTATTTCATGAGCTTTTAAATTATCTAGAAGAGAACTCACAAAGTAAATTCTCGCTTTAATTAAATTCTCTTGAAGATTCATATCTTGCAATTGATTATTAATATGGAACCTAGAATATTGATTTGAATGCTTAGAGAGTGTTTTAATAGAAACCAAAGATAGATTTCAAAGCTTAATTGTTTAGCTTAGCCTAGAGAAAACTATTGCTTTTGCTTAGTTCCACAGACAAATAGTGGAAATATTTATTCCCATTACCATTTATCTATATAGCCGTCATATTTGGTTTGTAATCATCCTTTTTATTTGTCTTCTTGTATTTGACAATTAAGGCTCTCACCTCTACTTTATATGTAATGATTCAATTAGATGATAAAGATACCAAGATTAAATAGTATATGTATGCAAGTGGAGTCCAAATACACACCTATTGGTTGAGTAATGTCCTCACTGATATAGTGCCATCAATTATTGAAGGTCTTTTCACAGCAGTTCTATTGTATATCTATGATGTTGGACATTTTGGATAGCATATTTTTGGAGTCTTCCTCTTAATAACAGTTTTCGGAGTCTCATTGAGCTGTTTTGCTAATTGCATAGCTGTTTTCTAAGGAAATTCACAACGAGTGTATGTAGGTGCTCCATTACTATAATTTTTTGTATTTTTCCTGTTGTTTTTCATATTCATGCTATACACTGCTCAACCTTCATGTTCTTTGGGTTTAAATATGTTTTCAATGTTGTTGATGGTATTATCACCATATTCAGCTTGTTATATGGGTTTTGCAATGAGCCCCATTTTATTGAATGGAGCTATTTTTAGTTATTTCTCTTGCATTTTATATCTAATTCTAGGAGGAATTGTCTACTATTTAATCCTATAATAACTTGACAAAGGGTAATTTAAGTAAATTCAACCAGACATGAGTGATACTGATGCTGTCATTGATGTGTAAGAATTAACAAAGAAAGTTGGAGTAGTTGAGACAGTTCACAAACTATCATTCCAAGTTAAATAAAAAGAAATCTATGGATTACTTGGACCAAATGGTGCTGGAAAATCAACTACCTTTAATATGATCAGTAAGTTTGATCAGCCTACAACAGGTTAAGTAAGAGTTAGAGATGCTGAGTCCAATCTTGGGTTAGTACCATAATTTTGCCCATTCTATCCTACTCTTACTGTATATTAACATCTCAGCATTTATGGAGCTTTGAAAGGTTAAGAGAACTTGCAAAATGCTATTGAAGTTTATTTGAAGGCTCTTGACATGTATGACATAAAAGACAGAAAAGTAGAGTACTTGAGTGGAGGGGAAAGAAGAAAGGTGCAAATAGGAATAGCATTGATTGGAGGCTCAAATAGGCTGTTTATGGATGAACCTACTACTGGGTTGGATCCGAAATCTAGAAGGATTATACAATAGATACTATTGTAATCTACCATCAACAATGATGCTTCAGTTCTATTGACTACTCATTCATTATAAGAGGCTCAAAGTATTTGTAATAGGATTGGTATTATGGTCAATGGATTCTTAATTACTTAAGGAACTATAAATGAATTAAGAGCCTAGTTAGGAGAGCAAGCTAGATTTAGTGTGAAATGTAATATCGGTAGAAAAGAACAAGTGCATCAAACCATATGGCTATAATTGTCACAGCAATTCCAGTTACAACCTGTTTTTGAATACAGAGAAAAGTATTATATTATTCAATATTTTTTAGTTATTTATCCTATTAAATTCCAGCAGGCTATTTCAAGTTATCCAATCTCTTCTAGTACTTATAAGTAGAACTTAAATAAAAATAATTACTGATTACAGATTTTTCAATTTACTAACCAAGCTTAGATTAAATCTTTGCCTTCTTTGCTTCATAGCAAATAGTAGGGCTAAACTAAAATTTGTTGAATAATATGGGAGATAATCAATTTGATTTTGGAAATAGATTAAGAGCGATCATGGCTTTTTTCTGCATCTTTTGGTGAATTAATATATATTAAATACATATTTTAATTTTTAATTATTTACCTTTCATTAATATTTTTTCTTTAATTATTTGGTAAACAATTCATTTATTATAAATACCTAAATTTTGAGAAAGTGAATTTAGTGATTCAAGATTAAATAAAGACCTATAGAAATAGTTAGATATAATTAATTGATATATGTCTAGAATATTTTGAAAAAGTAAATAAATAATAATTTAATCATTTAGAGAATATATCACCCAATTATAAAAACATATATGTTATTATAAATTCTTTAAAATTTAAATGGCAAATCATTTCGTCAGTTTTTATTCTGAGAATATATTCTAGTTAGTGATTAATCATATTTATATTGAAATGTTATTTTCCTTCTACATCTACTAAAGTAATTAATTTTATTGTAATTTATTAATTTATAATGAGAAGGAGGTTTGAAAGTGCTTATAATCCAAGAAATCAAATAGATAAAAGGGAATATGCTTTGTATTTAGAAAACCAAATAAAACAAAAGGAGGAAAGAAATAAAGAAGATAGAATTTTAGATAATGTCAAGGATCAATTCCTGTTCTAGTAAATTTGCTTTGATTATTTAAGATAACCAAGATCAAGATTCTAAATTCATTCAATATTGGACAATTAAGATTTAGAAAAAAGACAAAAGCTACAACAATAAAAGTTGGAATAGGATATTTATAATTATAATAAGATGATAGCTGAAGACAAAAAGCGAATTAAAGAATTAAGTAAATCCTAGCAAAATGATAGTTTAATTGTTCCATTAAAATTACCAAAAATCTAAGCCTACTCTTAAGAACCTTAAACTAATAAAAATATGAATACTTAAGTGTTAATTGTACCGAATACTTTGTCAAAGTCTTTTGTTTTCAATACTGAACATTCTCACATTCAACCTCGTCCAATTTCATCATTGAATCCAATTGATGATATAAAAATAAGTCCGAGCAAAGTATAAGATTAAATTGACTAAAATTAATTGGAGTATCAAGAATAGAAATAAAAGGAGGAAATTAAAAGAAGAAATTAAGAGTTGGAAGCAATAAGAAAAAAAATGCATGATAATTATATTACTACACGCAATCAAATAACTTCTCTTGTTGAGTTTATTAAATATAATTAGTAATAGCAGAATTAATTTTTAGTTTTATCTAGATAATTAAATACTCTAATGAAATAAGATTAATTTTAACCAGCTTACCCATTCTTAAAGGAAGAATTAAATAAAAAAATGAATAATTAATATTTTCATCATAATGAATTTTTGGAATAAGTTAAGGATGAACTGTAAACATCTTCAAATTATGTATGTATCAACAACTAAGATAGATTTAATTTCAATAAATTGGAAAGGTTTAAGATCACGAAGATCTAGTCTTTGAACTCTGATGAAATTATAAATATGATAGATATAACATTGTTATAATACCTTTTCTTTTCATTTTTTAAGATCAACATAATAATATAAATGAATTTTAAAGATTTACTTCTAGATATATTTAGATTAAGCAAATGGAGATAAAAATATTACAAGAATTGAATGACTGTAAAATCAAATAAATAAAATCACATTCTGATTTGCTTTTATTTAGCAATATCAAAAATGGCTTAAGAATTTTAATCACCAGTGTTTTTAACCAATCTGGAAAACTCTGTTGATTTATCTACAGTTGTGGACTTAATTGAATTGGCTAATAAATTAAATGGAGTATCAAATTCAATTACTTACCCTTCACTTACAACCATAACTTTGTCGTAATCAGCAATTGTGTTTAATCTATGAGCAATAGTGATTAATGTACAATCTGAAAACTTCTTCTTTAGTGTGTCTTATATGAAATCATCCGTCTTCATATCAACATTGGCTGTTGCCTCATCCAAAACAATAATTTTTTTCTACTGTAATATTATTCTAGCTAAACAAATTAATTGTTTTTAGCCAACAGAAAAAACCGAATTAACATCACTCATATCTGTTTATAGACCACTTTAAAACGCCTTAACATGATTTATAAGATCTGTTTGTTCTAGTGCCTTCCATAATTATTCGTCAGTGAAATTTTCAAAAGGATCTAGGTTTCTCCTAATAGTTCCTGTAAATAAGAATGGTGATTAGGGAATGATTCCAATGTTGCTTCTTAATTTATGCAATCCTAATTTTCTAATATCTATGTCTGAAATTTATAATGTAGATTCTTTATCACTTTCAATTTCAGACATTCTGAAAATAACTTACAAAATAGAGGATTTTCCTGCTCCTGTTCTTCCAACACAGCCAATCTTTTCACCAGATTAAATTTCAAATGACAATCCTTTCAAAACTAAATCACAATTCTATCTGTATCTCATAAACACATTGTCAAATTTAACTCTACCATCTTTTGGAAAATCAGGATATTTTTCATCTTCTTTTGTATAATGAGGAGCCTCTGGTACTATATCAATAATCTAAAACATTCTATTATATGAGTTCATTTAAGTTTCAAAGGTAATTAATTGCCTTAACCCCCATTGTAAACCGTCATTATAGGTAATCAAAAGAAGCAATCCTTAAGACAATACTGCAACGTCGTTCAAATCTAGTTTTAAAAAAATAAATATTCCAACTGTCTAAGCTATAAATCCTACAAGATCCAAATTAAAGCCAAAAGCTCTTGAAGAGTAGTAATAAGTAAGTGAATTAAGATTGCATTTATTAGAAATATCTAAGAACTATTTTCTAAACCATTCCTATTGTTCATACACTCTAACTTATATTACTCCTCCTAAGGTTTTCTTTAGAAAATCAAATAAGGGGCTTCTTTACATTAATTCAACCTCTTTAAGTTAACTGATAATCTTCTTGGAATAGCTAAACTAATAATAATCAATAATGATAATAAATAGGATCATAATCAAAAAGTATGGTTATAATATTGCCAAAGTTACAAGTGCAAATAAAAAATTACCCATAATTTCCAAGACATCCAAACTAACAGTATTGGTTTGATTATCACATAATGATAAATCATTTGAAAATCTGTTGATTATTCTTCCAGATGGATTAACATCAAAATATGAAATCGGTGCTGACGTTAAGGATTTAAGCATTTGCTAATGTATTTTCTAAGTAGAAGATAAAACTGAATATGTATTCAATATGTATTTTATTAGATTTATAAGAATTAGTCCTAAGGTTAGCATTCCTAACTGATAATAGGCAGTGTCTATATCGTTTTCTTATTAGTATTGTTCAAAAAGTGAAATGATTCTTTAATAAAAGTTATTGCAAACTTCAGAACCAACTTCTAAACATAACACAATTATAATGACTATAATATTCCAAAATTTATAATATCTAATGTAGGTTTTGATTGTGATCAATTATTATTAATCAGCCTCTTTACCAATTAGATTATTAGCAACAGAATTTCTAATTTTTACTCTCTTTTAGAACGATGGTCGTAAAAACTCTTATTTTTTCAATTCCTTAGTGTTGCTTAACTATTAAGCTAATTCATCATTTATCATATAAAGACTTTATTTGATATCATCATAGCAACCTTAAGCAATTAATTCTCCGTCATTTAATATGGCAATTTTATCGCACTCAACTGCATACTAAACTTAATGTGTAACCAAAATAACAATTGGTTTTTTCTTTTATGGGTTCCTCTATACTTGAAACTAAAATATGAATTCTTTGATAGCCATATGAAATATATTTTTGGCAACACTGGCATCTACAGCTGATAACGGATCATCAAACAAATATAAGTCTGCTTATTGATATAGAGCTCTAGCCAAAGACAAACGAGCTTTTTAACCTCCAGAGAGAGTAGTGCCTCTTTCTCCAATTTCTGTATGATCCTAATATTTCATCTAAGTTAAATCCGCTTCTAATTATGAAGCATGCAATACTTTTTAATATAATACCTTATCATATGGTCTACCAAACAAGATATTTCTTCTTATTGTGTCAGGAAAGATAAAAGGTTCTTATTCAACATACGCTAAAGTTAAATCTCCTTTGTTTGCTTCTTAACCATCAATTTTGAATGACCCTTTATAAGCAGGAATCTCATACAAAAAAGCACTAAGGAGAGTAGACTTTCCAGAACCTACTCTTCCAATAAAAGCCCATGCCTCTCCTGCTTAAATATCAAGTGTTAAATTCTTAAGAACTGGCTTTGTAGTTTCTGTAACTTTGCCTGTCCAAAATGAAGAAAAATTCTTAAGTTGGATTCTTGGACCATGATAATTTGAAGATTATTCCTTATTATTATTGTCTGATTTCAATTGAATTTGATCCAAATTAGTCATTTCTGAATTTAAAATATTTAAAACAGTAGCTATTCTTGTAAATGACACCTTTATGTGGATGATTGATTAAATTCCATAGGAAACCATAAAGACACAACTGATTTTAAAAAATGTAAGCAATTGAATGGTTGAAATCATTTCTGCTACACTCATAGTCTTTCTATAGCCTCCATAATATAAGATAATAAAAAACACAAAACTAGACCAAACTTAAGAAATTAAACTAAATAATCTATCTGTGACTGTTCTAAAATTGATTTTCAATAAACAATAGTATTCCTCCTTTCTCATAATAGATATCATCTTATTGAATGCTTGTTCCCAGGCATACATTTTAATAAGTCGTATACCTTCAATAAGTTCATTAGTCAGTTTCAATCTTTGATCCTAATATTGTTTAGAAGTCTTCAAAGTTTCCGAATTAAAAGATTGTAGAATTATTTAAATAGGATACGCAACGAAAATGATGGCAAGAGCTATCATTCCAATTGGGCCATTAAATCTATCCCAAAGGATGTAGGATCCAAAAATCATTGAAATAAAGCATACACTGGTTTGGAATATCATAATAAAAACAAACTCAAGATAATTGATATCGCCAGAAACCAAATTTAAAATTTTGCCTATGTTTGCCTCTTTTATGGAATAGGCACTCAATTCAGTTAGTTTAATGTAAACTAAATTGATTAGAGCCATTCTTGCTTTTGATGAAAAAACCATAGATAGATTGTAACCATGATGCCTTGAAAAAACACAGATTAAATTTAGAAATACCAATAAGATTGCATAATTATACGCGCTATCCCTTTCATTTTGAGCAGCACTCGTAATCACTTTGCTCATTATTATTGATAATACATTCCTTCCTATAGCTTCTATAACATATCCAATAAAGCATCCAATACATACCCACTTTAATTAACCAAAAAATATTATTTTTACCAAGCTCCCACAAGTAACCACCTTTTGTTATTTTACTGCAGTTTAACATTATTTTACTGTTTCTTACAGGTCCTCCCAAGGAGATAATTTTGGTAAATGCTTTTCTGCAATTTTATGTCCTTTATCCAATACATGTTTCTTCAAAAATAATTAGTACGATGTGAGATGAAAGAAAGCCAACTTAGAAATTAACCAACTATTCTAACCATGATAGTAAGGATAAAACATTTCTTCTTCTTCTTCAGGAATTGAAGCCATTGAAGGTTCTTCTTATTATTCCTATTGATTTAATGGTTATTCTTCTTGCACTTGCTCATCCTGTTGATCATTGAAAACAGTATTTATTTAATTATTTCTATCGCTATCTTTATTTTGTAAAGCCAATTCTGTTTCGTGTTGTTTTTTTTGTGGATTAATTTCACTCATAAGAATTATATGATATACTACAAAATATTTAATGTTTTAGAAATAATATTAGCTATTTCTGCTTAAAGATGTAAAAATTATTAGTAAGATTTTTAAGATTTATTTTAATAGATAATTAGTAATCCTTATACCTATTCACTAGCTTTGAGCAACTATATTAAAATCTAATTCTTCCGAAAATTGCAGTAGACCTTTTATCATATTGGTATCCTAATCTCAAAATGGTTATTTATCCTTTTCGAGCACTTAACTCATAAATAAAGTTATAACGAATATAAAGGAAAATTGTTGTAATTATATATATATATAAATATTCTAAATAATAAATGAATAGGGAGGATTTAGCCATTTTTCCACACACTCCGTAATTCTAGACTATTTACAATCCAACTCTTGTACATCCTATGAGCGCATTTGTTTCGAGATCTTCTTACAAAAATAATTAATTATAACGAAACAAATTAAATAGGTTTAATGTTGAACAATACTATTCTAAAAGATAACACGATTAAAGACACATCTCTTTGCCAAGAGCATTATAAGCAGTTAAAAAACAATAAAATGAATGTAATATTAAATGCTATATCTAAGAGTAGAGAAGGGGATCACATTACAAGGAAGCAACAATAAGTATAGTATATCCAGATTCAAAGAATGAAGATTCAATTGTCTCAAAAATAGACAAACTTTCAAATTTATAAAATAACTTATAAGGAGTACATATGGATCTTGTTGAAGAAAAGAAAACAAACATAATCGACCTTAAAAAATCTTATACAAGGTTCAAGGAGACCTCGAAAACTAAAACTCTTTTAAGCACTATTTTAAGAGGGTTCTAATGTAAATAAAATGATTTTGATAATGATAATCTCATTTAAATTATGGGACTGCAAATCAAAGCATCGAAATAATAAGAACAATAGGCTTTTAGGACTAAAGCATATTCTTTAGAAAAGGAAAGAGAATCCATAAAAACTTCAATAGAAAAAAGGGAAACCACAACTCGTTCAGTACAAAAAAGAAGGGAATCTCCATAAAGCAAGATAAAAAATGTTTCATAATCAAACATGAAAATAAATCAAAATTTTCGATTTTCATTAAATGAATATTCAAATTTGAGTAGAGATCAACTATTTTAAACAAAATTGTTCAGCTACCATCACTTCTTATTTATGGTTTCTGCATAGAGTAATTTTTATGTGGTTCCATCAAACAATTTAATCGAATTAAAATTTAAAGTTGGCAAAGGAAACAACAGTTTACTCATTAAAGAAACTTTTAAATAAAGATGGTGGTGGACATTAAATTAAGAAGCCGATAATAAGGAATTAAATTTTATTTGGACTTAAATCAAGGTACCTTAATTTATGAATCTATAAGAATGGAGTAAGGAATCAGTCTTAACTCGTTAAAAATCATTATCTACTACATCAACAGAATTAAAAAGAATGAAAAAACCTTAATCTCCCAAATCATTAAAAAAATCTACAAGATTCGGTAAATTCGATGATCCTTTACAAAAACTGATGAATGATTAAGATATCTGTGAACTTAAGAACATTGATAAGTCGATTTAAGACTTTTAAAAATATGCAGAAAAAAAGGAATTTAAAATCATTGACAATTTTCATAAAGTATCTCTTTAATATAAGCTTAGATTCACAATCATATTGAAAGGAATTATCACTTAGGAAATAAAAAAGCAATGTTCCACAACATGAAAAAGTTTTATGAGTTAACAAAATAAGATCTATTTTAACATCTACCCGTTACATTCCATGTCTCAGGAGTTAAGGATAAGTCATACTTGTAATTTTTGGAATATTATAAAGAAAAGTATATTTAATTATTTATAAGGAAGGGAAACGGTATATGGATAGTAAAGCCTGGAGAATTCACAAATAGAGGAAATGGAATTATAGTCTGCCAAAATTTAAATGAAATACATAGAATTGTCAGTAAAAGATAAAACCACCCTAATGGGAAACCTTTTACTTATTTGATTCAAAAGTATATTGAGAAACCTTTTCTATACAATAAAAGAAAATTTGATATTCGATGCTATTTTCTGATAACCTAACTAAATAATGTAATCAGAGCCTATTGGTATGAAGAAGGATATTTAAGAACTTCGAGTGAAGAGTTTGACATAAAAGATGTAAGTAATTAGTATGTTCATTTAACTAATGATGCCATTTAGAAATATAGTGAAGCATATGGAAAATATGAAAATGGAAATAAACTATCCTTTGCTGAATTTTAAAGGTATCTAGATAAATGGCATAATAATGATCATTTCGACTTTTATAAAGATTTGTACCCTTAATTAAAAGTCATAACATTAAATGCTATTAAATCAGTATATCATAAGATTGAACCATTCAAAAAGAATTATAACTTTGAAATTTTTGGATTAGATTTTATGATTGATGAAAAATTTAAACCTTATCTAATTGAAATAAATACAAATCCTTGTTTAGAATTAAGTTCACCATTATTAGGTAGAATAATACCAGCCATGGTTGAAAATGCCTTTAGGTAACTTTATATCAAATTATAATGAGATTATCTATTGATACTTTGGTACCACCACCTGAATCATCAGCATGGCCTCCAAATAAAAAACATCTATTATTTTATGATAATCTGTTGGAAAATAATAGATTTTAATTATTGTTTGATGAAAAGGATGATGCCTTAGATTTGAAAAACTTGTATAGCAATTAAATTAATGATGATCAAATTGATGAAATGAATGAGGAAGAAGAAGAATACAAATCAGATGATGATTGATTGATTTAAACTAAAAGCATCTTATTACTCAATCAGAACCATTATAATCTTCTGCAACCACTTCTTTGACTTCAGCAACATAATGACACAACATTCTTTCGATTCCATTTTTCAAAGTCACAGATGATGAAGGACAACCTGCACAAGAACCTTTCATGTACAATTGAACAATTCCACTCTTCTCATCGAAATCTCGAAAGACAATATCTCCTCCATCCTCTTACACAGTAGGTCTAATACGAGTATCAATTATTTCTTTAATTAGTTAAACAACCTATTTTAATATTTAGAGTACTTCTGAATCATCTTCATTTATTTAAGTATCTTGATTTTCTTAATAACCATCAATAATCAATTTTTTCTCTTATCCATCTGAATCTAATTAATAATGTTCCATTATGTGTTCAAAAATTTAGGGTTTTATCTCTTCCCATCTACTTTCTTCCTTTTTTGCAATAGAAATGTAATCCTTTCCATAAAAAACTCTAGTAACTCCATCAATCAGAAATAATTTTTATGCTAAAGGTGAACATTTTGCTTCCCTTGGTCTTGTAAAATCATAGGTTCCATTGAGCATAACTTACTTTCCACCTGGAATGAATTTCAAAAAATTTGGGTTTGGTGTGGGTTTTGCTTAAATAAATAATTTGTAAATATTCTTAAAGTTTAACATTTAATTTATAATAATGAATAAATGAAATTTAATTAAAACAAGTATTATACAAAGTAAAAGAAAATTGATATATAATCTAAAATCTAGATTCATCAATAAAGATCAGATTATTATATCAAAAGAAAGGCAAATTATTTATTTATACTTTTTTTTTCACTCCAATTTTATGTTCTTTTAAGCATATCCATATTAGATTAATCATTATTTTAAAACTCTTCACATATCTAAGTTGAAATTGTCCTTTTTGATTCTAAATTTTAGCATTATTGCTAACTAAATATCTCTGAATTGACAATATGATTTATTATGATTCATTTCAAAAACAGTTATTTTTTCTGGAACTATCTTAAATTATAGCTATTAATCTACAACATCTTTAAGATTTATTTTTTCTCACATTTGAAGCATAGTTTAAGAAATTTTTATATCTAAAAAAATTATTGTAAATAATTAGAAATAATTTTGATGTTTAATTTTTATCTGTTTTTTAACAAGAATAAGTTCCTATGCTATTTATTCTCCTTTATTCTTCATACTCTTTATCTTCCTTTATCATCACTAATTTGATAGTTTTATATGTACTTTTATCTTGACTTTTAAATTATCATAAAAGATCCAATCACATTGAATATTTTCTGAAATTGTATTTAAATTGAGATTATTTTTGGGATTCATGTCTTAAAAGTAGCTAACCTTTTCTTTGATTGAATCATCCGTTAAGATTTTCATATATTTATTCTGTTTTAATTATAAAAAGAGCTTCAAATACTTTAAAGTTTGAGCATATATCTTACACGAGTGTCCTAATCAAATGTTAGCATTTATAAACTTAAATACTGCTTGAAATTTTGAAGCAGCATGTTCCTTTGATTAATCATTTAGTTCCTTATGATGTTTCCTATTACTTCTTGGAAATAGATATAAGAACAATAAACTAATTTATATCAATACTGCAAGTCATTTTATTTAAAATTTCATATGTTAAATATATCAAGTTTAGATTTTGCATGCAATCCATCAGCTAGAGAAGCAGTCTAATTTAAACTCTTTTCATGTCTTTTTTTAATAAATTCATCCAAGGGTGTTTGCTATCTCACTTTGCGACCACTTAAGACCAGGTATGCTTATTTTTTCAGTTATTTATCGTTTTCTTCTTTTACTTTTAAATATGGAATATGTGATTTTGGTATCTGTAAAGGCTTAGTCTTGAATTCGGATCGATATTATTATTTCAACTTTTCTAGAAATACTACGTCACCAGGCCTATTTCAAACCATTTTTACCTTTCCTGCCTTCTAGACAACAAGAAATTACAAAAAGTTATCTTTGCATTATAAACTCAATTATCTTCTCATTGATTCATTAATCGCAATAGATTTGCTATTAATATGTGGAAGGAACAACAGTTCATTAAAATTCTATTCTATTTTTTTATTACTCTGCATTCAAATGATCTTATAACAATAAATAATTAATTTAAGAATCTCAATATTATGTAAATATAATATGATATTTTAGAATGATAAAAAATATTTTCAAATCTCTTTTTTTCAATGCTTCTATTCTTAGTTATTTTACTACCTGACCATTTCATTTCTTATTGCGTATTTATGTAAAGGATTTTAATTTAGACTAAAAGGTTTGGAATTAGAATTTGTATTACTTCCTTGGCCATTAGTATTGTTTCCATCGAAATCTCTAAATCTAGATGGCTTTTATTATTATTATTAATCAGCCCTATTCAATTATCTACCCTAAGCAGATGGGCTATTAAATCCATTATTTAAAGGAGAATCTTAAAATATTAAATCATATTACCTATCTAATCGGTGTGTCCATTTAATAAAGGACTGTTTTAATATAAACTATCATTTGAATAATCCTTCCTTAATCTAGATGAAGCAGCTATCAAAGGAGAATTAAGTGGTGAATTGCTTAACTATGTTAATCTCTATTTATCAAATTTTAAATGCTCCTCTTATACTTTTAATGTCGTCTCTTCATTATCATCTACCTATTTCAACCTTCGACCAAAGTAGGAATGCCCAAGAGCCTACTAAGCAGTTATTCTTTTATTTGGCTCTTTTTCTAACATCTTTCTTAATAAATCATATGCTTGTTATGGAACATTCTCAAATAAGGCCCCATCGAATAATATTTCGCATTTTCTGTTTTTTGCCAATACATCATTATAGCTTTTTCCAGGAAATGCAGGTTTGCCAGTTAACCTTATAATATAACAGAAATAGTTACAGTATGTAGAAAATTAAGCCTAAACTATAAACATCACATATTGGATCATATCTTCCTCCATCCTTACAATTCACAACTTCTGGAGCTACAAATCCTGGTGTTCCGCATCTATTAAACAAATATGGAAATTCATTTGCATTTTAAGCCAACCCAAAATCGGCAATACAAACAGACTATATATTGCTAATAAATCATAAAGGTTAGTGATTACTTTGGTTTTCTAAACAAAATATTCTCTGGTTTTAAATCTCTATGCATTATATGTTTTGAATGCATGTGTTATAATCCTTCTAATAACGTAAACATAAGCAATTCAATTTCGAATGAATTAAACTATGGCCTATTCTTTACCTTATCATACAAAGATCCTCCTTCCAGTAAATCAAGTACCATGTATAAAGAATTTTCAGTTTCATAAACTTCATGTAGTTTTATTAAGGCATGACTATCAAATTTTCTCATGACTTATATTTCATTCAAAATAGACATCTAAATTATTTTAATTCATATTTACTTTTCCTTTATCCTAACCATAGGCTACTTCTTTTGAAAATGCTTTAATTGCAAAACTTCTTTCATCCTCCAAACGATCAGCCAAATACACTGAGGCAAAATTACCCTTCCCAATCTTTCGATGAGCCTTAAAACTTTCATGAAATGCTCTTTAATTTATATGTCTTGCTAAATAATCTCTCCATCTTTTTAGAAGTTAAGTATCATCTGAAAATAATTTTATCTTATGCTCGACATTTTCCCTTTCAATCAATAATCCTAGTGGTTTTCCGACTTTAAACTTCTCCTCGCATGATTCTCTTAATAACTAAAATTTGGTTTCAAATGATAAAGAAATGAATTTGTTCTTGTTAGCAACAATTATTTAATTAGAAAATCCATGCAAAACTCTTCTTTTGCCTTTTGGAGTTATGAATTCACCAACTATATCAGGTTGTTGATCTTGACCTTAAAGAGGCTCTGTTAATTTATAATTCATTAAAAAATATCATTATTAAGATTATTCATCATAGATCTTATTGATAATATCCTCTACTCTATATTAAAGTATTCTGTGTTTCTCTATAAATTTACAAATGTAGTTTATGCTCTAATCTGTCATTATTGACTTTACTTATTCAGCCTTAACCAAAATCTAAGTGCCGTGGAATCTTAATTCGGGCTCTAATTATAATATATTATTAATACATTCTTTTATTACTTCTAAGAAAAGACAAATAGTTTATTTGATTGCAAATTCCAAAGTATTTTCTAGGTAATAAATACCCCAATTTACAAAAAGTGAATCTATTTTTTAAGGAGCCTTTAATTAAATTGAGACATCAACAACCTATCCTGGAATAGCTTCAGGCAAGAGTAATTATTAAGTTTTGAAAGGATTATCGATACATCGTATTTTCATAGTCTAAGGCCAAGTTTTTTAACCTGAATTTTTTAAAACTAATTTCCAGATAAATTCTTTATCAGGATAACTTTAAACTTATGAGTTTTAAATAACTTCGACTTAGTAAACTTCTTGTTGTACTTCTTATTCCATTTGTGGATATTAAAATTATTGGCCCAAAGGAACTTAAAATTAACTCGGTTATTTTTAGGATGGATAATAACCTTATAACAGATAATTATTTTAAGGTTGTTAAACTTACTATTATAGACCTTAAAATTATTAATATTGCTATTGTTATTGTTATTACTATTATTATTATTACTATTATTATAGCTATTATTATTACTATTATTATTATTATTATTGTTATTGTTATTATAATTGTTATTGCTTTATTTAAGGGATCTATAATTGTAAAGATTACTAGTCAATTTCATTATGTGTATGTTGACTAGGCAAATATCCAATATATTACTGGAATTATTAATTGCCAAGCCTGGCTTATTATTATTTTATATTTTAATCTATTTAAATTGTGCTTGCACTGTATATGCTAGACTACTCCATAAATTTGAGATCTAATTATTTAAATGAAAAAAGTACCTTCTTCCGTTAATTATCCAATATTATTTTCAAATACAAACAACTTATAGGAGGATGATTGTAAAATTTTTAAAAGTATTATTAATGCATCTTCATGAACAATCTTTTAACTTAATTTAAATTCTTACTTCAAGAGGTTCTTAATCATAGAAAAAGACTATGTGATAGTTCTAATTTATTTGAGGGTACAGTTTTTCGATTGAAGATCTTATAGCCTAAACTGTAGTGACATGGAGAGGCAACTTATGAATTTTTCTATTGAAAACTATTTTGAATGCCATTTCTAAAATTAAATTTATATAAATTATTAAAAAAAACTTAAGAACCATTTTTTTTGTATTGTGGAATATAGATATTGATCATCATCATTCATTTTAAATATTTTTTAAATCACTCATTGTCTTTTGTTCATTCAAGAAATCTGCAGGAATTAAAGTTAATGCTAATTTAGTTAAATACATCTCATTATCTAATTTTAAAATCCACTTATAAAAGCATAAAGTATAAACGATAATTAATGTCAATCCCAAAATATACATATAAATTTGAAATTTTAAGATAACAGAGTCTAAAGTACTTTTATTTAAATTTAACATAGTATTTGCAATTTATTCCATAATCTTTCCTTAAAATAGAAAATGATGAACAAATTCAGTAGTATGTACTTATCCAGATAGAAACTTTTCTAATTAATTTTCATCAGTAATAGCATAATCATTTAATTGCCAGAAAGTTTTCAAAGTTTTTGAAAATTCATGTACCATGTTAACTATTCCTCCAGAAAGGTAATCTAAACTATTATCTGAAGAATTGGTTTCTAACGGATTTGTACAAGCTGGCACAAGAGTAGGATCACTTTCACAAAGTGAATTTCGAAATGGAACTAATAAAGTATTTTTTTATTCGTCTAAAAGGGATGTACTTGATTATAACTGATCATAAATAACAGATAATTAATCTTAAAAACCTTCTTACAAGGAAAAGAATTCAGCTTTAACCCCATCCTAATTGAAATTAATCTAAGATAATTCAAACAATTGACTTATTTTCAAATTCACCAGATAGTCTGTTTTCAAAATTTCCCCATAAACTATTAGAGAATCGAATTTTAATTTAAATTCTATTAATTATAAGTTTAAGGTAATTGCAGGTTTAATCTAATGGACCATTGAAAGGGATAATCCTAATGCACCTAGCAGATAACCAGCTAAAAATAACCAAGATAAAAATATGAATGCATAATTCCAAATTTAAGGTAATCTTAGATTATATACTCTCGAGGTTAATGAACTGTTTTGATATCTCTTTTTGAATTTCTACTTATTGTTTTTGGCAGCTTCGGATCCATTAGAGGATTAAAGATAGTTTAAATCTTATTTAGCTTTTACAAAATTGGTTTCAAATATGCATTTAACAAAATTTGTTTATTTCCATTAGACCTATTTTGGATCTTTAAGTATAGTTTTTATTTCCTAATAAATCCTGTTAATTTGATTTACATCATCCTCACTTAGTTTTGTAATTAGGATTAAGATTTTTCTAATTAATTAGTTTACATCTTATAAAACCTTAATGATAAAGAACATGAAAACAGTTATGATACTAAGTTCTGCAACAATAACATAAATGAGAATATTAACAATTTATTACTCATAAAAAATTAAATTGTCATTAAGATAATTGATATAACTTTTGCTTACTGTAATCACTTAAACCATATTTAATTTAAAAAATAAATTTAGTGACAAGAAATTTTCTTCTAATTCCTTTTCATTTTGAATTAATAAATTCAAGTTGATAGAATTTGACGAAATTTATTCTAACAGTATTGTTAAATCAAATGTAATTTCGAACTATTTTAAATTATTGATGACTTTTAGATCATCATTAATAGAAACTACTTAATTTTCAAAAGTTATGATATCCTCATAAATACTTTTTAACTCATATTCAATCTTCAATGCCAAATTGCTAAATTCATTTTTAAGGGCATCATTAACAAATTAACTATAAGTTACTAATTCTAATTTTTATTGGAGAATGTTAGATGAGAACATTAATGATTTTAGAAAGTAATTATTGATTTTCTCAGGATATTGAACATAATTTAAATTAGCTTAAAGAATTCCAAATTAATCTTAAAAATAAAATATATAATTACTTTAAACAATGAATATCTTAATGAAAACCAAAATCAAAGCAATTAAACAAATAAAAATATTTAGCATAATTATAACCCAAATCTAAGAATCAATCTCTCCAATTTGATAGAGAGTTCTAATTAATAAATAGGGTGATTTTGATGAGGAGGTCTTTGTTGAACTAGGTTTTGAGGACTATTAATGTTCATGTTCTTAAACTTCTTAATTATTTATATTCTTTCTTAAAATTTCCAAAATATCACTTTTTTTTTTTGTTTTCTAACCTTTTGAACTATCTGATTTTTTTTCTATTAAATCAGAATCATATTTGGGATCTTCAAACAATTCCTATTCTGGTTTTTAAACATCTATTTTACTTTCTTCAACATCTTAGTCTAATTATTGGAAGTCTTCATCTTCATTTCTTGAAATCTAAGGGTTTTCAAAGACTACTTTTAAATCATCTTGTTGCTTTTAAGGCTTAGAAATAGATATGTTGCTGATTTGCATAATCTATTCTAAAAGATGTTGATCTGAAGGGCCTTTGATATCAGCTGTTTCATTTAATTAATCTTAATTTTACTAAAAATTTCTAATTGTGAAGTTTTTAGTGTTCGTTGATTCCACTCCAGTTTGCGATTCCCCATATTTTAGAGCAATTAGTGTTCTTCGGATTGATTTTTTATAAGGTATTATGGAACACGAATCGGATCTTTCAAATTCATTTAAGGGTTCCAATTTTAATATAAAATAAGGATATTTATTTTTTTTTGTTTCCATGACTTAAAATTCTATGCTATACTTAATTTTAAGAATATCACATTGGATAGATTGCTCATTGTGATATTTCAATAAAAAATCTAGGATCAAATTCATTCTTTCAACTTGCAACATAGGGATGTTTTAACCTTTAATTTTAACCTATTCTTCTGAATTACCGTAACTCCTAGAAGATATTGCCGTCATATGTGATGCTTATTAGGATTTAATTGTGGTTAAATTATAGGATGACAATCTTTGGTCATACTTTTGCTTATTATCAAATAATAATCCAAACTATAAACAAATATCCAATAATTATTCTGGGAAATAACTGTAATCTACAAAATCTGTCTATGTCTCATTCGCTAGTTTCTTTAAATTGATTAAAATGAATGGCATCAGCATAATTATATTGCCTTATTCCACAAATCTTTCCATAGTCATACTTGGATTATTGGGCAGGATCCTTTTATCAAAGAATTCTTAACTAGTGCCAATAATTTTCCCATAACCATCGAACATAATTACATCATAAGAGGTTTACAATCTAAGAATTGAACCTGTCAAAATGAAATCTGAAGAATCTTAAAATAAATTTCCTAATTTGATATAGCATTCTCTAAGATAACCCTACTTTTATAAATAATAAGAGTGAATGCTTTAAACTGAATACTTTGTAAATCCTTTTGAAATAAATTCATTTAGCTAGGCATCGTGCAAAATTCTTAGATCAGGAGGCAGGAAAGATGAGATTAAAGTTTGCTAAAAATGTTTAATATTTTTCTTACCCCTGCTATGTCTTGAACATTCTAAAACTCAAAGAAATTCGCCAAAGTTAACAAATTTTTATTCACTATATGACCCTTCTTTCTTACTAGACTTACTAAGATAATAGCAGCATCATCTTTCAATAATGCACAGTCATCAATTATTTCAATCGATTTCTATCTATCTTCCTTTATAAGATCCTCAATTTATTTTTCTGCTTAAAATGCCTATCATAAATTGATAAGTTACTCTGTCAAAATCATTCAAAATAACTGCATATAAAATAGAATATATTTTCAAATTTAGTATATTTATATTCCTATCTTCCGGATCCAATGTTTTAAGAACTGTTTATAAACTTATATCCTTTGATCTGTCAAAAAATACCTCTGGAATTATGATTGAGGCTAAATAGAGATACCAAAACTTTTACTTTTAATTTTTTTATATAGTTAATCTATAGATTTGCAGAGTTAGAGTTATTCGTTGTGAAATGGTTCTAAATCATCATAGCCTTCTAATAGATTATCCCAAAACCTTTGTTTCTTATCAATGACATCAATTATATGAGGAGTTATTTCTTAATAACAATTCATACTCCTCCAAAGTTAAGCAATCGTTAATTTTTCTTCTTTTGCCATATATTTTTCCTTTCTAAATTACTACAAGATCATCCTTTCCTAAAGATACAAAATGGCAAATTCTAATTCTGCAGAAATTTTAGAAGTCAGTTCTCGAAAATATAAGGAATTATCGTTATTTTAGTCTTGCTAATATTTCCGTAATTCAACATAGCCAATTAATGGTCTTTATGCTATTGAGGATAAAAAACTGATATATTATAATTGTAACTATTCGAATTTAGGTTTATGAATTTCTCCATTTTTAATAACAGTTCGACTATGACAAGTCTTAAAAATGCAACTCACCACATCAATTGTTAATTTTTGTAATTATATATTATCATTAAAATTAACTTTTGATAATTTTGATTTTTAAGAAGGACACTTAGGTCTCATGCAATTCTCATTATGCTTAATCAATTATTAAAAGTAAGTCAATTTGTTGTATTCACTTGTTTAGAAATAAGTAAAGTGACTATAAAATTAATCTACACCAATAATTATATATTTCTCTTATAAATTGAAACGAGAATTGTAGTTTGTCATAGCAAATTCGTGGAAAAGTGAACTTATTGAAGCTGATACACCACTCATCAATGCAGCCACAAACAGAATCCAAAATAATTACCCATCTACTATAGTCTTCAATGAAAAAAATAAGCATATGAATATACTACTTAAAAGTACCATAGCTACTTTTAAGGATGGCTCTCGAAACGGATCTCTGTAAGGGCAACTATAAAATTGATCAACTATTTGCAAAATTGCATATGAAAATCCTAAAGCATACTTAACAAATACAATTTCTTCATAGAATCTAAAAAAAATTAATAAATAAGCAATGGTATAATTGAAAAATTGAACATATGCAAATTTTCTTTTAAAAGAGTTATTTTCAGCAAATCTATGATTCCTTAATAGATATATTAAGATTATTCCTTAAAAATATTGTAATATTGCATTGAAGTATGCAAAAATATAATAATTAGTTAGCATAAACTTAACACTAATTACAATTATTGGAATTGTAAAGATGTTATAAAAAGTAAAGTACCAGTGCAAAACAGAACTTACAGATTCTATTTTTTTCTCTAAAATTAATCTTAATTTAAAGTTTAAGGATACTCTTTGAGTTTCAAATGTAGCAATTAGTAGATAAAATAGTAAAATTATTTAAAAGGCAAAAATTAGAAATAAAAAAAGTTTGCTTAAATCATCTGTCAGCATTGGTTCAAATAAAGAGAAATGTGCCAAAACAACCACATAATCAAATGCTTAATCTGAAGATCTTTCCAAAAATAAACTTAATAATTGGACATGATGCAGAAAATGAGGGATGATAAATAGCTCTTGAGGAAACTTTGTTATAATGATTATTATACTTAAAAACGATGTTTATACTCAATTGCAAATAATATAGTTTTAATGTACCCACTACAAAATTCCTTTATCTTGTTCATCGCTATCAAGATTTAAAAAATAATTTATTAAAATATATTATATATATCGAACATTTGTCTAAGAAACAAAAATATTAAAGTCATAATTATATTTTAAAAGTATTTCACTTATCTGACTAAACTCAGATGAATAAAACCTTTAGTTCTAATAATATAATTTATAGATAGTAAGTCCAATTATTAAAGAGAAGATAAAATACATTAGTAAAGAATATCATATCATTTCCTTATATATAACTTACTAGTCTAATTCTGGGAACTAAAAATATCTTCTTAATTGATATTTCTCCGAATTTAATCCATTAGCCTCAGCTATTATAATAGCTTTTAATCAGAAAATCATAATCTGATTTTTGATGTTGCTTATCTACATTCTTAGACAAATAACACAAGTTAGTTACTACTAATAAGTAATGTGAGATTGACAATTTATCAAACCCTCTATACAATCTAAATATTCAACAAAGTTCTTTAATAAATTTAAGCGATTCTATCAAGTTTATTATTAAATTTTCTATTTTAGCTAAATACAATATAACGATTTCAATATATAGCAGATTATTGGAAATAACCTTTGATAATGAGGAAAACACAATAAACAATTTTGGATTATTTATTATTGTTTATTGATCGTAATTGCTAATTGTTACTTACGTAACCCAGCCTTTTTGTTTATAATTGTGTATAAAGATTACATTTTATCTTTTAATTTTAATTTTTGAATATAATCTCGCGAGAGGGAACTTTTATTTCAAAGTAAGTTCTAATTAAATTTGTTAATTTTTATTGATTAATTTTGAGTCTATATTTGAAATTTAAGAATTTTTATTGGAATAAGAATCTAATTATATTTATATTAAAAAGACTGAAGGAAATATTAATATTTTGATTTTCCTTATTCACGACTCATAAAATATTCTCTCAAGTCCACCAAAATTGATAAATTCCACTTAGTTGTTGTATGCAAAATTGTTTGAAAATGTAATTAATTAAATACTTATATATATTTTAGAAAACAAGGTTCCCCCAATATATATAGTTTAATTATATTAAACACTAACTTATTTTTGTTCTATCATTCACAAAATTATTATTTATCCAATATTTTTAGGTAGTAATAATAATGTACATGCATTTTTTAATAAACATAATTATAAATTACATTTACATCTTAATTAATTTGAATATTTAATAATCTATAATTTAAATGTAAATTAACTCAGTCCAAAATTTTTAGCACTTCTCTATCTTTATGGCTTTTCAGGTTTTCAATCATTTACAATATTTTCTGATTATCTTTGAGATGCCCTACAATAATATATCCTTTTATACCTTATTTAAATCGTTTTTAAACAATAAGAGCTACTGTGATTCTCACATTTTTAACTGGATCAAGACTGAGAGATAGAAATTATTCCAAGAAAGTAGATTCAAATTCTTTAAGTGTAATCAACTTTGAACACATATAAGCAAATCTAATAATAAATAATGATTTGTATACGCTTATCTCTGATTAAAACGATGACTGATTCCATATGCTTTAATATTCTCAATTAAACATTAATAATAAATTTGACTGGTTTCATCTTCTGTATTCAAAGATTGCAAAATAGAATGCATTTCTTTGGCTGCTTATTTTCTTACAACTGCAACAATGTCATTACATAATTTCAATGTAATTGGTACTATGATTTGGAATATGTTATCTACACTGTACAAAGGAACCAAATGCTTAATTTACTTAGCAATAAGATGACGAATTCTCCATTTCTTTTGATCTCTCTATAATGGATTAGGGATTTATAATTACTTATATGATTAATACAACATCTAGTAAATTATCTCTTTTTTCTTCATCAAAAATCTTAATAAATTCCCATAAATGTTGTGCTGCTGCATATTTCACTTCATCATTTAAATCCTTCAAAAACGAATCTAAAATGATGACTAAATCTTTTTCAGCATATCTTGGACCACATGATTTAGCAATGACATAGAGATTTTCTGCCAACATTTTTCTAACTCCTTTGTTTTTTACTAGATTTTATAACAATTTTAATAGATTTGGCCACTTTTCTTATCCATATATTTCAACAACATAATGGAAGGTTGCTGCACATGCATCATAGATTTCTTAATCAGATGAGAAATATTCACAAACATCTTTATTTATTGATCGACAATATTCATTTAATAACTATTCATTTTTTTAATTACAATCTTGTAATGTGTGAATGAATAATCCAAGAAGAGAGAATGCAGATGCTTTAACCCATTTATTTGAATCCCTATTTAAATATCAAAATATTACTTTAAGAAGTCAACCATTTTATTAGATAATTCATTCTATCGAACTTATTTTGGAGCTACCTAAGCTAATTTCACAATAATCTCTACACATGCTTTACGAATATGCCAAGATGATTTATCTTCAGATTTTCTATTAAGATAATTTAATTTTAGATGTACTAAAGATAATAGGGAAGCAATTTGGTCACGAAAAATTCAGGTCTTACTGACTTTGCAATATGTGGTAATTGTTAAAGAGATTCCTTTCTGACTCTGACACTGATATCCTCACCTGCATTGATAAATTCAATAGAAATGAATGATTCTAAGAATTATTAATTGGCAATATGAGCATAAGAACCAAAAAATTGAAGAGCCACCATCTTATTCTCTTCATTCGATTCATCATGTGCCATAAGAATTAAGTCATTTAATATCAACTCATTTATTTCTTCGTTGGTTAGTTTCTATGCTATTCTAGATATTTATTTTTGAACATCAGATTAGATGTCAAAATTATGATATTTTATTAATTACATAGATGCTGGTAATAAATGTTGTTTAATTATAGATACATCTAAATGATCTATTAATAAATTTAGTTGATGGATCAGGATTTTCTTTATTTCGTCACTGTCACTAATTAATTAATTTATAATCTAAGTCAATTGTTATTATGCGTCATCCCCTACCAATATTATCAATTCACTCAAATGTCTAGCATAGGCTTATCTATAAACATAATTGAAGAATTATTCATAATACCTTTCCTAAAAATTTTACTAATTAATTGTCAAAAGCTTGGCCAAAGCCTTATCTGGTTCGTCTTCAATAAAAACAGCATCATCTTCTCTTTATTATATATTTTTTAGATTGAATGATTCTTCTTCACTAATTTATAACATAATCTTTTTCTATTCCTCTAACGCATTTATATAATTTCTAACCTGCAGATAAAGCCTTCATGCAAAACTCTTCTACGTTATCCTTAACTTCCGGTTCTTTATTTTCATTTTGCTTTTCTTCTTAATTCATACTTTTTATAAATAAAAAATTAATTAATACGAAACATATCATTTGTATTACATCATATTTTAGTTGAATAAATAATCCAAACACTAAATTAAGCTCTTCCAATAGAAGCAGTATAATAATATTTATTTATTTGTAACATAAAAATATAATCAGATAGCCTAGATGAATGTACTCATTTTTGATGTAGTTTCACTACTCTTATGCTCATCATTGATAATTATAAAATACATTGATTTATTAATTACAATATACTATAAATTTATAATATGGGATATACTAATAATCATGAAACTTATTATTGTTACTATTAGAGTTAAGAAAACTATAAAAATACAGATTCCAAAGTTGACTAATTTATCGTAAAATCTTTGATGCAATTTTTTTGCTCTAATTCTGTTAACAATTGAAACATATTGAAGAATTAAAATTAATGAGTAGGTATCTAATTGATAATAATTAAAATATACATGTATCGATTAATATTCCTCGTGAGTCTACTAACTCTCCTTGGCTTCTGAATATTATTCCTAGATGATCTTAAAGATCTATTCTCTGCTAGTAGGATTTCTAATCGAAATGTTATATCCTTCTCCATATCTATCTCTGAGTTCTTTTGGATTGCCTAAACAAAATATTTCACCATTAATCATAATAGCTATTCTATCACAAAGACTTTCAGCTTCATCCATAGTATGAGTTGTCAAAACCACTGAACTTTACCTTAACTTGACTCCTTGTCTGAGTGTTTTCCACAAAAACCTTCTTGCAATTGGGTCAACTCCTGTGCTTGGTTCATCGAAGAATTAAATGCTTGGTCCTCCAATAAGTGCATTACTGACACAGAGCTTCCTCTTATTTCCTCCTGAAAGTAATCCAGATTTTCGATAAATATATTCTTCTAATTACATGGTACTTAAGAAGTAGGCTACACTTTAATGAAGATCATTTCCATTTAAACCTTTCATTCTTCCAAATAGATAGAGATGTTCCCTTGGAGTAAGGTTTTCCCAAATACAATCAAATTAAGGACAGATACCAGTGTCTCTAAATACATCCGATTTAGTTCTATCTATTTCAACGTCCTTAATTTTAACATTTCCAGATGATTTAGTAATTAATGAAGTTAAAATGTTAAAAGTAGTAGACTTGCCTGCACCATTTGGACCTAGTAAACCTAAAATTTCATTCTGTCCTACTCCAAATGTTATATCTTTAACTGCCAAGAAATTTGAGGGGTTGTATGACTTTTGTAAGCGCAGGACTTTAATGGGAGTATTCTTGGTTCCATTAGAAATTTGTTGGATTTCATTGAGTACTTCTGGATCCTTGATTGGAGCAGGAATATAATTATTACATCTTTGATTATTAGAGGAGATCCCTTTGAAGTATTTCATTTATTCAATATGCATATTCAAATAAAAGAATGCAAAGCTTTAAAAGATCATGATTAAACAATAAGGCCAAAATACATTTGAGATGTAAGGTATATCTCCTCCTTCAATGTCATTAGACTTGGTAATGGCCTAGAAAAATGCGTAAAATGGGCTGATGAGAGCACACAGCAAATCTACAAGCTTAATAACAATAGATTATCCACTTGATAATTCCTGAGAATCATTTCCATTCATAAAAATCAAGGCTACAATAAGCCAAACATTCAAGGGAAGAGCAAAGAAAATAAAGTAATTTAAAAATGGGAATGTTTTCATTGCTTTTGATGCTTTTTCATAGAGCAGTGTCCCAATAAGGAAAGAAAACATAATGAAGGATACTCCAAATGAGAAGAATATAAAAATCATTTTACCTACTTTTTCACTTAGGAATTCATAAGAGAGTGAAATCAAAATGATAATCGTCATCATTCCAAAATAAATAGTGAAATCAAATAGAAAAGTTCCAAACCAATAAGGCACTGGTCTACAACCCATAGCTACCAAAGCATATTTAAGGTTGGTTTCTCTTTCTAAAACAGGCTGCATAATAAATAGAGATGAATTAAAACAAAGTGCAATAATAGCAAAGATTGAGAAGAAGATCATTCTGAAGACTTTAGTGTCTTTATTCTCTTCTCCTAGATCCATTTCTCCAATGACGACAATTCCAGTAATAATCAATGCTAAGGGAATGATGATAGCTAAATAATTGCTGAAGGTTCTAATGGTTGTGTAATATTTTCTAAGATAAATGGCCAATGTTTACTCTTTAAAAGAATAAATAGGTGCTACTTTACAAATAATTAAGTACCTCTATTCAAACAATCTGGAACTGGAACTTTGGACTTAAGTTCAGCAAACTGGTCAGTTCCAATCACACTATCTCTATCCTCATTGACACTGGTTCTCCCTTCAACCATCCTTTTGGCTCTCTCTAGGAACTTCTCTTCATCCATTCCAATATTGATAAAAGCATCTTCAAGGGAATTAATCCTGAAATTAACTGATAACTTATTTTGAAATTCCTTCTCCAATGCCTAGAAATAATTAAGTAAGTATTTTTTCTAATTAAATTTAATTTTAAATAGAATTGAAAGTTATGATGATTGAGGATCCAAAACTGCTTATACTAAATTTTCTTAAGTAAATTTAATAACTTCTTCTTTATTAATTGACTTATCGAGTATAGTGATTGAAATGGAATATCCTTCTCCAAAATTCTGTTTTATGTATTCACTTCTGCCACAAGCTAGTAATTTGCCAGCAGCCATAATAGCAATTCTATCAGCCAACTCTTCAGCTTCATCTAAATGATGAGTTGTAAGTACAAGAGTTCTGTTCTCAGCCTTGACTTTCTCCAATATTTCCCAAATTCCTCTTCTTGTCTAAGCATCCATTCCAGATGTTGGTTCATCTAAAAATAATACATTTGATCCTCCTATGATTGCTTATGCCAAAGACAACTTTCTTTTATTTCCTCCACTCAAAGTCTTTGTTATTTTCTCCTATTCATTAGTCAATAATGTGGTAGACAGTATTTGTTATATCTCTTACTCTAAGTCATTGCCTTCTAGTCCTTTCACTCTTCCCATGAACTATAATTACTCTTTGACTGTCAATTCATCATATAAAACATCCCTTTGATTACATATTCCAATCCTCTCTCTAATCTCTTCCAAATTGCTCTCCAATTCCTCATCAAAAACGTAAACCTTCCCTGCTGTTAAACTAAGTAATCCTGTTAGTACATTAATTGTTGTTGTTTTTCCAGCACCATTATGTCCCAATAAGCATAAGATTTCTTTCTAATACAAATTCAAACTCACTTAATCTACAGCCGTAAAGTTCCCAAACTTCTTCACTATCGATCTTATCTTAACTGAGGGTTTAACATTTAAGTAATTTCTTGGCTCATGATAAAAGGCACTTGAGCCATCATCATTATATGTCTAAGAAGCTACATTCTCTTATTCCTATTATATCAAAGGATTCTCTAAATCAACTTTTCGTTTCTCTTTTTTACCTTTGGTAAAATTTAGAAAGAACAATGGGTGTTTGGCAATACCATATTCATTAGGGATTATGGCATCGAAATAAAAATACAGCAACAAATATACAGCTGACAATACTCCTAATTATATTGCCATCGTTCCATAAGAGAAATATATCTCAAGTTGGTTATTCAAATATCGAAACACTCCATATTGAGTTGATATATATGTAAGTGCAATGCATGTTTATGGAAATAGGGAAATCAAAACAAAAAAGAAGGTACTAATAGATTATACATGAGATTGAATACCTTTAAAATTTATCAACAAATCCAAAAAATGGTAAGATTAATGATACAACTAATAAAAATGTTGTAATCTCATTTGCAGTCTTTGATTACGAAAAGAATGTTGTTAAAAACATTGAATGATGTATCAAAGCTGTTGAATACATGAAGTAAAGTCCAATTATGATATACCATGCTGTGTCATTATCAAATCCAAATATGTTTCGATCATGTCTCTCATTTATGATATATCCAAACAAGGTCCAAGTAAGAATAAATATTGCAAAAGACTAATATATATGAATGTCTATCATACCATAAAAGTTTTAAAGTAAGCGTACAGCATCCATCCTATCAAATACGAGTTTTGCTTCAAACCCATAATCTACTATTATTGAAGTTTATTACTTTTTGAGTTTCCTTAAACTTTAGCTCCTTCTCTTCACATAGATGTATCAATAGTGATCTTGGATTTGAAAATATGGCCAAAGCAACAAAAAATGGAGAAAAAAAAGATATCAATTGAGTTCCATCAATATCTTTAGCAGCTAAACTCAATCCACAAAAAAATGGAATTAGAGTTTCTGCTAAAAATTCTTTGTTTCTAAAAGAGCATAGCAAGTTCTTCTAGAAAATGGCCTTTATTTAGAAAAAATATGTCTTATTATCCATATAAATTAATTAAAATAAACCTATATAGATTTTTTATAATTCATATTTCGTAACAATATAGTATTAATGTGCAATCAAAGTAATCTTTATTTATAAACAATAGTAAATTGAAAATTGATGGTGATTAAACTCAGTCATTAATTTGAAATAATTGTTAAACATCTATAAATACTTGAAATATAGAAAACTTATTCATTCATCAAATATCATGAATAAATTAATTAAAAACAATAGAAATAACCACAATTGAAGACAAATAAGTTCAACTCATCAATATTTAATTAGAGATTTTCTTTCTTTTTGAGAAGTGAATTATTAACCTTACTTTATTTGGATCAATAAATAACTCATAATAAAGTTAATAATATATATTCTGATTCATATATAAATTACAATAAATAAATCAAAATATTAGAAGTATTTATTTATATGATATTAGTATTCAACAATTATCAATATATAATAGAACACATTAAGAATATTATTAAGCCTTACATTAATTATTTATAAATCATAACTTCAGATCATCACTCAATATGCCGCAAATATTGTCTAAATTGTCACCTGTCAAATGAGCGAATGCTCTTAATTTTCCCTGTTTATAATTTGTCTTTTAAACTTAGACTCTTAATTTTGTACCTTATTTTATCACTTCTTCATCTTCTTCTTTATATGATTCCTAAATTCACATTAAATTTACATTAGAATAGGTGAAATTAGCAGGCAATTTATCTCTTGGGATGATAAAATCGATTGGTCCCAATTTGGCAAAGACTGCCTGGGCTTCACATTTCGAAACTTCTACGTCCACTATTTCCTTTTCCTATAATTTGAATACTATGGCTTCAAATTTAATCTGATATGAAATGAATATTGTACCACTACTCTAACAGTTCCATCCTCTTCAATTAATGCATCTATTTATTCATCCATATGTTAATTGTAATTCATGCATTTAGTAATACAAATGATGTACCCAACATCATCAAAGTACTTGCCTTCTAATTTCTATACGATTTATTCTAATATGAACTTTTAATCTTTTAATTGATCTAAATAGTTTGGCTCAATGGACAACTTAGTTTTTAATCCTTTAACCTGATAAAACATTTTTATTATTGATTATTTGATAATTAAACAAAAAATTTAGTATATTTTTATATAAAACTCCAAATCATCTTTTCGCAGTCAAAGGTCTTTGCTATTATTAAGGGGCCTTTAAAGCCGTATTTACAACATAGGTCACTGCCTTTTACAATGTATAATTAGAGGCCTTTCGTTTTAAAAGCTAATAAAATAATTTGATAGGGTTTTACCTTCTCTGAGATGGATTCTATGGCTTCCAAGAAACCCAAGAAACTTAAATCTGGCTATAATGATTTTAACTAAATCTTTTTGTAAATCAAATCATAATCTGATTTGATTAGTAAATCATTAACTAATTGAGGATTGTTAGCTAATCTGCAAAATCTCATTTAATTCAAGTTGCCATATCTCAAGCCGCAAAGGTTGCTGAAAAGATCAACCAATTTATAGAACTAAAGTTGTAAATAAATATGAAGATATTACCAAATCTAAATTCTCAATTGGTGGCTATCCATCAATAATCATCTTATAACTGTTGCAATACTTCCCCTTACCAATTTACTCAATCTGTTCTTATGGTGTTTTAACTGCAATAATAAATGCATCTTCAATGACCTTAGTTTTAACATAGGCATCCAATGAGCTGGTCTCCACTCTTTTGCTTCCATTTGAATTTTATACTACTTGAGTAATCTCTAAACTGGGATTGGCATTAATCTCAATAATCCATGGTTTTAGATCTCTGTCAATTAGAATATCAAAGCCAATGACATGGAAACAATTGGCCTTTTCCCACTTGTCTTGATAGATTTCTCGAGTCGAATTTAACTTTACTAATAGATAGGATTTCTTACTAAGAAGGGAGCAATTCCATATAAGAATCTTACGATGGTTTGTTCAATTCTCAATTTTAACTTAGGGACATCAATGCCCATCTTCATCAATGTTTTTTTGGCTGATGTATAAGTTCTTTTAGTTCCAAGATTTATTTTTTGGAAATCTGGAGGATGAATAATGAAATTTTGACTATCTATGGATATACTATTTTTGTCTTTTACTTTTATTTAAAGAATAATTTGTTAGATGCATATAAACATTTGAGAGATTACTTGATGTGATGTCCTAATAATTTTCAGTGCACAATCTCGCTAAGCCTTCTTCGTTTATGTAGGCGATTAAGGGTTTCAGTGAGGTAATCAACACATACAGTCGAAAATCGAATTTCTTGTCATCCAAAAGTAGGGGATTGCTTATATACTCTTATATAATATAGTTCCTAATTATGGCAATTCCATTACTTCTTGATATAGGAGACATCCTTGACTCCATTGTTGAACAAATCTTCTATCTAACTGACTATGAATATGCCTTGACCCTGAGTTCCTTTGTCAGGCTTGGCAATGTAGGAGATGCCATCCTTTTTTTCAAAATCCTCGATGAATTCATGTAAATCCTCAGGCATGGTGTATGTTTTTGGATAAAAATTATAAATAGACGGAAAATATCTAATATAATATGACACATATTATACTATCTCATTTTGTCCATGATTGACGTTGTCTCCTTTTTTGTAGAGATAAGTTTAGCTCCAGGAATTCTACTGATGCATTAATTCATAAAGACCATTGCGAAATCGTAAGTAAATTGTTTGGCCTGTTGTACATTATCAGGACCACACCATAATATATCTCCATCAAAATTATGAGCCTTTTTCCATTCATTCTTTTCCATGATTTTACGAATAATTGGTAATTCTTACACCTAAACAGAGAGATTGATAGACAGAGGGATTGACTTTGGATCAACCTTGATTTATTATCTTTTTTATGTTTTCTTCTGCAGCAACATTTAAAATATTAGATTCAATGGTTTGTTGGCAGGCTTTTCCTCAAAACTCTTAACTCTCATTTGTCTTTGGGAGTTGTTTGGAACTTCAGTCTCTGTATTCTCATCTTGCTTATCCTACTTGTCTTATTATGTAAATTGTTAAAAGTCTGAATTCAAAAATTACAACATTTGATTTTCCAACATATTTTAATAATGAAATTAGTTAATATTCATAAGTCAAATAGATCTACGTTAATTAATCAAAGACAGACTACTCAAGAGCAAATAAACATTGATCACAAATACAAATTACCCTAATTGATGGATAGACAAATCTCACTAAAAACATTTAAACTATATCAGCATTACAATTAGAATCAAGGAGAATCATTAATTCCAAAAAATTGAAATTTGAAATTCAACTGCAATGTTGATCCTTGTCTAAAGCTGGGTTTGATGAATTTTGAGATAAAAACCAATCAAAGTAGAGAGCTTGCCGAGATAATTTATGATGAGCAAGGAGTTTTTGCCATTATGGATGGCCATATTACTGATTGTGATTAGATAATTACATTTGTTAGAGACTATTTTTAATGTATAGAGAATATTTAATAGTAAATTAGAGCATGCAATAAAGGACTTTAATAATTTGATTTTATCTAACTATTTGCTAATGCTCATTCTAATGTTACTTCTCATTCTCATTTTGCTTCTCTTATGTTTGGTACAACTGCTAATTTGATTGTAATTGTAATTAGAATTATAATTCATTCAGTCTGCTTGGGGGAGATCCAAGAACAATTTTATGTCCCAAATAATAGGATAAATTAATTACTACAGAATTGTCCTTCGATCACAAACTACATCTACTGGAGGAAAAGAAAAGTATAGAACATTAAGGGGGATCTGTTAATACTTATAAATTATCGAATGGCTAATCTGTAGGGCCATCTAGAGTTATATTAAAGGTGCCAAATTTCCAGGTTTGGCAATATTCGGAATTATAGGAGATTAATTAGCTGAGTCGGTTGGATTTTCTCATGTTCCAGGGATATTTAATTATTTATTTGAGATATCAATTAGCATTAGATAACGAGGGATGATTTGATTTTTAATTATTAGTTCAGATGGATTGTGTCAATTTTCAGATAATAATGAAGTATTAAGGTTTCAACAAGATAGCAGAAATGACCTATTAGTATTTTCTGAATAATGATCCATTAGAAGTTTGTCATAAATTGATTTAGGAATCAAAATATGAATGGAAAAGAATTAGTGAAGGTTTTGATTATATCACTGTCATTGTAACATTCTTATAGAATTCAAATACATGATAATTAGATTAGTTTTAAATCTATTTAAGACTTTTATTGATTACCTATCACATTCTTTGGAGAAGTAAAAGTTAAAGAGTCACATAATTCATTTATGAGTACTACATAAATTCTTTCTCGTTTTTTTATTATTTATAAATATTTAAGGGTATATATTGAGTTTGTTCTATCTCTTAATTTGATAAGATAATTAACTTATTTCGCCATATTTGATTATTTCAAAAAACATATAATAATGGTTTAAATTAATAGTCATCTTGTAATTAAAAATTTAAGATAAATGAGAAAAAATTTCAGCTTTAGTTATTATTATAATATACTATTTGTTTTATGTTTTATCATCTTCATCCCAATTGACTTAGATGAATATCTGGAACTTTTAATGGTTACAATCCTAATAGCTGTTTGTAGGTAACTAATTAATTTGGGAGTTCTGCTAGCACTTCTCTTGCCAATTCTCCTTATTATTTAAAGTCTCTAAAGGGTACAAATTATACCAAGTCTCTTGAGGATGAACCTTTCAATGGACCGCTATCTCCATCAAGAGTTTTCATCTATTAAAACTATTCATCTCCAACTCCAATGATAATTATTGAAAGCGGGATTCTTGCAGCACCAATTATCAATTGAGTTGTCTAATTCATGTCATGAATCTCCCCATCTGTCAGTATCATTAGAACTGTATAAATATTTTAGCTTATATTTTGTTATGCTGTTTAACAAGCATATTAAATGATTGGTGCAAAATATGTTGGTCCTGATAAGGTGACATTTTGAAGTGCTCCACTATATTAGGCCATAATTCCTTCCAGGCCAAATACCTCTGGTTATTAAAAACTACCAGTCAAAGGAAAGCTAGGGATAGACTCAATTTGAATACCAATGATCTGCCTCATGTTTTGTATAATTAGGAAAATGGGGTACTCCACCGAATCCATACATGGGTATTTTCTTATCGAAGTCGTAATTCAATAATATTTCTGAAACTTGATAGAGTGCAGATTAATATTGATTCATTTGATTTGGATTATTGTAATGTAGGGAGTTTGGAAATTTGGGATCTCCATTAGAACCAGTGAAATCTACAGCAATCATCAAATTAATCTACTCCCCTCCTTTGATATAATCAATGAAGGATGGCTTTGTAAATAAGTTAAATTATTTTAGTTATAAGATGCCATGATTACTCTATCAAATAATTATTGATATAATACGCCTTTTTTAGAGAGAGATATGAATTCTCTTTTTAGTTCATTCTCAATTTGATGGATTGTGAATAAGGAATCACCAATATATTGATGTTTTCCATTAGTTTGATTATCCCAGCATTCCACCTTTATTTACTATAATGTATTTCCAGCATTCAATTTACTCATCGATATTTCAAATGGTTTCCAATGTGGATTTTCATTGTTCTTGCAATATTCAGTCTCGTGAATAAACAACCAATCATTTCCAGACTATTTATAAAATCTCAAAAAGGGATCTGAATTGCCAAACCAGCCATCTACATTCTTTATTTTCTTGCCCTCCCATTACCAGAAAATGAATCTATTGTCATCCTTCAATTTATCACCCTTAATTAAAAGAGTTCCAGTCGCTTTGTTCTTCAATTTCAACTATCCTGTATAAACCTAATTCCTTGATCCCATAATCTCTCCAACTGTGGTCTATATAAAATGATAATAGGGTACATTGACAACACCAATTAAATCATCTTTATCAATGGTTCCATCATCATGGTCCCAAACCTCAAATCTTAGTTCTTATTTAATCTCAAAGATGAAATCCATTTGAATGGTTGTCTAATATGGCATTTCAATACTTTCCAATCAGGATTAAGGTTGTTTTTAAGGACTTCGGTTTAGCCAATTTATCGTTCGACTCCATTAAAGTCTCTTACGAAGATCTTGCACTTGGGATCACTCTCTGATATGACATCCATGTTAGCAAGCTTACGAGCTGAGATGTAAAGTTCAATCTTCTCTCTGTCTGTGGGTTGATACATGAAATCTATATAAATATACAAAATTAAATGTTTTTATCAGTGAGCGGTTCAGGATTTCACATGAATTATCGTTAAGAAGTTAGACTCCCAAAATTGCAAGGCCATAAAGTACAGGCTTACAGTATGCCTAAGCATCGACAATTAAACAGTCCAGAAGAGAAACCGATATCTCCTGATAGGTTTCTTAAGTACCTGAACAATAAAGTTCAATCTCAAGCAGGAGTTTACAGAAACCCTGGAGCTGTTCAGTCTTCTATGATTTTGATTGCAAAACAAATGAAGTTCTGTTCTGATCAGCATACTCACAGACAGAAAGAGAAATCAATAAAAATAATTGAGTAATCTAATGAATATAAATACAATTTGGGATTGGGAAACAATCACGAATTAGTACAAAGAATTATGGATACCAGAGGTGATTGGTAGTAAACTAAGGATAACTCATCCATGTTTGTTAATTTTAGATGGTAATAATGGCATAGAGGTTACAAATATGATAGGTTGATCTTGAATAATTAATACAAATAAATGGTTAATCATTTTGAAAATCATCCAGAACTCAGCAACAAATAATATCTGTTCAGAAATCTCTGTTCATATTGTGAAGTATCAATTTATTATTAAGAACTTCTTAGCAAAACAAATTAAATGTATATGATTCAGTCCCATTAACATTTGTCTTAGATTTCAAAGATGACTCTGTTGACCAGCAATTCACTTAATTTGTTAAGTTCTTTGACAAGTATGCTCCCAAGAAAATTGATCAAATGGCCAAAAAATTGGTAGAATACAAGAAGAAATTAAAAGTATAATTACTATAATAAGTCAGATTCCAGTCTAACCAATGAATGATAAGAAAATATAACCAATACCCAATAAAATACCAAAGACTTAGAATGGCAATCAATATTTATGGTTATTGAAACCCACATTTTTAAATAGAGGACAAGGAATTCATGTTGTTAATGATTTGGATACTATCATATCACTTATATGTGAATATCAGGAAGGACATCAAACTATAGAAGATGACGATGTAAAGAATAACAAAAAGAATAATAATATCAAAGCTAATTCCTTTGTAATCTAGAAGTACATTGAATAACCATTTCTCATCAATCAAAGGAAGTTTGACATAAGAGTCTGGGTATTAGTTACCCAGGATCTTCATTGTTATTTTTTTAAAGAAGGCTACATACGCACATCTTGTGAAAATTATACAACTGATGATGTGAGTAATTAATTTATTCATCTCACAAACAATGCCATTTAAAAGTACTCAGACAAATATGGAGAGTTTGAAGATGGTAATCAACTGTCATTCGATGATTTTTAAAATTATCTGAATCAATAAGGATTTAATATTGATTTTTAATAAAATAATGTAGCAAAGATGAAATAGCTAGTATGGATGTCAATGCAATCCGTAAAAAGAAAGTTGAATCTTCATTAAAGAAAATTCTGTATGGAAATTTTTGGATATGATTTCATTATAGATCAAGATTTTAAGACATGGTTGATAGAAATTAATACAAACCCTTGCATAGAGGAATCAAGTGGAATTTTAAAAATGTTACTACCAAGAATGTTGGGTAATCATTTATATAATACGTGTAGATGATGCTTTTAAATTAACAATTGATGTCATATTTCCACCTAAATAGAAATTAGAGATAAATGAATCAGTATTCCCAGTCAATAAATACTCTAATACGGAATCATTATGGTATTTGTCACATTTATAAAAAAGGGAATCAATTGGGAATCTAGACTCCCCTAAACCTGCAGCCAAACAGAGTGCCATCGTTTTACCAAATTAGTTATCTTAACAAACTCAGCAATATCAGACAATCATACCAATATACTAAGGAGATCTATGAATTATCAATTTATTTATTTCTGGATCTTATATTAGAAAATTATATGATAAGCACTTAATAAAAATCTATTTATAAAATTAATTAGCATAAGATGGGATAGATCTGTAAATTGCCTTCAGTAACTGAGTCAATTTAATATGAGGATTCAAACGATAAAGGACCTCAAACTTAAGATTAATAACAATAGGAGTAAATTTTGAATAGCAATCAGTTGAATACAGTACCAAATTAATATTCATTATAACTATCATGTAATTAGGAATTTGGGATTCCTCAATTTGGATAAAAGATGCATTCTCTTCAAGATAGTTGTTTCACACCTGAGTTCTTGGGAATCAGTTAACCATTTTAATAATAAGTGAATATATATTAATAATAATTTTGAACTATCGAATTTTTCCAAAAAAGATGAAGGTAACAAAAATGTTATGAATTAAGGAAAGTAACGTCAATCATCTGTGCATACTGAATAATAGAACAGAAAATCCTACAGAAGATCTGTATCAGCTGTTTAATCTGGAAGGAAGATCTCACATAGTGCTATCACTTTGAGGGATAATCAAATTCAAATCAGCATTATCAACAACATCTCACAATGCCTAGCAAAAAAAGTACCTTTTCTAATATAAACTTTAGAAAATTTACGTTGAAATTTATTCAGGTCCCTAATAAAATGATCGAAATCAATCAGATTGTGAGGATGAGATTCTTTATGCTCTAGGTGCCACCATAGTAAAAAAATTAAGTAAACATACTCACTATCTGATTTGGCAATGTAAAATCCTATTGAAAATTTAGATGGTTTATTGAGTACATTGGAGAAAGCTAAGGAATGGAATATCAAGATAGTCAATCCTATGTGGGTCAATGAGTAAATCTTAAAGTTATTTTAGATGCCTTACCAAAAAGAGGGAAGTCGATGCTTCAAATTTCCCTATAATTCAATTAACCCCCCAAGAGATTCAAGAATTACTTAAGAAAGATGTATTTTATGTATTTATATAGAGAGTTCATATAAAGAAAGGAAAACAATCAAATCAATAAATCTAAGAAGAGGAAGAAGAAACTAATGAATTTAAAACTAGACACATTTTTAGTTAATTCAAGGATCAATTACAACAAATAGCTAAAAACACCAATAAATCTTATGTGTCCATTTCTCATTTTAAAAAATCGTCCAAAGATATACATGACAAAGATAAATAAGAACTAATACATGAAGAATTGGAAACAGAATAATTAGAAGTATCATAAAAAATGAATTCTCAAATGTTATCCAAAAAGAGTTCCAAAAATAAAAAATCAAAAACATAATAAATTGACTCAAAATTCAACTTGGTTTTACATAAATCATGTGATTATAACATATTGAATTTATTTGAATAAATAAATTTGAAGTAAATTTAAATTATAATAAAGAGATTAGTATCAGTTAGTTATAGATGAAGATATGAAAATCAAGTGCGATATACTTGTTATCAATGAAGATAAACTAGTTTATGATTTGGTTTTTTGTTGTTGTTGCTTGAATAAGTAGACTAAAATTATTTCTTAAAAATGGATTATCAAATAGCAACAGAATCAGAAAAAAGAGATATCTTTTACTCATTATCTTTTGACTTACAATATGTAAAAGAGTACTAATAACATTATTACAATAGAAATATTGTTCCCTTATAACTTTTACGTTTATTTCTCAAAACCAAAGACTTCCTAATAAAAGAATATTAATCAAACTCTGAAGTAAGGATTAGAATAATTGATCTAAAACTTTGGTGGAAAGGTATAAATATTTAATTAAACTAGATAACTTCAAAAGAATTTTGTGATATAATGATAGTAATGAAGATCATGTTAAAGTCCACTGCATTAACAATACTCAGTTCAAACCCTAATATAAAAATTATTCATGCAGAATGGTTATACAAGTCTATTTAACAAGGTAGTTTGATTGACTTAAATGAATATATCATCTAATATTGATTTTGCATTAACAATAATTTATTAATATAACTATAATGTTTATAAGAAATACACTATTTTAGTTCAATCTTTTATAATATATATTTATATTTCAGAAGAAATAGAAAGAATATCCTTCAATTCAGTATTGATTATCTTAATCTTTCCTATGCTTTAACAGAACCATTAAGAAGTTAATATTTATTTTATTTAAATTTACAAGCATAAATAGTTAACATTCATTGTACCTAATTTTGTTGAATTTGTGGCTCATATTCAAGAAGCATTAAATTTAATTCATTTTTAAAATTCTAAATAAATGGATAAATTAATTCCTGTTATTTCTTAAAATACTTTTTTTAAATTTATTGGATAAATTCATAGAGCTCTTAAGTAACTTTTTTGTAGTTAATACAATTAAGTTCATTTTTATACACTTGCTAATCTAAATTCTTTATGGAATTAAAAATTGCTTTGTTGCTATTCACAATCTCAAGTTCTTAAGCCAGTTCTTCAAGAAGAAATTGATTTTTTTCTATCTATTCTTCAACCATCTTCAATCTCTATTATTCCTTAGCTAAGTATTCTTTACAACTTTATAAATTACAATATAAGTACATTTCAATACGCTCTTATATAGAGTCCATTCTATTGTTTCTTTATGTCTTACTTAATCGAGATGATATTATTTCTTCATTTATTGATTTAAATTCTGATCTCTAAGTTTGTTAAGTTTGTGATTTAAGTCCCAAATAACAATTCCGTTAAGCAATGTTGCATCTTTTGTTAAACCTTTCTGATAGTGGGATATCATTAAATTAGTTGTAATTGATATCAGAAATTTTCGTGTTGTTGCTAAATGTCTTAAGGATTATTTTTTTATGATCCTTCACAACAATATTATTTTTATGAAGGATAGAGAAAGAGTGATATTATTTTTTATTTTTCTTATTGGATGTCAAAATTTTATTCTCATTATTAGGTTGATCTTTTTCAAAATACTCCTTTACATGTCTTTCAATTTCTTTCTTAATATGATAAATTATGCAATAATACATCTAGTAAATTAATAAAAACTTTGTCGTCTGTAAAGGCAGCAATATGAACTTTTTACATTTTAAAATTATATTATGAAGGTATTTAATAATAATCATTTAATTTTAATATAATTGTAAAAGTATTATACCAAAATAATATTTCCCAATTCATGAAGAACTCAATATTATATATAAATGCATTAATAAAAATAAGTCAATATTTGATAATTTTTATCTCCAAAAATTATAATTCTACTCACATCATCAGACCCTTATTTAATAGCCTTCAAATATCTTTACTGATTCCAATATATAATTTAATTCTTCAAATAGACAATTATTGAAATATCTCTTTATTACATATATCTATAATTTGGTTAAGCCACTTAATTTGGTATATTTAAATTAGTGCAAAAGATTTTATCGATTCCATGTTGGAACTTTAGTTAATTTTCACCGAATTTATTTAAACAAAGACATTATATTTGTTTTAAGCCATTCAAAAATATAAATATTTTTTGGCCAATTTTTGAGGCTACCTAATGATAGTTAATCTTTTTAAAGTTTAAGCTTTCGTTTTATCAAGATAACTTATACAAAGCCAAAATATAAAATTTTGCAAGATAGAATCTTTGCCAAAAAATCATTTCATGTGCCTAATTTTATCCAAATGTCTTTATCATCCTTTATGTGTTTTTTATAATTAATTCTAATTGTTTATGACAACTGTGGTTTATTTCTGAAGCTTAATCAATTGCTATTCGAAATTTCGGTAAATTTAATTGCAATACAATTTTTATTATTAATTTAATGAAAATAAAATATATCTGAATGTCTAAAGAAACTCAAAAATTTATAAGAGATTAAACTCATTTTGTAATTTCTATTATGAAATAATATAGATGGAAAAATATAGAATTAGATGCAACTAAATAATTAAATAGAACCTTGTCTAATTTGAAAATTTAAACAAAATAGATATTAAATTTCAGAGGTACTTTTTAAAAATATCTATCATTAGTTCTTCATCATAATAATAGACTGCATAAATGAAAATGTAGATTAGAAGCTTTATTGAATCAAATTGAATGCCTCAAAAAAGAAAATTACTATTCTATGTAGAAGGGATATTAGTGAGTCTTGAATAATTAATATTAAAATGCACTTTATGGGACATTATTTTAAAATTATGATGATTATAATTTATATTTTATACTTTTAATGGCTGACCAAAACATTCCAATTTATAGAAGAGGAGTTGAAGAAGTAGTCAAAAAGTCTGTAGATGAATATGGAAAATAGAAATGGGACATTGAACATAAAATCTTCGATAAAGTAAGTTTAACATAATTAATTAGTAAGAACGTGAAGATGAAGAATACGATAAGAATAATCCCAGATATACAAAATCGTTATAGGCTCGTACTGATTCTGTGGGAATTGATGAATCAATTGGGAAAAAAAGAAATGTAGTCAAAGAGGGATTGAAGAAAGATCAAAGTGGATTCTATTGTGAATTGTGCGATGAATTAGCTACTGATAGTTTATCATGGTTAGATCATTTGAATTCTATAATGCATAATCGATTGCTTGGAATGAATATGAAAGTTGATAAAGTGACTGCACTTGATGTTAAGGAAAAATTGCAATAAATTAAAGAATCAACTACTAAGAGTTAAGTTTAAGCTTAAGAAAAACCAAAATCAATTGAAGAAATAAGAAGGCAATTGGAAGAATAATTGTAAAAGAAGAAAGAAAAAAAGTTAAAGAAATAAACAAGCAAATTGTAGAGTGCCATTACAAAGAACAATGAATAAGAAATAGATGAAGATGATTTAAAATTAAAGCAATTTTTAAAAAAATGAATGCAATCATTATAATATATCTTATTATTCATTCATCAAATTTATCAGCCTATAACTTTTCCATATTATCTTTTACATGCTCTGCGCAAGTATCTAAATATTATAATTGGTATTACATAAACAATCTTCAAAATTCTTTAATCTTCTACCTCTTAGCAAACTTTCAAATAATTGACATCGTTTGCCACAAATCACAGCGTAATCAGTCACTGATTTATATTCACTTGGAATATTCATTAAAACTTAATAATAATAATAAAATTAATATAAAATATTATAATAAAGAACAATTATTAGTAATAAACACTCAAATTAATTCTCTTTCATCTTAAAGTTTATGGAAATGAAAAACAGTATATGCAATAAGAATCTTATTATATTCAGAGATTTTATTAGAATATTTATATATAATTGTTTCATAGTTATAATCAAAAAGGCCTTTCCAATTTATTAAATAATAAATATGGACATAATATTGAATGATTTCTTTACTGTTATTTGATGATGTATAATACTTCTTTGACTTTCAATAACCGTTTAAGTTGGCAAATATCTCTTAATATGGACTATAGATGACTACAATTGAATAGGTAGAATGATGATGAGTGAAAATTTGTAAAAATTGACATCATCAAACAAAGTTCCTAAAATAATTGATCATTTATTTTCATAATATATGCTAAGTTGCATTTATTATGAATTAACATATAAATTATTTATATTGATTAATTATTTATTTATTTTCTATAAATGATTTATCTAATCTAAATTTTCCTATTGATGTTAATATTATGAATGGGTTTTAACTAATTCTTATTAATTTTATATGAATTTAAATAATGATGCATTAAAGTCTTAGGATTATGCTAAATCTCTCGATGAGATCAAAGAATCATATTTAAATACAAGTAAGGTTCTGGATCTCCATTATATTGATCAATCTAATGATTCAAATAACTTTGCTTCGTTCTATGCATTAAATCGGCTTAGTAATCGTATAGAAAGTACATTTATACTAAATTATAAGATAGGGCCTCGTATATGCAAAACTCTAAATCTGTGAGGCTGATGAAAAATTACAAAAACCACAAAATTATAAGAACTGTTTTTTTTTACATATATTTAATAATTACAGTCTTTTAGCGTCCGACTTGGTGCAATTTTGTTGACTATTAAGTAAAAGCTATGATATTTTAGGAATACTGCAGCATATATAATGGATAAAGGATTCCAAAAATAGTAGATTTTTATCTTCCCGTAAACTTATATTATTGCATTGAAATAATGATCGTTTTATATCTTTGTTTGAGCAAAGTATTGTAAGAGATTATATTTAGGTGTTCAAAGCCACAATAATCTAGTCACGACATCGCAAAAGAATCGCAATGGTTTAATTCATGATTATGTTGTTGATCATTTTTAATGACATCACAGTAATGATACTAGAAAATAACTTTCCCTTCAATATCAGTTTATTAATGAAATCAATATTTATAATACTTTAAAAGTATCTAATAATCACTATAGAGATAGATAAACATTACGTTCCACGATATTTCATTATTGTTAAATACTTAACAAAGGAAAAGAGATCTATTATTTGATGATATTTTCTCTAATATTTTTTACTGGGTTAGGATCAGCCATATTTAAGAATAAGAATACCCCTCAAATTGAAAGCAGTATATGTTAATTAGATTAGCCTCCCTTTTCATAACCAGAAAAATGCATTGTAATTATTCTATTTGTACTTCAAACAACAGTTAATTAGCCTGATATCTATTTACCATATTATGGTTAGTCTAGGGCTAATGTGGCATATTTTATCATATTTTAATTCATAAACACTACATTGATCATAAATTTAGTGTTGGCCTTCTTTTATTCATCTTACAAAGATCTGATGCAAAAAGAAACAAAGTAAATTTTATCCAAGTACAATCACAGATTTAGTCTTTAAACATAGAAATTTTTTCGAAAGAGAACAGAGTCTGATATCACAAGATTAGCAGACATTTCATAATATGACAATGTAATATCCAGATCGATATACAAAATTTTAGATAATAAATTTTATGAAATTTTTATTGAAATCATTTCCTTAATTTCATTTGTGGTGATATTTTTCAAAATTACTAACGTCAAATTATATATACTTTTGGTTTGCAATTCAATAATGTTTGCGGAATGCCTCTTACTATTATGTTATGTAGGTAAAAGTAGGATTTGGAAGAAGAAATCGTTAATTGTTGAATTTCTATTTTCAATTTCAATTCTTCTGTTAATTATATTAAACATACTTGGATATAATTAATTCAGAGCGTTACTGATTTTATTATGTTATAGATTATTGAGAGGATGTAAATGGATTTTAAAGAGTAATAGTTTTACCAATTTAATAATTTCAATAACATCGATCTTTTAGTATATAGTGTAATTGTTTGGAACTTTATTTATCCTATTTATGCTATATACAGCCCTTGGACAATTACTTTTTGGAGGAAAAGTCCTATATTCTGATGAGGATGAAGTTCATTATGAATTAGCAAACTTTAACGATTTTTTATCTGGAATGTGCACATGTTGGTTTTTATTGATTATTAATAATTGGAATGTAATTTCTTATAATTATGCCAAAATATTTAATACTGATTTAGTTTACATATTTTTTATTAGTTTTTATATAGTTGTTGTATTATTTACTCTTAATGTTACTATGGCATTATTGATTGAATACATAGTTTCAAAGATACACCCTAAAAAATAGACAGATGTGTCACAATCAGAACCTTAGGATGAGTTGGTTTAGAATTATTAAATACAGAAATGAAGGGTTTATTAATTTAGTTTTATTTGTCAAATTAATATTATCTAAATTGAAACAAATTGTAATTCATGGTGTTTAGAAGTTTATTTGAGTTTCTTTTTGGATTTAAAATTTCTATAATGTTTTAATGAAATAAATTCGAAAATTCTAGAAGTTAATTTTGTTATATAATAAATATTAATTTGAAGCTTTAAGCAAAATTAGAAAAAAATTAATGATTGGCAATCACTATGATATCCTAGGTGTTAAGAGAGATGCAAAGTAGCCGCAAATAAAGAAAGCATATCATAAATTGGCCTTGAGATGGCATCCTGTATTCTATTTAACTAAATTTAGGATAAAAACAGAGAATAACGAGCATTTGCATTAGATCAATTTCATCGAATAAATGAGGCTTACCACACATTGTCAAAATTAGATTTGAAAATACTCTATGATCATTAATTGTCTCAATATGAATCGATCGAGTCAATCAAAAGTCTGATAAACTTGTTGAAACAGAATGATTCAAATGATTAAAATAATGATTTTGATTATTCCTACGATAATTTTTTATCTGAAGAAGAACAAGAACTTCTACGATAATTTAAATAAAGAATCAACGAACCTGGCATTTAAAAAAAAATCAGAAAATCTCACTGATGACTCTGAATAATTCATATATTTGTTAATGCTCTTTTATACAATTTTGTAATTATTTTACATACACAAATTAACTTAATTATATTATATGAGACCACTTCTTTTCTAAAAATAATCAATTGAATATATATTTAATAAAATTGATAATCAATAATGGATTCCAAAGATGTCATTTTTATAATAGAAAAATCACAGGACTTCTCAATTTTTAATGGTAAAAATAGCAGTTCTTCCATAATACCCAATTAAAAAGATTAGGTAATATAACATATCATCTTTGATGTAATTAGGAATTAATGAATACAATTTCCTTTTTATAATCTGAATTAAATGAGACAAAAGCTAACTATCAGTAACTTTTCAAAGACTTTTAACTATACTGTATTAATACACTTATATAAAAGAGTAAAAGTCTGAAGAATTGCTTTAAAAATAATCCCAATATCTCTTAAAAGATTAATAGTTATAAAGCGATTAGAAAGATTAAATTAAATCCCTGCAAAACTAAATTGATTAACTTATTTAAAGAAAAAAGGAAACATCAGAAATAAATAATGAAAATGTCTAATTTTTGGAGTAATTACAGAATTAATAATAATAAATAGAAAAACTTTAAGAAGAAAGAGATTAATTACATGTATAAATGTATATTACTAAAATAGGATTTGAAGAAAAGTTAATAAGAGATAATAGAATAATAGAGGAGTAAATTTTAGGTTTAAGAGAGCCAAATTTAAGAATTAAAACAGTCAGTGTAGGATTTGTAAGGGGCATTGGAAAAAAGAAAGCAAGACTATGGTAATTTTCAATTCTAATTTAGATTTACTTGAGTTATAGATGAAAAGTGAGAAGGAATAGGAAATAAAATTTCATTTATAGAGTAAAACAAAATTAATCAATAGGTATTGCCAAAAGAATCATTGAATAATTGAATAAAATTAAAAACTAATATCAAACTTGGGAATAGCAAAAAATCTTAAGAAAAGAATTGGCCTAACATTTACTTGAAATTTTTAATTAAAATTTAAGGTAGCCTCTCAAGGCATGCGAATTAACATTTAGGCATGAATTTTAAGATAATATGATTAATGGTTTTGATGAGATTTAGAAAAAGAAAATTTAATGATAATTATTCATATTATAAAAATACCTACATACAAAAATGAATAAAATCAGGCAAGAGATAACTCCTTTTTAAAAGGAAATAATTCTATATTATTAAACAAGTAAGGTAATATTGATATCATCTTAGAGTTTGAAAACAATTAAGGATAGTAGTAAGCAATTATATGTTGTTTCCAAATAGTGGTTTCGCTAATGGTAATACTACGTTGAGTATATATAAGGGATTGCGCCAAACGAGAAGAGAGAGAAGGTATAAGATATTTCATGAATTAGCCTGGAGCATTGAATTGCGACTTGTGTAGTAAAGAGAATTTTCTATTAAAATACCCTAGAGATAATTCCTTCAATTAATAAATTATAAAATTATAGTCTGAAGATTTTATTTTGGTAGGATATTATAAATATTATCTCAGGTAAATAAACTAATGATTGATGTCTGGGGAACTGAATATGGTGTTGGGATGACTATACCAAGAAATGTATATTTCAATTAACAAGGTGTTCCTTCTTTAAATGTAAATTTATTAAGAGTAACACTAATAATTAAATTAGTAATCTGTATATATTAATGTACTAAACCCACAAAGAGGAGTTCTATAGGTAGATTAAGATTGCATTATAAAATAATGGATATAACTATTGTGCTTGGCAATTAAAAATGAATTTTAAGTCAATGTTGAATAGATTAGATTATGGAAACATAAGCATTTTTAAGCTGATTATGCTATTAAATAGTTGGAGAAGCATTAGGGACATTTCAATGGAGAAATTTTAAATGAAAATCTTACTATTGGATCTTATAATGCAGATTTAATAATTATTGATATCTAAATAGATGGAAAATGGCAATATGATTAATTGGATATCAAAGTATTATTCATGAAAATTTTAGATTTCTTGTTCTGAGGATTTTAGACACATTTACTAGAAAGCATCAAAAGGATGTGGTAAATTTATTTGTGATAGGAATTATTGCAAAAGTAATCCGATATTTTCCTAAATTGAATTTGATAGGAAAACTCTATAATACTATTTAATTGAATAGTTTAAGTAGGATTACTTAGATTGGACAACTGTATGTTGGAATTAGATTAATGAATTAAAACCTATTCAATAATTACAGGATAATGATAATATAGTTGTTGCTTTAACTGAGTTGTCCATTTTTCCAAATAGTTTTGGAGCATCTTTTATTCTAAATTTTAATAATTGCTATGATGTTATTAATTATAAAAATTCAAATCCTGAATTGAATTTATCAGCTATTTAATTGGTGAATGATGTATTAGATGCAAAAACTCTTAAACTATGGATGGAAAATTTGGTTTCAAATTACAAATAAAGTATATATTTTGTAAGAGCTATTATTATTATTATGCATTTTAAATGCTTCAATAATTTATTATATTAAGAAGGGAATAGAATTATAGAAGTGTTTCTAATTTTAAGTAAAGAAGATAAGGATCTTTTATCAAATTATCTTAAAATATTGCCTGATGAATATTTCATCAGATATACTTCAACAATTATTGAAATTATGGGAAATTACTTAAAATAACAATCAAAGAAACATATACCATTATTAAAAAAAACAGAAATCCAATTTGTTAAACAAATGCTTGAACTCTTATAGGTATTTTATAATTCTAATAAAACTCTTAAACTATTAAATCTAACTAGATTTCAAATATCAGAAATTGCTACATTGTATCCAAAATATGGTAATTAGTTAGAATACATTTAATTCGATAGTTATAGTATATAAAACTTAGAAAGATATTATTTTACTTTTTGTCAATATCCATGGGTGATACCTCTGGAATTCAAAAGTGAAATTCTAGCCATCGATTCTAAAATGAATTAAAAGAGCTAATTTCAAAATTCATTTATGTTTTATTAACCATTTTTATAATTGATGATTGATCGTAATGATGTTGTTACTAGTGCTTTAGTATCCCTATCAAGAAAGGATATTAACTTAAAGGCTTAACTTTAAATTGTATTTTAAGGAGAACAAGGTATCGACTAAGGAGGGTTAGCAAGAGAATTCTTCTCTTTATTGACATAAAAGTTATTTGATATAAATTTTGGAATGTTTGTTCCCAAAAATAATAACTCAATATTATGGTTTAATAAAAATAATATGGAAATGCCATTTAAATATGAGTTGATTGGCATGATTCTAGGATTAGCATTATATAATTAAGGTATAAATCAAATAAATTAGTGTGTTTGGATCTCTAATTTCCAGAAGTCATTTTTAAAAAATTGATGAATGAGCCCACTTGTCTTGAAGATTTAAAAGAATTAGATCTCGAAGTTTATAAAGGACTCAATGCTCTTGCTTAATATGAATAAGATAATATCGAGGATGTATTTGCTTTGAATTTTACTATTACTGAAACAATACGGGATGACATTATTAATGTGGAATTACTTGTATAATTTATTATACTTATATTTAGCCTAATGGAACTGAAATAATGGTAACACAATAAAATAAGCATGAATATATAAGATTATGCACTAACTATTATTTAAATCTGTAAATTGAAACAACATTTAATTCTTTTAAATAAGGATTTTGGAGAGTGGTGGAGGGAAATGGAATTAAATTATTTTCAGGCTCCGAATTACAATAATTAATTGTTGGATAAAAAAACTTGAATCTTAAGGAATTAGAGGATTCAACAGAGTATGATGGGTTCGATTACAATTCTGAATACATAAAGTTAGCTTTATTGTTTATACCTTAGATAATTTTGGACATTTTTAAGAACACTAAATGAAGAATAATAAAAAAGATTTTTGTTTTTTTGCACTGGTTCTGATAGAATTCCTGTAGGTGGTTTAAAATCATTAAAATTCTTAATTTAAAAACATGGAGAAGGTAAAGTTGATTTATATTACTTAAGATTCGGAATAATTGCCATCAGCTCATACCTGTTTTAATGTATTATTACTGCCATAGTATGATTCAATTGATAAAATGATAATGAAACTGCAAATAGCATTATAAAATTGTGAAGGATTTGGATTGATGTGATGTCTTCAAGGAAAAAATAAAATTAATATATATCATATTTTATATATCAATCTAATTTTTAAATAGAAGCTCTATATTTTTAAGTTGTTATCTAAAAGTCTCGGATAAAATTAATCTTCTTGTATATTTTTTAAGCAATTTTAGAATCTAAAGTATCAAATTTCAATTCTTTGAAGTCATCTAATAAATAAATTATTAAAATACTCTCTTATCTAAAAGTAATGTATAAAAATTAATGAGCAATCCGAATATCAACAATATCTTCTATTAATCTCTATGGGAACTTTGTACCTGAGTTTTTATTGTTTAAAATCCTCTCAAACAATCCTAAGATTAGTCTTAGATGAGAAGATACCTAAATTTTCCTTTTTGTTCATATTATAAATTCTGAATTGGTCAATTCCTAATATTCTATCCTATCTTTTTCCTCTTTCATTGATTTTAACCACTGTAAACTTTTCATATTTAAATGCTTGGATATGATTTAAGGGAGCATCAACATAATCATCATGTTCTGTAATAGTATCTCTTCTTTAACTATTAACGAATTATTGTTCTGCCTAATCTGCCCAAGTCTTTTATTTTATTTAAACTTTTTTATTCTATAATTGAGCTACTGGCATTCTTAAATCTAGATCTAAAAGAGTGTCATCATCATTTAATTGAATAATATAATCTATTTGATTGATCTATTAGTTAGTTAATGAGATTTTACTTATTTATTCTTTTTATTAATCTAAGTGAATATATCTTGAACAATAGAATTTTTATCTAATTAAATTTTTGTAGTGACATTCTTTTCAGGTTTCTAGTCAATAATCAAGACATCAACAAGGATCATATTTGGATTAACTTTTTCTAAGATCTGCATATCATTAGTTTGTGATTTGTAGTTACTTATTTCAATAAGAGAGAAAACATTCGTCTAAGTTGAGAGGATTTCTTTTTTTTTATCAATAGCACCAAACGCCATTTCTGCTTTGAATTCATAGTCATCATCAACAAATCTTATTTCGTAAGCATCAACATTATCAGGATATCTCAATAATCTCTAATCGTAATTGTTATTTTTATAATATTCAGTTATGCTTATTCTAATAACTTATAGGACTGTAGTACTTTTGGTAACATTGAGTTGAATGTGTTATTGAGTGTTAAAAAAGTAAATCTTAATAGGCTTTCCCTGTGATTGCAATAACATGCTGGTTCCTTTAGTATTTTTAATGGCTGCACCCAGCATTGATTTGCGTTCTTTTGCTCCGTCCAATAATTACAAGACTTCTTCAGGAACTTTGTTGTACTCTGTCATGTCTACAGTAGTTTAGCTTTTCTAGACAGGGATTTGGATTTGGATTTGAGGATCAACTCATTATTATTTACGTTTTGGAGGAGTGGATCTCCTTTCAATTGAATCTTAACTGTCGAGACTATCATGTTCACTGCTCACACTTTCTTTCATTTTAGCAGATTGAACATTCTGTTTTAATAATTTAAGCATTTCATCTTCATTTAGATTAGGTTCGAATTCTTCTAATTTTATGTCAGGAAGTGTTTCTGATTCATAGACATGTTTCTCAGGGGGAGTGTATTGATCATTGAAATCCTGGGATAGCTCAGATAAATACATCTTCGATGAGACCAACTTGAATACTTTTGCTGTAAGCTATCAATTTTTCGATGTCTTGGCGATTGCTGATTTCCATTAATATTAATATATCCAAGGAGTATAAATAATTAATGTATAAATGTGAGTTTGAACTTAGGATTAGGAGATGGAGTTCTTCGTTTGTAATATAATAGAAAATAATAATCATATGATCTACAAAAAGGGAATGTTTAGTATGGGTATATAATTAAATATCAATAAATATAAATTACTAAAGGAGTAATGATTGTCCAATCCTACAACTTTTCGCTTAAATATGATATCATAATGGCCACATCAGGTAAGCTAATTGGAGACTCGACTTCGTTGATTGGATATACTTCTATAGGAAGCATTTTACTATTTCAGAATAATACATCAAATTTCTTAAATGTGAAAAGAGAATTCAAATCATTGGGTGTGATCAACCAATGTCTCGTGATGGCAAGTGAGAACACGTTGACAGTTCATGATGTTGAGAACAATTTTGATCAATGCTTTATTGAAGTGCAAGATGGGATAAATACCTTGGCAATTGGGTAATATTATAATGGCGATTCTCTTTAAGAGTTAATATTCGTGGGAGGTAATTGCAGTCTATAAGGATTCAATGTATAGGGCGAGGAGATTTATTGGAATGTGGCAAGTGATGAGGTTGCTGCATTATGTGTTTTCGGTTTCGATAATGAGAATTATATTGTTATTGGCACAACAGATAATTGTGTTAGACTCTTAAGAGGAGTGGACATAGTATTCCAATTTAATACTCAATCTTTACCAGTTTCTTTTGCTGGAATTATCTATTTCGATCAAACTTATCTTCTGACTGGTATGGAAAATGGATCTATTAAATTACATCGATAATAATTGGAATTGTGGCACAACAGTGAAGATTAAGAAAAGATATTCAAACTCATTTGCAATGATGAAAATCATTTCATTGTGGGGAGAAGAAATGGATAGATTGAATTAAGGTCTTTGATGACTGGTTAATTGATTTAAAAGTTAAATTTGGATGAATAATTGAGTGGAATGCTTTATTCTGATCTAAGAGGTGTTGGAGTTAATCAAATTATTGCAATATCCAAATAAGGCAATGTCAGAGGATACACCGTTGTAGATAAGGATGCAGACAATCTGAATCTATCTTAAAGTAGAATTCTCACTGAGTTAACCTAAAAAAAACAAGAATTGATGTAATAAATGTAATTAGATAAAATGCCTGTTGGGTTAGATCTAAGATGTGGATTTTAGAAAAATTACACTAATTAATGTTTAAATTTAGTATTCATCCTATCAGAACCTGGATATTATATCACTTAGGCTATCATATTTCATGACACATATTATAAGGAAGGATACATAGTTAATAATCCTCAACCTTCAGATAAATTATTTGCACCTCTGAAATAATTGGTTGATAATTAGAAGGTTATTTTAAACTGTAAAGTGTTTGTTTCATCAAATCCTCATGGAAATTACTTTTTGATTTTGGAAACATCTCCCACCTTTCCTAAGTTTGCTAATTTCTAATATGTTGAGTAAGATCTTAAGATATCATCATTTGTTGAAGCCAAAATTAATGAAAGAGTTCCCAGATATGTTAAATGGATAGACTAGTGTTTCAATATCAATGAGGAAGTCAAGAAAAAATTCGAATCTACAAATGAGTTCATATTCAACACTATTAATATTATTAATCAATAAAAATTACAGATTCACGTAAATTTAGATTATCAATATAATAGTTTGATTCTAAGGAAGGAAAGGTAACTATCCGTTGTGATTCCATTGCCACTTGTGGTGACATCATTCAAGATCTTTGTGACTTCATCCAAATCCAAGATTTAATGACAGTCGGATAGTTCCCTGTTGAAATGCAAGAGTTCAAAAAGGTACTTGAGGCTGTCCAATAACATAAATCTTCCAAATTATAAATTTCAGGTGATGTTGCTGAAGCCATGAATCTTGTTAAATCTTATATTGTTAAAGCTGAGGATTCTAGAATGATTGGCGATATTAGGACTATGCAAAAAATGTATGCTAATGTGATGGTTCAGAATAAAGCCATTTAGAGTGAACTCTATAAAAAGAAATAAAATAATGATATCTTAATGAACAACTTAAAAGAAGTTAATGCCATGATCAGCAACGCCAGTTAATTGAGAGTTGGAAATGCTAAAATTGCCATCACCAATATGTGTAGAAATGCTGTTAAAAAGAATAATCTATTGACACTTATTGAAGTTATTTAATAAGGAAGAGAAATTTGATTTGTCATATTTTATATCATATTATGAAAACCTTTAAGCTGTTAGACTATAAATCAAATATCATTTATAAATAATCATTTACTCATTCACTTACTATCTAAAATTACCTTTATAACTTTTCTCTTCTCACACATCTATATATTACAAATAATTGCGAAATAAATGTAATCATAATTAAAATTAATGTAATTCTGATAAAATGTGAAATTTCTTCCCTATTCTACTTAATAATCCAGAATTCATCAATGCTTTAATTATTCTTAGATAGTTTGTGCTAGTAAAAGAGATGAGTTTCATTATGAATTATCAATTCTCCAAAACCTATCTCTTTAGATTAATATACAATTTCCTCTGAATTCATGTAGACATTCTCCCAATTCATATCATTCCCACTTATTCCTTCAATCACTTGAATAAATGAGTTGAGATTGCTTTGCATATATCTTTAATAAATATTGGCATATGAGGACAATACTAGATCCACTTGATACTTGTTGAATATGTTGATATACTCTTATAATTTGTTAGTGAATAACTGGCATTAAGAAATTCCAAAACATTACAAGGGATAATGGGTAAATACTATAATCCAAGGCTTTTGATTTCTTCTTAAGTCTTCATCAAGTAGATCGAGTATTTTCTATCCTTAAATATCCATAACTATCTATTAGAAGGGATTGAACTAAATGAAATGAGCAAACCCAACATCAAAACTATAATATTCAAGTAAATCAAGTTTGTAATCTGAAATAATAGGCATTTTAAACTATTACTTTATAAAAACAAACTTTTTTGATTGTCCTGCATCATAATTCCCTGGGGCAATCATAAAAGGGTAATGAGAAGCAAATGTCGAAATGTTCTTTAGAAAATAATCACCCTGCAAACAATTCTCATCCTCTAAATTAAAACCCATACTTCCTAAATAAATAATTCCATCGAACTATTCATAGATTTTAGCAGAATTTTCTAGGAACTCAAATGTATGTTGAGAATTATTTAGTTTCCACTGTGAATCCATGTTACCTAGCACAATGAATCTACTTGGATTCTAGAATCCTGCTTACTATATCATAAATGGACCATATATAGATTTGCCTTCCTGGACATAATAATTGCTTTGATTATTTTATTGTAAATATTTGGTCCCAATTTAGAAGGTGTGAGAGAAGGAATGATAAGTATTGCAAAATGACATCCCATTTGTTTAGATTACATTGGTTTCATATTCATAAAATGTATAATTATCCAAAAGAACAATGAACGCAGATTTACAAGGACCCTATTTTTCTAAGTAATATGTCCTACCTCGGAATTGAATGTTATTCTAAGGACGTCTGATTAGTAATTTAAAATTGAATAATAATGTCCCAAAGACTATCGGAAACCATAAGGATTGCAGATTCTTCCTTCAATTTCTTAGAATTATATAAGAATATTTAATAAAATAATCATTACATAAAAATTCAACTGACTACCATAGTTATTGTCTCATCCAATAGTTTCTTCTTACTTTTCTTTCCTTAATTTGACTTATAATAGATAGAAACACCAGTAAGGACCAGCAAAACAGAAAAGATTACCCACATAACAATCTCAAAACCATCATGATTTGAGGTATTAGTAGTATCAATAGAACGATCCAACCATATAGCATCTATAACTTTGTTATCTGAAACTGTTATATGCTCATAATATAAATGTGTAGAGTTTTTAACTGTAATTATTCCTATTCCATGATTTGGATTTTGAATCTCCATAAATGCTGCTTCTGGAAACGTTTCATTTTATTTCCCAAAATCTGTACCTGCAACTCCTTCAATTATCGATACAGGATATTAGTATTCCGAGATGATATTATCTTGTTATTTGTACTTTGCAATATTATTCTTATAATATGGTTTGTTTCTTTAATAGGTATGTACATGACCACTCAAATACAAATCCACCTTGTATTTTACAAACAAATCTTCAAACTCTGATAAATATTTAAAATTGTTTAAGCACTGAACACTTTAGGGATTTGAACAATATATAGGATAATGAGTGTACACAATGATCCAAGGCACTTTGTCTCGATTGTAATTTGCATGAATTAAATCATTTCTCATTTGTTCTACTATGAGAGGAGTGACGTTATCAATATCATTTTGATAAACTATTTTTATTGGATTAAATTATATAAAATGGACCATTCCTACATCAAAACTAAAGAAATCATTAAGATAACTTTTGGTGTTATATTCTGTTAAAAATAAAGCGCCGAAATTAGCTCTGAAGAAATCATAAAACTTATTCTCTCCTGTATCGTGATTTCCAGGAGCTGCCATAAAGGGATATCTATTGGTAAATACCGAAAGATTTCTTAGCCAATTGTCTCCCTATTAGCAATTATTCGTTTCTAAATCATATGCCATATCTCCTGTAAATATGATTGAATCGTATCGCTTGTCAGAATTTACCTAATTTTCTAACCAATTAAATGTGTCTTTAGAATAGTTTTATACCCAATTTGAATCCATATCTCCAAACACTAAGAACTTTTATTCGTTTTATGCCAAAGGGATATCAAATTTATATGGACCAGATAATATTGAATTTTATTTAGAAACAATTGTGTAATTATAAGAGGTCGATACATTGATGTCTACGTTATTTAAGCCTATCTTAAATGTGTGAATAAATGTTTCATATTTATATTGAATAGTCTCACTCTTTTCATATATTTATGTCATGTTTAATAATTGAGTATCATAATATGTGATTTAGGATGCCATTACCTGATTTCCTTTTTTGTTATCCATCAACTCAAGAACAAACTAACCTTTGCATTCTTTCTAGAAATCATCAAAATATGTTATATACTTCAGTATTGAAAACTATTCGAATGACATCCTAAGAATTTCTCAAATAACTAAAGTAATGCCCTAAAAATAATCTAATTCCATAAGGCTAACATCCTTGTGATTGGGTCCCTCCCAAAAGAAGGATGAGAAGAATTAATATCATTTTAAATATTGATTTTGGTAAGATAAAAAAATATTAAAAAGCCATTATTCTTAATAATATGACTTTTATTTTATTATATAGATTTTGATTATATTCGATATCATAAATTAAAATTTAATGTCATATTTTTGAATATATTTTCGATACTCAAAATCATCTATTAAGTGATAGATAATTTAGGGTATACTTATTTTGCTTTAAGATAAAGTATCCCATTTGAGAATTGTGTAAAAACAACCTGTAAATAGTAAATGATTTAAAAATGTGAAAATAAACGATTAGAAATCATTCTTGAGATTGTTGAAAAATTAATTGCTCTTTTATTTCATCCTTAAAATCCATAGTTTATTCAACTCCAGCCACACCCATCATTTAACAGAACTCTTCAAAACTAATTTTATTATCATGATTTGGATCGATTTCATATATCATTTCTTCTATTTTCTCATCTGATAATTATCTTCCATGTCTGGCTAATGCTTCTTTGATATCTTCTTTCATAATAAAATTGGCATCTTGAGTATCAAAGTATTTGAACACAGACCACAACTAAGATATAACAAATAGACTACTTTTTCTCTGGTTAGAACTCTTCTTTCATCAATGCATGCAGCCAGAAAATCACTATATTTGATTACAAGTTGTTTGCTTGATTTAGTTGTAGATGCACAATCATTATCGTCTTTGTCCTCTTCCAAAACTTCAAATCCTACTATTTAGATCAATTATTCTATCTCTTCATGACTTATATGTGACCCCTAAATTTAGAGATTATTTATACTTCCTCCATTAATGCTTCCTTCAATTCCTAAACAGTGATAGTTCCTGAATTATCAACATCTATTTTCTAAAATACTTATTTTAACCTCCCCAATTCTTTTTCATTCATTTAATTTACTAACACCTTCATTACCTCCTTCTTAAATTTAGCACCTATTCTGTATGTTTTCAACATTTAATATATTGATCTCTGATCCTCAAATTAAGGTGATTTCATTGAAATTATAGTAGTCCTACCTCTTTACAATTTAACTGGATGTTAAAATTTTCTTCGAAACCAAGGGTGACGTAGACAATCCTTTGCACTTGGTCGAATATTCGGATTTTTATTCAACATCTTTTTAATCAAATCCTTAGCTTCATCACTAACATTATTCCAGTGTCTCCTATCGAAGATCAACTACCTTTAGACGATGAGATCATACATTTTGATACTAGATATTTTCATAAAGATCGGCTCTATTCTTGCCATAAAATGGTGGATAACCGCATAATAGATGAAAGAGTAAAATGCCAAGACTCCAAACATCGCACTTTTCATTATATTTTCCTTCAATTACTTCGGGTGCCAAATACAAAGGGGTACCTACAGCTGCTTTCAATTATCTAAGACATTATTAATTCTGAATACTTAAGATTGGTTGAATCAAATTTTATAGCCAATCCAAAATCGATTAATTTTGGCTCAGCATTTGGATCTTTCGTCGAAAATAAAATATTTTCAGGCTTAATATCCCTATGTATAATGCCCTATTCATGGATATACATAATCGCTGAGCAGATCTCTCTTAGTATTCAATAATTACTTTAAATATTATGTTCTGCACTTGACCTTCGCTAAGATTTTTTTGACTTTTTTATATCCGCTCCACCAATTCTCCTCCTTCACAATAATCCATTATGATGTAAAAGTAGAGTTCATTTTGATATACCTCATAAAATTTAATTATATTGGGATGATCTAACTTCTAAAGTACGTAGATCTCGTTTGCCAGCATTGCTTCTCTCCCTCTTACTTTCCTCTTATCGATCATTTTAATTGCATATTGTTTAGAATTGTTGTTTCTCATTTTGGCAACCAATACCTTACCAAAAGCACCAATCCCTAATACTTTACCAAACGAATAAAGTTTATGAATATCCGCAGTTGAAGTGAATACGAGATCCTTATTAGTCGTTTACATAGCCACTATCCTATTAAGTTTTTTTGGTTATAAACAACCCATAACTTTAATTTTATATATTAAATATCAATATACATTATTATTTCAGTATTAAATCTTTGTGGAAAATTAATAAATAATTTTCTTCTACAAGAGCGTTGTTGTCACGCAGAAACAAAGTTCTCTGGAAATATCAAAGATAAGTAATGTTCCAATTACTATTTTTACTATTTTAACTTTTCAAAATAAAACTTAATAAATTCTGTTATTCTTATAATAATAAAACACGAACATAGATAATATAATTAAAATGATAAAATACAAGTATGTAAACAATTTAGATAAAAGAGAAATGATGAATTATCGATATTTCTTTCAAGCTGATAATTTAACATTTAATTAATTTATTTCTATGGTTACTTATGCTTTGTTATTTCCTTTTTACATTTTAAACTACCATCATACTCTAAATTCTAACACAAACTAAACTTCCTAGTATCTAAATTATATCATAACTTAAGTTAGAGGTAGTAATAAAGAGATATTTGTGATTCCATTATAATATAATCTATCAGTGAAATTAAAAGTTGATTTATTGTAATAGAGCTCTAACAATAAATGAATACATTTGTGCATCTATCAATGATACTGTTTATGATATCCATATTCGTTTGACTCTACTCGAAAATGAAAACATTATGTTTACTATTTTAATAAGATTATAAATAACTAGTATATGCAGTTTAATCAAAAATATATACACGAAAAAAAAAGGAGAATCATTATTAAACGCAAATCCTAATTCATTTAAGATGATGAGACAATCAAATTGATTGACTGATATTCTTTTTAGCATGTGAGATGTAAATGGCTTAAACTGCGAGTAAAATAAATGTAAATAATGTAATCATTTATAAAATAATTAAATTAATTTTCTTTGTTATCTATTTTTAACAATAGGGTTGCTTTTCTGTAAGTATATGCTACTAATTATATCTGCCTGAGATCCGATTTTGCTTTATCCCAAAGTTTTGATTGATTACAGGTTTGATTAACTTGTTTACATACTCAGTTTTTTTGAATTGTTATTAACACTGTGAAGTGTATGAAATTTAATGGACGAATGAGATTTTGATTATGTCTTCTTCATTTGTTGTTGTTGTGGCATTTATTGTGGTATTTGTTAACGAATATCCCCATTTAGAATGGATTTAAGTTTTCTACTTAATTATTCACTCTATTTAATCAAGGGCTTTTGAAATAATTTAGTTGTCGATAAACTCGATTATTGAGTATATGATTTTATTTATTTAGGCATTTTAGTTTGTTGTGGTTACAATTTATTGAGGAGAGAAATCAAAGATGGTTGTTCTTCTTCTTGTTTACTCATTGTTAATTGCAACAATTGCGTAAATTGAATATCAACATTATTGCGATTTTAGGGTAACAATATTTTTAATTTATATTTGATTTAAGTGTAATGGTATTCTCTAAATAGTGAAAATGATACTTTCGTAATTTATTGTAATTTTTGATCAATTTAAATAATGGAAGCATAAACAGATTAGGTGTGTCCAATCTATATTTGTAATAATCCGTCAAATCAATTAATTTGGAGATGATCTCATGACAATCATGGTATTTCTTGAGAAACTCTTGGTCTTGTATTTCTTGTGATTTCTCATAAAAATCTATGACCCATTTCTTATGGGAATGTTTGATGAGATCATCAATAGTCATTTCATCTTGAGGATTGTACTTTAAGTAAAGTGCCTTGATAGGATGGATTGATACTGTTTATAAAAGAGTTGGGTAATGGATGACTCCTTCTAATCTTTATTTTTCGCAAAACAAACAATTATTATTTTACATTAATTTATTAAATATTATTAAATGAGACCCATCCCATGGTTTGTCAGATTAGGCATTGATGTCACTATATTCACAGTCCCCATACTGATATTGGCAAGTACAATGATTTCTTAGATTGTCTAGGTTATCCAAGATTGGGCACACATTTCCTCAACAATAGAAGAAGAAAGTACAGGAGAAGAAGTAAATAAACCTTTTGAATTTACATATAGATTTTGATGAAATCTAATACAGAAACGATAGCACATTATCAAGCGAAGAAGTGATTAACTTTAGAAAGACACTCGGATTTCAGGACCTTATTTGATTATGATCAAATATATTAATAAATAAATAACAATCACAATTATTCCTCTTCATCAATACCACCGTAATTCTCTATCAATTAATACAAATCATATTTCAATTGCTAATCATCCTCAAAGGATTACTTTTCATATTACAAAAATCCCATTTTCTTAATGCTATTTAATTCTTTGTATAATTTTAGAATCGTAAACTTATAACTCTCATTACTAAAAATGCTGCTATGAAATGGTAACAATTCAATATAATCATATATCTAAGGCACTTAATAAATATAATCCAGAATTCTGATGTCTACTCCATATGATTTTAGATTTCTTTCATTTGGAAATGGTGAAATACCTCTTAAAAAATATGACTCACCAAATGACTCCCTCTCTGAATTCAAATTTATAATTTCTTATGAAAAGTAAAACCTATCAAAATTCTTGGCTTGCTTGTAATTCAAGATGTTATCCTCTGGCTTATCCTAAAGTGAGGGAATTGAAGCCAAAACATTGAAGATATTATTTTAAGGAACTGGTGTGATTCTCTTACAGAATTCATGCATATTCACATATTCTTGAGTACATTTGTATGCTGAGAGTATATTGTTGATGATGAAGGAGTACTACTAATTAAGTTCTAATTGATTTGAATGAATTTGCATTTCTTTCATTTCTAGAGGTATCAATAACGTAGAATTCTCCTTATATTGAGTCAAAGTTAATGATCTTAATAAATACACATTGTTTACCTGTTAATAATTCTATTTTTTGTATTATTGTAGGAATCTACAATAGAAAATACTAATTTAGGAGTTTTGCTATTTCCTTGGAGATCGTTCAAGGAATCAACAATCTTCAATCCGATCTCGCCATAACATGTTTCACAATCGATGATTAATTCAAAACCATCACATTAATCTGCCTTTTCCAATTAAGTTTAAATGTTATCTTAAAATGATTCCACTTAAGCAGAATCCAAATTGGTAGTGAAAAGGTCGTTTTCATTTTCAAAGTTCTTCTTATAGTTGAATATCTGCTTCGAGTCTATTTTCATTTGATGTAAATATTTTTAAGTTAATTTTATAATCTATGGTTCATCTTCATCCTATTGATTTAAAATAGGGACTTCCTAAGTTTCTTATTTTAATGAATTCATATTGATTCTATTTAAAGATTTGGATAGGTCTAGATCATTACCAAAGTATAATGCATGAGGTCTATTGTTATGATCAAATTGATGTAAAATAGGGTCTTCTTCCTCGAATTTATTTTATAACTAACTCAATCACACTAATAATTACATCTAGATATTAGGAAGTGACTCCCAAATTCACAGCTCGATTGCCCAGAAATAATGATAATATCATAACTTTGTTTATTTTTTTATTTAATCAAAATCGTCTTACTATCTGTCTAATCTCCTCACTTATTTGACTCCCAAAATCGAATAAACTATCCTTCTTACAGCTTCACCTCCAAACGATCTCTTATTCTACTCACATTAATTCATGTAATATTCATCCAAGAATTCTGGTGGCATAATAGTTCCTTTCCTAATCTGATTCTAGATAAATGATGCATCAATTTCAATTATTGTTTTCAATAAAGCCCCGCAAATAATTTAATTATTGAAGATGTTTCCCATAGTAGGTATGGGCGATTTGATTTCACTTCCAACTGGAAAACGAGGTAACCAATCAACTTAAACCTAGATATGACACTATTAGAAATTAAAGGATTCATGTTTTTTAAGACTAAAGATCAATGTTTATCCTAATCTATCTCTTTCCTATTCCAATTTGGATAAACTAACTCCTATATTACTTGCCTTTATTAGTCTATCAGCATCAACAAATGGCAATACTACCTCTCCAAGCCATGCAAATTTCTTGCCCTTCAAATCAACTACAAAGTCAGTTGGATAGAAATCTGCTATAGGAGATGAAGTCTCTAACATCAATTATTAATAAGGTCTGGGTAGAAATTAGGCTGATTAAGGAGGCAGCACTGCTAATAATTACTAATATGGCTTAAAAGGAGTGTTCAATGAGAATTCAAACAGACATTAATCCAAATTGGTCAGATCTTATGCAAATGGTGCATAATGATAAGGATAGAACCAGCCCCAATCTACACATCCTTAATAATAATATTTTAATGTCCAAGCCAATGCTTCTAAATATGATATCTTTATTCTATGCTGAAATTCGTTAAATTAAGCAGGTTTTATTCCAAATTTCTCTTAGTAATATCTTTACTTGTAACTAACAGCCTTCCATTTCTTTAATTCTTGTGATGATTTTGCTGATTACGCTTAATCAATTTCTTATTGATTGATTTCTGTCAATTTGTCTTTTAATGCAGATTTAAATTTGGATAGAATCTCTTTCTATGTATCTACAATACTAAACTCAGGAGCCATCAAAACCTTTTATTCTTTCATTTCTGCATTTCTTTCTCTTCTATTCTTAACTATTTCCTTCTTTTTCTCCTAACCTTTAATGAGTTCATCTTCAATTAATCCAACATGAAATAGAAATTAATTCATCTATTACAAATTCAGTTCTCCACAATTTGTTAAATAATCTCCTATTTATGACAGAATTGTTTTATATATAATCAGCAGACAATCAATACCTCCTTCTGTTATTTTCAAGCAAGGAATATGAGGTAGAAAATCATTTCCGACTAAAAAACACATAAATACAAAATCATCAATGATTCTTTCTAAATCATATTACCCTTTCAAGGAGGCTTGTAAATCCCTAGTCTCAAAATATAAGAATTCCCTAACAATATTAAGTTGCAATATTTGAAAATCAACTTAAATTAATTTATTCTTTTGTTGTTATTGAATCTAATTATATTACTTAATTTCTCCATTCAAATCATCAATCACCTTCTCTCTCTTTTTACAATCAGTAAAGAAATGACCCTTCTGTTAACAAATGGAGCATTGTTTATCATCATTAGCCATTATCGTTTCTCTTATCACATAAAAATATGGCTCATGTGTACTCAAACCCAACATAATTAAATCGGCATCGGCTCCATACAAACAATGCCTGACTGTTTTATAATTCATTTGCCTTCTTTGATCTCTCACAAATTAAAGGATTTTGTGTTCTCCTTCTCCTGGGATGCTTGAATCATTGAATATTATGAGAACATTTCTAAATAGAGGATTCTAATATTAGATGATATGTATTGATACATTGTTCATTCGATCATAAATGTAATACTGCAAGGCAATGTTTAACTTTTGCATGAATTCAGTTCCTGGAGTGATTTAGTTACTGTCAAAGTTTTTCTCAATATAAGTATTTAAAGCATCCGAATTTAAGCCTTAAGTTCTCCAGTAATCTCGTAAGCGTTCCTTTTCCTTTTGAATTCTTATGGATTCCTATGCAGCTCTAAATCTACGACCTATAGATTTATTGTATTTTTAAACTTCTTTATTAATTCAATTTTGCTCTTGGGGCAACACCGTCAATGGCCATGTATATCAATTCCTTTGGACGAACAATATCAACTAAACGATCTATGTAGTGAAATACATTCACAAACATGTCATCATATGTGACTGGAATTGGAATGCCTCCTTAGTCAGGATGAGAACAGGGATGAATGATACCATTCATATCAAGATATAGATTATCAATATCTGGGTTGTTTGATAAGGAGGATTCATCGGAATTTTCCAAGACTTCTAAAAGAGCCTTTGGATTTCTGGCACATAGCCATCTAAAGAATGCGGGTACTCCCATTTTAATTAATTAAATTTCCAACACAAATATAATCTTAGATAGATGGCTGCCTAAGTAGAATCCTTAAAAATGCTTATAAGTCTTGGAACAGCAGGTATTTTCGGCATAGTCTTGGTTAAAAACTGCTTTTTCACTGTCGAGCCTGGACATTGTGCTATCAAATTCAGCAAGTTTTTAGGACTCCAAGAAGAAAAGTACAAGGAAGGATGGCATTTCAGAATCCCCTACTTTGAGACCCCCATTGATTATAATATCTAGACAAGACCCAGACAAATCAAGGCCAATACAGCCAATAGAGGTATCCCCTTTTAAATTATTCTAAAAGATATGCAAAATGTTCTATTGACTCTCAGAGTACTCCATAGACCTTACAGTGATGATCTTCCAACCATTTACAGAACTTTAGGAATTGATTATGATGAAAAAGTCTTGCCCTCCATTGTTAATGAAACAATGAGATCTGTTGTGGCCTAATACACTGCCTCCTAATTGATGAGTCAAAGAGATTAGGTTTCATTCAAAATCAGACAAGCCCTAGACTAAAGAGCAGCCTAATTCAAAATTGCAATAGACGATGTATCAATCACAGAGCTCACTTTTGGAAAAGAATACTTGGATGCCGTTGAAGCTAAATAAGTTGCTTAATAAGAGGCTGAAAGAGCAAAGTTTGTTGTTGAATAAGCAAGAGAAGCAAAGAAAAGTATTGTAATTAAGGCCTTGGGAGAAGCCAAATCTATTGAATTAGTAGGAAAATCTGCCTTAACTAATCCAGGTATCTTGCATATTTAATGTTCTTTTAGCCTTCTTGGATGTCAGAAGAATAGAATATGCAAGAGAAATATCTGCCATTCTAGCTGAATCTAGAAATCACATCATGTTGCCATCAGATATTCTTAAAATGGATGCTACTGCACATAAATGAGTTTTTGATTAAGTTATTTAAAATTTAATTGTTAAATATCATAAATTCCTTTAAACTACATCCTTTCATTTTCCATATAACCATTCCTTTCTCTTCTATATCTATTCCTCTCCATGAAGGATTGCCCTTAATTTTTGTTTTTCAAATTAGTTTTCTTCCACCAAGTAAGCTTTCAAAGCATCATCAGCTTCCTTTGTCCATAGCAAATTTTCTTAATGATTTAGATATACATCCAAAAGAGTATTCAAATCTCCAGAGCATTAATACATTCTTTGGCATAATTCTTAATATGATATTTTTAATGTTTCAGACAGCGTCTTCAATATAAACTTCAGTTCCTCGTTTTCATGTTTCTACTCTGAGTTTAACACTACTGATTCTTACTTAAAGGCATTCATTTTTTTGTTTGACACATCATATTTTGAACTAGATTATAAATAGTATTTACTTTGCAGACAATTAAAATTTATTATTAGGTTTTACCTTCTTTTGGGATTCTGGTTCTATGAATTATTTCTATTGTTGTGGCTATTATTATTATGACTATAGTTGTGAGGGAATTTTTTATTCGTTCATTACAGGTGCATGTGAAGCTTACTTAGTTACTTATTTGATTGGAGTTTGAATTGGGGTCTTAATCGGAGTTTCATTTTGTTTTAAAGGCTCTATGTCTTATAGTCTCTACGATCCATTCTCAAGAGAAAAAATAAGGTATCCATAGGCACCATAATGTTGTAGATAGGAAAATATCACTTATAAGTCCTCTTGATTTACATTTTTCAAATACTCTTGATATCTAGGTTTATTTCATTAATTACCTTCTCCTCAAGACTGCCTTAGACCTTTTGAGTAGAGCTGCTATTCTATCAAAATGTGATGGCTCAATCTAGTTGATTTTAGATAGTTCTAAGATTAACTTCAAATCCTCGTATAGAGTGAATCGATCGCTATCTTGCTTGGGAAATGACTTTTGGTTCTCAACTTCGTATTTGGAAATGGCTTTTTAGAACACTTCGAAGAAAGTTTGCCCAGAATCATCAGATATATGTTCGGCGTGTCTTTTAATTTTCATTTTTAATAATTTGGAGGTTTATTATAAAAATCAAACTTATTCGCTTAGTACTAACTATACTTCCATTCTATCTTGATATTGCTTTGCTGAATAAGAATATACTCTCATAAATTAAGTTGTAGTTTAAAGAATGATACAAATAAGATCATTATTATTATAAAATCCAACCTTCTGGCATAATTTAGAAATTTTCATCCTCTGTGGAGCTCACTAATTTTCCTTCCAACCAAGAACCTATCTTTTTCTTACCATCTTTCCCTATCATTAATCCTTTCCCATGCTGTCTTCCATTAAACCATTAACCCTAGAACTATTTTCCATCGGGCCAATAGAATATGCCAAAACCACATTTTTTATCATTTTAGTACTCTCCATCATAACACTTTCCATCTTTCCATATATATTTCCCTCGACCGTGCATTTAATTTTTAATCCAACTCCCAGAATAAGACTGCAATATTTACTATACCATACCCTTCCATCAGGCCAATCATATTTTCCTACACCATGTATCATATTATCCTTCCAGTCTCCATTATAAACACATCCTTAATGCCATTTATAACAACCTTTTCCATGTTTTCTGCCTCCCTTAAATTCTCCTTCGTATATTGATCCATCTGGCCAGGTTTCTATCCCATAACCGTCTGGTTTATTTGACTTAAACTCCCCTTCGTATATTGGACCCTTCAAGTAATTAAAAGTTCCATTTCCTTCCATCATATTCTCTACGAAATCACCTTAATAAAAGTCTCCATTTTCTAACCATAACTTTCCAAACCCATTTGCTTTTCCATTTACTATACTTCCCAAATATCGAGATTAATCATCGAAAATTATTTATTATTCCTTCGATTCCTCTACGTAGTCCTCTTCTTTCACGTTTGAGATAATCTTTTAAAACTGCAGAATATCGGCTTCCATAGTTTTGCATTAATAAGTAGAAGGAGGACTTTCTCGACTATAATAATATAATACTAGCATCAAACTCTTAACTGTCGTCTAGGTCTTCTTCTGCAAGTTAATCTTTCAGTTCTATACCATTTTAGCCAGGAGTAGCTTCATCTTTATGCTAGCAAGATGCACAACTCTAGCCCATCTTTTATATTAATTTATATTTATTGGTTAAACCTAGTGCAGAATAATTAATTTCATAATTATTTAGGTTAATTTTACTGCTAGTGAACACTGCAACCTTCATTATGCCTTAGTTCATTTTCTTACTAGAAAAAAATATACTACAATTTAACATAACATACTTATTTAATTTCAGATTATTTTTATATAAATTTGTACTAAATTAGTATTGTAATTAAATTCAGTTCCACAATTGACCATTTCTCTTAGATTCACCTTTATTTAATAGATATTTTTATTTTATTTCCAACTTAATTATGTACAAGCTTTACGATTTTAAGAGCTAAACTAAATTAATAATATTTATCAATTTCTCTTCTGGCTGTTTGCTGTATTATTAGTAATGAATTTAGAAATATAAAAGTTTTCTTAAAAATTTATATACAAAAGTGAATATAAATAAATTTACGAGAAATTTTATAATTAACACTAAATAATTAAATTAAGGATATTGATAAAGATCATTTAAAGATAACAAAAAATTTGAAAATCATTTGTAATCATCATTTAAAATCCTTTAATAATCATTATTATATATTTAATCATCTATTGATATAAAAATTAATGAAAAAAGAAATAAATTATTTATCTCTTTATTGTTTTTAAATCAATATTATTTACATAATATGATTTAAATATTAAGTTGCAAATTAAAATAAGTTATGTTATTATGAAATATGATATCAAAATTACAATATTCTTTTGGATTACCATCAATTTCCAAAGGAAATTACAAATTCTAATATCTTATAAATCAAAGCACTCAATGAAAATGTTAAATTAATTATATAATAACACATCTTAAAAGTTAAATACTAAATGTAAATATATATAATATTATCATTGTTACTATTATAATTATTAAGATTTTAGCTATTACTATTGCGATTGTTGAGATGTCATTTTTTTGTAATGAATGTAAGTACGAAAAATTCCATATAAATCATCATAAGAAGGAGTGTCAAACATTTCTGGCTGCATCATATTCAAAGCAAGGTCAACTACTTTCTTAGTTTATATTCAATGGTAAATTTACTTATTTTTAATCTTTTTCTCTGACATAGCCTTAAATAAATTGTTGGCATTTCCTTTTTTTCTATGATAAAAAATCTTCCATTGCTTTTTATAGTGCTGAACTCTTGATAAGTCAATTAATTACCTATCAATGATGTAAGTTCTCTTTTTTGGATTAGTAAAGTGTGCTCCCAAAGTATGAAGTATTTCTTAGGCATATTTGTTTAGAATTCTCCATAATCTATCCTTATATGCTTTTTCTTTTTATTTTAGATTTCTAAATACTCTTTTTACATAATTTACTAAAATTTAATAATTGCATTACCTTTATATGTTAGTTCCTGATGTTTTTAAATGAAATGGCAATATTAATGAGTCAAAGTCAAAAAGTATCTTAGCACTTTAGAAACATCAGTCTTAATTCTCTTTTTGTTATGAGATGCAAAAATACACATCGTCATACATAATTTAAATAAGTTCCTCTAATCAACATTTTGCCCACTCTCTTTTATTTTAATCATAGTTGTAGTTCTGTATTTCCATACGATTAGTCTTCCTTTGGCTAGATATTTACTTCTTTTTTTTGCTTCCTAATTAAGAATATCAAGTTAAATACATCTAACATAGATTTCATATTTTCAGCCAGATGTATAAGTATAAATATACCAAGCCAACTGATTTGAAATTTTGTTATTGCATGTCTTATTCTTTATTTAAGCTTTTATTGGTTTCTAATTTCTTTTAAGGCTTCACTTGCTTAATACTTGGACAATAAATCCATTTTTTTATCTTCACTAAGTTCTTTTTTTCTACTCATTGCATTTTTCATTCTTAGATCTAATTAATCTTGTGATTGAATTAATTTCTCTTTTCTAGCTTCTCTTGAATATTACCTAGTATCAAGATTACTGTTTATTTTATCAGTTTCACAACTCATATCAAATTTTTACTGCTGCCACCAGTATTTGTACTTATCATAGTTTGGCTTTTATCTCTTAGGCTTTTATTTCTTAATGCTTTGATTTCCATATAGAAATGATATTGAAATTTCACAGTCTTCTTCTGAGTATATTGCTATATATAGGAACTTATCTAGAAATTTGTCATTGTGCTTTTTATCTTAATATTTAAAATATTTAGATTATACAACAGCTTCGCTATTGAATTTGGTTGGGAAGGAAGCAGTCGTAGATATATACATTCTATAATTGAGCAACCTTGATTAATCACATTTTACATAAACCTGTATTGGTGATTCCTAACCTTATATTTTAATTGAAAAGTAATGAAATCTAAATCTATTAATTGAGATCCAATTATTGCTCTCTTGTTTTAACTCAAATATTCTTAACTTTGATTCATGAGGAACTATTTCATTGTTTTAGGACTTCTTTTGTTCTTCTACTGGAAAGAGTTTTTACAAGTCAATATTTTCTAAAGGCTCTGATTATTATATGATTTCATAATTGTTTGAAAATGTTTGCATCATTTATACTATTGAAGTTCTCTAATTAAGAAAGTTTTCATTTAAGTCAAATTATCTGGCAGATTTTATTTAAGAAGTTGGAGATTTCACTAATTTTTTAAGATGAATCGATGAAGATTTCAAAGATTAAAAAGAAGTGAATCCAGAAGTTTCTCTATTTGTAGGCGATTCCAACTTTAGTTCTATACCCTAGGACAATGTGTGTCTGTGCGTAGTTTAGACTGAATTTAGAAAGCTATTTTGTTTTGAATTACGCAAAGTTATTTTAGTATTCATATTTAATTTAATCATTTTTTATTTGGTGTCTTGTCTCGACTTGAAAAGTGACTCTAAGTTCCATTTACAAAAAGATTTCGAGAACTAATAGGTTGGACATCATCCAATACAGATAACTGTCTTTTTCTATGTGTTTTTAATTTTACTGATTTATCATTGTTCACATAATAATTGCATTTTTGTAATTGTAAATTAAATTTATTGATCCATTCAAACTATTTACATGATTTAGACTCATTTTAATTGTATTGACTAAGCCTTCTTGCCATATGAATATTTTTTGAAGTTGGTTAATCCTTTTTCTCTTTGTTTTGCTCTATAATTGACACTTTCATTTTGACTTGACTCGGAAACATCAAATTAGCCAGCAATGCCCTTCCTTCAACTGGCTTGCCTAATAGTTTTTTAGGAGCGGGAGATGAGATATTTGGGTTTATTTCACCAACACTTCGATGTGAATTTATTTATTTTATTTACTTTGAGTTCGAAATAGCTTTTGTTGATTTTGAAAAATTGTATTAGAGAGAAGGAGATTTTAGCTTTGTTTCTCTGTAGATTAGATCTTATAATTAAAAAGCAAACTCAAAAGCGGAAGTCTATACGCATTAATTTTATTACATTATATTATAAAATATCAAATTATATACTGAATTAACTTGAGCTGATTGTTTAAACATAAAATAAAGTAAACATAATCAAATTTCTAGATCTTCTTCTTGCGTAAAATAGAATTCAGGACCACTTAACACAATTTCAGCTATTTATTATATTTTTTTAATAGTGCTTCTATATCCCTTTTGATATTCTATATTTGTGTCGAATATGAACTCTCCATAAAACTTTATTGCTTGAACAAGATCCTTATTTCCAATAGTCTCACACAAAAATAGCAACATTTACAGGTTGGCCTAAGTATAAAAATTACTATTACATATTTGAAACTCTTGCATAATACATATAACAGATTCTAATCTTCACTTTGAAATTGTTATCTGCAAAATTAATCAATCTAATGTTTTTCATGCTTGTTATTTTATAAATACATTTAGATGTATTATAAAATTATATATTCTTAATGAAGGCTAAATGCTTTTAAGAGTAAAGGTAAAGGCTAAATATATTTGAAGAATAATTACTTTAAAAGGAATTTATTGTTTGTATTTAGTTAATGCATAGATGATTTCAACTAAATATGGAACCAAAGGTGAATTAATTAATTTTTCATCTAAAATTGCATCTTCGCATAAAGTAAATATCCTTATTGATTAAAATCCGTATGGGTCTGTTTTAAGATAGTCGAGAATTTATATCAAATAAGTTGGTGTTAAATTCTTTTTTGATTTTAGTTTAGTTAATCGATTAAAACCATCATCTTCTGATGAACCTTCTGTTTCAATTTTTTATCTGTTTTTTCTTCTTCTTTTTGAGGAATTGTATTAAACTATTTATGATTCCTAATCTTGTTAATTCTATTAAATTTTTATTCTTTTATCTTCTAATGTTTTCATTAAATCATTTTTTCTTATGTTATCCCTTAATAAATCTCTTTTTGTTTGTAGTAACTAGTGAATAGAATAATATGATTAATCCATATCGATTTTAATATAATAAATTAATATTTTATATGGTTTTTTTTATATATATATAAAATATATATTTCTATTATCATGATAATCAAAATAATTACATATTTTTTTGTTGTGCAGCAAATTAAAAAAATTAAATAATCAGAAATTTAAAATTGCCATAAAATAGATGAAGACTTAAAGTTTATTCTGAATTCAATGTTATATTTCCATTTGATTTATAAACATAGGGTTTCTTTATAAACTTAGTTCTGATCTTTCATTTTTCACAATTATATTTCAAGCAATTATTCTTTTAGATTTTTTGTCTTTCTTCGATTGAATAATGATATTAATCTCTTAAATATTAGTTTGGAATAGTTCTGTGGGAAGTTTAAATATGCTGATGATAAAATTTGATAATTAATAATAGTATTATATTTTTCGATTAAAATAATAACAAAAATATAAAGAAATAAAACATTTATATTATTAAAATGACGGAATAGTAATAATTAAATAACCATGGCAATCGAACAAGAATGATTGGGAATTATGTAATAGGTAATCGAGTTTTGTGTATAGGTAGGCAAAACTCTGGGATTTGGAACGTTTGGGAAGGTCAAAATGGGTATTCATGAGCAATCACAAGAGAAAGTGGCAATTAAAATATTGGAGAAGGATAGAATAGTAGAAACTGCAGATGTAGAAAGAGTACAGAGAGAGATTCATATCTTAAAGTTAGTTAGACATCCTCATATAATCTAACTATATGAGGTAATGATATCTTATACTTAGATTATTGAAACACCAAAGCACATATTCTTAGTAATGGAAATGATTAGTGGTGGCGAATTATTTGATTACATCGTCTAGAATACAAAGTAATATGATTGAATTAATAAGATTGGAAGAAGTTGAGGCATGTAAGTTATTTTAAGAACTAATTGCTGGAATAGAATATCTACATAAGCTAAGAGTAGTCCATAGAGATTTAAAGCCAGAGAACTTGTTGCTTGATCATCATAAGAATCTCAAAATTGTTGACTATGGATTATCCAACACTTACAAATCAGAAGAATTATTGAAGACTGCTTGTGGAAGTCCATGTTATGCAGCTCCTGAAGTATAGAAAAATCTAATTATATAGATGATTGAAGGGCAAAAATATTAAGGAGTGAAAGTCGATTTGTGGAGTTCTGGAGTTATATTATTTGCATGTTTATGTGGTTATTTGCCATTTGAAGATCAAAATACTTCTGCTCTTTACAAAAAGATATTAAGTGGATCGTATTAACTTCCATCTCATCTCTCTAAGGAGGCTTAATCGATGATCCAAGGAATCTTGACAGTCAAGCCAGATAAACGCTTTACTATTAATGATATTAGAAATCACCCTTGGTTTAAGATCTATAGAAGAACTTATGAAATTCCTCCAGGAATTGTAGTTGGATATAATAGAATTCCAATTGACTAAGAAATACTTAAATAGTTAAAATAATACGGAATAGATATAGATCATGCCTAAAAGTGTTTAGATGCCAATAAACACAATGAAATAACGACCTTTTATCATTTGCTTTTGAAAAGGCATTTGACGAATGGAGGTCGATCAACAGCTGACCTTAATTCTGAATCTTTTGATATCACTCTATTAGAACCTAAGCAAAGACCCCAAAAAGGTAATTTTGAATTCTCATTTGTTAGCTCCAATTAGTTCATTAGTTAATAATGAAGTCATCAAACAATAAATGAAAGATGAAATAATTAAATAACGATCATATTCAACTGATAAGGATAGAGGTAGAATTATTAAGACAACTAATTAAAATAAAATATTGGCCGATAATGACTTAAGTGTGAACAGAATAGGTAATAACGGATAAGCTCAGAGTGTATAAGCAAGATAAAAAGATGAAAACTATTTTGAATAGTCACCTGTCATCAAAAATAATAAAGTCCCTTATTCCAATATGCTGTGTCAAAAATATGGCATAAAATTCAAGAATAATAATGTGACATCAATTGACTATCACAATAAGGATGACATTAAGAAAGGCAGTTCTAGGAATAAAAGAGAAATAGATATCATGAATCCTTATCGAAACTCCAGCAGAGAACAATAATAATTAAATAGAATGCTTCAAAGTGGAGGAAGATCGCAAAATAGCAAAAAAGAAAGGGCTTATATAACTAGTCATAACAATTAATCGTTTGATGTACCCTTGAATTCAAATCAATCAAATAAACAAAAGGCAATAAATTAATAAAGATCTGGTCATTTTCATCATGATTGATATTTAAGTATTAGATCTAATTTTTCTAAATTTTAAAGTACCTATATAGTTTTTATACTAATAATGATATCTACTGAAATTATTATAATGCAAATAACAATAAATAAATAAATAAAACAATTTATATTGAGCAATAAAAATATATAAAAATAACTTGTTAATATAAATTCATGACGTCGCAACAACTGGTCCTATAATTACTGCTAAAATTACAACACCAATTAGGATAACACAACATATTTTCTAAAAGTGATGAAATGCGTGAATACCTTTTTAGCTGATTGATGGTCTTCCTTTGCATCCACAAGGCTTTTTTCTGCCTTGCCGACATAAGTTTTAGCTGAGTCAAGATTAATTTCTATGTTATCGATTTATTAGCCTTAAGCATGAACTAAGATAGCTAAATCTACAAATAGTTAATATACTAATTAAACAGACTAATTAATAATTAAAGAAAATACTCTTTCCAACTATTGTATATCTTTGTATTTCTCCTATATATCTGAGACAGTATTTGTGAGAATAGCAGAAGGAGCTTCTCCATAGAGTTTTCCTTGTAATAATTACGTTGCTTTCTAATTAGATATTCGATAAAATTCGCATACTTATGGATCATTGCATATTTCATCTAAAAACTCTTCTGAGGCATTTTCATCTAAGATCTTCGTTTACCTCCTAATTTTCTCTCTAACACAAGTCTTGTATTTAATGGAAATTTGAGAAGAAGCATGTAAAACTTCCTGAACTTTACTAGTTAATGCATTTCTCTGATTGATTTTCATTTGGGTTTCAGGTTGATCCTCTTATAATGCAAATTGGTTACTGAGTAATCTCTTTCACTTCTTTCAACATCTTCTTTTATATCATTCATTGCATCTTTTAATTCGTTACTATATTGTTAATTTTAGGCCATAATCTACTCTAATTCTCGTGACAACTCTAATCGGATCAGATGATTGTAATACCTTTTTCTACATTTGATGTAGTTGCTCTAGCATACTTCATTGACATCTCCTACATTCTATTATTATTTTCTTTGATTCTCTCTAAACACTAAAGTGCCTTTTTTATTTTCTGAAAGAATTGAGGCATAAAATCATCATCCTAAGAGGAGTTGGAGTTGTTCAATTAAAATGAATCCTATCTGCCAGACATCTAGATAACCATGCTTGTACTTTATGTAATTCAATCAATCGATCATCCATTTTAATTGATAATATAATATAAATAAATTATAATACTCTTTATTTACATTCTTCTTCTTTATGCATAATATGATAATAACGTAAAGTAATAATGCGTAACTAATGATTACATACAAAATTCTAATTAATTATCATGCCAAAGTTGCTAGTTCAGTATTAATAAGAAGCTTTTCTTTTTTTATGTCAATCTCTAAACTAAACTCTTCGCAATTCAATTAATCGATCATGGTTGCCCTCGAAGCTAAATGGAAAAAAAATAATGCATAAATTCCTACTCCACATGCCCAAATCAAATAATAATTATAATTGGCTAATAAATATTCCACGAATCCTTCAAAAATAAATTGAAAGTTAATTCCAGTGGCTGAAAATATAACAAACATTTCTACTTAACAAACCAATGAAAGTTGCCGCTATTGAACTTTGAGTGCTTTTGTAAATGAACGATTGGGCCAGAGTTATGTTAATCAAATTTAACAACCAAACACTTATTAATGATATTTTCAATAAGGTATCTCTGTATGGAAATGGAAAGTTCTCCTCTGAGGCAAACAAGGTTATGATAAACACTCCTGATATAGCTAGTAATATTAGATTTATATGATTGGTATACCAATTTCATAGATGGAAAATACGATTATAAGTCTAATTTCCAACACCCTTGTCTTAATCATTTTGGCCATATAATATGGTAAAATGCATGCAATTGGAAAGGTGAATATTTCTAAAAATTGAATTTAACCCTCTGTCAATTACCCTCTCATCAAGTGAATATGTGCCAAATCAATCGGCATCTACCCTATTCTGAAAAAACAAAAAAACAGAAAGAAAACAGTCAAATGCCGATTCTAAAATGCTCCAAGAGCTGATTTGTAAGCTTCGATTATCTATTATAATGACATTCTTACATCTTAATTAGAGGTTGTTTCATTGTGAATGATAATAATACATGCAACTGCAAGTCCAACAGATATGTAAGACAAATCTTAGAATGCAACTAAAAATAAATCTATAATTTCACTTTAGAGTGTAATGTATGGTATCTCTTAAGGAATGGCATATATATATGTGTTACAAAATTCAAGCGAGTTGAACATCCTAAAGATGTATGCTCCAATAAATCCCCCTATCAAAATTCCTAGAAATTGAGCCAATGCTCCATACCCTCTGTCATGCTTCTCTAAACTCTCAACTATCCAAGCTGCTATTATGATGTCAATGCACGCCAACAAACATACAATCCAGAAGGCCTTCCAAAACCATGTACTAGGATCTAGCGATTAGAAATTTGAAAAATATAACAGAACTCTAAGAATTTTTAGCAACTCTATACCCCAATCCAAAATACAAAACTGCCAACTAACTTCTTCTTCTACCCATCTTATCCCAACTTACACTGTCAATCAAGGGTGCAACTATGTATCTGAACAAGTAAGGTAATAGCACAACGAATGAAAAGTTATATCTATTTATCTCAACACCTTTATCTATCAAATTAGAAGGAACATTGTATAAAATCAGTCCCAACATGATTCCTTCGAAACAATACAAAATTGAAAGGGGTACTAATCTCTTGATGAAAACCATTATATTATAATTTAATATTCATGTATAATACGGGTCTTGTATATGCTTCTTTCTTATAAAGAGATCTCTGGCAAACTCCCTAGAATTCTTGCTTCTCGCAAGTACGAATTGATGTTCTTCTGATGTCTATGTTTATTTAACTTATTACCTTTGATAAAGATTTTCTCCTCCTCATATAATCAAAATTGAAATCATCCTCCTCGGTGTTACTGCTTAATTCCGATGATGAATGGGTCACCTGGAGATCATATTATTGTCTAGATTGTTACTTAACTTCCTTCATTATCTTATCAACCATCCCCTTTTGACACATGCATCTTCCTTGCATCATTTCTAAAGATTTCTTAACAGCCAACAAAGAATTCTCATTGTCTATTTTTTGTTTCACCAACAACTCCTCCAACCATTCATTCTTCTATATCAATTGACCCAACTCTAATTAATACTCTTTTTGCAATATTTTTATCTTATTTTTTAACTCGATCTCCTTCTATTTATATCGATTGATTTCACTTGCCAACAATCTATTCGATATAACAAGCTCCTTTGCTTTCTTCTCCAAATGCTAATTCTTTTTAATAGCAGGTCTGAAGTGCAACTCAGATTGTTTATGATATTCTATTGCGTTCTCCACAAACCTTAAAAATTCAGATTCAGGCTGCTTTAAATCTCTTTACACAGAATCTCTCATAAAGTCGCTATCGCTTTTGGAGTTGTTTAGCTTAAAAAATTAATCAAACAACTTCTCTCCCTCTACTTCCTCTAAATCTGTTATAGGAGTCCCTTATCTATAATTATTCTACAGAGTTGACTTCGCTCGTTGATGCTTCTTTGTTTCAGCGGGCTGACGATGCAACTATGTAAAATCATGATATTCTTAACGTAATCCAAATGATTGTGAATCATTTGGAAATCTCATTTATCTGAGCTCTCTTAAATTGATTAATTTTATAGTGTACTTGCATAATTGATTGTTTATTTCCCATATAATTGGCTAAGAGACATTTTAATTAATAAAATCAATATTCAATAATAATACTCAATCTATCTTTTTTTGTTTTTACTGTTTTCTTAAGTTATTACTCTCTCTACTCTCTTAATATTAGCTATGGGTCATTCTCCTGGCCTATTCTTGCTATTGATGTCAATTTTCATACCAAATCCAAAATTTATTCATTGAAACATAAATGTTTGAATCATTATATCAATCTAATTATTTACTTAAATAACAACCAAAAGAGAATTACACTAATTGTTTTGGACTTTATCTGGATTTAATTAAATTTAATATAAAGATATTTTCATGTCACATAAACTCACGTATACAGTTGGTAATCCAAGAGTTGGCAAGATAATAGTTGCTGCTTAATTAGCCAATGTTTAAATTATTAATTATTTTGTAGAATTTAAAGCTTTAGAAGTACAAATCTTTTATTTGCATTAGACTCCAGCGTTTTTTTGACTAAGATCACTGTAGGTAAATTTCCTTTGTTAGAAACACCAGAAGGATATCTAGCTCAAGCAATGCCATATTGTAATATGTTACCAGAGGAAAACCTTTGGTTGGAATAACAGATTATCAATAAGCAATGGTTAGATTTTACATCGCTCGAATTGGAACCTACTCTACTTGGTTTGCTGTTGCCAATTCTTGGTTTTGGATTGACAACACTCTAAAAATAAGAAGAAATAAAAAAGAATTGAATTGGAAATTAAAAATATTAGAAAATCACTTTAAAAAAAACAATTTCTTGGTTGGCTAATTATTAACAATTGCTGATTTAATTTTAGCAACTTATTTCTAAAGATTATTTCCTTTACATTTGATATACAAATACAGAGATACAATTCCAAATTATTTCTAGATAGTACAAATAAGTATCAGAAATACCTGCATTTTTGGATGTAAAATATATTTATAACTTAAGTATTATGGAAAAACCAAATATTGCCATAAAACCTTTCCCATTATAATATTATTAATAATAATAATAAAAATAGTTAAAATAATAATTACCATAAAATACTTAATAATAAAAGGCTCATTCAAAAGATGAAGGCGAAGAAGAGAAGCCAATAAAATAATAATGTGAATTTGATTTATTACCATAATCTACTTTCAACATTGACGACTGGAAAAGATAATTTTTAGCATCAAAAAATTTTGCTGCTGAATTCAAAACATTTTGGAACATTTTGATTCTTAAGGATGGTCTATATGGATTATTAAATATATTAAGGCTGAATAAGATGCAAAGGTTTTGATTTCGTTTTGAAATAATTGCAATGGATTTCCATAAAGAACTGATCCTCATTTTAAAAAATGGCCATTTGCTATCCACAGTGTCTATGGGGATGTTCCAGATTTTTAAATCTGTGGAGCTTAGATATGGAAAGGAACTGAAATTCCATAATTTTTAGTAAGAGATTAATTAATATTACCTAGAAAGATCATCCAACATTTGAATATTTATAATTGACTAAACTTGATGCTTCTAAGCCAGAAGACATAGCATTATTTGAGGAATATTGGCTTGATTAAACTGAAGATGAATCAAAGGTTTAAGGACTTACAGCAAGAGCATTACATTATTTTAGATGAATTAAATATGTATAAAAACAGATATATTAATGTACACAAATTTATCAATGGTTGATGTCAAAATTTCCGATTTTATCTTTTACTACAGATTATAATACTCCTCCTCTACCACCAGGTTATCTGAAATTAGGTCTTTAGAAAGCTTAGTCATAGCTATGATAGTAAATTCAAGGTGTACGTTTTTTTATGTGGAAATTCATGTATGTTAGCAAATTTTTTATCCATAATAACTCCAAAAAACATATTTAAAGCAAATCCCACAATTATTTCCAATAAGATCTATCAGATTTATAAATGAATTGTTACATCCAAAGGTATATGATATTAATCAGTCGTGTCATTGTAAATTAAATGTTTTCTATATCTGATTAATGAGATGGCTGAATGTAGCAATAATAAAAATCCAATTACCTTTAGCATAATTTATATTAATTTATATATATAATCAATAATCATTGTTGCTAACATTAAAATTTATTGATCTAATAAGCTGACTTCAGTATTTTCTTTTCAATTCTATCATCCATTTGAATATCCTATTCTGATCTCTTAATGTTTTCGTTAATTTTCATGGTATAAAATTAGAGCTACAAATTAAGATTAACATAAATATCATAAAATATGATAGCCAAAGTGGAACATAACTAATTGTCTTCCTAGTGAAATAAAAAATTGTAGTATTTTCGCTTAATGGAAAGCATAATTCACAAGAGAAATTAAAAGTCAAAGCCATAAGGGCAGAACTTCCACACAAAAAAAAATAAACAATAAAGAAAAATACTTTGTATACATACAGAGCTAGAATGAGCATTCCAAATAATACAGTCATTTAGATATAACAAATCCTCAACACTTATTTATAAGATTGACTATTCTTTATGGCAATTCCAAAGCAAACATTGGCAATCAATCAAGCTATCACACACACCAAAACTAAATTACTTTAATCTTTGAGAGAGTGATCAAAAGGAGGTATAAAATATGCCATCTGCAATGTAAAATATGTTGTTGTTCCTAAGATGAATGCAAAACTAATTGTTAGTAATATGAAATCAGGATTACTAGCAACTATAACACTGGCAAATAGCAAAAACATCAAGCTCTCAATTAGAGCACGTCCTAATTCAATTTATTAAACAGTTGGATGAACGTTGATCTAAAAATCCCCTAAAATAGTTAGTAGAATTCTAATAGATACTCCTGAGCTTGCATTGAAAACAAACGCTATAATCACCATAATAAGGATTCTATTTTCAGGAAGAAACCAATTAGCCACAAATTAAAAGCTCTTATCAAATCTAAATGATTATGTTTCGTGGTATTACAGTAAGTATAAGTATTATCATATAAGAAATAATTGATACAAAAACAAATTGAATCAACATTCACAAATTACTAAAATGCTTCACTTAATAATTATTACCAAAAGACAGTAAAACTTATTATAAAAAATCACAAATATCTTTAATCATTTAATAATTTCTTACCTACTATCAACTTGATAAATAAATGACATTTTCTTAAAAATAGGGGAAAATGAGAATCCAAACATTATGTTGGAGAGCAAAGCACACAAAACAAGATTAATTGTAGCCAACGTTGAGGATATTCAAAATATTGATGATGTATTTATCTGTTGGATATAATTTATTCATTAATCTATTATTAAATAAATTTATCAAAAATATAGTTTCTTTTTATCATTGATTTATGCAATTTCATCCATTCTCTATTTTGCAATATCCTTATCCTTCTTAGCATAAATCGAATACCCTTTCAATGTAGCATTCCTTTAGGCATTTTATAATTCTCTTAAATCTTATTATGCTCGCAAGCCTTATTAAATGCTATTTAACTATTCTGAATTCTATTCTTTGTCGCCAGTCATTATTTCAAAACTTCTATTATACACAGCATTTAAAGTAGTTGTGTTTTTACGAATAATCTTTTCACTCTCCTTAATCTCAGTTAGCAACATCTCTTTATCAAAAATGGGTATTCTCTTAGAATAATTATTCAGAACACTAAAATTATCTGCTCTTTATCCATAAAAATTTAATTTTTAAATTTCATCAATTGGTTTATAATTATTTTCTATAGCTTTTGTATCTTTCGTCTTAATAGATAACTTTCTTGTTGAAGGTCTTTTAAAAAATATATCTTTGCCCAACTTTGGAAATTCTTTCTCTTACTAATCTTCAACAATTTGATTTTGCTGGCAGTTTAAGGATGCAATCTCAATCTTAGGATTTGCTTGGTTTCCAGCATTTGTTTATTAGGTGTCTAGTCCTCTATTTAAACCAAAGGAATTAGGAATTACTCTCTTTTCTGATATAGTTGGGTTTGAGTTTAAGTTCAACATGCCTAAATTCATTCCTGAAGGATTTCTGTCATGTTCAATCTTTGTGTCAGTCCTTAAGACTAACCCTTCTTGAAATTACAGTGTCTGAACATAGAAATATACATCCGATATAGTTTTTAGTTCATCTAATAGCACGGTCTTAAATTAACTAAGTCTTTATCTAGTTAAAATTAATGGATCCTTAATTGTGGGAAGAATTTTGTTTAAAAATTCACAGATGCACTTCTTTAACAAAAGTATCTCATCCTAAGTGTTCATTAATAATATTTTATATATATAAAATTTCAGTCAATTAGATTTATTAAACTGTTCAACATATCTTAAAAATTCTGTATTATATAATATTTTAATCTTTGATTATTAAATCAAATATCCTTTCCAGTTTGTTGTCTGGGCTAAGAACTCAATACGATATTAATCAGACTTAATAATATATAACTTGAATGTCCAAATATATCAACTAATAGTTCCGATTTTTCCATTATATCTATAAATCTATTATCATTCCTACCTTCATAATACTGGAATTGTTTTATCAAATATATGTTAAATATATATTATTGAATGTTCATTTCTCATTCCTATTAGAAAAGAATTTGTCAAACTATGTTTATTCCTCAAATTGAAATTTCGAACTATAATTCTTTAATTCATACAAACGAGGCAATATTTAATCTTTTCTATTTTGAATATGTTTTCTTCCCAACAAATTGTAGACTTGATTATTGTGATAATCAATCTTATTTTGATCTTTGATTATTAATATTCCTTCAGGAAACTAATTGAATAAAATCTCATAAAAGGTTTTTTACTATTCTATCTATTCTAGAACCGATGGATCCCTTGAATATAATGAAGAGTTTTTTCCTAATCCTTAATTCAATGGCATAAATTTAATTTGATTCGAGTCTTCATCAAATATCTGTTATTGAGGACTCTCTATTTTCTCAGTAAAACTATGAGAACAGGATTTATGTAGAGGTAACTTCTTTACCTACTAATTTGTTTTCACAATAAATTAATATAATAGTAGCAAACCATACAAAGCTTCGCCAAAAATGATCCCAATTGCAGACGAATCAATTAATAGATAAATTGAAGTCTAATTTGCTGAAGCAATTACAACCAAGAGGTATCCAACTCTAACTATTTAATTTTGGATCGTGGAATCAAATTCTAGTTATATTGTTAATCCCAACCAAAAATACTGAAATCTACTTAGGAATCCATCATTTATCAACCCAAGATCAACGCTGCCCAACAAAATAGATTTAAAACTAACCATAGTGATTTAAATATCAGTTATTATTGCTCAACGCATGTATTCACATATCTATTAAAGGTATAAAGAGCACAGTCAAGATCATACTTAAAATAACTTAAAAGTATTCTGAATTATGATTAACTTAATTTTATTGTAAGCACCAATATAAAATAGGCTAGTTGAATTACTACTCTTAAATTTACATTATTCATTATATTATAATAATAAAATTAATCACTCACACTCTAAACTATAAATCATACTTATTTTAAATGCCATCTATTATTTTAATTCATTTGGAAGAATGATAGTGACAATCATTTAATATTTAAACACACTATTTATATTCATATCAATAATTTTCTAATTAATTACCATTCTCCAATTCAATTTTTATTCTAGATAGTTGTTGCTTTCTACTTGCAGTTAATCTATTAGTTTTGGCTAGATTCTTTAGTTCATCATCAAATTTTACAACTTGATTCTCTGTTGCCTTGAATCTGCCCTCCATATGTTGTTTAAGTCTCTTTTAAATTGAATAAAATTGAGAGTAGGATAAACTATCCTTTTTATACTCTTTAATTTTATCTTATATGCTATAATCCCTATTGTGTATGCAATAATATAATTGTCTATTGAATTTATCGCTTAACTTATTCTTTTCTTCGTAAGACTCATTTATCTGATTTACTAACTGAGGTAACACTTTGCTATCTCTTACTTTTTCGTACTTCCTATACAATTCGATTTCTTTGATTTTATCAATCTATTTTCTGTCTTCACAATCAATAATTGATTATTGCCTTTTCACATTCTCTGTTTTTCCAAATACTGTGCTGCCACTTGTATTTAATTTAAGTGTGTGTTGTTTCCTTGCAGATTTGCCAGGTGTATTTGAATGATAAGTATTTGGTTTATGCTGAGTAAATACATAATCTGAAAGATCTAATTCCTTCTTGATTTTTTCTAATTTCTCAATATGATTTTCCACTCTATTCTTTTCATTCTTAATTGTTTTGAGCAATTGGAGTTTATCTTATGAATGGAAATATTCTTCAATGTTTGGCAATTAAATTGAATAGTTGTAATCAACTGATATTCTCTTTAGTTTTAAATTCCTTGAGGATTTGGCTTCAAGTACTCTAAATTTAATCAACCTATATTACTGTTAATTATATTCATTAAGCAACTACTTTAAAATAGTTTAAGCTCTTTTTTGTCTAATGATTGGACTCAAATGACTTTTATATTCTCTGAGTAGGATTAATATTGTTTGGTTTTATGTTGGTAAATTTATCTAATCTCACGCTGCCCTTATAAATGATTTTTTTTTATTCGAAGGATTAAACTTTATTATCTTTATTTTCTTGATAAATTCATTCTAAAAATTATCTAATTATGTAAATATTACAATTATGTTTAAGAAAATTGATTAAAAATAATAAATAAGGATTATTATTAAAATATATTAAACTCAAAATTTAAAAATATTTGGGTTTAGTATGTTAATCTGTGAGATTTATGTGTATATTTCTATATTTAATTAAATGGGTAATATTTGAGTTTCAGACAGCGATTCATTTATTAGTGAAGTATCACAAGCTAGTTTCAATATAATAGACTCCAGGCCTGGAATTTATGCAGTACACTCTCAGCAAATAAATGCTTGGAGAACATTCAATAATGTCTTCCCCAGACTCTGCTTATCCAATCACTTATATGGAGAGCATGGATGTGATTCAATTCACAGGTCACAAATTTGCAATTCTTAAAAAAATAGTGTTTATATTGGCGAAATCAATTAGAAATTCTAAAAGAATGGCAAAGGAATATTTATTTACAAGATGTGGATAATAATGGAAACTAAAAGTTGGCTGTTATGAAAGAATGTTTATAAATGATAAATATTAAGAATTAGTACAAACTTTCCTTTGTAGGGAATGTTTGGATGAAACTTCTGATTCCAAAATCACAAAAGCATAAGAATCACAGAAATCAATAATCTAGAATAATCATTAAAAATATAACAAACCAATAAATGATAAAGATTTAAATTCTATTACTGATAAAAATTAAATTAGACCCAAAATATCGTTAATGGATATATTCAATATTTTTAATAGCTTGATGAATAATTGTATTGGGACATTCCTCCTTAAAAAAGAGAGAAATTTTAGAGAATTATCATTTTCTAAAGCACAAGTTCTTTGGAAGACTCTAAACAATCTCAAAACTAATAAGTTAATTCAGATTTCTTAAGTTTAGTTAATCTATAAAAAAATTGGATTTGTTATAGTGCATGATCACAATACTAATCAAACCTTCTCAGAGAAAATTTAAGATCTCCATTCATATTCAAATATATCGGTTAATTGAAATATTAATCTAGCCATGGCTTATATCCAAATTTGTATCAACTTTAGAAAAAAATCGTCAGCTGCAGGATTCGAACCTGCGCGGGTAAACCCAGTGGATTTCAAGTCCACCGCCTTAACCACTCGGCCAAACTGACTGTTATGCTCCAGTTTATCTTCCAAATTTAATATATGTATATTTCAGCTAAATTAAGAATCAACTTATCTTTTTTAAATTAAAATGAGTATTTTAAAATTTAGACTATAATATCACTAAACGATGTCTACAATATTTTTTAGATTTGAAAAATTAATTTTAATTAATATAATTATTAAATATGATCTTATATAAATTGATAAACATTTAACTAAATAAATTAAATATTAGAAATAAGAGATACGGTTAGCCAACTTATGAAAATTTGAAAATATTTCAATAATTTCATCCTTTCTTATAATAACTACCATGAGTAATAAAATTAATATTATAATAAAAAATAATGATTAAAAATTTAAAACTATTTCTCAATCTATATCCCCAATGAAAATGCCAATATTGTTTCTGAATTTTTATTTCCTGTTAATATAAATTAGCAGGTCTTAACTAATTTATAGTAATTTTCATGGAACTTTTACATCCGCAAGCTTTGGTATGTTATTGCTATATTAAGATTGGAATATATACTAAAGGGATAATCATGGGTATACAGTGGCAAATTGTGGATTAAAAAGCGTCTTAATCATGAACGAATGCACAAACTGGGCCTTTAATAGTTTAACATCAAAATCTTTTGAGCTTCCTCCACATTATTAAGTCAATCTGTCATTTAAACTTTGGATGTAATTATAATATTATATAGATAGGAGATCCGCTACTAACTATTTTTTCTATTTGTATGTTGACAACGAACTTAAACTTTTAATCTAAAAATCTCTATACACTTTTACAAACGGTTGTACACCATATGAATCATATGATATATCTGAAAATATTATTCACTAGAGCTCTTCCATTCAAATTACAATGGTCTCTAATTAATCTTCATGGGGCTTTTCTGAATTTAATTTAAATGTCATAAATACTACTCAAAAGATTTGGGAATTAGTTTATTAATCGTTTAATAACAAAATTTTCTCCACTATATCTGTAGATGATGGGTGGATGACTAACAACATAGTTTCTTAATAAGTATAGTAATGCACAGGTATAAGTAATAAATAAATATAGATTTCAATTTTTTAAGATCATCAGGGACTAATTTTATCAAAGAATTCGTTTTAAATCTTCATAAAAAAATAAGCTTGAATATGAAAGTGTTAATATTCAACTAAACTTCATCAACAATAGATTTGAAAATTGATAATTAATAGGTAATAACTAAAATCTCAGATTCTTATGTATAATCCTCAATTCCATTATGTTATAATTTTACAGTATTTTAAGTATAAATATCGGATTTTGAACATAAAAATGTAAATCTTAGAATAGAGGTATTAACTTAAACAGATGGCTCTACTTCTTGGTTTGGAATCAGAGATTTTTCATTATTTACTGATATATATGAAGATTATTAATGTAAAGACTTCAACATTTAGCCATTTGATGGGTGTTTCTCTAATCAATACGATTGTAATTTGGGTTGTAGTAATTGCGTAAATGGAATCTGCATCAACTGTTTAGATGGCTGGACTTTGTACACAAAAAATAATTGTATACCTATTTGTGGTGATTAGAAATTAATGTTAAATGAGATTTGTGATGATGGTAATTCTAATCCATACGATGGTTGCCATAATTGCTAATTTTCTTGTCCATTAAATTGCATCCTTTGCACTTATGGAACTTGTAAGGAATGTGAAAAATCCTATTTTCTTGTAAATAATAGGTGTAAACATGGTTTTTAGTTTGATGAAAGCTTTGTTGAACAATTAGAAACTGGTGTTCTCATCAATTGGACCAATTATCTTGAAAAAAATGGCATTTAATGTTAACCTAACTCTCAATAACAATCAATACTGTAATTATCTTAATAGTATAATCTACTTTAAAATAATTATTATAGATTAAACATAATTTAAAGTTTTTCGGTTTGTTATTTTCCAGATTCTTAAATTATTTTAGATCATGAATAAGATAGTTAAACCGAATGTAAAAAAGGTTATAAATTTTCACCAAGCAAAAGATAATGTGTTGAAATTTGTAATTGTTAAGATTTAGTTAGCTTGTAAAATAATGATTGTAATAATTGTATATAAAACTGCTAATTAGAATGTTTAATATGTCTTTAAGATAAATGTTATGTTTGTCTTGAGGGATGGCAATTGGTTGATAATAAATGTTAGCAAATTTGTGGAGATAATTAAATAGCATTACATTCTAATGAGCAGTGTGATGATGGTAATTATGTTATTGAGGATGGGTGCTATGATTGTTTATTTTAATGTGGATCTTATTGCTAATTTTGCAATAAGGAATTAAATTGTCTCCTATGTGAAGCAAATTTCAAGCTGGCACATCATTTATGCACACCAATATGTGGTGATAAAATAGTTATAAGTGGATTAGAGGAATGTGATGATGGAAACAACATTAAATATGATGGTTGTTTTGAATGTTAATTTTAATGTAATTTTGGCTGTAAAATTTGTGAATCTGGCAAATGTTAAGATGTGTGTAAAGTTGAAGAAGAATCTATAAATGGTGAATGTGTTCCAATAGTTCTAATTGAAATTGAAGAAATTGATCCAATTCAACCTGAATGCTAGAATGATTGCTAAGTTTGCGATGGGGCTAATTGCCTCCTATGTAAACCAGATTATATTTTGGAAAATAAGAAGTGTGTCTCATGTGGAAATGGGATTGTAAACAAAGATGAAGAATGTGATGATGGAAACAGGATCAATTCTGATGGATGTTCAAATTAATGTAAAATTGAAGAGAATTGGAATTGCATAGAATCCTATTCATTATTAAGTTAATGTTCCCGTATTCCTAGAATTTCGATTGCATTTTTAAACTCAACTTTTAACACACAATATGTTTAATTATCATATAATAATAAAGTTAAACTGAATTAATAAGAAAATAACTTTTTAGATTATAATGTTAATTCAATTAACATAGGTCCTACTTATTATAATATCAGTATTTTTCCTGTAGTAGAAATAGTCTCAAATGAGACTCGAGATATCAATTATGAATTAAAAATTCAAATTAACTAACAACTCTCATAAAATCCAATTTTAGAAGTTAAGGTCGATCTTATTTTATTGGATGAAAACGATTTACCAGTACCACCATAGTCATAATAAATTGAATTAAATGCCCCTTTAGTTCTAAATCAGGCATAAATAGAAGTTTCTAAAAATTTCTAAAAATTTGGTTACAATATTATGCTTGCATTAGGAGGTTTCGCTATTTTTGCATTGCTTCTTGGTTCTCCCTAATAATTTTTAGAAATCTTAGATACATTATAATTTTACTCATATTTGAAGTTTATAAATGTAGAATATCCAGAAAATCTTAATATTTATTTTTAATCTTCTGAATTGATATCAGTGGATCCAATATTATAATTTTTGGGAATTAAAGATAATTTTGAAAATTAGTTAGGGATTAATATAATTTAAGGTTTTGGGAAGTTTTATCAGTATTAAATTAATGCTGATTTAATAACTAATATATATAGCTAATTAATGTAGGTAATTTTATTCTTTTCATTATTGATAATTCTGAAAATGTATCTGAAGTTTTGCTTAAAGGTTTGTTTTACTTCATATTTCATTTATTTTTTCAGAAAACGGAAATCAAAAGCATTTGAGTCGCTTGCAATAAAACTATATTAATAAAATAAATAGATAAAGAAATATTTAAATTTTGACTCCATAAATTTGATAATAGATTTTTACTATGCTAATACTTGGGATTTAAGTTTTAAGGTTTTATTGTATTTAACCTTTAACTAATAATCAGGAATTAGAACTTTAGTGTCATTAATATTTTGTCTGATATATTTTATAATAGGAATATGTATTGGAGTGAGAAATTTTGAGATACCCAGTAATAACATAGATTTCAAAAAATTAAAAAATTAACAGCATTAATAGATTATTATGTTAAAAAAGATTACCTTTGTGTTAATTTTAATTAGAATGCAAGATTTCTCTATAGCATAATGCATAATGCTCTCCTTTTCCACTTGTGCATATATAGGGTTTTTATTTATTCTTAAGGTTACAAATACTATTTTAGACTTGATGAATATCTTGTGCGTAGAGGTTTCGGTAATATTATTTACATTGGTTAATTTGTCATTTTGTAAAGATTTTAACAATGTTTTTACTCCTGATTAAATAATTAGAATAGGTTTTTTATAAATAGCTTGCTTAATGTTTGGATTATTAGGTCCTTTAATTAATTGTGTTTATAAGTTTTATAATAAACTTAAAAAAATTTACAGGTTAACCAAACCAAAAAAGTTCTAACTCAAAAGAGCAATTAGGAATATTATGTTTGAAGTACCACTTTGAAATTAGAATAGTAATACATTATTTTATATAAAAGATAACTATAATTTTTTTAAATTTATAGTATTGAGTTTTTCTATTTCCTTATAGATATTAAATAAGCATAAAAAGTATTATTATATCAAATTATAAATATATATATTTTAGTATTAATAATAATGATATTTTACATTTAATCCTAAATCTTTCTTTGATTTTAAAGTTTATCTAAACCTTATCTAATGTTAAATTTATTTCAACAACTGAACTAAAACTAAAATCATTAGATATATGCGTTAAAGGAAAACATATTTAAAGTCTAAGATTGAAATAATCAAGAAATTCAATTCAACATCCTCCTCTAAGCATCTAGGCTCGACCGTATTTTCAGGGGTGCCTTTTTCCTTGAACATCACATTTTTTCCCCTTATTATTTCTTGACCTCTCTAGATCTCATTGCATCCCATCTAAGCCTTTCCAATTTACTCATTGAAGAAACAGGCCCAGGATGAATTCCCTCAGGCTGCCCCCTTTATGAAATCATCAAGAAGTTTATGATAATTTAATTTTTAATCAAGAAATGTTTACACTTTGTATAATTATTATTATGATAGATTTTTGTAATTAATAAGTTTAAGAATTAAAACATCTACACATTCATGAGTCCCTTATAAATGAGATCAGACTTACAAAAACAATTCTAAATTGATTATAATTTAATTAATTTTTTAATTTTTTTTCAAAATTTGATGGCTACTTCTGTTTAGGCTATCTATATTGATTCTTTTCAGGGGACAAGAGTTTATATTCATGTGGATTTTTCTTTAAATTTATTATTTGATATTTTACAAATTTCAGAATAATAAATAAAATTCTAAAATTCTTAACATTCCATTTTTGGTTCGTATATCTTATTGTTGTAATTATTAGACAAATGACTTACATTCATTTATTTAGATTTATTATCCATTATATTTGCAAATTTATAATTTTCTTCATCAAACTCTAAAGAATAAAATTATAATAATAACCTTAATTCTTGTATTAGTTGTACTTTTGAGACCCAAAATTTATTATTGACTTCTAAAATCATCATTCAATATACTTAATCTTATTTTTTTATTTTTCCTAAATATTTGATTATTAAACATAAGATATCATAATATATACAAAATTTAATTTATTTAATTAATAATTTATCAGATTTGATAAATCTAAAGTGGTTTGTTTAAGTTACGATATTTATACTTGATAAAATGAAAATAGTTTTTATTATTAATAATATGTAAACACAATTAAACGTACTTAAATAAAATTATATAGAAATAATAATATCAATCAAAAAAAGGATGAGCTAGTGCAACTAACTAGATCGAAAAGTACATAATTATGAGGAGAGTGATTTTGTACATTCATAATGAAATTGGACTGACATGGATTAACTAAAAATAGAATCAAAAATGAAATGTTTTTTTAATTGTTTGTTTATTTGTATAACTTTATATGGGATCACACTGTTCAAATTGTTCTTAATGTTAAAAAGATAGATTAGATTAAATCAATGAAGTCACCATTACGAAGAAATCAGAAAGCAATAAAGCTGTTATAGTAAGCTAGAAAGTTGAATATTAATGTGCAGAGAAGTAAGCATAGAAATAGATTTTATAAACTAAAATGGCTATTATGATATAAAAATAATGGAAGGGATACAAAGTAAGGAAGGCTTATTTATAGACCAAACTGCTGTTCAATAAGTCTTAGAATGACTAAGTAACCACAGATAAGAAGAGTAAGAGGGGGAAGCAGAAATATTTTACCAAAGAAGAGTATGAATGTATTTTAATATACTTATGAAGTAACAATCAAATCTGAATCACTTTAAAGGGAATATAGATCAAAATATAAATTTATTAGTGGATCAACATATGAGGGAGAATGGTTGGGAGATAAGAGAGATGAATAGGGAATACAAATATGGGAAGACGGGGCCAAATATATTGGATAATGGAAAAATAATTAAGCATTTGGTTAAGGAACCTTTTATCATGTCGATGGAGATGTTTATGAGGGCGAATGGTAAAATGATAAAGCAAACGGATTTTGAGAGTACAAACAATCAAATGGAGTTATATACTTTGGATAATGGAATGATGATTATCAACACGGACATGGATAAGAGAAATGTATAAGATTGTTGTTTACATGATAGGGATTGATAATTCACCTTATGAGGGACAATACTTTGAAGGTAAAATTTAGGGAAGAGGGACTTATAAGTGGCCTGATGGCAGCTATTTTGAAGGAGAGTGGTTTGATAATAAAATATATGGTGAAGTAAAATTTTAATTGAAAATAGGGAGAATACGTTTGGGGTGATGGAAGAAGGTATAAGGGTACATGGAAGGATAATAAAATGCATGGTTATGGAGTGTATCAATGGGGAGATGGCCGAGTGTATCATGGCGAATATGTTAATGATAAAAAATAAGGGAAAGGGAAGTGCTTGTGGCCAGATGGGAAGGTTCTTGAAGGAGAGTGACATGAAGGTAAATAGAACGGAAAAGGTAAATTTTTAATGGCAGACGGAAGAGTGAAATATGGGATGTGGAATAATGGAAAAAAGAATCAATCTCGAAGGATAATAGGAATGAATAGATGTCTTAGAGTAACAAGAATAATAAGAGCATTATTATTCAATCTTTTTATAAATGTTATATTTAATTAGCAATAATTTTATAATACGTATTTAATCATTCCAAACTTTAATTTTAATGTTAAGAATTAGGTTCGGCTACATGATGACGATGACCCTAATCCTTTTTGAAACAATCGAAACACTTTTCACAACAGCCTTTTTAATTATCATATTTTTCTGGGACTATTTGTCGATTCGAGGGAAACAACATTCTGTCAGAGTGTTTCTATATTTGTAGATCAATTGAATTGCAATGAGTAATATTACAATTGCAATTATTAATCCAACTCTTGCTTTTCCTTCTAATTACTTAATTGAAGAAGCAGGTTCTTTGATATTTATTTCAAATTAATACCTACATATAACTAGTCTTCAAAAAATAAGATTTTTGGTTACAATTGGGGTTAATACTCCTTTGGACCATTTTAGGCGTTCTGATCTCTTAAACACTGTTTATTCTCTAAAATAAATTTAATTTTCTCATCTTCCCATTTCTGTATCTCATTATCAGCCTCAATACCTAAAATATTCATATTCATATTGTTTCTTTTTATGACATATTATGTTTGAAAATTAGCTTACTCCTCTGATTTAGAAAAACTACCCTTTTCCAACGCTGAATGAACCATATAATGTGTGCATGCTTTATTAGAATGATTAAGGAAATCAGCTATAGGAACTAGACAAGTAGATTTAAGATCCCATCCAAAACATCTACTCATAACGCATTCTATATGATACATATTGAAAAATGCTAAAATTTGATTATAAAATCCTCTGTCTATATTGAATCTCTTTTAGCTTCCAAAAAAAAAAATTTTTAATCAAAAATCCCTTATCTAATACTGATTTCCTACGATAATTTTCTAACTACATTTTGAAATTATATTTTTATCAAATAGTTTTTTCAAAATAAAAATTAATTATTTCTCCTTTAACATTCTATACCATTCTTTTTAATTTCAAAAGCTACTTAAAATTTCATATCATTGGCTTAAATTTAATTATATAATCTTGGAGCAATAAAAAATCATGAATCCAAATTCAAATGTCCAATTTAAACAAAAATTGCTTTTGCCTATTGAAATTATAAAAATTCAACAAGTAAGTTCTAAATTTTTTAATGCTTTGTCATAGCCTGCTTTCATGTATTATTTATTGTTCTATTTTTTAAACAAAATAAAGAAAGCTAAGAGATCTAATATATGTTTTAAAACTTTTACTATTGCATTTTGTTACTATCAATTATCAATATTATACAAGTTTACCTTATTATATCGATATTAGGTATATTCATTGGAAAAGGTTATGATTTATCCATATTGATTATTCAGAATTCAAATAAATTTATTATTGCAATCTTATAAATAATTTATTTATTAAGTTTTCATTGAGGAGTAACTGATAAGTCATGTTGAAAAGGTAAGAATTCTATATATTAAATTTAATTTATTTTTAATAAAAACAAAAGTAAAATTAGGAGCCTTATCAATAATTGTAGATTGTACGAATAAAATAACACAAAAATAAGAGTAAATATTTCGTTAGTACATCATAAAAATAATTATTTTTAATTTTATGAAATTAGATAAAGGAAGTCATAGTTAAATTTTAACCTATTTGGATATGCTAAACTTATAAATAACTAAATATAAACCTCCATTCCTTTTATAGAGAAAAAAGAACAACTGCTTTGGAATCAGTAGTGCAATAGCTTAATAATAATTGTTAAACCGAATCAAGAAATTGTTTAGAAAGCAAATTGTTTGAAAGAAAAATTCTGGAAGCTTCAAGGGAGAAATATATAATTAATTCCTACAAAATTGCTTTTAAATATCAGGTTCTTAAAATTAACACTAATGATTAAATAAACCTACCTTAAGATTTAATAATGATTGATATTATATTACATATGATCTATAAATATTTGATAGTGATAGATAATAAGTTTTAATTTTTTAAAAATGATAAAATTTAATCATTATGTATAAACAGAAGTCTTCAATAACAGTATGGTATTTTAGTCTCTTTGTTTTTTTACCTCTGATAAAAATTGGAAAAAATAATGCCTTTCAACTCCCTAGAGAAAAGTGAGGAATTAAAAATAATACATATTGAAGCTCATTTTGATGTTCTTGCTCTTTTAAAAATAATACATGAATCAGAAATAAGATAGAATAAAGTCTTATGATAATTTATTTTCAACAAAATTTTTTATGTCTAACTGAAACGAATTTTAATTAGAAGATACAATATAATTTAATTCCTTAAATGTCAAATAAATTGTTTTTAACATTATGTCTCTTCAATTAAGCTAATACTTATATAAAAAATGATAAAAGGATTTGAATTCTATATTTATAATTGAAAAGATGATTTAAAATAGAGGAGGAAACTTGAAACACCAGCTAAGATAAATATAATAAATTTATTTCCATTTATTTTATTAATAAATAAACAATGGGTAACATTTGTCGGTAAAGTCCAATTAATGATAAAAATGATATAGAAGTGAACACATCCTAACCTCCTCCTATTTAATAAGTTCATCCCCCAAAACCTGATGAGGTGAAGACTCAAGCACCTGAGAAATAGGAAGAACCAGCATAATCAATTGATTAAGCAAAATAAGAGAACGAAGTATTGATTAAAATTCTATACAACTTAGCCTAAAAGAAAAGAGCAAAAGAAGATGGGAAAAATAGCTGCAGTTATCGATCAAGAAGTAATTTATGAGAATGTGCAAAAATAAGAGAAAGTGAAAAGTCCATTTGATTTTTAATTGCTTTTGAATGCTTTTGGAAATAGCTTTATATTTGGGTAATTACAACCAGAAGACAAGTATATAAATAATTTTATTAGTTAAGAGTGAAAGTAATTGATAAAATGTTTTATTGCACAGTTCATGATGGTGAAATGGTTTTTAAATAGGGAGATAAGGCAAGTTCATACTTTCTGATTGAGCGTGGATAGTGCTAAATTATCATCAATAATGAATTAAAAAAAACTTTAAAAAGTGGTGAAGCCTTCGGAGAGCTGGCCTTATTATATAATGCACCAAGATCCGCTACCGTCAAGGCAGTAGGAGGTAAAAAGTATTACATTTTTAGATTGTGCATTCTGGGCAATTGATAGAAATACTGTAAGAAAAGCAATTGAATCAATTTCATAAAAGGATTATGATTAGAATAAGGAATTCATAAATAAAGTGCCGTTTTTTGGTAATTTAACATATTACAAATAGAATCTTTAACTGATGATTAAAAAGCAGCAATTCCATCAGCATTAATAAATTTAAATTTTAAAGCTGGAGAGATTATAGTTAATGAAGGAGATCAGGCTGACTCATTCTTTATTATTAAAAAGGGAGAAATATAGATATCAAGAGGAGGAAAAGAACTTAGAATAATGAGGGCAGGGGATTCTTTGGGAGAATAAGCATTATAATAGAATTCAGTAAGGGGGGCCACTGCAAAAGCAATTAAAGAGGATGCGACAGTTTTAGCTTTAGCAAGAGATGATTTAACTAGAATTTTGGGAGACAAGATACAGTTGATTATGTACAGTAATCTTCAGCGATGGGCATTTGAAAGACATGTTGTGCTTAGCAAACTGACAAAATTGTAAGTGGAAAGAATTGTGAGCAATATGCAATAGACGCAAAAAAAAAGTGAAGAAGTAATCATAGAGAAAGGTTAAGCTTGTAGAGAGATAATTATTGTCTTGTAAGGGTCAGTAAGGTATGGAAAGGAAATTTTAGAGAAGGGATAAATGTTTGGAGATAAATTTTTAGATCAAGGAGAAAATGTTAAATTGGGAGAGCCAGTTGTAATGAAGGATGAAGGAATGATAGCAACAATAACATTTAAATAATTCTTTGAGATTATTGGAGGATCCTTAGAGCAAATATTTGCTAAGAATGAAAAAGCTCATGATAGGTTTATAAAAAAGGAGGAAGGTCAAAAATAGGATGTTTTTAAGCATTTTTAATTGGATTAATTGATTCATGTGAAGAAATTAGGCTAGGGACAATTTGGTAATGTTTATTTGGTGCATAACAAAATGGATAAAAAGATATATGCTTTAAAATGTATCTCGAAGGCTCAAATAATTGAATAAAATCTTGAAAAACATTTGGCCTAAGAAAAGATAGCCTTGGAAACTGTTAACTTTCCACTAATAATGCACTTTGCTAGAAGTTTCAGGGACACTACTTATATATATTTCTTGGAAGAATATATCAGAGGAATGGAACTTTTCGATGTAATCAGAGACATTGGGTTGCTTAATACTTATGATTCTCAATTCTATATCGGATCTTTGATTTTGTGCATGGAATATTTACACTTGAATAACATCATATATAGGGATATTAAACCAGAGAATATCATGATTGATGAAAAAGTATTTTCAATAACCATAAATATTAGGGGTTCATGAAACTGATTGATTTAGGAACAGCTAAGAATTTAAAGAGTAAAAATGGTAGAACATACACTATTATCGGAACTCCTCATTATATGGCCCCAGAAATTTTAACTGGTAAAGGATACACATACTCAGTTGATCTATGGTCCATAGGAATTTGTTTGTATGAATTTATGTGTGGAAATGTTCCATATGCTGAAGATGCTGATGACCCGTATATTTGTTTATGAATCCTTTATTAGTTATGAAATATACGAGGAAATTTAAAAGAAATAGTTAACATTTCCCTCAGTATTGAAAGATAGAAAAGCCAAGAAATTGATTGAGTAATTGCTGAGTAAAACTCCAGAGCTCAGACTAGGATCATCTTATGCTAGTTTAAAAAACAACACTTTTTTCGAAAGATTTGATTATGTAAATTGGAATGTATAATTTAGGATCTTCTCATTAACAGAGAGTTAAAACCTCCTTATTTGCCACCCAAAAACAAATTACATAGTGAAAAAGATATATAAAAAGCTATCCAGGTTGGTAAATTGGTTACCGAAGAAATTAAAGTACAGTGTAATTAGTAGACTAGAATGATCTTGCCACTGCTTAGAATGTTTACAAGCCTGAAAAAGCTCGTGATCCTAATTGGGATAAGGATTATTGATTTCTTAGATTTTTTCTTAAAATTTATTTATATTAAAATATTCCAAAATATTATAGTTGTTTGTTCACTCTCAGCTTTTTTGGTTTTTGAGAATATTTAACTTCTAATATGATGTACACATGTTAATTTAATTTAAATAAAATAGTAAAAAATGATGGAATTTTATCAATAATATAATTAATTATGTTAATTTCAAAGACAGAGAATGAAGAGCAATCTGAGACAGCAGTTAATTCAACACAACCAGTTTGTCCTAATTGTGGTGCAGCTAGGGAAAGTATTTTAGAATAAGTGCCATCTCCAGCTTCATTTATAATTTCCTTTGTTTCCTTATTTTATTTCGGAATTTGGTGCATATTTATAATCCCATTGGTGTTTCAATCAACAAAAGTAAATAAAATAAATAAATGTCAAGATGATTATAAAGAGATGCTACTATTGTAATCAAGAATTAGAAAAAAGAAAATACTTTTAATTACCAAATATCAACGATTAAGTGCTATAATTTAGATTTGGCAATTGCATTGTAGTAGTATCTAGAAAATATGCTTTGGTTTTATTGACGATCATAGTTTGTTTGTTTTTTTACTTTGAATATTTTACAGAGAAGGAGCAACCATAAATTGAAGCAAATATCTATTCGAACAAAACGTGGGTTGATTTCTTATAATTTTGTGGCAAATTTTAATTTATTGATAATGGTTTGAAAGCAAGACATCAATTTGAAACCTATTTTAAGGATAAAATAGTTTCATGGAAAGGGTATGATAAACAAAATTAATTTTAGTGATTTTATTCAAACAAAACCTAATCATGATCCAAATTTCAGTTTCAATTATTGGGTGTATTTAAAGATGGATCCAACTGAATCAACTGAAGATTTGCCTGATATTATCGTTGGTGTAAGGGACTCTTAATATTAAATTGAAACATTTTAGAAGTTGGAAAAGGGTAAACCAATCCATTTTGAAGCTAAATTTCTGTTTTTGGGATCAGAATATAACTTTCATATTTTGGAATTAAAACATCTTACTGTGATACCATCTGAACTTGTGGAAGATATTAAATAGCTTCATCAATTCACTTTAGACATGGACTAATTCCAAAAATTAAAGAGATCAAAATTATAAGAGTCTCTAAAGCATAAGATCCATATGTATAATCCAAAATAAATACCAGGAATTCAAAAGATAATTGAATCCATCCAAACAGCAAATAATACTATAGCTAAAACCACCTAAGAAAATGTTCAAAATGAGGAAAATAAACAAGAATAATCGGATTAAGGTGATAATGCAGTTATTGAGAATTAGAATGTTAATTAGTAGGAAGATAACAATAACGATGTTAATGAAGTTAATGAAGCTGTTAATGAATAGGATGAATAAGAGAAACAATTTGATCCTTCTAGTGTTAATATAAAAATTGATGAATCTATAAGGAATGAGATTCTATCTAAAGATTCTGGAATAGTTGATGGAGTTATTGATGATGATGACAAAAGTGCCACAAATTAAGATTGACAATTAAATTTTAATCAATTATTTATGTTAAAAAGTTATTTCTTAATATTGTATTATATGAATTAAGAAAAGAACATATATAATATATTTGTAGAAAATATTATTTCATTCAATGAATAGTTACTTCTAAATAAATGAATAGATTTCGTAGACAGACAACATTATCTTACCAGATGACACTCCGATGAAGAATAAACCAAACATTATTACAACAATGAAGACCACCTGGTTTACTTTTCTTCCGTATGCTTTTATTAAGTAAATTACGTAACCTGCTAATATTTATTTCATTGTCATCGGCATATTATAGATAATTCCTGCAACTTCTTATACAAATGGTGTTCCAACTATTTATGGGCCATTGGCAATGATGATGAGTATAAGCATTTTGAAAGATGCCATCGAAGAATATTCAAGGTTAGAACTCTAATTAAAAATAGATATAAATCTGATCAAGAAGAGAACAATCGTAAATCACATAAATACTTTGAAAATTAGTTTATATAATGCAATTGGAAGGATATCTATTAAGCTGACATTATCTTGATTATGGAAAATGAAAGTATTCCATGCGATATCTTGATACTCTCATCTAGTTATTAAGGAGGTATAGCATATGTGGAGACAAAGTAAATTGATGGTGAGACAAATTTAAAATAAAAATATTCAATCTATGATTTATAATAAAGGTACCATATCGATAATGCAATAAACTTTGTATTTATATAGTAATTAATCACAAGGAGAAAAATAACAACGTAAAGTTTGTATACGATTAGAAGAACCCAATATTATATAAACTATCAGGAACCTATCAAATTAGTAATTCTTAAGTGGATTCATTAAATTATGGTAATTTTATTGAAAGAGGTTGTGTGCTAAAAAATACAGAGTGGATAATAGGTTTGTGTATTTACAGTGGCATGAACTGTAAAATTATGTTGAATTGCTCTCAAGAAAGGACGAAAAGAAGTAGATTAGAATAGTATATGAGAATCTGTATCATTTCTATATCAATCAGTTTGGTATTATTTTGTCTGATGTCATCTATATATGAATTCATATGGACAAACAATCATCTTAATTATACTTATTTGGGACTTACTAGAGATGATGTATTCATAGATTTTGGATTATGGTTTTCATTGCTTTCATACTTCATACCAATATCTCTGGTAGTGAATGTGGAATTGGTAAAGTTTGGTTAAGCTAAGATGTTGGAGTCAGACAAAGTAATGCCAAATTCAAAATCGCATCAATCTAATTTGATTGAATAATTAGGAGAAATCAATATTGTTTTCACTGATAAAACAGGTACATTAACTAAAAATTCTATGTAATTTAGAGAACTATTTGCTTTAAATGAAAAAGAAGCATTATTGTGCATGAGTTTATGTCATTCTGTTGTAAAATCAAAAAATAAATTGATAGGATCTTCACCTGATGAATTAGCAATATTAGAATATTGTGAATAAAAAGGGTATTTATTTTAAGGCATCGATAATAATAATCATCTAACCATAAACAAAACTCAATTCCACAGAGTGATGAGTTTTGATTTCAGCAGTGAAAAAAAGAGAATGACCATTGTGGTCAAAACAGGAAATGAATATGTTTTATTTTGCAAAGGCGCTGATGAAGTATTACTTGAATTAATAGGAGAATGCAAACATTAACACATAATTCATCAATTCGCAATTCAAGGATACAGAACATTAATGTTGGGAAGAAAAACTTTTACTTAAAGTCAAATGGACATATATTTAGCAGAGTATCATTTTTTTTAAATTTATAGATATAAAAAGGCATAAGAGGAGAAAGATGAAGAGATGATGAATAATTTACAAAAGAAACTTGAATTGAATTTGGAGTTCTTAGGAATTACAGCTGTTGAAGACTTGTTAGCAGATGATGTAGGATAAACTATTTCAGATTTAAAGTCTGCAGGGATTAAAGTTTGGGTTCTAACTGGTGATAAAGTTGAAACTGCTATTTCGATAGGATATTCATGTAATCTCATTGACAGCAAGGATATGCTCTAAGTAGTTACTGAAATTACAGTTGGAAGTATAGAAGAGGTGTTTTTGCACTATTGCAATGAATCAGCTAATATTGCATTGGTAATTAGTGGATAGGCATTAACAGTAATGTTAGAGAATCCACAACTTAAATCAATGCTAATCAAGAGAGCTTTCTTTGCTAAAGTAGTCATAGTGGCTAGAGTGTCTCCAAAACAAAAACAATAAGTTGTAGCTTTGGTTAAAGAGAATCTCCCCAAGGCTTATACTTTGGCTATAGGAGATGGAGCTAATGATGTCTCTATGATAAATGAGGTAAATTTGATCATATGTCGATAGGCTCATGTTGGAGTGGGAATTTAAGGAGTTGAAGGAACACAAGCTGCCAGAGCCGCTGACTTTGCAATCCAAGAATTCAAACATCTTAAGCGATTAATGTTTTATTATGGGGTTGAGTGTTCAAGAAGAAATGCACTCACAATTCTATACATATTTTTTAAGAACTAGGTGTTCATCACTCCCTACTTTTGGTTTGGATTTCTCAATGGTTTCAGTGGGTAATACTTATACGATCAGTGGTTATCTTCATTGTTTAACACAGTTTTTGCTGCTCTCCCTTAGGTGCTCTATGCTCTCTTTGATGAAATGCATCCTTCTTCAGAATATTTGCAATGGAGTAAAACCTCGCATAATTTGCTGGAGGATAAACCAGATGTATATGTTTAATTTAGATAATAACCGATTTTTACAATCATTAAGTTTTGGCTCTGGGTTTTTAATGGAATGGTTCAAGGCTTGATGATATTTCTAGTCTGCACATTTTCTACAGAGAACTAAAACATGGATGATGGTATGACTATGGAATTTTTTGAAGATGGAGTATTCATTTACGGAATAGTCATTATTCTTGTTAACCTTAAGATCTTCACTTTTACTTATACTAATTATAACTTCACCATATTTTTCATCGTACTATCAATTCTTGTTTATTGGCTAATATTGATTATGGTGAATGACCATGAATTGTCTCCATCATTTAACTTCTATAGATATCTAGCCTCGTATATATTTCATTCTATATTCTAGACCACAACTCTATTTAGCACTAGCTTTAACATTTATGCTATTTTTATTTGATTTGGCAATTGAGAGATTTTATGATTTTTAAATCTATGTTCGAAAACCGGAATCAATAGAACTAGTTTGATTTGTTAATTTTAAATTGTATATTTTAATATATTAAATAAGTATTTACTTAAAATCTGAAAGAAAGACTACCATTAGTATTTTTATCAGTAACAGTAAAAATATGTTGGTCATAATAATTCTTAATATTTCTGACTATTTTATACTCAAATTTTCCAAAAGTTCTGAAAAATGAAAGATCTAGTATTTACTTTTAAGATATTCATAATTATCACTATAAATTTATTTAAATATCATAAATAATTCTATTCATATCTTTATCACTTTATGACTAGTGTATTTTCTGTATTTCTATATATTTTGATAATAAAATTGTTATTTTATTTTTCTTCATATTTTTAAATTGATTCTATGTCTTCCTCATTTTATATTTAGAACTAAAGTATTAAGGCATTTATGCAATTTGAACCATAAAAACTTCAAGAAGTAAGAATAATTTATGACTTTTTGTGGACAGTGCCTTTTTGATTGTTTTATATTTATTATTAATAAGGATTATAATATATGTATAAGATAACTCTTGAAGATGAACATTGCAGTGATTCTCAATTGCTAATTCATCATTCACATTATTCTGAACTATCTTAGTTGAAATATTGAGAAATGTATATTTTTATCTTTATTATATTCCCTTAGATCATTCCAGAGTTAAGAAATAATGTTAAGGAATATTTTACTACTTAACTAATTCATTAGTTCTTTAAGATATGATTGATTAAAACTGTATAATATTTTGTGGATATTAGAAAGTGCAATATTTAATCATTTTAAATTTATATTAAATTAATCACTATTTTTTAACCTCTATAATAGAGGAATTAAGATTTTTAAAAGTATCTTAATATCTCCAAATCAAAAAGTTACATTATAATTATCAAATTTTCGTCATTAACATCAATATGATAGTATAAAAGCTGGTCATTGATATAATATAAATTATCTCGATGATCCTTTAGAAATATAAATATTAACTCATTTTTTTTGTTGTTACTAGGCTAAAATCTCAATATTCTGCATTTCCAATGCATTTCGATCAATTTTAGTTTGAAAGAGTTTATTTCTTCTCTATATTATCGTACTATAATCTAGTTTTACTGAATGTTAAATAATACCTATTGAGCCCAAAATTGGTATTGAATTTGGGAATCTGCTTGCCTTTTTAAACTTTTTGAGTTCTTTTTCTCCATTCATTATCACAAAATAATAAGTTTTTTGCTCGTTAATATTAATAGTTGAGATTTGTTTTTCTTTTTTTAAGGAACATCCCATTTGATTAAATATTAATTATATGATTGCTCATAATTAAATTGTTAGAAAAATCTTAAGAAAGATATTATATTGAATTATAAATCAACCAATAATTATTATCATTTAGAAATATACATCAGCAAGATCCTTATGTTACATTTATCAATATTAATCTCAGGGATGCTTAATCAGTCCTAATCTATAAGCAAAGAACATTTGAATGAGGATTTAAAAATGATAGATATAACTTATTTCTTTATAATTATGAGTATTCATAAATTAATTAATTTAAAAAAAAATGAATGTCGAAGAGGAGGATGTCAATTTCTTGAAAGGTATTCACTCAATTACTAATTCCAGTTTAACCCTTGTGGACAGGATGTAGAAACACACCTTATATAATACGAGCTGGAATCAATATAGATAAGTGCTTAATTTGTACTATTTATAAATAAGATATAGTCATAACAAATCTCAGATAATCATGGATTTGCAAGCTCAATAAAGACCGCATTTAAAAGGATAAAGAACTTTACAATAAATCAATATAAACAACGAATTTCTAAGGAGTGTTGGATTTATTAGAGTTGGCCCTCAAATTTGACCCTCAAGCAGAATACTCCTTCAAGTTGAATGACTCTTCTTTGTATTATGGCTATAGTAATGTAATCAAGATCTACACTCTAACATGGGTGTTCGATTGCAAAATCGTAGATGACCAATATCATAACAAAATTCTTATAAATGACATTATTAATCCTTTGTTGTTGACCATCCATTCCTTAGAAAATAGATGCAACAATTATAAATCTGCGTTTTCATAGTTAGAATAGGATTACATAAAGAGATTGAATGAAAAAGAAAGAGCCTAATATAAAGTAAGAGACAAGGATGAAGACTTGAGTGTATACATTTTAGATGATCAAATTGACCATGAGAAGATATGTTAAATAAACTTTACTCCTATGGCAAATTATTTCATCTAATATTATGCAATTAATAAAGTGAATAAATCATTATAACAAATGAAAAAAAGACAACCGCAACAGCAATAAAATAAGAATGAAAATGTCTCTTCAAATATGAAGAAAAGTAAATTAAAGATTTAAATTATTTAGAAGAAAATATTTGGTAAAGTTATGAAAATACATTATCTGACATGTTTGACGGAAAGGGATAACAAATATTAGAAAATGATAAAAACGAACCAAAGTAAGATCGGAGCAAAAACACCAAAAAAAAGGTTGGATTTTTATGATTATATGCTATTTATTATATCAATTGTTGGCTGTTAAGACATAACTTTAAGAGTTTGTTTAAAGGAATTTGTATTGATATTCTTCAATGCACTTTTGATTTTCAGTGTATTCGATTGTTTTTCCTATTTATACAACTATTAGATACCATTATAATCCATTTCATCAAAAGAGAATGACTTTGGCTCCTGCTGGGACTTAAATTGATTTGATTTTGCTTTGGATATTTAGCTAATTAGAAATTAGGTAAATCTTCACACATGTTAAATGATTTTCCTAAGTAATTAATAGAATACAATGGTTACCTGTATAATTGCATTCTGTATAAAGAGTGGCACAGGCATCTGGTTTTTCATAATAGAGTTTAAATCCTTTAAGTGCAAATGAAGCATTATCATTGTTTTTTCCAATAGTGGTTGATATAAGTAAATCCAAAGTGGGTGTTTCATGTCCAATAACAAAATCAACAATAGCATAATTTTCAAATCCATCTCCACCACAAATATCAGCAAGTCCAGGATCTCCAAATCCAAATGTTCTTTACCAAACATTTAATCCATCAACTTTAACAAAATAATCTTCTCCATTCCAATTATCAATCTTCCAAGCTTCAAATGCAATTCTAATTCTTTTATGAGCAGGTAAATTGAATTTTCTAGTGATTTTAGCATCTTTTCCAGTCTTATCAAAACCACCAAAGAATTTGAATTCTCCACATTGTGTTGTAAAATCTGGTCCATTTTTACCATCAGCAACTTTCCAATCTGCATTAGCTGTCCAACCTGCTCCTTAGAATTCTGATGTGAATTCAACCCAATCTCCTTTCAATACACAACCAGATCCATTTCCATCTTCTGGGTCCAATAATACATAAGGAGAAACGCAAGCTGTACAATCTTCAACACTTGGTCCAGTACAAGTTGCACAATTGCTTGAACATTATGCAACATACAGTTGGAATTATCTAATACCCCAAGAGGCTTATTTTGATGACTTCTTGATTGTGGATGTCCATTTTACAAGGGCAGCACCATAATTATGAGGAGTTTCAAAGTTAACATTAATAATCTTTTCTGTTCCATCAACACCTCCTGGACTGATCTTATCACAAATGAAATATTCCTTATCTTCTACTTAAGCTACATTCTATTTCCACTTTTCTTGATTATCAATAGACAAAACTGCATTATCATTATCCCAATTATCAATCTTCCAAAATTATGCTATCACCTTAATTCTATAATGTGGGACAAGCTTATCAAAGATTTTTTAAATTGAAACGTTATTACCGAAATTACCTGGACCACCAATGATTGGAATTCCAGCACAAGTACTTGATTTAATAACAGTTGAAGATCCTTTTGCACTCCATCCATCAGCATCAATATTCTTTATCCAACTTGACGATACTGGCACCCACATTTAACAAACAATAGCGTCTGGGCCAAGACATGTACCACATTCAGCTGGACATGGCAAATAGGATAATTTTAATTTTCTAAAACCCCAAGACATCTAAAGATTAGTATTAATTATACTTTATCGGCAGTTTTATCAGCTGAAGATGCAAATGCAATAAATAATGCTGCATGATTATGAGTTATTGTTTAATCAACTGAGAATGAATTCACATTACCACCTGCTGGAGTTGCACATCTCTTTGTTCCATCACTTCCAGTCCACATAGTTTCCCAAAGGTAATTGTCCAAATAAAAGAACTATCTCTAAGTGTCCCATGCATCGAATCTAAAATTAATGAATTATTATACTTCCAGACTTCAACTTATATTTTAATCTAAAAATGTGGAGGCAATTAAAATTGTTTGGTAACTATTGCACCTTTACCAAATGTCTTAGGTCCTCCAAAGACAGTGGCATCTGAACAAGTAAAAAAATTATCAGCTTAAGCTTTTGCCAATTATCCTTGTATTGTCCAACCCTCCAATTAACCTACGTCTGCATTTGAAAAAGCAGAGTAAAATTCTACGAATTCTTGTGATGTTGCTAACATCACTAACATCGCTAGTGCAATGAATTTCATTATATTATTATATTCAAAAACGTATAATTTTTTTATATTAATTTACATCCACATTTATTGGTTCTAATATTAGATCTTCATAAAGGTCTATTACCTTTTTGAATCTATTCGTGTCTCTCCTATTTCAGGACTTCTAGCTTGATTAAGAATAATTATCTGTTCATTTTCAGTGATCTAATTATACTACTAACAACTTTATAATTAATTTCAATACGAATTCTATGATTAACTTGATTTCTTTAATTTTTTAGCTTCTCTAAATGCTAATTGATAATATATTGTAATTTAATATATACAGATAACAAAGTTTAGATTTTATATTGAAGAAATAAACATGAGAGATTAAGTATTAATAAAATGAAACTCATTTTCTAAAAATCTTTCTAATTGAATAGTACTAATTTTTTAAGATTCCTTTCAATTCCCTTTTTTCATTCGTTGTTTCCAATCTTTTTGTGTTCTCTTTGATTTACTAGTGATTTTAGGATGTATTTAACTAATCTCTCTCAATCGATGAACTTATATTTGGGTAAGCATAAGATAAATTTAAGGCTGGAAGTTATTTTACAATATTATAATTATTCCTAAGTTCAAATGAATTAGGATGAATTTATTAAAATTTTTACTTTTACAATTATTTTGTCGTTTAATTTATTTTAGAATTGACCAGATAAGCATCTTGCTTTTCTAAAATAGTTTTTATAGACATAGTGTTTTGTTGAAGCCTCAAATTTTGTTATAAATCTTATTGATTTTATTATATATATATTTATTCTGTTTAACCTTGCTTACTTTTAGATTATTAGTTTTAATATGGATACTAGTAATATTTGATTCTTTCCTAATATTAATTGATAAGTTCTTATTTTTTAACTCCTCCTTGGTTATTTATCTAATAATCTCTTAAATAAAATTCATCCTCTTAGTCTATTAGATCGCCTTCCAAAAGTAATTTTCTAGGGTCAAAATCACAAATGTCATCTCTATAATCGTATTTAACAATTTATCCCTAATTTCTATTTGAGTATATTTTAGTGTTTTTTTGCAGAAGTTAAATCTAATTCAACTTAGAAATCGGTTATAAATAATCAATTCTATGGTTTTGAGATTTTGTTTATTTTTCTACTGAACGGGTGATTTTAAGTTCTTATTTAATATTAGGAGTGGTTTAAACTTGCATTCTAGTTTAATTCATATCTTAAGGATTTATTAACTTTTTGGAATAGATTTCTGGATCATGAAAGCCTAAATACAAATAAAATGCTTGCAATGAGTTAGAAACTGGAAATGTAATATCTGCTATTTTTATCAAAGAGTATAAAAACTCTTAAAAACTTAATTAATGAATATTTGAACATTTCTAAAAAATTTCCTCTAGGATATACTTTGAAATTACGTAAGTACCTCCGACTCTGTTCTTATATTTTATTTTATACAAAGGTTTTTAGACTTTGTGACCAGCATATTATTAAATAAATTCATTAGTCACTTATAAATCTAGTATTTGAAAATCTTTGCAAAAATTCATAAATTATTGTAAATTTAAAACTTATTTTTATAAAATTTAATCTTTTGTTTGTTTATTATGAGTTTAAAATTAATTAGTATAAAATAAAAAGATTTGATTTAAATTAGATTCTATCATCTAATTACATTATTTCTCATCTCTCTTGTATTATTATATTTATTTCTAAAAATTTTTTTTAATGTTTTATTATTATTCATTTTTCAAATCTGAATTATGTTTAGAATTCTATTCGATTGAGAGATTAATTGTCACTTGTTTAACATCCTTTGTTTTGGAATTATTATTAAATTGAGAATAATTTTTGAGTTCTTTATCATCTGTTTTCTGTATTTTCTTTTGGTGTATTTAAACTTCAGGAACCTTTGATTCATTTTCAATTAAGTTCTCTTCTTTTTAATTAAATTATTAAAGTGGGATTTATTATTATTCACCTTACAGGGTTTCAATACTATTTTTTCCTTATTTTTCTTTTTAAATGAAATTTAAGTCATCATCTTGATTCTCTTGGCCTATTCCGCTCTATTATTTAGAAAAACCTTAAATAGAAGATGAATTTAAATTCTTTAATTGAGACTTATTGATTTATTAAATTTCATCTTACTCATTTAAAGGTTTTAAACTTCTAAATCCTTCTTATGATCTTTCTGGATTTTAATATTCATAGTTGATAATCTAAGGTTCTTCGATCAATTATTAGTTATCCATAGAAAATAAATATTTTTTATCAATTAAATTTTATCAAATAATCAAAAAATATTAACAATTATGAGATTTATTCATTTGTTAATTGTTAATTTTTTGATCAAAAACTAATGACAAATTCTTGACTTGGTATTTTTCCAACTGTAAAATTAGATTTTAATGAATAAAAAATATAGATTCTTTGTTCTTTTCTGAATGTAAATTTAAATTACAAACTTAATTTGTTTATTAAACTTTATTTAGTCAATTAAAAATCAATTTCTTCATGTATATAAAAGAACAGGTCTAAAATATAATTGTATAAATATTATGAATAAAAATGGCAAATATATTAACGATAAACAGCCTAATTATAAATATTAATAATAAAATAAATTATTAATTGTTCAAACAATCAATGATCTCAGTTCATTATTTAGTTATAAAGATGTGCTCTACTATTTTAAAGTGTCAAATAAAATATTCCTTACTTAATCTTGAGGGTCTTGCTTGAGCCAAAATGTGACTTCATCATTAATTTAATTTCTTGATAATAACTTTTTACAATAAAGTTAGATGACTTCTTTCTATTTTTAAAAATAATATTTTGCTATTTCAATCATTATGAAAATACATTCGCATTCAATTATTTCATAAAAATCGTCTTTCACTTACTCAAAATCGAATTCCTTAGATATGATTTATTTATATATCTTATCATAATATATAAATGGTTTATTATTAATTACACACTGCTTGATGAAAGATCGAATAAGTTATTTCTCTATAGGAGTGAATCCATAAATGTCTTCATAAATAATAAAATGATATCGTAAATCTATTTTGATATTAATTATTTCAGGGATGAGTTTAATTTAATTTTTGACATAACTTTTCAAACCTTATTCATTATTTTAATAATATTCTTTCAGATCAACTTATTGTATTCTCTTTAGAAAATTTTGAATCTTTAATTCTTAAAAGTTTAAATCCTTAAAATATTTGAATTCGGGAATAATATTATCCAACTCTAAAGTGTCTAATCTTTCCATAATTTAGATTAGTCTTTCATTTTTATTGAAGATGCATTTTTTATCAAAAATTTGTTTATGTTAACTAATGACAAGAGCTTAAGCTAATTCTTCAAGTTCCTAATCATCTCCCTATAACAGATTGATTACATTAAGTGGCTTTACAAATGTTTGAATATAATAAATTAATATTTTTTCTGAATTCAATAATTGGCTTTAAACTAATTTCTGAATCAACAACTTACTGTTTTAGGATTGTTTTATTTACAGCAAAAAGAAAGCCTCTTGGGGATCTTTTAATAGAGCATCCAGAAATACGACATCAGTTATATTCTCAGTATAAAATTTTTTATATTCTTATTCAAATTTTGCTAGGCTGATTGAATTTTCTAATGATACTTCTATTAATTCCTTGCAAAGTATTTCAATTTTTTAAGGAATGAGTTAGATTTATTTAGTTTGTTTTTGCTAAAACTTTAATAAAGTTTAAATTGTATCTACAGATGACGACTATTTTAAGACCTTCCAGTACTGTTCTCTTTTCTAGTTTTCATCTTTTGAGAATTATAATAGAATTATTGATACTTCAGATTAAATTAATTCATCTCCATTTTTAGAAAGATCTTCTAATATAAATTAGGCCTTTTGTGGTTTAATAGTAAAATTCTTTTGTGCTAACTCTATCATAAATTTACAAAACTCTCGATCATATATAGTTAAATCGTTAGCTTTTGCTAATTTCTTTTTTAATCTTATGTATGGTAAATCTAAATTTTATGTTCGTCGATAAATTTGAAATAAAATCTAATTGCATTTAAATTAATCTAAGTCTTTATAATTTCCCACCTCTTTTGATTCAATAATGAATTTATATAGACTCATGGTTTTCTTTGTTTTGACAAGTTTCTCTTTTTTAATTTTTTGCACTTCGTTTGCAATTTCTAAAAACTTCTTCCTTTCATCTTCAATATAATCAATTTTCTTTTGAAGCTATAGATATCTAAACATAGAATCTGATATTGCCTCATCAAATTAATTGGTGCTTAAATTAAAGGATTGACAAAGAAGCTTAGCATCTCTGTATTTACCAAATTCAAGATTCTTTCTAAATAAGGATATTTCTATTTTTTTGTCGTCTTTTATATAATTCTTAAATCCATATGAAAAACATTATTTCAATTCATTTTAGTTTTATAAATTGAAGGTTTTATCTGTAATTTTAAATTACATTTATTTGACTCTATTTACATGATAATTTTCAAGTAATTACTCTATGCATTTCTAACATTCATCTGAATTTAGCATTATCTTATTTATGATCGTACTTAATTAATAAGTGACATTAAAGTTTAAAATAATTTAAGATAGAATTGTTGATTATTGCAATTAGGAAATTAGATTTTATAATTAATCATATTCATCTTAATCAAATGAATTCCTGATAAATATGAAAGAATCTAACAATTACTAAAATTATTGATGGTTATCTGTTGTGAAAGTCAGAATTCTTTCAAATGCCAGATTAACTGGAATAAGGTATTCTTTAGTACTTAGATTAGGACAGTAGTCTAGAATAGATTAGAAAATCTAAACTGGATATTGAGTTTTTCTTAATTGATTCAGCATTTCATCGAACCAATTTAAATTATGCTATTTATAATATTGATTTAATTCTCCAAAAAGGGATTCTACTTTTGAACTATATGTGAAAAGAGTATATAATTTATCTTACTCTTGCATAAATTGCTTAAGTGTTAATCTTGACTAACCGCCTTTAACCAATAGATCATATAAGAAATATGTAAAATCCTCCTATTGGAAAGGTAGATAATATATGCCATGACATTGAATCAAGAATTATGTTGCAATCTTTTAATAATTGGTCTAAATTTTTGGAACATTAGAACCACCAAGAAAGCTCAAATCATTAAGCTTATTTTATTTAGAAAGACTTCCTTGTTCAAGGGGTTCAAAATTTTGAAATAAAGCCCCATTTGGTAAGACTTCATCAAGAAATTTTGGTTTATGCTTTATTATTAAATTCAGGAAGTGAATATAATTGTAAATGACGTGATTCTAAAACAATCTAATTATTTACTCAAGATTGCAAGTTTCAGATTAAATACAATTAATAAAGGATAGATTGTCTAAGTTTTCAGTCTCATAACATTACAATAAATTTAATTTTCCTCTTAATTTAGTTGACTTTTTCATTCCAACTAATACATTGAAGATTTCAATTAATTGAATTTTATTGATGCTTTTTTGTTTCCATAATTTTTTCACAGTTTCCTTAATGAACTTTTAATCATTAATTTTAACTAAGTAATCAGGTATCTCTTCAGGTGGTATTTAATTATCTTCTAACATCATTTTCAACTTTAAAGATTTGGTTATGATCTACAATTTAAGCAATACTCCTGTGACTTTAATAGTAAAATCTATGGTGTTTTTAACTTGTTGCTCATCTATTGAAATGTCTCTTAATATAAATATTTCAGATCCATCCAAGTAACATTGTCCATGCAATGCTTCTTCATATTCAACGCCATGTGAATTAATCATTTATAACTTTTCATTATTTAATAGCAGGAAATAGCCATTAATGTAGGATAGTTAACCTTCTAGATAAAGCACATCATTGTAGAATGGGACCTGTTTATTTTGGTGGATCAAAATATTTAAACATTTCTCCTTATTTATTTATTGTAAACAATAGGTTTCCTCTGACAATTTGATGCATCTTATTTTAGAGTATTTAATTAAAGGTTCAATTTTGATTCCTAATGGTATTAGCTGATTCTGATTGATTGTACAACACATCTCTTCTATATAATATGAATTTTGAGTAATCAATCTATTTGGTTAACCATTTAATGTTCCTTCATGATAGTTGATATAATTTTCTTCATTTAGTTAAATTCTATGAGAAACATTTTTTCTAATTCTAAAAGTATTGAAGTTCTCTGATACCACTCTAATGATGTCTAATGAATTTCTTAGAACAATCTGACATCCTCTTTTGTAAAATGAACAATCTTCAATCTCTTCATCAAAACACGTAATGTCCTAAATCCAAGTTTTTCCAATCACTCTCCCATTTCTAAACGAAACCGATTTGTCTCTATAGATATCCAATTTAGGATTGATATTCTTAAAGAATAATCCCTTATATTATTAAATGCTCTTTTTGAATGTTCTATTGTATTCTTACTTGTGATAATGAAATTGCATTTTTATTTATGTAATATTTATGATAAAATAAGTCATAATAATGTTCTACTTAGTGTCTCGATTTTCACATTAAGATGGTGAGAACTATTCCATCTTCTATACGGGTATCTTGAGATACTGAATTCGTCATTATTTGTCATAATAAGTATAAAATCTTTTTGTGCTTAAAAATGTTAAAAACACAAAAAATAAATAAGAAGATGAAGGAAAAGCAATGCCCTCAACATTTTAAGATAATGAATAAAAATAAAATTAGGAATCAATATAACATTTAATTTTTTATCTAAATTATTTAACATCGTTAATGAAGAAGCTTAGTCAGTAGATGCAAAAAATGGCTGGTCGAAATAGTTTTTAAGAGTCCCCACAAAGACAAGAAAAGAAAAATAACAAGCCGAGTGTTGGAACAGTAAAAACAGAAAGGCCTGTTGAAAAAGGAAAAGCAAAATTACTTGATTACTTTAAGAGGGAACGAAATTCCTTAGCTTAAGCTGTTAATACAATGAGAGCCAAATTAAAAGGTAGCAAAAGTATTGATAATGTGTTTCTGCAAACATTAAAAAGTGATAGAGTCAAAACTTCACAACCCAATGTAATATTATGAATATTATAATTCTATAGATAGCAGAATTACGAGTTCATACTGACGAGGGTAGCAATTCCAAAAGGGCAACTTTGAAAAGCAAGAATTTATCATTAGCAACAGTCTCCTTAGAGGTAATCATTCAATCAATATTATTCAGAAGAAGGAATTCTTTAAGCATCCTTTAACAACTAAAACATCACACAACTAAACACCTACAGGCTAAAGCAAACCATAATTAAAAAAATAGAAATAGAAGGACTAATACTTATTTGATATGGTAAAATACTTAATATATTAAAGTTGAAAAATGCTTAAATGATATAAAACTAATACCAAAAATACTTCAATTAAAAATTAAATAAGCAATCTATTATTTCAGATACATCCACTAATCACAGATAATCCATAGAGGATATCTTGATTTATTAAAAAGGCCACAAAGGTCCTTCATAAATTATTTAATCAAAACCTATAAAAAAAGCAGATAATGAATCAAAATCCTTGAATTAAGGACATTCTAAAACTGAATAAACCCCTTAGCCAAAACAAATAACAAAAACCAAAAATGATGAAATATTAGATTATGATCCTAAGCAGAAACTTTAAATAATTTTATACTACAAAAACCATAAGTATTAAGTCATCTTATTTTAATAGATACTATTACTTATTCGATTTTGCTAATTAAACAACGTGCAACCTATATAATTATTTAATCGAATAAGTAGCTAGTATTGAAAAAAACAATGCCCAATAAAATGGATAGACTGAGGATGACTAAATTCAAGCTGGTAATATTTCCTGAATACTTTAGAGATCAAATCCATTTGTTAATTTTGCACAATACAAAAAAAAGTTCCCTTTGATTATTACTTATCACTTCCTGATTTGAGTTTGTCAGTATTTTAGGGGATCACACTTTCTTTGGAACCCATGTATTCATAGCCTTAGACTACAAAGAAGGTTGGGTTAAAAGATTTTCAATTAATAAAATGCATAGGTGTTGGAGGATTTTCAAGAGTGTACTTAGTTAGAAAGAAAGACACTGGAATATTCTACGCTTTGAAATTGATTGATAAAAAATTTATAATAGATAATAAGAAAGAGATTATAGTATAAAATGAAAGGGATATCATGGTTAAGATGGAAAATCAATATATTATACCCTTGCACTATGCATTCGAATCGAAGTTTTACATTGCATTTGTCTTAGAATATTGTGCAGGAGGTGAGTTATTTTATCATTTAAGAAAATTGAAAAAACTAAATGAATAAGATGCAAAATATTACTTTGTTGAAATCTGTATAGGAATGGCTTATTTGCATTCTCAAAATATTGTTTATAGAGACATAAAGCCAGAAAACATTTTATTAGATTTGTAAGGTCATCTAATGTTAAGTGATTTTGGACTCTCTAAACCAGATATGGCAGCAGAAGATTTTGCTTATTCATTTTGTGGCTCTCCTGAATATATGGCACCTGAAATGCTCATGAAGACAGGTCACAATTATTTGGTTGATTGCTACTGTTTAGGAGCATTGCTATATGAGCTAGTTTCAGGCTTGCCTCCCTTTTATTCTCATAATACCCAGGAAATTTATAGTTCAATCTTAACAGAAAATGTTTAATTTCCGGATTACGTTTAAATTTCAAATCAACTAAAAGATTTGATTATTTCTCTTCTTTAAAAGGATCCTACAGAAAGATTAGGATAAAAAGAAGGTGTGATTGAAATACTAACTCACCCTTGGTTTGGTGATGTAGACTTTGAGAAAATTGTGAATCGACAACTACCAACTCCTTATAAACCAGAACCTTTAAAATATAATTTTGATGAAGAGGAGTTCAATAAAGGGGATGCTGAATTCAGGAAATAATTCACACTCAATATGTTGACTGAATTTCAAGTAATCATATTGTAAATTTGTATTAGAATGTTGACACAGCAAAGTATCATCTATCAAATTTTTACTATTAAAAGGTCAAGTAGGATGAGTATAAAAATAGAACAAGCAGAGTGAATATCAATAAGTTGTGCTCTGAATTTTTATAAAAAGAACCATTTTCTCCATCAAAATAAATTTTAAATAAAGGCAAAGTAAGATTTAATACAAAATGTTTTAGCATTCTCCTTATGAAAGTAAAAAATCGTTAAAATAAAATACAAAAAGTGAATGTAATGATTATTTCAAGAAGCATAATCTTTTGACTAAGCCTTCTTAAATAATGCAAGAATCTCTAAAATTTGGTCATGCTTATTCAAAAACACAATAACAATCTCAAATTTCGAATTAAGAATTAAAAGTATCTTAAGTCTAAATATTTTAAGAAATTGAAACTTATGTTTGATTAATCAAAACAATTATTAAGTTCAGACAGATTAACTACAATCCCAGATTAAAATTAAAAGAATTAAATTGAAAGAATTAAGACAGAACAGTTTGGAAATATGCCATCTCCTAAAACAACCACTCATAGTACTTTGAACAAGTTAACTAAATATCAAAAGTTATTTGGATCAGAAAAGAGGAAAAAATGACATCAATTTAATATCTTAATTTAAATTGTGTTTATGAAATACAATATATTTTCTAGGATGTACTATTATTATGCAATTTAATGTATTGATGATGAAATCACTTCTTCTTTTATTCGATTTTCTTAATGTAAAATTCTAATTCCTTTCCTTCCAAGATATAGCCATCGGCTCTTCCTGATTATCCTGGTCTTGATGTAATTCTGACTAACAATCTTTGATTGGCAAATTATTCTTAGACGAATTGATCAATAACATTTTCCTTAGCTCTTTTCTCTTGCTTTGAACTTAATTTCTTAGGTTATTCTCCAGTTGTTTCCTATGATTATGATGATCAATTACCTTCTTCTTCTTTGATCCCAATTCAACGTTGTATTTCTTGGCATACCATTATTTGAATGGAGTAGCATCAACTTAGACAATGACACCTCTGGTCAAAGTTTTGGTTCTGACCAATTCATTATTGGATGGATGATAAACCACCTCAACAATTTTAGCTTTTTTAGCAACACCTTGGCTTCCCCAAGAGAAATTGCCTTCTGATAAACGGAGTGCTCTGAATTTGAAATTTCCTCCTCTCACTCTTAATCTTCTAACTCTCTTTTCTCCTGATACTAATTTAGTCATTGCAGCTTATCTTCCTTTCTCAAAAGCTCTTTTCTTCTTATGGATTGGCATACGACCTCCTGTAAGTCTTCTTTTGTGTCTGCTATCTCTTGAAATTCCCATAATTTATGCTTGCTTAAATAAAAAAAGATTTTATTTAATTT